TGTCCAGCTGTGTCCTGGTGTCCAGCTGTGTCCTGGTGTCCAGCTGTGTCCTGGTGTCCAGCTGTGTCCCGGTGTCCAGCTGTCCAGCTATCCTGGTGCCCAGCTGTCCTGGTGTCCAGTTGTCCTGGTGTCCAGCTGTCCTGGTATCGTCAAGCTGTCCTGGTATCCAGCTGTCTTGGTGTCCTGCTGCCCTGGTCGCCTTTTTGGTGTCAAAAATTCACCAAACCCCTCTAGGATCTCCCAAGTGCGCGGCAGTCCATGCTGGTCCGGACAACGAACAACAACAACAACACGGAGGGAGCACAAAGTTAAATGAGAGAAAATCATAAAGGTGAAAAAATCACCTCGCTTTCCAATTCGTGGTCGATTTCGGTGTACGTCCTAGGCATTTCTGTCGCCCCATACTCTCCGAAAGAGTGCCGTGTGAGCCGTCGTGAGAGCTGGCCGATCTGATTGCTGTTTCGCTGCACAATACTCCCTTTTCGACTTATCGAATCCTCTGGGCCTACCTCAGGACCTAGCGGTAGCGAGTCTTCCCCCGGTGCCGGTATGCCTTGCGCAAAAGAAGTCCGGCGGTCAAGTTTTTTCTCACGATTCGGGTGCGCGAACGACGAACGAGGCTTACTCATGCCACCCGTAATAGCCCCGAGGGTTCCGACGCCGAAGGCGTTTGAGGTTGTGTTTGCGCTAGTTCCAGTGGCTGTCGACGTCCCGCCTCCAGCCGTGCCGCCACTGATATTTGCCGCACTGCCGGAGGAAGACGAGAACCCCATGCCCATGCCTCCGAAGAAAGAGGCCACTCCTCCAGGCGCAGCGGTTGCTGCAGCTCCTGCCCCAGGAAAGAATAGTGATGGTGGCCCACCAGTTTTTCCGTTGTTCTGCTCGCGCCTGGAGAGTGTGCTACCAGTAAAGTTGGAAATCTTATGCGTCATCGTCGTCAGTGCATCTCAAATGATCAAGATGAAACAGTTCCTGAAGCGGTCCTAGGACAAGCAGAGGAAGCGCAGAGCTTAGAAGTGAAGGGACAGGCGGGAACCGATAACAAAACCGATTTTTCTCCACGACGAGTGAATCTCGTACAAGAAATCATTCTACAACCTTCTATGAGTACCGAGAGTGAGATCAGCGGCCGCGCTTGTTGTACTAGCACGTATAGATCCACTTCCAGCACATCGAATATTCTATTTATAATAATGATGGGCAGCAAAAACAAAATTATACCCAGGGCCTGCAGCGTTACCGTCTTCATCGTCGTCGTCAGTGATCGCTGCCACGCGGGCAAATCCTGTTTTTCTGAAAGCTGAACGAAAAGCCGTCTCCGGTGGCGAATCGTCAGAGAGCAAAAGACCTAAGAAATACGATAAGTATCTTGAAGCGAAAAAGAAATGTGGAAGTCCATCAAGAATTGTGGCACTTCAGGAAATGACGAATATCAGACTCTCTTTCTGTACAAGCACATCATGTCACTCAGAGGATATTGATGTGGATGTAAGCTATATTAGAATTAGGAATTTTTTGGCCCGTCACGGGTCGAGTTTCTTGGGTTGCTCGGGTTGCTCGAGTTGCTCACCGTAATTTTTTGCGCGGCGCCCTTCGGGCGCAGCTTTATGAGGCTCCGAGATACCTTAGCAGGAGCGTACGACACTCGACGCCATGCCTCCGATCCCTGGTTTTCTTCTTAATGCGCACCAGAGACGAGAGTGAGTAACCACCTTCAGCTCGGGAACTCCTCCCAGCCACTTGATCAAACACGCAAGGCATCCGCCGCGTGCTCTAGTCTACTTACTTCGTCCTAGGCTGAGTGGGCCGCTCTCCAGAGCAGACGGGAACTCACTGCCACTCCCAGCCCCAAAAGGGACTCATTGGCCGCGCACACATCCGAAGAAAAAAGGGAGAGATTGGCACCGACCCAACGACAAGCCACAGCGACACTCTCCTCCCTCAAACAAAAACCACAACGAGGCGAAGCCGTCGGCCCCTCAATGCCGGCGCTTCAAACGCGCGCCCACACGCTACAAGAGAAAAAGCCGGGGGGGCTCGCTGGGGAGCCCTTCGCAACCGATTGCCCCCTTCGTGAGAGAGCAACAACAAAAGCAGCCACTTCGTCACTCCACGCAGCCAAAACCGTGGCCATACCGCCCCGCTGCGCCGCATTCCGGTGAAGCGGATATCTTGCGGCAACTCGTGGCAACTCGTTCCAGAATTGAAACCCTTCGCTTCGGCAACTCGAGCAACTCGTTGCAACTCGAGTAACTCGAAACCCGATATTTTACTTACTCTACTATATATGTGGCAGGGTTCGAGGGAGCGCCCCCCCCCTAGCGTAGAGGGGGACGTGGATCCCCGGGCCCCTTTTGAAGGCGGCTGTGGAAGGCTTCCAAAGGGGTCCAAGAGACCTCCACCGCCCCCTTCCGGCTGCCTGCATGTACCCCGAGAGGCCTCCTAAGTGCTTCGCCGCCGCAGCGGTGCGCCGGGTGTGGAAGGCCTCCGAAGGCGGCAAAAGGCGCAAGGCTGGACCCCCTGAGCCGTGTGGCCTGCAGGCACCCTCCGAGCCCTTGGCCATCGGCCTGCTTGCTCTTGAGGCCGTGGCCGTCTACCCCGGAGACCTCCAGCCTGCGAGGGTCAGCAGAGGCCAGGAGGTCTCTTGGGAACAAGCAGAGAGGCACAAGGGGACGCCCGCGCCCAGTTTTGACGCCTCTGCGCAAGGAGCCGCACGCGCCCAGTTTTGGCGCCTTCTACCCCAAGAGTCCGCGAAAAGCAGCGCGGGAAAGAGCGCACAAGCGCCACCGCAGGGCCATCCACAGGGGGGGGGCGCGTGCGTCCCTGTATCATATGTGACCTTTTAAGTATGCATACCTGCTTTTTTCTTTGAGCCTGATGGTTTCTCTCCAGCACTCTTCATGGGGTCTCCGCTTACGAGCGTCTCCTGGAGCTTTTCCTTACTGTTCGAGCGTCCGGATTCGTCCAGCTCTCCTGTAGCAGCGCCCCCCGCGGCTGCTGCGTCGGCCAGCACAGGTGGATCACTCGAGGCACTTCCAGACGAGTAAGTCTTGTGTACCGTGTTCTGATCTAGCTGGTAGCTCCTTATTCGTTCCACAAAATACTTTTTTTGCTCTGGAAATTCGTCAATGATTGGCAAAAACTTCTCGCGGGTAATTTGCGCAAGCAGCGAATAGGTTGCCGCGCGGACGCTACATAGACGCGGCGTCTGCACGAGCAAGGCAACCTCACCGAAAAAATTATTTTCGCACAAGGTGGCGACTACCCGGACCCCCGAAGAATCGATAACATCACAGCGGCCGCGCAGGATCCAGTACATTTCGGCGCCGATTTCGCCCTGCACAATGACGTTTTCCCCTGGAGAAAACGTCGTCTCCTCGAGAGCTAGCACAATCGCGTGAATGAATTCTTCCGGGGCGTTGCGGAAGAACGGCGCGTTGCGGAAAAGTTTGTCGTAGATTGTGGCTTTCAACTCCGTGAAGAGCTGCACTGAGAGGCCCTGAAACAGCGAACTGTATGCGTTCAGGTTGTGGTGGATAGCGAGAAAAAGGTGGTATTTTTCGATCCGATTGCGCAAATCCTCTGGCAAATTCAGCGTCTTCATGGCCGACCGAATGAAGCACATCTGTTCGTGATGTTTGCGCTTCACAGCGTCTAGGCGTGACAATAGAACCGTACAGTTTGCGCTGACGATTGCAAAGAAGAAGCTTCCAGTTGGCGAGGTGAGCGAAACAAGTGCCATTTCCCCGGGCGAGAAGGCAGGACGTACACGACCTGTTAGGATATAAAAACCGTCCCGCAAAGCAAACAAGTACCAGGTAAAGAGCGAACTTGGCTGGCCAACATCCGACGCTGTCAAAATATGCGCGTCCGTTGTCGCATTCTGTAAATGTTGTGAGTTCCCGTCAGAGCGACAGACAGCTTCCTCTAGAGGAGCTGCTCTCTGCAGTAGAAGAGGGACTCGTGAAGACTATGCGCCATCATATTCCACTTCCACATCATGATGTAGTAACTGCTTCATCTACTACTTTTACCAAAATGCAGCCAATGAACTAGTCGAGAAAAAGGAATACCGACTCCAAAATGTAAAACCAGTAGCAGCCGAGGACGTGACCCAGCAGGAACACCCACATAACCACCCGCCCAATGTGAACGCCGATAGAATACTCTGCCTCAAGGTGCGATGCGGGAATGGCAATAAGACGCCATAATCGGAGGAGCTTGAGGGCTTCGAGCCCCTTTGCCAGATCGTTCCACATGAGACAGACGTACGGCGGAAGCGGTTGAATGATCAGTGGAATTAACGAAAAAACGTCCATCCAGAAAGTTGCATCCTGCATCGCGTGCTCCCGGATGCGCTTACGATTACACCTTCCAAGTCATAGGGCTTAGTTTTCAAGCCCAGGAGAAGGAGGTGATACGCTTGTTGTGGTGACCGAAGGAAATTTCATCCACATCATCCTGTTCACTACAGATAGACCAAAAATGACTTACCATTCCTTCCCGTAGGTGAGGTCACAGACGCTTGTAACAAGGCGACATGCGACGCCCCATAGATAAAGACAGTCGACGAGGAAATTGGCGACGGCAGATGGGACCCAGCTTCCGTCGTCGGGGATGCGATCTGAGAACCCGACGTGAAACGGCACGTAGCAAGCCGTCCACAGCGTACTGGCGATGAGCACCAATGTGAGTCTGCGGTTAAAGAAGGAATTGAACCTGATGATAAAGCTTTGCACCGTGCCGTCAACGGTGAAGATCGAATACGCGACAGAGGCGCTCTTGCCCACTGCGCTGGCCTGTTGCTCCTGCAAGGACGCGCGGCGCCTGGCTCGAACCTCCTCCTTCACCGCAATGGCCGCAATATCCTCTTCGGTGTCGCGCCTGGACGCGTCCTCCTGTTCGGATTCGAAGTCACCTTCGTCCTGTGATATGATCTCGACCACACTAACCTCTTCCTGTATCGCCACCTGGCGCATGAATGGGTTCAGTATATTCAGCTTTTGTGTGAAAGACATGGCTGTCTGCACGATCGAGTTGCTTCGCGAAAAAACACGGGTGAGTTCGCCACCCCGCGACATGATGCTCACAGTCGTGTCACGCCGCTCTTGGCGCCCTTGTTGGCCTCCTCCACCCGAATCTTCCCAAACATCGTCGTTGCTCTTGTTTTTCCCGATGCTGTTGAGTACAGACGACGCAGCGCTACTCAGAACTAAAGACTGTTTCTTCACGATCGATCCGCCACCTCCAGCCGTGCCTTTCTTAGCCGACGTCTTGCTCGTTGCAGTATTCGGCGCTCCGCTTGCCGCCTTGTGTTTTCTCGCTTGCACCGAGAGCGAGGATGTTACTGGGGAGGACCCATACCCTCCTGAAGCAGCGAGACTGTTGCCCCCTCCCCCAGAGCCCGAACCATCGCCGACGTCTTGATGTTTCCCGCCAGTGCCATCTCCGTCACGGTTTGCCCCTGCCGCAAGCACCTCAGTCCCTGCGCGCTCAGGCGTCGTGCATTCCGGATTCTCTGCGTGCGGTTCAACTGGCGTCACAGCCTGAAGCTCTTGCCTTCCTCTCGCTGTTGATGAACTCCCTCCTCCGCCAAAAAATTTCATTTTCAACGCGGACCTCCCCCAAGCTCAAAGGGGGTACTCAAGAACGCTCGCTAGTTGTAATGTTGCGACACACAAACGCCATGATGATCTTCAGCCTCTCCTCGATGTTCACCTTTTTTTACTGTAAAAGTAGCTCCTAGAAGAAGTGGGCCCGCTGCACCACGCCACCAAGAAGGATGTCGTGATCATGGTGACCGCCTACTCGTTCCTGCGCGTATGCCAAAAATATCGACCACCTGGAGGCGCCAGTGTAGGAATGTACCTAAATATGGCAGTGCGAATCCGTGAAATGCATTTTTAGCACGGTCGTCTGCAGCGATCTAATTTAGAAGACCTTGGTCATGCTTTTTCTCGAGCCATTTTTATTCATTTTCGGTGAAGCGCGTCGTGTCGGTGTCGCCACCATAATCATATATAACATCACTTTCTCAATACTGGTGCTTCCACTCACCGAGGTGGGGCTTCCGTTGTTCCTGGGCTCTTGAAATAATTGAAAACGAAAGATGAAGAAATGAATTTAAAAAACAGTTTTTAGTTCCATCAAGCTGTTCAGATCACTCATCTGCAGCGCGCACCGCCACAGCGTGTTTCATCTGATTCGTTTTTTGCGTTTGCGATCTGCTTGGAAATTACGAGTCGAGCTCGTGCTGGAGCACGAGCGGGTACGTAGTTCAATATTTTTGCGTCCTTCTAGTTGGTCATCTTCAACATACGTAGTCATCCTCTTGATCTTCAGAGAGTATCTGCCGGATCTTCCAACAGCATAACTAAGCATAACAGTGAGGAAGATGAACAATGTCAACATCAGAAGTGCATAACCAGTGAGGTGATTCTCAGATCTAGCACTTGGACGCAACATCGACATCTGGATTCTATCTTGGCTCCGCCGCGCCGCGAATCATCTCCACTCATTGTCTTCATGCTGCGCGGTTAATCCTCATCTTCTTCAGTCAGAACGGGGCTTTCTACCTCGTATAGCCAATACCTGAAGTAGGTGAGGCATCAGAATCAGAAAGCAAGTCAGGTAATGCGCGTGGACTAGACGGCGACTAATCAAGAAGAGACTAAGAGGCAGCCCTGCACTAGGAAAATTATAATCAATATATCAATCATGGAAAATAAGAATAAAAAACAAAGCTTGCGCGTTCATAGAAAAAACATAGCAAAAAGACAAACAAGCATTAGAAGTTTATAACTAGTAAGCGTCACTCTATAACTAATAGCTGTTTAATTCTAACTAGAAAGCGTCATTTTATAACTAGAAAGCGTTTAGCTTTAACGAGAAAGTGCCACTGTATAACTAGAAAAAGTTTAATCATATTAACTAATAAGTGTCGAACTTTAGCTAGTAACTGTCGGCCTATACCTAGCAAGTGCCTAATCATAACTTGTAACTAAGCGCCGAACTCTAACTAGTACGTAAGTGTCGAACTCTAGCTAGTAAGTGCCGAACTGTAAATAGTAAGCGTCGCATTATAGCTTGCTAGTAAGTGTCGAACTATAGCTAGTAACTGTCGAGCTATGGCCGATAAGTGTCCGACTCTAGCTAGTAAGTGTCTAACTCTAGCTAGTAAGTGTCGAACTATAGCTAGTAAGTGTCGAATTATAGCTAGTATGTATCTAACTCTAGCCAAGAAGTGTCTAACTCTAGCCAGAAGTAAGTGTCGAATTATAGCTAGGAAGTCAAGTGTCGAACTCTGGCCAGTAAGTAGTGTCGAACTATAGCTAGTAAGTGGCTAATTTTAGCCATAAAGTGTCGGACTTTAACTAGTAAGTGTAGAACTTTAGCTAACAAGTGTCGAATTTTAGCTAGTAGCTGTCGAGTTATAGCTAGCAAGTGTCTAACTTTCACTAGAAAGTGTTTAATTTCACCTAGAGCTAGAAATAAGTGTATAACAAACTCTAACTAAAAAGTGTCGGGATTTTACTAGAAAGCGTCCCCTTTTACTTAACTCGAAAATATCTAGGGAGTGCGTAACTTTAACTAGAGAGGCCCCGCTTGGTGGGGGCAAGGAGGTAAAAGCAAGGAGGTGCGGGTAGGAAGGTGGGGGTAGAGAGATGGAGGGGGTAGGAAGGGAGGGGTACGTAGAGAGGTGAGAAACGGCAATTATTGGGTGTAGAAAGATGGGGGCAAGGAGGTGAGGCTGAGGGCAGGGAGGTGGGAGAAAGGAAGTGAAGGCAAGGAGGTGGAAGCAGCGAGATGGAGGTTAGGAAATGGAGGCAGGGAGGTGAAGGCAGGGAGGTGAAGGCAGGGAGGTGAAGGCAGGGAGGTGAAGGCAGGGAGGTGAAGGCAGGGAGGTGGAGGTGAGGAAGGTGAAGGAGAGCAAAGACTTGGAGACAGCGAGGCGGAACAAAAGGGGTAACAGCCAAGGCAAACGCGAGGGGCTAACGCATGGCAAAGAAGTGCCAAGGCTTTCCCGATATCTAGTAACTAGCTACGTTGTGTCTTGTCGAGAATGACACACCTGGGCGGGAGCGATGCCAACGAGTAAATAATCTAAACGAAAAAGAGCAGGAGCACACGGTTGGAGGAGGGTGCGAAAAGGGATATTAGTTAGCAGATACGAAACCGATACAGAGGAGTGTGGTCAGGGTGGGGGGGCTTGAGCTACACCTGGCTGCGGTCCCGCAAGCCCGGCTCGAGTAGTGTAAGCGGCCAAGCTGACAAGAAAATCATGAAGGCAAGTCAGGTAATTTAGATTTCTCTACTCCAATGAAAATTATGATAAGTAGGCGTAAATCATGATCGAATTTGTAGACCCCGACGGCGATTATAGTACCATTGGCGACCGATCACTTTGACGACGAGTTCACAGTCCACTGCATCCTCCATCGCATAGAGACCACAGACTGCCGGAACCGCCATCCCAGCCAGGATGAAGACCGGTACATAAAAGTTTAGCCATTCGACATACATTCTGTATTCGCCGTCACCCCAATTCCTGTTCTTGTCTCGTGGACGGTATGGCGGCTGTAGTTAAAAGGTCGCAGGAGGTACTTGTAGAGATAAAATTATCAGGTATGAAACATTGTATCATTTGATCGGAAAACCGGCACCTTGTAAGAGATCAAACACTTCTCATCTTCACGATAATCGTGCTGCCACAAATACAAATCAAACTACAACTGCCGCTGCAGTGCATCAAGAAAATCAAATACGATAAATAAAAGAATACATCAACGTAGTGGCAATATGCGGTCTGCTCGGCTAAGTGATGGGATACATCGTTTCCGTGCACCCAATGCTGGCCGCGTTCATGCGTCATCTTTTGCGGAACACCTGGGAAATTCATGGGTAATCAAAGGAGCAATTCGAAGAGGACGGACAGGTGTCAAAGGAGCCTGCAGCTTCAGGTGGTTTCTAAATGGAGTCCTCGCGATAGTAGGAGCTAGTAGGACTACAGTACAAGTACACAGTACAGAGTACATTTGTTTAGTTCTGCAGTCGGCAGTTCGTGGAAGAACTCGCCCATTTTCGCCAATCCATCAATGATGCCGCCATTCGGCCTAAGGTGTTCTCGACCGTGTCGATGCGGTTCCATAGCTCCTCCTCCAAAGCATCGTTGGACTATGAGCTGTGCGGCAGGAAGTGGCGCGGATCTCGCCGTTTCGCCGAAACGGCCTAGAAGGTTCGTCCTCGCCGTTGTGTGCACTGTCCTTGAGATCCCGCTCCCGGCCACTGGTCCTCCTGAGGACCCCGCTGACGTCGCCGCCAGTGGTCGTCGCAGAGCTTGCCTCGCCAACATCATTTTTCTGCGTTCATGTACTATTCCTGGCGCCAATAGTTTTTATTCCGTAAGACCACGGTGGACCTTTATCAACCACGAAGAGCAAAAAAAACCTCCTTTGCGTCTCAACCACGAAGAGATTATCTAACAAAAACTGGAGCCTGATGCTGCCGATCATCCACAGACACAGTAGTCCGGCACTCCTCAGACTCACGGAGGTGCCGCCAAAACGCCAGCTCTGCAAATTCGCGCAGCCGAGCTCCAAGCGCACCTCAGAAATGCATCAACCACTTTGAAATATAGCTATCAAGTTTCTCTTTGTCTACGTCAGCACGGGGGCTTGAGTCGAATCCTTTGTTGCACTAAAACAACTACGCCGCATGTTGCCCAGGACTTTATGGAGTTGAACAGATCACACGTTGTTGATTCATATTCTGGCGACCGAGGTAGATTAGCTGATGATGCTGATTATATACCCAAGCACCTGCGAACTGCAAAGACGCTCTCCTTGTTGTAGCCATGCTTTCGTTTCTCAAGTTCTCAGTGGCGCATATGCATTCTCGTTTCCTTAGAATTCTCAATCTCAGGAAAAAGCTCAACACAGCACTCGCACTCGTCTTTTCTGACCACATAAAAGCAAGGTCATCCGTGTGAGCCAAGGTCTGTCGTAGCGCCATTTTCCCGCAGCTGAGAATGCACATCGATTCCCCAAGTAGTTGCCATCACCTTCATTAATAGCTGAATGCAATAAGCAGCTGTGGCGTAGTCTTTGGGAGCGATCTCTGTCTCTGGCAAAGGCAATCTACGTCGTGAACATCAACATCTTCATGGGATAGTTACAAAAAAATGCTCTTAAAAAGTGGAAAAACAGCGAGCGTTCTCCTCATCTTCATGAAAAAAAATAGTTTCTTTTTGGAAACATATATACATGATCATTCTAAATCTCTAAGTGTCTACATAGGAATAGACGACGCCGAGCCAACATCATTATCTTACGAGACAAGGGGACGCCCACGAGCTTGAAACTGAGAGACTAGTAGTACTACAAAGGTATGTCACGCCTAAAATACGGACCGCGGCGGCGCATGTTGCATGTCTTCAATTTATTGCAGGGTCAAAATTACGACGATTATATGGTTCAAGCCTGTTAGTGTTCTTAAATATATTCACGTATAATTTTGGCACCCGTCACCATGAAGAGGGTCTGCCAAATTCCGAGCCCGAGTCGCGGCACGATGCCCTGGAACAGACCCATGGGTCCATTTTCCCGCGTCACCTGTTCGTTACATATATTTATGCATGAGAAAAAGGAGAGACCACGTAGTATATCTCAGAAGACAACTTTTCAGGAGTCTACAGCATCAAGAATAAATAATCCTTAGTGTTACAGGTACAGTTCTTCAAAGGTACTACTGCTAAAAAACAAATGTGCAACATGTGGTAAGGGTAACCGAAAAAGTAAATGTGGAGATCGTGACGTACCTTGGCCATGGTTGCAACCATGCCGAGCGTTGGCTCACCAGCATTTGCAGCAGCCTGGGCTTCAATTCGCGCTACTTCAAATGGATGATTCCAACATGAAAGCGCACCACCTAGAATGCCACACATTGCTTCCTCGCCCCTAGTGAGCTTCGCCTTTGCGTCCCCATGCCTCATTTCCTGAAAGCATATGGTTGTGAAGCCACATGAGATCATAAATATCATGTCATGTGTCTCCAATCTGACATGCCAAATCAGCTTTGAGACCAGACCCAAAGAGATAACCCGATGAGCATACAGTAACGTACTAAGCCGTGAACAGCATATTCCACTACTACAGATCATTATAAAGGATGAAGTAGAAGACTGACATATTCATTACCATATCAAGAACTTAAATATGCGCATACTGCGACTACTTCCAGTGTGTGCGGGAGCAGCTCCTATTTATTTCATTGGAATCAATGCAACTCATTAACAACAACTACTCGTTCTAATAGATGATGCAATATAAGTACTCCGCATTTTTCTCGAATGATTTCCGTGAAACCTTGTCGACTTGCCCAATTTGAGGCTTGTCGAAAAGTTAATGCCATTCCACCAGGATAAAAGCCCCTTATTCCCTTCTGGGACCAAGTTTCTGCAACTTTTTTGCTGACATTCGTGTTTTTGTCGCCTGTCACAATTGAAGTCACTAGAAATGTGCAGGGACCCATGACACTCACCTGTGCTACACCACCACCTGCACCCGCGATTACACCACTGAGGCCTGCTCCTGCACCGGTGTGGGCCTGAGAAGTTGTAGATGGTGAACAGATGAAGGCGCCAATGTACCTCGCTTACGCGAACAACTTGTAGTTATATTTATATAAATGGAGGCCTATCTGTAGTAAAAGTAAGTTTTCATATCATGTATTGCATGTAGGGATAGACCTAAGGATACAGGATAAGCTAGCCGGTATGAAGTTTTCATATTTATCATGTAGTTTGCCTTTACGAACTCCTGCTCTTCCAGTAGATACATCTTGACATCATATTCAACATCCGCGAAGTGGCATATCAAACAAAGCATAGAGGCACCATTCCCATGAGTATTGCTTCCTTGGCATAGAGCAATATCGCTCCCTTCGAAGCCGATTCCACCATTTTCGCTGAGGTCCCTTGCCAAAATGCGCCAGCTCCACCTCGTTTATAGACATTTTGAAAAGCCTCGATCGTTCCTTCATTGCGAAATCTGCGATGTATTAATTTTTTGCTGTGCATTAGTGGACGACTGACTCCACCTAAGACTAAAAAGTGTGATGTGGGAACTAACTACATTAACACAAACCTGCCCTAGGTCACAGCCGCGTCGCTTCATTTCTATTCGCATGCATTTTTTACAAGTGGTCTCCGTTTTTTTTCAACACATGAAGTATTGCTGCACTATAATTGCTGGTTTTAGTTCAGCTTCACTAGTTCTTCGTTATTATTTCTAGAAGATCCTATGTCTATGTAATTTGAGTTTCATAGTTTTCAACAAACCACTACCTTCCCATGTGAGTTTTCCATACTTCGAAGGGCATACCAAGCGTTGCCGCCTCAAGACACTGCAGGCCGGCCCCCACAGCCATGTCTTTCGGGTCTCCGAGCTTTCCACCACCCCCCATTATTTCTGTTTGTTTTCCTCTTCTTGTTTATGTAATTAAGACGAGTCGGCTAAAATTATTGTGGTAGCACACGGCGGTTCCATTTTCTGAAAATTATTTGGCCGAGAAGGTGATGAAGCTAGTTCTACTAGTAGACGTTGTTGAGGTTGAGCTTATCGAAAATATTTATAAACTTTCCTAGTAGATGAAATTCAAGCAACCACAGAGACAAACACGTACACGCGAAAAAAAGACTAAATATTTTCTTGGAGAAAAGGGGCGCTGGAAGGAGAAAAAAACTGAAGACAGATCTCGTGCTCATTCAAAGCATTACTCCGAATCAATCCTGCAAAATTTGAGTGATCTTGGTATGAGCTCCATGTCTCTCAAGCCTCTCGCTTCACGTCCACCAATGACCGGAGATTATTATCCTCTCCTGCCTCGTCTCTCGACTTCTTTACGGCTTTTCTGCTTCAGCCTGACATCCACATGAAGATCCGAGAATACAATATCACTCACTACCAGCATCGGTCTGCTACAAGAAAACCTTCGCTCGTTCGTTGAAAAGATTCGGACCGAAAAAAAACCGAAAATGATTAAGATGAAAGAATAAACGGAGACAGACCGAATAAAACTATAGGCGTATATACAGTCAAAGACCGAGCTTGTTCGCAAATCTGCTTCTCCAGTGTCCCGACAATTCTGTCTTCCCAAAGAGCAAGAGAGTCTGACACTATCCCTTTTCGTTCTGGAATCAATCATTTCATTCATGGTGAAGATCTTCATGCTGTAGTATGAAGAACATGCTCGTAATGCGTTTTTCGTGCTGTAACGAAGCATGCAACTGCACGTCCTTTGAGCGAAACGATAGATTTCCATTTCGATTGTGTTGAAAGGCATGAGGATGTTGATGGGGTGTTGCTGAGGGCACTTATTAATATTCTTGATTTATAGATACTCTAGTATGCCTTTGACTGCATGAAAATGATGTAAATTTCATGAAACACGCAAATTTATTCGTCATATGTTGCGGTGGTCGAGGTCGTCTGTTTGGATCATCTCGTATTGCCATCATGTTCATGTCAGCATACTAACATAACAAATGCAAATGCCAAATGGGGACCAAAACATTAATTTCAGAATCTTTAGGTTTAATCCAAATCGTCGTAGTCGGCCACTTCCCGCTCTTCTTCGACCTTCGCCGCGGCCTCTCGAAAATTGCCTCCGTACAGTTTGCGTAGGTCTTTGGGAGCATCCCGGTCAATATACGTGCAGAGTCGCCGCGTGTCGATGGTGCGTGGTTTGTCTTCTCCTTGCACGAGCAGAACTTTCTTGAATTTATCCTGGTCCTCGTCTGAAAGAAGAGTTTGAATTAACTTTCAACGGCAAGCAAATCTTGGATCGTGATTGAATTGGAAAGTTAGTAGGTGTTGAATTTACTAAGTAATTACCTTAACTTTTTTCACTTACCAAGTGACTATCTACGTCTAGAAGCAAGAAGTAGTAAATGCAGCAGCAAAAAAATATTCAAAAAAAGTGATGCTATTGAAACTACCTCTTTTCCGACTTTTCACATCCATATTTTGTCGCTTTTCTTCATCCTTTTCTTTTTTCTTTCGCGCCTTTTTTGCCTTTTTCGCTTCTTTAGTGCCGCCACGGATGCCTCGCTTTTTCGGTTGTTCATCTTGCTCCTCATCTGACTCGTCTTCAACATCCTTGGTTGACGTAGTGCCGTTGCCTTTTGATTCACTCTTGTCATTACTAGCTACTGCGCGACCACCAGCAAAATTGCTGACGAAAGCGGCACTAGACGAAGAAGAAGAACCACCTGCTTGACCAGCGTTATTCGTTTTGTTCTTATTTCTATCTCCCAGTACAGGGAATAGTTGTAGTGGAGCTGCAGCTCCCTTTTCTACAGCATCGTCCTCCTCTGATCCCTTTCTTGGCCTCTTTGGTGCAGGTTTTTCCCCGTCACTGCTCTTGTCGTCATCGACTGCATCGCGGTAGTCGATTGCGTCCATATTTGCTGCAGCCTCGCGCCGTCGCTTTCGCATTTCCTCATTGTCTAAAAGCTCTTCCCATTCGAGCTTGCTTGCCATCTGCTTTCGCCGCAATTCGTTTTCCAACTCCACATCGTTCTGGCTACTAGACAATTCCTTGCTCGCAGCGGACGAGGCTGCGCCGGCCGGTTTCCGCGTCCCCACGCCGAGAATACCCTTTCTTCGACCAATCATTTTCGCGTGCAGAAGAAGCAGATCTAATTGTTCTAAAGTGTGTTCTGCGCTGGTTCCAAGTGAAGGCTCTGTAGCTCTTCCGCAGCGATTTCTGCGTCAAGACGTGCGAACTCGCGAACTGACTTCGAAAAAACTGTTTCGGAAATGGAGTGGCGCGAACTAATGAGAACGCTGAGTCGCAGATAGAAGAAGACGACCCTAGGAACAATACTGAGAATCAGCAAGAAAGTTAGCACGATGTAAAGCAATATTTTCAGGAGAAAAAGGAGCCGCACAAATAACGCGCTGAAAATGTCCTCCTCCTCTTCCGCTGGTCGTACCTGATAAATTGCGCTACGTCGTCGTGGCCTGTTATTTTGATTGTCTCTCGCACGCCCTGCTCGCTGGCTTCTTGTTCTTGTTGCGTGTGAGCGTACACCACGTGGTCGAACACCTCGTTGTGCGGTTCTTTCTCGGGATGGACGCTCTCTGTGCCCGTCGCCGGACTCTTTGTTATTGTCGTCTACGTTTTTGTCGTTATTCTTGTTCCTGTTAGTGTAGTTACTCTGATTCACGTTCTCGGAAGGTTCCTCGTGTTCCGTTTGTTCGCCGTCTGCTTTATTTCTTTCTCTCTGCTCTTGCTGAAGCAACGCTAATCTCCGATGTCGAAGAAATTGTAGTTTATTGCTTGTCGATCTTTGCCTGCGAAGGAGTTGTTCTCGCTCACGGAGAAGCGCCAACCTCCGTTCTTGACAACGAAGAATAGCTTGACGGTGCTCCCGCAATCGAGCTCGCTCCTCGTCCTTGTTAATTATCAGAGATGAATCAGAAGCTTCATCAAGATCAACCTTCTGATCTGTACCTGTAGTTATCTTTTCCAGCATACGTCGATTCTCACGCTCCTGTCGTAATTCAAGTTCTCGTTCTGATAGAAGTTGCTGCGCCTGCGTTGCATCGTCTTTTGAACTTGATCCTCCTGTCAGAGTAGCCAAAACTGCTGAAGAATAGTCATCCTCTGGTGACGAGGAAGCAGTTGTGCTCTGCGTCGTCGGGCTTTCAGCGTTATCAGAGGGCGAATCACCTTCAGCTGCGTCTAGTAGGGTGGATGTACTCGTAGTAGTGCCTTCGTCAAGAACGTGCCTCTCCTTACTCTCTACTGCAGCGCAGAATGACATTTAGCTTCGTGTCATGAAGCGCCGGTGACGCCCCCCTGATGGAGAGCAGTCACACAACGGCGTCGAGGTACTTCATACTCATTCACGACTACTTTCTTAATATTGTTCTTACATAGGGGGGGTCAACCTAGAAAAGGGATCGTAAAGCTCCTACTGCAATACAACGAAATTACCCGAACAAGGTGCCTCTAATCGAGCTTTATATCTGTTAAGATGTCCAGCGTCGTGGAATTCAAAAATCTAAATTCGACAGAACATCTAACCAAAAAAAACCAAAAAAGGAGGTGAGTACACTGAATGGAGGCAGGGATCTGGAAATTACAACTACAACAAGTACATGGAGGACGAAAAAATCACTCATACTCATTATGGGTTGGTGTAGTACAAGTACTCGTTATTTTAGTGCAAGACATTGAATAGACGGTCGAGAAGGAGGACGCGCACCAGGATGATAAATTTTGAGAACTGTTGGGGAATACGATTCGCATTCCGTCTCGAAAGAAGTAGAAGCCTGCACCTGCTACAGCGGCGCAATGGGAAAGTTATTAACCCTGAAACTACGGCAGATTCGAGCAATCCAGACTTTCAAGAAGGGAGATATCGATGGGGATGAGCAGAATTGAATTTCAATTTGAACGATCGTACTAGCTAGAACTAGTGCTGTCTTCCAATGCTTCCATTTTCTCAACATATTGTCGTGTCTCAAACGCATCCTTGTGATGATCGTTGACGTCTGATTCGGGTTTGGGAATGGAAAGATTCCAATTCTTGCAGTTTCCACCGCAACGAAATGATCAAACCCGTCCGCCAGATGGAAGAGCAAATTTTCATCTTGTTGCCCTTGCCCTCCCTTTTTGTTGTCCCTGTCCTTGGACTTGATCTTGATATGCTAAGTAGTCTTTCGAGAGGTAGAGGAAGCATGCCAAAATGAAATTGTCACAAAGTATCAGTATATGTGCTCCGTCATGAAGCCATGCCCAGAACCCTGCTCCTCCTTTACCTTTGAGCAACGTGGTTATGACATCACTTGTTTAAACACAAACATACAAGTACAAGTGAAAGGATGTGAAAAAACTAAGCACGTCGAGAAGGATACCTTCGACAATATCTGTCATGATCGTTATGTGGACGTCTGCATCTTATTGTTATTCCCTTGTTCACGAAATAGAGTTCAGCGTTTTGCTTTTTCAAAGTGCGCAGAAGAATCTTTAGTGTTGTTCCACCTTCGATGTTGTTTCTAGTTCAACAGGCTTGTTAACGTAAGGACAGCGAATGCTTATGCTACTTCATCCGGGAGATTTTGATCTACTCAGCAAGCTGGTGCTTGTTCATGTAATCTACAAATTCCATTTTAGAGGACACACGTCCTCTCCTATCGAGGTCGTCTTTGCTGCTGCCGCAAAACCAAGGGTCACAACATGAAAAAGCATGACGATGGTTTTATTGCGATAGGTCTAATTCCACCGACCACACACCGCTTGGGACGGGTGATCGTCCGGACTAACTACCAACGTTGCGACGATACAGTGACCAGATTCACTTGAACCGGAGAGAAAATCCGTTAGCGCGCTTCTTCACCGTCTCTTGAATCTGGTTGGCATCGAACATCGACACATCTATCCCGTTCATACGGATCACCTTCATACCCGCTACAACGCCCTTCTTTGATGCCTCACTATCAGCGGCAACAGACCTGAGGAATATTGGCAGAGAGTTCAAAGTGGACATCATGATCTACGTAGCGACAAATGAAAAACTAATCATAACCTTTCCTTTGTAACATCAATATAAATATATAATCACGCACCGGTGAAGATGATTTCCTTTTCCTAGTAGAACTAACAAGCAAACAAAAACTCCAAATTTCCTACTTGACAACTGCGGTATCGACTTCGTCGATTTTCTCGATTTCGTATTCGAAGCCTAGGGGCTGACTTTTCATCGCAATTGTGACGTCAATGTGTCTGGGTCTGGCAGGTGGTTGTGGCGCCGACCAGGAGGAGTCCCGTCCATCACCTGCTGGACTCCACGGCTGACTTCCACCTCCCCCGTTCCATTTTCCTCCTCCGGTGCTTTTGCTACGGTGGTCAAAGCTGCTTCCACCACTGAGTTTACCGCCGCCCCCCTTGCTGCCGTAGTAGTCGAAGCTGTCCTGACTGCCCTTCGCAAAGCTGTCTTTGGAAGAGGACCGGCTAATGCCCCAGCTACTCTTTCCTTGATCCTTGTCGAAGGAAGCTCCGGACTGAATATTACCGTAGCCCTTACTAGACTTTCCGCCTTTCGATGGCTCGAGATCGTAACTGCGGCCCCCTCCGCCTCTAGTGTCTTTGTCGAAGCTCCTCTTGCCACCGCCTCTCAAATCGTGACTTTTTCCACCTCCATCGTCGTATTTTCCATACTTGCCACCCCCCTTGCTTCCTCCACCGTATTTTGATTTTGAAGACGAGCCTCCGTACTTACTACCTCCGCCATCTCGGTCGTAGTAACTGTCGCGGCCTCCTCCCCACTTGCCGCTACGTACTCCACCGTCTTTGTCGAACGACTTCGAGTTGTAGCCTTTCGGTCCGTCTCGCGGACTGCCCCAGGGCGCGCGGGAAGTTGAGGACGCAGATCCACCCCACTCGTCTCTTCTACTGTAGTCGTCGTCTCTTCTGCTTCTTCCATTGTCGTATTTACTTAGGAGACTATGACGTTCACTGCCGCTTCCATCGCCTCTCCACGAGCCGTTGTAGGACGACTCTTGCCCGTTCCAGCCGCCGCTTCCGGATCCAGAGGCCCACGGAGGTGAGCCTGGCCCTTTTCCGCCGGGCCCTTTTCCGCTTGTGCCACCTCCACCGTCGCCTCCCTGGCCTTTGCCTTTTGCCTTCGACAGCAGTTGTACAATGAGCTTCTGACCGGTTTCTGTATTACGTTTAGAAAAAAAGCAATGACTGACCACGATTATGAGCTGCATCCTGAGTGTTCCTGCATAAACTTTGACCCTCTACTTTAAGTTTTCATCATAATAACGAGACATAGTTAGATATTCTCTTCGTACGTTCTGGTGAAGGATTTCAAGATGACCAAATGAAAATACCCTTTGGAATATGTCCGGTCTGGATGCCTTTCGCGATTAGCAAGATTTCCCCCTTGTGTTGGGGTGTGAGATTCCCTAAAATTGCATTCGCGCCAGGTGTCGCTCCTCCTCCGTTGCCAATTGGCGTACTGAAATATGAAAGAATAGATGAGTATTATGCCGAGATGAAATTATGATTGATAGTTCTTGAGGAGTAGCGACCGCTGTGGTAAAGCCATCGCTGCCTGCTAGGGGGAGACAAAACAGGGAGGAGACAAAACAAGCGACGACAAAGAGAACGGAGACAAGACGAAAGCACAAAGCACAAAGAACGACGAAGCACGCAAGTACGAACGCAAAGCGGACCTAGCCACACCGAACACCTCAGGCCGAAAGAAAGTAAAGCAATTCCGTACGAGCCCGCCGGGGCTGAAACCTAGTAGAGGGGATCTGCTGCCGTCTGCCCACTGCCCTCGACCGAGAAAGTAACGGCCAGCAGGCAGCCCGACCGCGCTACGCCGCTACCCACAAACGCCGCCACCTGCATAGCCCGGCACGCCCTAGCTGGCGGCGACGAAAAGGCAATGCGCGACCAGCGAGGCTAGACGCATCATAGTCGCAACGGCGCCCATAGCACAAAACACACGAAGCAGAAGCACAAAGAAATCTGGCGAGATCGTACGCGTTGCCCGGAGCGCATCAATACAAACAAACAAACAAACAAACAAATGCTTGAAGATTGATTCTTTCATCAATTTCATGTTCAACTTCTGGATTTTGATAACAATATTTGCTGAACCCAGCTGCTTTCCCCAGCTACAGACACTAAATTTCAACTTCAAGCACCGATCAATACCTGCCTCCCGGTGGCAGCACACCACCGTTATGGCTAGCAGCTGCAGGAGTCATGCCGCCAGCGGCAGCAGCTGCTTGGCTGTCCGGGTCTAAAAATTCACTGAATTGCTGCATTATCCCGGAGGTTTCGCCCAGGTGTTCGAATTCGCCGTGCTCGTAAGCCCTGTTCTCATTATGGGGATCCTGTACCAGGAAGTGGGGAAGCTGAACGTGCACGTTCCAGTGATCGCAGTCCGGCTTTGAGCAGTGACCATCCTGCATGAGACATATCTTCGCGTCTTTCATCTCAACTTTCACTATGTGGGCTGGATTTTCGATCGCATTGCTCTCCAACCGCAGCCACAGTGGAAAAAGCTGGTTCTCACCGGCCATGCGGGGGTAACTGTGGAGAAAACATGATAGAGGACAATTGGATCCCTAGAAACGCACCAGCGTGGTCAAAGAGGACAAATGTTGATCGAAAGAGTATCAGTATCGAACAACTAGTACAAGGCATATTTAAATTTCTTACCTTAAAATGGTGGCATAAAGAAGAATACTGTGTGCATTTCGCAGCTGCTGTGAGTAGTCGCTTGCAGCCATTCGCAGTGATTCGGTTGTGACTCATGTGAATAGCTTGAATTGCATTCCCCTGCGGTTGTGTATAGAAGTACTCGACTAGGGTATCCACAATAGTGTCGTCTAGGCAGTTTCGGTAGACCTGGTCAACGAGTAAATTTTCTCAATAGAGTACTTAGATATTAGAGGAGAAACAATTACTAAGATAGATTCTTTTAAGAAAACTAAAGCAAAATGAGAAAGACAAAAAAGAATTCATCGAGGGAGGTAGTACCTTCAATGTGTTACACGGCACCTTGTGATCCCTGAGAACAGTGAGTAGTTTGTCCAGACCTTGAGGGCCGATAATGTTTTCTGATAGGTCCACCATACAGCCACTTTTTCGAACGTAAGGAAAAGCCTGCAGGATCGGCGGAAGTTGCCTGGTCGTGTGAGTGGTGACAGTGGGTGGTTTGATGAAGATACGCAGAAGACACACGATTTCAAAACTGGTTTTATGCCTCCGCAAATTCGTCTTCGTGTGTTTCAACATTTTCATTTCTGCTCAAGAAATGAATTCAAAAACATTTTTCAACCACTACCTCATCAAGATCTTCACCTGCATTAGATGAAGAAGAAACTAGTTTGAGTTCTACTTGCACTACTAGTTATATTTATAATACATTATAAATACAGGCCCAGAAAGCGGGCCCATCAAGGGCCCGCTGTGCTGGGCATAGGTTCGCAACTAGACAGATAACTCTACGAAACAAGCTGGCTACGGGTAAGCTAGGGAGCTGGCTATAGCTAAGCAGCTGCCGAGCTAGGTCTCCTGAAGCAGCTATCAAGCTAGCTATGGCGAAGCAGCTAATAGCAGGCTAGCTATGGCCAAGCAGGTAGCAAGCTACCTAGCTATGGTCAAGCAAGGAAGTAGCTAGCTGGCTACGCAGACCTGGGCAGCTACCTAATAAGCCCGCTAGCTATGGCGCAGCAGCTAGCAAGCTATGTGCGGCTAACCTAGGGAGCTAGCAAGCAAGCTAGCTATGGCTATGCAGCTAGCAAGCTAGCTATGGCTAAGCAGCTAGCAGGCTAGCTATGGCTAATCAGCTAGCAGCCTAGCTATGGCCAAACAGCTAGCAGCCTAGCTATGGCCAAACAGCTAGCTGGCTAGCTCGCCATGGCTAAGCAGCTAGCAGGCTAGCTATGGCTAAGCACCTAGCAGGCTATCTACGGCTCACCTAGCAAGCAAGCTTCGGGCAAGGGGCAAGCCAGCAAGCTCGCTAGCTAGGAGCAAGCAGCTAGCTTGCTGGCCATGGCTCTTAAGGGAGCTCCTTAACGGAGGGCCTATCATTAGCCCAATTCTATAACAGCTAGGCCTTAAGGGAGCTCCTTGTCCTTAAGGAGCATTTTTGTCCCTTAAGGAAAAGCTATAGTAACTTTTTATAGTAGAAATTCCTTAAGAGTTTCCATTTCGTTAAGGAAGGCCTCTCAGGGAAGGCTCTTAAGGAAATGCGATCGTGGTCGATTGCTAATACTAATATCATGATACTGTGTGAGCCAGTCAGAGAATCTGATGAGATCGTCATTTTTCAATGGCGGGTTTCTTCGTTGAAGTTCGAGTTGCAACTGGCCCTGGCGCACCACGACGCACTTAGCATCCCAGTTCCCGCTTTGAGGTGCTTGTTGAACATGTTGCGTTACCTCTATTGCCTCGTCACTTGCGCCGCCGGGCGTCCTGTAGTTTTATTCGGTAAAAGATTTATCACCGCTAGTCAACTTTTGGAGTGAGTCACTTTCAAAAATTCATGTTGCAACAGATGGCGCAACAGTTCTTGTTTGAAATTAAAGGAAACATGTTCTTCATCCAACAAGTGAAATGTACTGAGCCGCGCCCGCTTGCGTCGGAAAGCTGAAGAAAGATGCAGCTGTCGCTGGAGTTGTTGGTAGCTGGGCACCAGGATTCGCCGGCTGCGCTGGTGGTGAGGCCGCAGCTGCTGGGGCCGCAGGATCTCCCGCCAGCGCCGTTGCGCTAGCATTCTCGCCTGCTGGCACAGATGTGGCCTGATCTTCCGTTTTCTGCTTTTTGGCACTAGGAGATGCTGGCGCATCCTCTTCTTCATCCTCGTCGTCATCATTCGCGTACCAAGCATCCTCATCCACTGCAGCTGCAGCTGCTGCTGGTGCCGTTGCGTCTGTCATCTTGCCGTCTCAAATGTCGAAATGATGCGATGGAGCCTCCGCTCTTTATAATTGTTCGTTTCCTCGTCCTCGTCCAACTCTCCACACCGATAATACGCTAAAATCTAATTCTTGCCTTTGCCTCCACGATAGAAGAGGATGTGCTACTCACAAGCGGTGTCGTGTTGTTGGAGTTCGCTGTTATCGCCCAGTCTTCCCCAGCAAAAACGAAAAAGAGAATTCTCGTTGTTCTAGTTCTTGCGCTTGTCCTTTAAAACTTGGTTTTTTTTGTGCCGCATGGAGACTGAGGATCAACGGGAGCAACCTTACCACGAGGACAGATAATTTTTAGACCCCCTCCCCTATAATCTACGATCTTCCTTTCTTGCTGGGGTGAAGAAGGAAATCGTCTGATAGATAATGTGTTCGTGAGTGACTTGTTTCGAGCTGAAGTTCGTAGCTAGACGAGTGTGCGCCTCTCTTACTTGGATAATGGCGACCCAGAACAAAAAAGGACTCAGGATCTTAACACCCACAGTCAAGAGCCCCGTCCTCCTTGTTGGCAACAGCAACACAAAAGAGGAAAATACAAGGGTAGTGAGTCTCGTTACGAACAAAAGCAGACGGGACAAAGGGTTTTTATTACCAAATACGAATACGTCGACCAATCACTTGGGAAATAAAGGGAGGGGATTTCATTCCAGCGTGCCCTGAGCTGCTCCTTGGAGAGGTCTTGACTTCAACGGTGTTTCCTAGTTACAACCGGGTCCTGAGCTAACTTGACACATCCGCGTGTGTACACACACGAAATAGACCTGCGCAAGAGTAAAAGTGTAGCAGATTGGCATATCTACCAGCCTTCTAGATAAAGCCCGGCACCAGCAGCTGGTGCCAATAAAAAAAATTATTTCCTGGTAACAGCAAAAAAGGAAAAAATTTCATTCAATACGACCGACAACGATTACACCTTTTCAGCAGGAACGGATTTGTTACGGCAGGGAAAAAATGTTGTTCGTGCGACTACCTTGTCAGCAGTAAAATATAATTTCATTCAACGTGATCGATCACCTTTACAACTTTTAGCCCTTGTCGGCATAAACTAGTAGGTACCATCCTCATCGAAAAAAATTGATTGATGTTCTCACGAAAAAATTACAATTCTTGTGGTTGTGACTCCAAATGCAGAATAATTTATCTTCAGTCATCGTCCACGATAACCAAGGAATCCCTCTCTCATTTTGCGCTTCTTATTGCGGATCATCAGCACGAGGAGCCAGACCATGATACAGATGAACATCTATCTCGACGAACGAGAGAAAAACGGCTAGCCTGCAAGTCAGCCATGCTTTTCTTGTAGTTGCTCATTTCATTTCGTATCGATAATGTCAAGTCATCATCTGAGACGGAAAGCCTTTTTTATGCATTGCTTTGAAAATTGTTCGAAACATGTGCGTAATATTTTCTTCGCGTTTTCTCAGCATGATGATCGACGTGAATCTTTCAGATTCAGTATTTTTGTTCGCGTTCCTCTTCCTCTTCAAATCTTTTTATTCCTGATGGATCACTGTTGAACTTGTTTTGTCATCAATACTTCAGTCGGGGATGTGCACTGCAACCGCTTTTTCAATAATTAGAATTACATCATGCGTGGTCGCATTTTCAGGATCATCAATTTCACTAACATGATTAGGTAAAAACTGCGTCCGCGGCCTCTACGACCACTTCCTCCCGTGTAAATTTTCGAGACAAAACCCCGCAATCTTTATGTGCCGAAAACGTTTTTGCTCATCTAGTAGTACAGCCCCACATAGTTCTAGTACAATCCTCGAGACAAACCTATTCTTATTGCCCGCCTGAGACTGAGACAGACTACGACTTCTTATAATGTATCTCCATGACGATGAAGTTGAAGATGCGCCTTGAAAAACTTACCTACATTCATCCGCGGTTTAGAGCACAGCCCACCAGTCTATCCTTTCAGCGACGACCACACGAAATCAGCATCGTCATCATCATCATCATCATCATCATCGATGCGTCGCAAGTGCTTGCCCTTGATCAGAAGCAAGACGAAACGATTTCTGTGAGGACGATCAGAATCAGTAGGCTTTGTTTGACATTATGAACAACAATTGTTCATTCAATGAGGACCGACCGAGCTACACAAGTAGTAAAAATTATGTGTTTCTTCAACTTCATCGTCCCTTCCGAAGACCTACTCCTTTTTTACCAACTGAGTTGTAGACCATCAAGATCAACCTTGTTCAAGAACATCACCGGCGCCGCTCCTGTGCAGTACAAAGAATCATCCTTCAACTTCTACTTCATGAATTATCGTAAAAACTGTTCACGACCACACATGTGCAAGTGCAGCAAAGAAATAGAAACTAGAGCGAAAAATGGTACCCAAAACATTAAGAACCTGAACAGAGTTTTCAGACTTCTCTTCGTACTTCAACTAAACCACCTGTCGCACTTCGCAGCAAGAGAGGCCTGATCTGAAAATATTGACTTACCATGGTAAAACTGTAAATACATCGAAACGAACCAGCAAACGTGTAGGAAAATACTTCCTACTGCCTGATCTTCTTGCATTGCGAGCCTTTGCCTTTTATGGCTCCCGCGCTGCTACAGGTGCAGTGTATAATCAAATATATACTTATAATTGATACTACTTCGTTGTAATTTTTTCTTTTCTCCTCGTCGCCACAATCTCGACCTTGACCTTAGAAGAAATCATTGGTTCCGACGGACTTCTACTTGACAATATTAAGGGGAAGATACAAAAGAACTTCTTCACTAGCAGACTCTATCATTTTGACACTGCCAGTCAAGATGCTTTGATTGTGATACTTCTAGCTTTACTTTTTGCGTGCGAGAGATGACACTGGTGTAAATTTGCCTCAGCCATCAGTTAACATTGACTCGTTTTGGTCTTTCCTTTTGTGATCGAAGAAAAGACGTGTAAGCGGTAAACCAAAATCTTGTAGTACAACTAATATCACGTCAGGATGCTAAGTGGTTTTTCTTTTTCCTGTACTATTTCGACTTTTCCTTTTTAATTTCAACGTCATGCACGACCACCACCAGCACCACCGACGCCAACAACATTCAGCCTGACCTACAATGAATTACTCCCACCTGTAGTACTAATGTTAGCAAACAACGCATCTAGTACTTTGTAATTTCTTAGTTGAGCTCGCCGACCCTCATCAAAGTTTAATAGTTATTCCCGAGGACGCCTTAAGAGATACAGCTATTTTGTTCATCAGAGAACCCAATTCATCGTCTTCATCCAACCTATTTTCATCACTTGCGATAGTGAGTCGAAGTCTCGCTAGGTCGCGTCGCGAAGGAGCCAGAGCCACTATATCTCGCATTAGGCGAGCCACATCGCCTGTGCCGATATTTCGGTTTCCGGACAGGTCGATTGATACTGCTTCTTGCGCCACAGCAAAAAGATCACACATGCTAAGAAAATCACGAAGCACAACCGCAATCGGGTGCCGCACGTCATTATCCTGGAAGGAAAGCGTCAACTGTGTCCGCGTGGGAGTACGACGAACTAATAGTCTACGTGACGTTGACCCTCCTCCCAGCGACTCTCCTCCTCGTCGTGAAGGCGACACTGAAGATCTACTACGACTTGCTCTTCCTCGTCCTCCTTCTGGCACGCTTGCATCTCTAGTACACCTCGTTCTATTTTTCTTCGTCACGGGAACTCGAAAGAATTCATCTTCGGCTGCGTTCCTCAATGTCTCCTGCCAAGAAGGTTTTGCAACAGGTGCAGCATAGGATCTGCCCTTACCCCTGTTACTCCGCTCAAAAGCTGAAAATACCAGCAGCGGTTCTTCGGGTTCTCGTTGCAAAAAATGAAAGAGCCGGATGCTGTTGATCATTCACAATCAGATGATCGGGACGAGATGAAACTATATCAGCTACTTGAAGAATAGGCTGTAGCTACAAGAAGTGTTGAATGTGAATCCACCATGCTCAGGCTCAAGCTCAACATGGTTCCAGTAGATCTACTCTAACTAGTACGGATGCGATGCTAGTTGTAAAAGATATTTCTATTTCTGCATGAAAATTTTGTTTTCATATTGTCCACTCATAAACCCCTGGTGTCGTGAACTCTTCCTTTTTACCAGGAAAACCTTCGTTTTCGGAATTGCCGTTTTCACCTGCAATACCGTGCTGGGTGCCCCCTCCGTCAACGTAAGGAAAAGCGGTTGCGAATCTTTGCAGCACGGCGCGCACGCCCTCGCAGCCGATACGATTAGAGTCTAGCAGGACGCGCTGGAGCAAGGCAGGGGAGATGCCCTGCATCAGCAGTTGCGCCCCACGCGGCCCGAGTCGATTGTTTCGCAGGTCAATGTCCACGAGAAAGCGAGCCCGCGGGTTAACCACACGTGATATGTGTGCATCTAACAAGCTTGCATCCGCAGCATGTAAACATATGTTCTGATTCTGTTGTTGCAAATTTTGCTGTGTAGATTTTTTGCTGCTCTTTATCATGGTCCCCCCAACTTGGAATATTTGTAGTCCACTTCCAGAGTCTCCATCTGCTGAAAATGCCGGTGTAAACGAAATGCTTCCTGCTGGACGCTTTTCCTGCTCTCTTCTAGACAAAGCTCCTGGAGGCCGCGTTGCGAAGTACAGCCCCGTGCTATCTTTATCATCGCAATTTGTTGACGCATCGTGGTAATTTGCCACATGCAACTGCTCAATGCCAGAGTTGTCAAGATCATGGGGCGTCGGAGCTGTAAGATCTACTGCACACACTGTAGCACGTGCTCCTGGACCTGCTGAGCCCGAGTTCAGACTCCTGTTCGAAAAACGTGCAACGTCGGCAGTTGTCGTCCTGGTCGGTGCTAATCCTCTACTTGGTGCAGATGCGAACAAAGGCACTCTAGCACCAGGAAGATTCTTCTGGATCGAACTTCGACCACCAGAACTAAAAGATGCACGCAGAGACTGCCGCAAGGTTCTCGTCGTGTCCGCTGAATATACACCTGGCAACGCGCTCAGTTCTTGCGCGATCTGATCACACAAGGGAACCCGTGACAATTGATTCCGCCGCAACGAAATGCGAAGACAAGAGATGTCTGGATTTGTCCACTGATAGGCAGCGCGACTCAGCTCTCGCGCGAAAGCATGGTAGCCAATGCACAACATGCATCCGGTGAAGTCTAACGAGTCGAAGTGTTGCAGCGCTACGAATGCCTTCACTTCTGGTGCTTGTCCCGTCACCTCAAAATGACTTTCCACGTCAAGCTGCTTCAAAAGACCATAGTTTTTTTGAAACGGTGCTGGTTTTCCTCCTTCTTTTATTGCATGATCTGGCGGATCCAGAATCTTTGTCACCCGATCCGAGTCTGCTTCCCCTTCATCTTCCAGAGAGAGCGTAAGTTGACCACGATCCTGCACGACCGTCTGCCATTGGTTCTGTTCTACTTGTAGCGCAGTTCTGTTGTCACGATCACGGAAATCAAACTCATCCATTGCTACTCGCGCCTCTGGAGAATCTTCGTCAAAAGAAGCCTCTGCTACACGACAACTGCCCTCGCCCACTCTCCTGGGAGAGGACTCCTGCAGCTCACGATGTTCCCGGACAAAGCGAGGCGACTGGGGTCGCGCAGATGGAAACTGATGCTCGGCTTCCACATCACTAGTCTTCCGAGGACTCGTGCTTCTTTTGATGAAACTGTTGCTATTTTTGGAGCTTGCAACTGGCCCGATAGTTGATTTTTTACACCTACCTTGTTGCGGTGGCGAAGACATGTCCCTCAATGCGCTGTCCTCGTTATGCTCATGATTGTTTTCTTGAGCTTCGCTTGGAGCTGCGTTGGTGTAGCTTCTCCTGTTTGTTGCATTACTCCTTTGATCTCGAACAAGAACGCAATTTGCAGCAAGGTAAGCCGAGTGTGTTTGGTCGTAATCAAGTAGCGCCTGATACACACGAATGGCACGCTCGTCGACCAAGAAAAACGAAGATTCCTGCCGCTGACTATCCTGCTGTCTGAGACCGCTCGTCGCCTCTACTCCTGTAGCAGATCCAAGCAAGTAGCCGCGTTTGTCAGCGTCTAGTGGCCCTAGATTCCGTGGCAAATAACCTCCCATGCTCAGCGCAGCTGCAACGTGATCTCTGATCAAAAGACTCGACAAGACGTGCGTTTCCAGTTGTTCCAGATCTTCCCCGCTGAGAAGTGCCAGTGCGGTTTTCGAATGACGACCTGCAACTCTAGTTGAACAATATCTCGGAGATTGAGAGCCGGATGACCGCGGCGAGTAAGAAGTGGACTTGCGACGACGCTGAACGTGCTCCATCCTAGTCCCGGTACGCCACCATTCCTCAAAAAACGTGGGAAAGCTTGCCCCAGAGTGACTTCGACTAAGAAATGACCTCGGAGACCCGCCACCTCCGCCCGAAGACGCTGGTCGAGAAAGTTGCGGTGAGTCGATGTTGTCATCTTCACTTGCTCTTAATGATATTTTATTCTTGAAAAAAGCACTGCCAGAAGCACCGGGATCAGCAGTCAATCTGCTGAGACGAAGTTGCTTCAGCAAATAATGAGGACGATGCAACTGAAGTTCTGTTACAAGGTGCCTTCGCTCCTCTTCTTGCAACTTAATATTGAATGTAGAGCGCGAATCGTTTTTCGGCGTACTATCCCAGTCGCGCGAGCGCGGTTGCTTTGTCGAGGGCCGTGAGTTTCGCATAGGTGATGGGCTAGAAGGACTCAGATGGCCTACTCTTGCAGTTGCATCTTCATCTTGGTATATTGAGCTGTACTTCGATTTCCTTTTCTGTGCTTGTTCACGACTGGCACAGCTGTCCAGGGTGATACAGCCTGAAGGCAGAAAACTGGGCACCGCAATGAGCGAACGCGGCAGCAACCACTCGCTTACCATTTTCTGCAACGGTATTGTGGACAAACAGTCCCCTAGTTTCAAGCGTTCCCAGCCCTCCTCTAGATTAACAAGAATATTATCGGTGAATGTTAGCGCCGCAGCTACAGGGTCATCGTCTTGGGTGGACTTGCGGCAAGTCGTTCTTCTCTTCTTTAGATGCGCGATCGAATTCGAAGTTGGCCGACCAAAATACTTCACTCCACGTGCTGGCACAGGTCTAGTGCTTCTCCTTGTGGAAGGAAGCCGAGTGACCAAGCCGCCGAAGCCGTCTTCTGCGTCATCGACCTCCTCTCCCAGCCCATTAGTTCTCCTAATCGAAGGAGAGCTCACAGTCGGTCGCGTCGCAACCTCAGTGTCGAACTTCCCCAAAGAGTGGAAACGCCGATCGTCCCTAACTCGCTGAGCATGCGGAATAACGAAGCGTCCGCTATTCTCCGCGACGTCTAGTACACCGCATTCCGAAATGCGTCCAGCGTGCCACAGATCTAAAAACGCGTCCGGTGTCAAGCCGCAGCGCCTTACATGCAAATCAAACTTTTTGTTCGCAGTGCTGCCATTGGTGCTGCACAGGTCAGTAGTTCGAAGCCATCTTGCCAATTTATCTGCCCCCGCACCTCTTAGCCGCGGATTCTGTGAAAGATCCAGCCTGCATAATGTTGTCGAAAACGCCAACTTGCTGCTTTTGCTAGTGCCCAACACGTCCTTCTTTGCGTTAAGAAATCCCCGTATGTGATCGCCAAAAGCATCGTCCTCTACCTCTGCCAGAAGGTGCCCGTCCAGGTCAATAATGCCATTGGAGCAGGGCCGCCTCAGTGACGTTAGTAGTGCATCCAGGCCAACGCCGGCGGATGTGATGCCGTTTTCACGTAGTTCTAGGTCTTCCAGATTCCCGAAGAGGAACAGCACATCCGCTAGTGCTTTTACACCAACATCGTGTAGGGACACTGAATTGAAGTGCAGCTTCTTGAGCCCACTTCCAGCAAGACTAGATGGCATTGGCACACCCAGGCGGGACGCCTTTGCCGCAGCTCGTGCTGCGTTTGTCCCGAGGACATCTCGCAAAAACTCAGTCTCAAAAATAGCGTCGTTCTGTTTCGCCCCGCCCCAAGAGAAGCCAGCGCGGCACCTCTGCAGCAACTTTGCTGGTGTCGCACCGCGGTCAAACGCAATGCCGTCTAGTTTCAGAACGTCAAACTCGCAAACGGAAAGGTAATGCAGCAAGGTCCGTGGCACGCAAAGTCTCGGGGTCGCTGTGCTTGTGGTCCTTTTCATCTTGCTATAGCGTTCCTGCACCTGAGCCTTGGAGGAAAAGGATGTCGCTCCACCCCTGGCAGTACTACTTACTGCACCACCACGCTGTTCGCGTACGAAGGGGACACCGTCCTCAGAGATGCGCGTTCGTCCTGTGTTTCGAAGTCCGGCGTTGCTAGGAGGAAGCTCGACTACCGGATGCATCGAGCTTTTCGAGCTTGCTGCGCTTCTCGTGGGTGGGAAAAAAACTCCGCGAGGGTTGACTGACTCCCTCAATCCTGAAGACTGGTCTATGGACGGATCTGCCGACAGCCGACGCAGGAGCGTCGCTCGCGTGTGCTCTTGAAAATTAAACAACGGTCCGTCGCTGGCGAAGTCTCGATCGGAGGAACGTATTTTTCCACGGGACAGATTCAAACTCAGGAGCGGTCGTCTTATTCTCGTCCCATTAGAAGTATTTGCTGCATCCACATCATTTTTGTCTAACAGTGTGGTCTCTGCAAGTCTAATACCACGGTTGCAGTTGCTACTACTTGACCTGACCTGCTCCACAAATATTTCTTCATTTTGCTGCCGAAGGTACAGCTGATACAAGGTTTGGCCAAAGAAGGCGTCCGCATCAGAATCAAAGGCTTGCTCTTCTAGTGCTAGTTCTGTGAGACCGGCCGACACGGAGAGTAGCTCACAAAACGCTTCGAGTGCACTGCGCGACAGGTTGTTTCGACTCAAATCCCATTTTTCTACCGAAAGTCGTTGCGAATTCAGTAACTCGTGCGCTCGACGCTCCAACTTCTGCCTCGGCGATAAGCTTCGTCTTCCAGCACTAGCTCTTGAACTCCACACCCTTGATGATTTCGATCCTGCTCTCCCGGAAGCAGAAATCGAGGAACTTCTCAAGGCTGTTGGTACACTTCCCTGCCTCACACCGGAAAAGCGGTTGCCCTTTGCCTGTTCCAGAACAGTCCTCGTCGCGGTCTCTGCGAAACCTTCGAGGTGAAGGGCACAGTGTACAAGGCGCAAATCCACGAGCTGAGAATAACTGGTTGGTTTTCGCTCGCCTCGTGTCGCGTTGACTGCCACAGCCCTGCCCAGAACGGACGCGACGCTACTGTCGGCAAGACAGCGGTTGTAGCTCAGGTCCAGACATTGCAACGAGCATTCAGGTGCACGTAACACCCGCTCGCAAAGCGTCGCGATGCCAGAGGCGAAGAAGTTACAACCCGCTAGATTCAGCCGGCGAAGACGAAATACAGTAGGGCTGCTGGTAAGACTTAGAGCGGCGTCGCTACCGCGTATCTCAGAGTTTCCACTCAAATCGAGTCGCACAAGGTTGGGAAGTGCGTCTAGAACGAACCTGATGAATTTTTGATGACAAGCAATGTGTGTCGATGATCTTCTTCAGGCTCAATCTACTTAGGTTCAACATCAAAAAGATGAAACTGTGTTAAACAGTGTACCCTGGTGCAGATGCGTCCAGTTCGTTGCTGGCGAGATTCACAGCCTGGATATGACCCAGTGGTAAGTCCTTTAGGACGGACGCAAGTAGAGGAACGGTGAGCCCATTCTCTGACAGATCGAGGTCTAAGACGAGAGGCTTCGCATGCTCGAAAGCGTGCGTTGGCGGCGCACGCAAAGACGGAAAAGTCTGTTTCTCTGAGAAAAGAGAGGCTCCTTGAGGCAGCTGCATGTTGTTGTTCGCGTCGTCGCTGTAGTCAGTGGCATGGAAGCAACTGCGCACCACTTCTTTTTAAAGTATTTTGATAATTAGTAGGCTCACAATCACAGCAAGCTGGTGCAGTGGTCACGATGACGAGCACATCGGCCAACGGGCGACTTGGTTCTTGGTTGTCAGCAAGGATGTTATGGAATGGAACGAGATGAACTTCCTCAGACGCAAACGGATTGACCTCTTGCTTGATGTAACTACTCGAATCAAAATGGAAAAGTCAATCGAAAAAGAAAAACTGCAGGTGGAATACGTGACCAACTAAATTATGGGCGAATCCGACAATTCTATTTACGTCAGCGAAAAAAAAAAATTACTTAGCTGAAAATCGCATTCCCAGAGAAGGGAAAAGCACAAGTCAGAACACTATGGATTTTTCATGAAGCCATCAACCCCATCAGCATCAGCAAGGGCGCATCCCCATGTACTGCCGTGGTTGGTTCTTGGTCTCTATATAACAAGTCGACGTTGTTTGCAATTGCATTAGCAGGCTCGAATTCTACAGGATCTACTTCTAGATCCGGATTGTCCTGCTTGTCCGAGTGATCTTGTTGGAGTTGGAGGTACTAAAAAAGACAATCTCAAAATACATCATCAAGACTTGAACTTGCTAATGCTTTTCCTCGCGTCAGTATTGCACTGCCACTGCACTACTTGTTGTTAGCATGTCTGTGTTGTCGACAGGTGGAATCGGTAAACTCTTGAAACATTTCAACTGGAAGTAGTCGCCGCATTGGATGTACGAGCCGCTGCGTGCTGCTGTAGCTGCAGTTGCTCCTCTCGTTCCTTTCTCTCAAGCTCGAATATCATCGTCAGGAACTCTGGGAAAGAAATGAGATCATCAACAACAGGATCGTCCTGTGATTCTTGTGCTAGACTCGTCGCGATCCCATCTCGTTCCTTGAGTTTGGTACTCGCACTAGGTCCTACGGGAGTAGGGGTGCCTGATATCAAAACCGCACTTTCACTATTCCTGTTACTTTCGGTCGCTACAGGAACTTCCACCTGCTTTTCCGTCTCTTCAGTCTCCTTCGGGGGTGCTCGACCGGAGACCCGATAAAAAGCCAAGCGCAGCGCCCGCCGACTAGCTAGACCGTCTTCGTTGGCTAGGCCGTCAAAGACATTAATAAACCAAGCATCCGCTTCCTCGGCAGACATTTCAATTTGTTCGCGTACCCGCTCGCCTTCATCGAACACGTTCAGTCCTCGCGCGGCGCGATTCACCATCGAAGGATCGAAACAAGCTGAAAGTAATGACATACACACGATCAAGAACAAGGAGACCGTTACAAATATTACGCGGACAACGAACTAATGACTGCAACGACAGAAAAGCTAAAATTGTTCATGTATGGTTCTGGTATTTGGTAACCTGAATTTGATCCTAAGGGTTCTCTTCTTGTTTTCCCTTAGGATCAAACTCAGGTTACCAAATACCGGAACCATTCAGTTCATCATCAGACCACAGGAGATCATTGTGATTACAAATCAATGAAATTCCATTCATCATGGCCAGCTATACCATGTCTCACATTCGTGTCTTTATCGATGTTCACTGGCGCAAACGTAACGCCCATGGCCTCAAGCTCTGCTTTCGATTGTCTGCGCGCCAGAAATTTCATCAAGTGCACGCGAAGTTCCGTCTCATTCCGTGGTGGCCCATTTCCGACACCTTGCCCATGTCCGTCTTCTAGGTAGCTACCACGAGCAGCTTCAGTTCTCCCAGCACTGTGACCAGAGAACGTGGAAGTGCTGTCAATCAACTCGCGGAAGAGAGCCTGTAGCTTACGCTTCGCGATGTAATCTCGGCTTTCCGGACTCAAAACGTCACCACCTCCGGATGAAATCGATGAGGAATGTGAACTCGGAGCCGCGACGCCTGCATGTTGGGGTGGCACCAGCAATTTCCCTCCAGCCTTGGAGGGTGGTTGCAATGGGCGCGACGATTCTTAGAGCTAAAGTCGGAACTGAAGACTCCTCCGTGTCCGAAGTAAGTAGACACAGGGAAATACCCATCAGCATCAACAAACTGATCTTAGGTTCTGCTTGTGATCTAAGAATGTCGAAGTAATGAATGTAGGTAAGCAGGAGGGCGGAGATTCATGCTGCACCAGCCTTAAGACTGCGTACCCACTTCACCCGCAAACGTTCGAAGGTCAAGCATGTTCTCAAACATAAATTCCACGCCGAACACAAAGTCGCTCAAAAGGCGCTTCTCGAGTGTTCTGCTACGTTTTTAGCCAAGTACTCAAAACAGACCGTCAAGGCACGTGGAACGCTAGGCGATAGTAGGCAATGTTGCATAGATATTGCTTTTAAATATTTCTTGGTAATCCAGTTGAATTTCGAGTCTTTACGCCTGAATAATGCACAGCCAAGAACAGCAGCTACACTCGCAATAGCGGAAACAGAAGAACATTGCGCGCTGCTTACATAATAACGAACGAGTCTGATGAAGATAGTCCATGAGGTTGCGACTTTGGCTTTCACGCCAAAATCATGAGAGCGACATCGGCCGAGAGTCGGAAAAGAAGAACTGGTAGATCATGATGAAGAAATGTTGCTAAGATAGATTCACTGTGTTTTGGATTCAGTGACGGCAACAGCGCCTCTGCAACTGCAGATGAAGCCTGAAACATGCATATCATCCTTCCCGAAACAACAAGAAAAGTGAGCGTGAGATGAGTGTGTGTGTGAGAAGTCGTAAAATAGCAGTCCAACGAGATTAGAAGTAGGTATTAGCTTATCAACAGTGAGATCAATAATAAAAGTACTGGACCGACAATCTTCTTCATCAAGATGAAACTGAAAGCTGAAACTGCACTTCTACAGTAGTTGTTCGCTGTGGTTTCCGTGTCTCCCAACTGAGGGTGTCGCGACAGCGGGATATCTCGGGTAAATAATCACGAGCACGTGTTCAATCATCTTTTTCAGTTTTTGCGATAGCGTGGTTATTCTTATTATGAAGATTGGATAGTGTTGTATTAATACATGGTTCTAGTAGTACTAGAAAAGAGAACTAACAACTAAAGATGGACGAGGAAGAGTCGTGCAGCCATGTTAGCGCAAGGCTTCTCGATGAAAAGATAGACGAAAATATTTACCACCGCACTACAACCAACGACAAATCCGTAAATAGACGGAAAGAGGATGTAGTTAATTCGTAACGGAAATTGGAGTCCGTAACTAACTAGGTAATGTAGAACGAAAATATTGGAAAGGTTCATCCCGAAGCACAGTTGCGCAACTAAATGCGTGGCCTGCCGGAAAACAATATTACTTGCTGAAGATGAAATTGCACGTCTTGTGTCCTCTTCTAATCGTGGCCCGGAAGATCCAAGAAGCTGCTCCTGTTCTCCTGGGGGGTTGGTTCTTCTAGAAGCTGTAGTACCTCTGTCGTGATTATCCGCCTCAAGGATTAGCTTCAACAGGTGATAAAAGGCGAAGGTCGTCGGGAAATCGAGCAGGTAGTCCATCAGCATTGGCTCTGACTGCAGATATTCAGATGTCCATTTGAGCATAATGTCAGCGTGGCCCCACAGGAAGTGAAAAACCGGAACGCCAAACATGCGCTCGACCACACTGGGCTCGTTTGCAATGATGAAATACCGTCCTCGCAGCACTACCATCGCATCTAGAAAAAGGACTACCAAAAGAGGCAACACGACGAAAAAGGTCAATCGGAACCAAGCCGGGATCAAAAGCTTTAGAAAAGACGTGGGCTTCGCACGTCTAGAAATCGTACATGTTGAGTGAGCTGGTGACACAGGTGCTGGTTGTTGTGGAACAGTTTTGCTCTTCTCATCTTTGATGCTCATGTTGATGTCCTTGTCCTTTGCTACAGCTACGGAAGCTTCTAAAATATATTTCCTTCTTCTGCACCTCTGCCAGCATCTTGCGCCTGCCATCAGTGGTGAGTGCGCAAGCAGATCAGGAAGCGCTTCCTCGAAAATGTAGACTCCTATGGCAACAGAAAGAAGATACAGCAGTGTGCGTGGAGACCGCTCGAGCAACTGATTCTCGGCCCATCGCCGGGTGTCATCGCGAGACGTCGCATGCTCCCACGCGTGGTGAATAATGTACTTTTGGATATGGACTAATATAGAAAGCTCTGCGAAACGCAGGCCGGTCACTAAAACAGACCGTGCAAAATTGCACGAAGATTTGAATTGAAGGTCTGTCTCTGGTTCTTCGTCAGAAGTCGTTGTTTCGGACGGCGAAGAAAGAAAGCGTCGACGGATATAGTGGGAGGCGCAGACGAAAAGAACGAACAAGATAACAACTTGGAACTCTGCCTCAAATATTGCGGTATTGTGACAGACAGACTCGTCGTGGATGTTCTCGGTGAGCCAGGCGTGGAGATAGAAGCTCGAGTAAAGCCACCGCAGGGACATGTTGCACACTTTCACACGGTAATCGTACCACACATTCATCGTTTCGCTGGGTCGCCATGGAACATCTTTGTTCATTACTTGCATGACTACCCAGCTCCAAAACAGCATGACAGGGCTCTGCCTCGCTATTCTCTGCAACGCCTGACGGATGAGCATGCGTACGCACAAACTGAAGTCCCGCAGAAAAAAAGGGAGGCGGTCACTAAACTTCGTGCACAAACTGGTATTTTGGGTTCTAGGACTTTGTGAAGATGAGGCTACCGCGGAGCAACCTTCATCTCCGCCGGCAGACGCTACCTCCTTCGAAGATGTTCTCGTATCAGGCTCGTTCCCTGCAAAATATTCGGACCGAGTAGCTGCATTTCCATTTTTTATTTCCTTCAGTGACGAGACATGCCCATTTGTTCTATTCCCTGACATTGTATCGACGTCTTCGCCTGGCGCTGGGAGTCGAATCTCTTCACCATTACCCGTCTGAGCTGCAGCATCGGCAAACTTTTTCTCTGTGTCGCGACCTTTTGGAGATTTCCCTCCATCTACAGGATCATCCGCAAAAAGTGCAGCTAACCCATCTTGCTTGCTTTTTGCTTCTAGGGAAGCATTTTTTACTAGTTCAGCGCTTTCTGTGCCATCCGTCCTTCTTCTTGAAGATGAGGAACACCCCTGGTTCTGTGCTACGACATTCTTATCGCTAGATTTTTTTTCAGTTTCGCTTCTCGGCGTCAGCCCAACTAGGGAAGCATTCTTGATGGAGTGTGCCGCAAATCTCGCGTCATCTTGTCGAAAGGTGTTCCGTATGCTACGCAGGGCAAGATACGTCGACAGACACGTGAAAAGCGTATTCACTCGATGGCCACAATGCATTAACACGAAGAGAGGCCAATATCTTAGTTGCAACAGCGCCAGCTCTGCAGAGTGGTGCTCCCACTCAAAAGCCTCCACTGTGTGGACGTAGATGACGGTTAGACACAGGAAAATTCGAACGACCGACAGCCCAGTGCTGTCGCCCGGACGAGGACCAGACAAAAAAAGCCCTGAAGCGTTCTCCTGTAAGGACAGCGGTCGCACAAGCGTTCGTCTAAACCATCGTAACAGTGTCAGGGTCAGTTTTTTCCCCAGCGTCAAGGGCAAGAAGCAAAAGATCGCCCTTGCGCAAAAGGCGCAAACTGAACTTACCCCACGACACAGGAGCCGTACAATGTATAACTTTTCGTACAAAATGCCGACCAGAAACAGGACAAGCTCGAGCACAGATGCGATGGTGACAGGCATGAGCATCCACAGCAAATGCATGCGGTTTTGAGTCGACAGCTGCCATTCCTCAAAGTGCTCCCGCACCGCAAAGTTCAAATCCTTTGCCCGCTCATCGACCTCAGGCCGGTTCTCAGACAACAGAAGCTTGATTCGAATGCTGTCGATGCTGGGAAAGTAGCGCGCCTGATTCTCTTCGCATCGCCGAAGGGCCTCCCGCTCGTGCGGATCCGGTATGCGCGCAAACACCGGGGGAAACTTCTGGTAAAGCCCGAAGCGCTTCTCCTCCTCGAGGCAGCCAAACTTGACACCGCTCATGCGGCCCGTCCACGAAGCAACTAACGGTCCCGCAATGAACCACTCTCGCAGGTCGCAGCTCGTTGGCGCGCAAAATCCCATCATCACGCTGTTCAAGATCACCCAGAAGAAACGTCGACCGACGGCTTTGCAACTAGCTGGGTCGCCGAAGGGCTGCTCACGAAAGCCAGACCATTGCATCAGCTTCGTGTACATCACCTGCAAGAATCGTTTTAGCAGACAACTCAGTGGCTGAATGATGTTGAACGAGTACCACTACCACATACAACAAAATACAGATGGATTAAAAAACTTTGATTTTCATTTCACAGAACCTACTACAGAAACAGATGCAGTACCTCATAATCCTGCAAGCAGGTCTTGAGCACGTCACGGCGACGTATAAATGCCGCTGATTCGAGTCCCCCACCGCTCCCTGCCATTGCCGGATTTTCAGTCATGTTTTGCCTTCGTAGCCAGGCTTCCTCGACACAGCAGATGTTGTAATTGAATGTCTCATCCCAACACTCGGCATTTCCGCGTTCCCCAAATACATCCGTGTCGCAACAGAACGCGAAATTGTAATGCGTCCCAGGCGTCCAACAAGGATTATCGATAACTAGCGCTTTGTTTTCGACTGCTGGAGTCGCTGGCGGTGTCGCAGTGCTTGCAGATGCAGGTCCCTCGGTCGTCGGCACTAATTCCTGTGCTGATCCTTCTTGAGGAACTCGTCCAGCTTCTGAATCTTGCTGCTCCTGCTGTACCTGCTCCCCAGTTCCCTCGCTAACATCATCCCCTTCGGGCGTGGCGGCATGCACGCCTTCGAGTAAGAAGCTCGTGCACCTTAAAAGACCCAGGAGCAGTGCTGACTTTAGCACCGACGTGTAACCTCGGGGGCAAAAGAGTAACAACAGAATCATTCTGATGTTCGTAGGCGCAACGGGAGGACCCTGTCCCATCGTATCAAAGTTTTGTTCATTATTTTTCTAAGTATTCTTGATGTTGAGTTTCAGTGCATAAAGTGGAAAGAAGGCTTTACCTTTTCAAAACTCCTGCTCTCCTTTCCCTGTCGAAGCGCATCATATCGATATCCTGAGTTCGGACTAAGCAGAAGAAAAAGAACGGTTATCAGGTGAACAACTTTTGACGTCGGTGTCTAATTCAGAAGAAAAAGGGCTTGCTCGTCTGCCTTCTTTTCGCTACTTACTTATTCATTAAATCGGAGCTCACATTAATATGCATGTCGTGAAGAATAGTACTAGCAAGATTTTCATTTTCAACCTGTACAAAAAAGAGTATTGGTCGATTGGTCCTGCCTCGAGCCTCAGTCCATAGGAAGTAATGTCTATCAATTTGGAAGTGACGCACGCGCTGTCACTTCACGAGCACGTTTCCACAGCTGATACTGATCTTCGAGGGAGAGACTGTCTTCAAAAAGCTCCAACTCTTTCCGTTGCCTTCGAAGTTTTGCGCGTCGCGTCAATGTCTTAGTGCTGACGTTTTTATCTATATCATTATTTTTGTTCTTCTCGTCAGATTTCTTTGCTTTATTCTCAATGTCGCCCAGTTCGAGCTCCTCGTTCCCCATATTTTCTCTTCTATCTTCATCTTCTTCTCCATTATCTCCCTCTGCACCATCAACCTCGTCAATCGCAGCTTCTTCGAGTCGCTGCTGTGCTAGCTCTTTTTCGAAAAGCTGAATGGCAAGCTCCATTTCACCTTCGATTTGTCGCTTCCTACGCAAGAGTGTTTTCTTTTCTGCCAATGCACGCAAGACCTCGGCATCAGCCGCTGCATCTTCGTCTCCAAACTCAGCGACTTCAGCCGCAGGCTGCTCCTCCTCACTGGTGGTGCGGTTCTGTTCTTCCGCCGCTCTTGTGGCCCCCGCGGCAATGTTAGTTTCTCGGGAAGGTACGCCAGCAGTTGGACCTTTCTTGTCCTGATCTTCGGCCGCTGCCAAAATTTTTGCCTCGTCGAGAGCGAGAAATTCCGCACGGATACCTTCAAGGAGCTGGACTTTAGATGCCTGCAGATCGTCTTCGGTTTTCTGATCAAAAAGTTTCTCATCTTCTACGTTTTCATCTCCTCCTTGCGCAAGCACTCCGACCACATCTAGTGCGGCATCGTCACCTTTTGCCTTTGTAGACTCAACGGCCGTTGCTGTCTCAAGTTCCGCACCATTGAACACCTGAAGATCGGGACAGCGTTGCAGCGCATCTGATAGGGCAAGAGATACGGGGTTCCCCATGACATTCAGAATGCAGAGAGACTCCGGCAATTTCTCAACCGCAAACGATTCGATGCGATTACCACTAACGTCAAGAACCTGGTAAGAGACGAGTGGAGTATGTTTCATTTCCTGAGCAAGCAGCACTTCTAGTAGAGCTTGCGAATATAGTAGTGTCATCGATTTACGATCATAGTCATGCCGTGCATCACATCTTCACCGCATTGCGGATACAACAAAACAAGGTGTGAATCGCTCACCAACAGTGATTTTCGCATCTCCTCAGTCGTCGGATCCGCAACTGGCAATTGAAAATTGGCTGCCAGCGTCGTGAGTTGGTTGTGTTGCAGCGCTAACAGTTCCAGTCTGTCGAGCCCTGCCACCTCGGTCCATACGGTGTCGCCTAAACGGTTGTACTGCAAGTACAGATTCACTAGACTCCGGAACGGATGCAGCGCGACTCCGACACAGGGACCTAGCGACTGCCACTCTAGATGCAGGTTCTGCAAAGTTTCCACCTCCTTCATAACCTGCAAATCTGGCTTAGCGGAGAGGTCTTCGTCCTCCACGGCGCTTTTCTCCTTCTTCGATTTAGAGGACGTGGAGGGACTTCTAGCCTCCTCTTCGGCACCATCGACGAAGCGATCTAGAACGGTCTTTGTTTGCCAGTTCTCGCGGGCGCAGGAAAGCTCAAGGCATTTTCGATAAGTCAATAGTCGAGGAGCCGCGACATGTTTTTCTTGCTCCTGAGCATCGCGGCTAGTGCGCCCAGCATTCGACCAGGCCTCGCTTCCGCGAAAAAGGTAGGCCTCGATTTCATCAAGCGTCGCCAGCTTCGAGAGCTTGGCTGAAACTTGCCCAGGATTTGCGGCGCTCATAATTTCTGTGTTCACAACGCGAGCCGTAGCTACATAGATAAGGAAAAACTGATGATAACGGAATCGGCTTAGTTATGGAACAGATTTTTTTCGTGCCTTACTCGTGTCCCACTATCACTAACCAACCCTTATGCTCGTCGTCCAATTACACGTCAATACAGTGTTCATTTTCGCAGACATTAAGTTTGCCATGGGGGATATTTTTTTGCACTTCCTATAGCTTCTTTTTTTAGTACTTTCTCTTTCTCCTTGTTCTTCTTGTTCAGCCTCAGTATCTTCTATCGATCATCGTCATCTGTTCTCCCAACGTCTCCCTTCCGCACCCGCAGAGATCAATGAAGATTCCTCGTTGTACACCTTCTGCTGGTCTACTACAGTGTTGCATTTCTTTTCATGGTGACTGATGGTTTAACGACGTAGGAAGTTCTTGTTCCTTTCGAAGTCATGCACAATATAGTTTCAGTATGTGTGAAGAATTTGAATTTCATTTTCGGCGACCATGTTAGGCAAGATGCATAACATCATGTTGATACCGATACGCATGTTCTAATATGTGAAGCTATCCAGCATCTATGCACACTCGAAACTCTTCAGTTCTGCACAAGAAGCAAAAAAAATCAATGTTAAATCTACGCTAAGTAGTTATACACCTACTCGTCGTTCTCTGCTACGCAGCACTTCTCAGGGTTGGCGTAAACTACACATGTTTTACCTTAGCATTTAAATGTGAAAACCAAACGACGACAAGTAGAGAGAGACAAAGTGAGCCAAAGATGGAAGAGCGAAGCAGTTCTGCTGTGACAAGTTTACTACATTATTGGAGGCGGAGGCAGTTCTCGTTGCCTTCGGTCCTCATCTTCAACATCTGACGCGAGCGGCAGAGGTTTCCCGTCAGGTGTTTTTCTGGCAAAGAGCTCAAAAAACATTCTCGTGCCTCCACTACTCGGAAAATGGTCTACGTCTTGAAGTGGCAATCCGCTAGTTTCTCTTAGCGGAAGGAACAAAAGCAACAGAAGGTTCACGAACATGAGCCCGACCACGAAGAAGAAGAACAAGACGTGTGTCCCGGTGGCCTCCGTCAAACGTTCGTAGATCAGAGGCGCAAAAATCGCCCCACAGCGACCACTGCCAACAGCCACGGCTGTACCCGTCGCGCGCACTTTCGTTGGGTAGGTCTCCATCGCGTAGAGTGTCGCAAACGAAAACCCCATTATCACACACACCTTCTGTCCGAAGAGACCTATGTACATGAATACTTCTAGTAACTTCGAGTGTGTCGCAGCAAAGGAAGCCGCGATTTCCTCCGCTTCCTCTGCCTCTGCAGACATGGTACTAATCTCTTCTACTCGCCGTCTAGTCCCGCTGCGTGATTCTAGCTTATGCAACTGAGCCGTGCTCGCAGTCTCTCCACGACTTCGTGCTGCTGCAGCTCTCCTCGCTCGGCCAGTCCTCTCTCGTCTAGGTCTACTCAGGGCCTCTAATGATGGCTCCGTCTGCTCAGACGAAGTCTTGCTGCTGCTCTTACTTTTCTTCACGTGTGGAGAGTCGTCGGCCAGGGAAATGCTCGGGTTAAACAACGTCGTATTTCGCGAGTTCTGGTGATGATGTTGCGCCCTAGAAGTAGATGGTTTAGACGAGACGGCTTCCGCGGTTGAACTTGTTGAAGGTTCTTCTTCTTCCACGGAAGAAGTGGTTGTACTTTGTTCTTGACTGACCTTTCCACGACCTTCGTTGACACTAACACCAAACATGCTGCTCTCTACTTTTTTCGAAGAACGCTGCCCGCTAGAGTTTTTCAAGCTATGGCGTTCACGTTCTTCGTGAGTATGTGTGCTACTAAGACCATCTTTGTCAACATTGAGCATGCCATCTTGTCTTTTAGTCCTCGACGAAGTAGGTGAGCCCGAAGTTGAACTAGTGCTGATTGCAATGCTACTGATAAAGTTCTTATGTCTGCTCTCCCCGTGTCCGTGTGGGGCATGCGGCGCCTGCTTGTGCCGGACGCTTTCTGGGGATGTATGCAGCTGCTGTTCGCTTGTTTTTCGCTGTTTGCGTGGCTGGTATGAAGCCGATCCAGAACCGCGGTGGCCCCCCTTTCCGGTTTTCTTGAACACATGTTCCGTACTGGAAGTGGAAGCTGCATCAGTCCGCCTCTCGGTTCCAGATGCGCTAGTTTTTGTCTTTTTACCAAAGAAATTGAGCGAGGCAGCATTGTCATGGTCATAATCCACCAGTTTCTTCGAAGTACTAACACTCATGTGGAATCGGACGCCGTCATGACTAGTATCTTTTCCACTAGCGCTTGCACGTGCAGCATGGGCTGCGCGGCCATGTCCGTGGTTTGAATGTACTTTCCCTTCTTGCGAATTCGTCGATGCCGACGCCTGATCAGAAGCTGATGAATCGAGCTGCACTACACCTGATTTGCCGTGTTCGTCCTCGTGCTTACGCTTGTCCACCTTAGCTACAGTCTGACGTTGTGCATGCCCGTGTCCACCACCGTGCCCCCGAAGCATCCGCACTTCTACTCGCGTTCTCCCCCTTTGGCTATTACTCTGATCCTGCTGATGTTCTGAGTTACGCTTACGATTTGATTCGGAATCAGAAGATCCCAGTTGCTTCGGCTTCCCCTCGTTTTCCAGGTCTACCTGGAGAAATGATGAACTCGGTCCCTCAGCTTCTTCAAATTCAACCCGTGTTTTGCTTGACAATTTGGAAGATCGCAAAAAGCGCTCGGGGCGCTCAGACACTACTGCTCGTCGTGAGAGTTCGTCCGCTTCTGCTAGTTCCGGTGAGAGCTCCTCTTCCGAGGACGACATAAACACAATTTCTTCCAAATTCTCGTCATCTCGATTCTCCTCTTCATCCGCTTGTATGAGTGAAAAGCCTCTAGCAGGGGACTTCTCCACTCGTCGAACTCGAGAGTGGTGGACTTTGTAATTGTCCCGATGTCTTTGCTCGTGTTCGTGCATTGTAATCAGTGCTGGACCAAATCCCGTAGACTGAAAAGTCAGGAGGCTTTGCTGCTTCTTTGCAGCTGCGTTGTGTGCATGTATCTTCTTCTCAGTCTTGTGCCCATGGAGCCCAGTTGTGGTTCGTCCACCGGCTCCGTGCTGGTCGTTTTCATCTCGTCCGTCCTCTCTTGTTCTTTGATGATCTTGCGGAATTTCATGTTGATGACTACGCCCATGCTTATTGCGTTGCACTCGGCTCTTGACGTCGGCATTACTTCCCAGTCCATCATCCTCCAAATGATCATGCGCCCGTTCAATGATAGAGTCGTGATCATCTGGCTCATGATCTCCGTCCTCGCTGGAGAACTGTGATCCCTCGTCATTGTTACGGTGCCTCTCTTCAACGTCCTCGACTTCGTCGTCATCGTACTCATCTGAGGACTTCGTAGCAGTAGCTCCTTCTGCTCTTGCGTCTAGCACTCCCTCGCGCTCATCTTCGTCAGCCATTGTCATGTTCTCCATTTCGTCGTCATCAACAACAGAATCGCCTTCAAGTTCAGCTACCTGTCGTGCTGCTGATATCGACATCGGAATGGGCGGCTCCACTGTCTTTTGTCGCTGTTTTCCTATCATGCTGTGGCCATGTGGCGCTATCTTCCCCACTGGCTTCACCTCGAGGGCTGGTGCGCCAGCAATAAACACAAGAATGCAAAACATGCCAGTGGAGAGCCAAATGCCCAGGGCAGCCTTCCGCAACACCGTTGTCCCGACCATAAATGCGAATATTGAACCTGGTAGAGCAAACGAAAAAATGTAAGACCTTGCCCGAAATCAAAGGTCTCAAACAGGAGATGACTTGTAAGTGTAGAAGTACAACGAGGCAGTGTGTGTATCTGTGTCTGTGTGCTGCTGCTAGTAGAACTATAAGAGAGTACCAACAATTTCGAAGAGAGCGGCGAAGAGCAGACTGAAAGCGGGACGAATGGTCAGCGTAGCTCCCATGTCGGCAAGGACTTGCGGGAAAACGTAGAGGCCGCCATAAAAGACCACATTGCAAGTAAACAGTGACCAGATAAGAAAAAATGTGGTTAAAGTGTACGGCGGCGAGACAACGGTGGCATACCGCTGGAACACACTCTGTGACTCTACCTCTTTCTCCGCTACATCAACAGTGGTGTTGATGATGTCAGCAGCGTGGTCGGCATGTAACGGACTGCCAGCAAGCATCAATTTCTTCTGCCCCGTGGTCGTCAAAGATTTGTTCGCCAAGCCCGAGTCCACTCCACCTGTATCCCCAATGTCCTCTAGGGTAGATCCTAAAACAGCGTTTTCGCCCCTCTCGGTACCGGGCCCGTTGTTAGATTCCGCAGCGGTCGTCTGTGTCGCCGATAGCACATTCCTCGTTGTGGCCGCGACCGTTGGGCTAAATAAGGGCACGTCTGCGCTTACTGCTCTGCTCGTTGAATGAATCCTTGGCGCAGGTTCATCTTTCAGCACGATGGGCATCGTCCACACCGAATTTTTCGGCAGCCGCTGCAGTGCAGACAAATCCTTTTCACTTATGTCCGCCAGCGCTTCGTTAGAAGTACCAGCAACAGCGTTGAGAACTTCAGAGCGTGAGTGAAATACTCCACCAGTAGGCGGCGAAAGACTATAATCAGCAGCAGATGAACTCATCGTCCCCGGCGCAATTGCAACGCTGTTGCTGTCGAGATCTTGTTCGGGCTGCGCAGTGGGCAGAGCTACGTAGGCATGCGTCGATTTGGTTTTCAACGCCAACTGCTCCGGTAAAGAGATATCAATATCGTGCAATGCTGCAATAGAACTGGCCACATCCTCGCGACGGGACAATACCGTCCCTCTGCTCGTGAAGTTACTCAAACGCAACCACTGCAATATCTTCTCAGCCTCCAGTCGTCGTCCACGGACTTGCAACCAGGCGGGCGATTCTGGGATCGTGAACAACCCATAGATGAAGAACAAAACACTCGGAAGTGAACCCATCAGAATCAACCACCTGAGAAGGAAGATATTAAGACGAGGGTCGTAGTGGTTGCAATCCGTCATTCATGCCTCAAAAGACATGGACAAAAAATGGAGTATTTGTGGGATAACGATAAGATCGAAGTTGAAAGAGAACTACCCAGCAGCATTGATATACCTCCAGTTGAGATTTTGCATGTCGATGTCATCGAAGCAGATGAGGACAATCGCAAATAGCTCTCCGCTGACGAAGTATACTGTTGCCATGCATGGCAACAATATTCGCATATGGGCTGGCATCATCTCATTCGCCAACGAGATGCCAGACGGCTGACCGATACCTGAAAGAAAACTAAGTAATACAGTTTGTCGTCAAATTATTGAGTTCCAAGTCTATCGTCGTCGTAAGTAAAAGATTTAAGTATCCTAGAGAAGAATCCATTGTAGTTGTAAGTATAATTTGAATTCGGCGAAATACAATGCAGCCCATTCAAACACCGTTTTTTTTAAGTATATTTGCTTGGAGAGTCTGTCTGTAAGAATACAAGCCTGTACCTCCACACTGCTTCGATGCAAGATACAAGAACAAAGTCAATGGCCCATCTGTTGAGACGACAAAGTTTCAAAGTGTACTCAAAGGGAGTACCAAAGGCCACACCGACGCCAAAGCGAGTGCAGACGAGCGAATAGAAATCCCAAGCGAATACGGAGAGAAGGGAGAAGAAAAAAATCATTGCGAAGCCCAGAAGCGGAACCGGCTTCCTCCCGATGGCGTCGCCTATCGTGCCGGAAAGCAAGTTTCCTATAAGCACGCCGATAAAAACAACACCTACCACGGAACCGCGCTCGCTTGCAGTGAATTCCCACTCAAGTGATACGGCACGGATTAATGCTGATAGCAGCAGGAGTTCGGCGCCATCACTCAGCCACACACCGCCAATGCAGTGAAAGATCTTCAGTTGGCCACACCCTAATCCGATGACCTCCACCCAGTTGGAAACATCAATCATCTGCTTCGTTGAAGGTCGCTGGGATACCACTAAGGACGAACCACCCGCGTCACTTTCCGAGGACGCGGACCTTGACGACGTTCCACCAAGGCCGCTCCTTATCAAACCAACATTCTGATGAGGCGCATTGTCTGTCGCCGACGAGCTGGTGCCCTCAGCTCCGAGCCCCGGCTTCTCCGCAATCATCGACACGAACGTGGCGCGTACGCCGACCCCTTGTCACTGCAGGTGCAGCCCTCGGACCGCCTCGGCAAGAATTTGCTGATCTAGTTCATTCAGCAACCACCTGCGGACTCGCCATGACAGCAAGGATATTTGCCTTTAAACTGTCCGAAGCGCATATGGATTTGTCTCGCTTCTCGACAGGCATTTCTTCTGCTATTCTGGTTCTTTTACACTTAAGACGACGCGCGTCCGACTTTTTTCAAACTACGCACGTTTCTGTCGGAGGACGCCGTACGTAGTACACGGAATAAACAAAGTTACAGTACGCAGAGTCAGCGAGGTTGCAAAAGTATTTTTTGTTCTTTCACCTGAGGATTATGGAGTGCTTATGGCGACCAATTTTGTTTTCGGTGTTGAGACAAAATACTTGCTTCTGTGCGGCTTTGCTTCAACTTTCTCAATAAATGAAAAAAAATGTCTTAAAGCATTTTGCGTTTTCGGCACTTTTCTACTTATTGATCGCGTGTCTATAATAACACTCTATGAAGACATGCATAATGCAGACAGGACAGGCTCAGACCGAGATTGATTTCACCGAGGATCCCAGCTCGCACGAGAACAATACAGACAAATCTAGTGCGCCTCAATGCAAGTATGATAATGATTGTCACGAAGCTTCCTCGAACCGACATAACGACACCGACAACGGAAAGAACCTGTTTGTCGTATTTCCGACCGACATGCAACAGAGCGACGACGAGTAGACATTTCGCGCTGCAACACACCACAGAGAACGTGTGCCTGGTGATTATGGCACTACTGAATCAAAGATAAGATGATCGACCTCGATGTCCAAATGCTAAACTCTGAATTCGATGCTGACCACGACGGTATTATGAATCCATTAATTTCATAGTGAAGGTTAAGGTTTTTGGTGAAGCCCCGTGCCGAAGCAGGAGGAGCGCACGTGCTAGGTCCACGACGATTCTTCACTTCCCGTGTGAAAGATGCAGCTAGATATACTTTTACTTTATTTCAATGATGTCATCATCAGATTACGTCCACCAGTATTGCTATGTATTGGAAATAGACACACAAATTCTTTGAATGATTAATAAGCTTTAATCGTGTAGAACGCAGTGTATTCAATATGCTTCATACACACCCAATACACCATCATGTTATATATGATAATGGTACTAGAAGCGGTTCTTCGCTTCGTAAGGATGTTCGTGCCGTCCTCCCTGGCAGCGTGCGCAAAATTGTACAACATACGACTAATTACCTCATACAGCAATGTTTCTGAATATTATCCCATGACGTGGTGTGATAGACTGTTAATTCTCTTTCATAGTGTTGACACAACAAAGTTAAATGCGATAGGTCGCTGACCCTGACTCAACCTCTTATCATATGTAGTATATGAGCAGGAGAAGGCATCCTATTTATCGACACTGCTATTTTGAATTCTGTACTCTTATCATCACACGACTACTATTTGTAATATTTTGCTTTCTTTCGAATTCTTGACTAGGTTTTCATTTTCTGCTCATATAAACTGATACCTTAATTGATATCAGCCCCCGGCTTTTCGTACGGATTTATTGTTATTCGTCGTAGTTGTTACTCCCACGACTACTACTTTCTCGTGACTTTCCAGTCCCATATTCTTCCAGCTAGAGTTCAGTCTTCTTCTTTTTGCTCCCCTTTGATTTCTTCTTGTGCATTTCTCGGTCAACCATCGAAAACTGTGACTTGTCAACCACCGTCTGGTCGCTCAAATCCACGTCCTCCATATTTGTGGCGGCTTCCTGCAAAAACTCCAGCAGAGCATCCGCCGTTCGCGCTGCGCCACTGAACAAAACACGCTTCTTGAGACTGTTCTTTACCGCCGGATACAAAACGACAGTAGGAAAACCTTGAACCTGTAGTTCAGTGATGAAATTGAGATCGACCATTTTTTGAAGAAGAGCTGTGTAATAATCGTTAAAAAGAAATATGATGTTCATCTTCGTCCTCCGCCCAAAACTGATGTAGTAGATGCTCACTCACGGGCTTCACCTTCAAAATCTTCTCCACGGCAATCACATGTCATCTATGAAGTCTGTGCTACCGTACTAGGTGTACGTAGAGTCGTGCTTCATCTACAACATACACTGCACCAAAAACTTAACATGTAGTCAGACAAGGCCATTAATATTTTTCTCACTCACGGAGTATCGTTCCCAGCATAACCCATTCATAACCTCCCATTCTTGGCTATGCAGCAAGCAAAAGATCTAGATGCTCCTACAAATTGTTGTATGAACTACTCTCAGACGAGTCCTGTATTACCACTAGACGGAAGTCAAATAAACGTAACAAGGCAAAGTACCGCTTCTGCGCATTCGTTCTCGGTGCTATCCATCTTTGCGACGATGACTTTCTTGCCCTCTGGATCCCAAGACCGGACAGTCTTCGCGAGCTTCTCCCATTCGGGAGCGAGCTTCTTGCAGTGTCCACACCATGGAGCATAGAATTCCACGAAAACGTCCTGTTTTGAGCTAAGCGCTACTTCCTCAAAATTCTTGCCCACAAGAACCCGCACGTTGCCGTCATATGGTTCCTGTGGTAGTTTTTTCGATGTTGGATTTGACATTGAAGACGTAGGCAGTCAGAAGATCAGCGTCACTACGTTTATATTGCACTTGAGGGAATACAAGCGAGGATCATCATGTGCTCCTATTCAATAGTCTTTAGTACCGGTGCCACTTGTTGTTCAGTTTTATGTTGAACTAAGATCAACGATTGAATAATACTGCTGGCACTGGCGCAGACTTGTAACTTGGCTTGACTTTTCCATTCTTCCACGCTGCAAGGAAGTCCTTGATTTTGTCGTTCGATTCGTACTTCAATTTTTTCTCTCCGCCGAAAGCCAGGATCTGTGACATGAATTTCGCATCTTTCTCTCCCAACTTTATGGCGAATTTCACGTTTTTGTGAGCCTTGACCGCAGTTTTGAGGTCACTCAGTTCGGCTTCGGACAAACTATCCTTCTCCGTCTGGTAGATAAAAGCTGCTGATCCACCAACAGACTCCATGTAGTCGTCATTGTCGAAAAAGCGGGCATCGCTGAAGATGTCGTTGTTGTTAATCAAACAAAACCAAGATGAAGAAAATAAGCGTGTTACGGAGAAAGCATGATTTTCTTCTTATCGTTATCCTCACATTCATAGCATCATCGATCATCGAAAGTAATGTTCGTATCTTATATTTGATGCGAGGGTAAAAAACAGGTAGTACAGATGAGGAACAACAGGAGAACAACAGAATGTAAAGGGTAGTACAATTTCGAGATTGTAGGGAAAAAGGACTCCTTAATAAAGGTTTCCACTTTCCCAGCCGACCATGGCCCCTTCGTGAATGTCGCAATTTTTTCATCTTCGACCACCGCAAGCTTACGCGTGATCTCTATTCGCGCGTTCTTTTTCTCATCCGCACCCTTTTCGAGGAAGACGTAGCACGCCATTACGTGTTCCGATTTTTCTGCGGACACTAGCTTTGACATAGCCTTCTTTACTGCGACCGCCTTTCCGCTCTTTTTCGATGCCACACGCGCCACGAGCACAAATTTTGCTGTGGATGGATGTTGTAGCTAGATCACTTTTTTTTGACACAAGTAGAGGAATCACGCCAGGTGACAAGTGGTCTAATTAATGCATGCGCGATTGCAGATTTCAGGGGGCCGCGCTTCATTTTTTTTTTTGGGGGATCCCGGGGCTACTGAAGGAGCGGCCTCAGCTTTATCCGGTTCGCAAACCGGCGGCGGGTGGAGTCCGGTTACCTCCTTATAATACTGCGCACTAATTGCCTACGAACCCGCCGACTCTAAACGGATGAACCCTAGGGGTGAAGGAGGTGAGTTAAGAGTCTGATATAAACCGCGACCGGCTGCCAACCGTCCCACTCTTATACGCCTACCATCAAGGCACGAGCGCAGGGGATGCCAACCCTGCTAACTCTTGACTAATGCGCAATCAAATGACAAGTGAACAGCCAGAAATAAGTGCCTACGCCCAAATGACAAGTGAACAGCCAGAAATAAGTGCCTACTGGCGTAAGGCCCGAAGTACAACACGTTTTTCATTGTTGAGGGAGCACTAGCCTAGTATCACGGGGCTACTGAAGGAGCGGCCTCAGCTTTATCCGGTTCGCAAACCGGGGCTGCTAGAAGAGTGGCCGCAGTGTTATCCAGTTCGCAAACTGGCGGCAGGTGGAGTACATTAACCTCCTTATATCACGGCTGCAATCAGCCAGAACGCTATGCGCGTCAGCGTGGCGAAAAAGGAATGTAGCCTCGCTCGAAAGAGACTTGTTTATAAGTCATCAAGAAACTTGACTAGTTAGAAATAGAAAGTATGTACTCTCTTATATTTGATGACAATAGGGTCAACAACAGTACTTGGACTGACACTGGCATCTTTTGCGAGTTCTTCGTCGATCTGCTGTTGGCTGCATTCTTCAACCGCATCTTTCTCCCTACTTTCTAACCACCTCACAATACCATCGGCTTTCCTTGGTCCCGTGTACTCGACTTTTTCCTGATGAATGCAGATGTTTAGAAATTAATTCTACTTCTACGCGTCATACATGAAATAAATACGACGATTCAACATTACAACGAGAACGAAGATGTTGAGGTATAACTCTAAGTCTAACACTAATAGGCAGTAGATGTAATATTTTTACCCCGCTGGTGTAATAGAACATCGTTGGGAATCCCTCGACACCATGCTTCTGAATTTGGCTCTTCTCTTCTGTGCCATCAATTTTGACAAGCTTCGTTTTTAGTCCCTTTGCTGCCATAGTTTGAGCAGCTTTCTCATATTCGGGCGCAAGAGACTTGCAGTGTCCACACCATGGTGCGTAAAACTCCACTAAGACCCGCTCGTTCTCCTTTATGAACTTATCGAAGGTAGCGTCTGTTAAGGCGATTACTGCTTCCTGAAGTTAATTGTATTTCAATGCTGTAGCTGTCATGCAAAAAGGAATCATCAATGACAACTTCTCTGCTGGTTGAAAGAACTACGACGAGAGAAAAGTCGCTGTTGAAAAATATAAGCGACCATAAAGACAAGGATGTGAATCATCTCAGGGTCACGGCCGTAACTGGTCACGTTCGTATTATTGGCTTAATTATACCTTCGGATCATCGAACACATCGTCCTTCAAGTCATCATCGTCGTCATCATCTACATGTGCTTCCTTCTGACCCTCGCTACCGACGTTATCGTCTACCTCACCCACCTGTGCTTGAGACTCAGTTGCGTCGACATGTTTTACGTCCTCCGCCAGTGCGAGCAGCGCACTGTTTTGGGACCACGAGCCTAACACAGAAAGCAGAGCAGCACGCCTTCCAACAAACGGAACCATCGTTCTTGATTGGGACGCTAGGTCGACAAAGAGTGCAGAGAGAACTGGCAATAGCAAACTACGCCTATCTTGTTCTCAGATTTGTTCTAGGGAAAGGGATACTAGAAGATGTTGTAATCAAACGGAGAGCCGACGAAATCACGTGCATGTTCACCTCAGGACGACAGGAATACCTACTACATCAATATTTTCGGACTTGTAGTCCTACTACATCTTCCGACACGATCACGATCCGCGTAACCAAATTGATTAATGAGCTTGATCACCGCATTGCCTTGTCATGCCTCGTCAAAAAAATGTTCATCACTGCACGTTCCACTGTTCAGTTAAGGTTTTTCGATCCCGTCCATAGAGTGAAGGAGCAGGACTAGGAACAAGAAAATCAAAATCATCTCCATCTGCAGCCGTTCAAATTTGAGTAGAGGGTGCTTGAACACTCTTGCTTTGGACATCAACGTCAAGCTGAATGTGCAGCTACCACGTGCGGCAGCAGTAGTGGTAGCGCTTTTGATGTTCAAATAATGAAATACTGCGCGCCCTGGAAATAATTCATCGTCAATCTACTATTTTGGCCCCCATCTTCTTCTCTATTGATTTGAGACATGCGGTCCCTGAGAAGACGACAAGGAGAACGATGAAGCCCACAACGACGAAGGTGCCGGTTCCGTACCCAATGAAGAGAATGTTGGTACCCAAATCCACGGGCGCCTCCAGCGAACCAGCAATCACCTCCTCGTGGGTTAGCACACCATCGGTGTCCGGCATCTTTTTATGTAGGGCAGCCTTCTACTTCTTGTAGTTCTTAAAAATACCAAGTAAGTACTACAACCAGTTGAAAAAGTTGATTCATCTACAATGGAAACGCTACTACCGCAGCACATCGCTGTTCCTTCACTGTATCTTCGTTGTTTCGTTTCTTTCTCTTAACGCCGGGCCCGACAGGAAGATCTTCTTGCGTTGGCTAGTAGATTGACGATCTCAACCACGTTGCCGTCCTACCTCACCTCTTAGTCATATTTTCTCTTCATCTTCTAGATCATTCCGCAATAGAGCATTAATACAAGAACCAGTTGTTGCGACATCGACATTCAGAACCGATAGTCAGGCCTCGTCCGCTCGCTACGCAGGTAGAGAACAAGATTCCGCAATGAACAGGATGAAATTTCGACGTCAAATGTCTCCTGTCGTGGCCATCCCACAACTACAACTGAGGCTTTGGCATTACTGGCGACACGCTATTTAACAAATCTTTTTCGATAACTTCATCGCGAAGAAAACATGTTTTGCGATATTGTTGTTTGATCCCCACACCGTCTGCAAAGTAATACTACCTAGTATACCTGCTCGACCTCGAGAAAGAAATTCAGAATGACAATGTGCCCAAAGTTTCACGAAGCACATATTCAATTATAGTTAAATAAGTAGTTGGAGTTTCGGTAATATCCACGACTAGAATGGCCTCAAATTTTACGAGTAGTCGGGTTGAAATGTTACCGAGCAATTGTTACTCGCACAATAATTCTAACATATTCGCCAGCTCATCGATACCAGCTGCTTCCGCACAGACCTGTTCCAGCATCGCTGGAGTGAGTCTCGTCCGCGTCTGAATGATGAGTCTGAGTCTCGCAACACTTTCTGCGAAATTTTTTTCCACAGCGAGAAGTTTCTCTGCTTCAGGATCTGTTTTCATTTGCGTATTGAGTGCGGGAACGTTCATTTGCTCAAAGGGCAGCTGCATGTAGTGCGAAATCATCTGGAGTGCCGGGCCCAGCTCCACGTATCCAAGATGAATCCGCTTGTTGATGCGACCTGGGCGAATCAGCGCAGGATCCAGCTTTTCTGGGTGGTTGGAGGTCATCACGACAATCCGACCAGGCGTGTCCACGACACCGTCCAGCACGTTCAGCAAGCCGGCGAGGTTCAGTTTGTCGAGACTTCGCTCCTGGGCATCCCTGTCCTTCTTCTGCTCCTTGATGAAAGCGTCGACCAATTTGTCGTCGATTGCCTCTACCTTGTCTGCAGGCGTGGTCGGAGTTGCAGCTTGTGCAGCTGTCTTTCCTTCCGCCGTTTGGGGTCCTTGTTTCTTTCCATTGTCCAGCATCTGTTGAAGCGCAGCGACTCTTTTTGCGCCTTTCTCCGCCGCCGTTTTACTTGTCGCCGTCGTAGACGCGGCTCCAGCTGAGGACGCTGCGCTGCTTGCCGATGAGACTTGTTTTTGTCCGGCTTCTACAACCGGTTGCTCGCTTTGGTTACCCACTCCAGCACCTGCATCTCCCTTCTGCTCATCGCTGCTCGAGGCGATAGATGCTGAGCGGATAGAAGTTTGGGTTGCCATTTCAATGCCCTGTACTCCATCACCTCGTTCGCTTTGTTCTTGTTCATCTAACTTGCTAGTCGGAAACTCTTCGTCGACCTCATCAAAACGTTTAGAAAAAGCTTCCTCGATAGCTGCGTTTGCATTGGACAGGAAGTTGTTCTGCCTCGTTTGAGATGGTGACTGAACCTCTGTTACAGATACATCCGGGTTCGCGGAATTTTCCGGATCTCGGCCAGACACATTCACAGGTGTCATGTCTTCCTGCAACTTTTCTAGCAGGATCCCGGCATCGCCCTGATTGTAGCTCGCCAGCCGTAGCAGACGGCTGGTTTCATTTTTCCGCACAACTCGCATCATTTTTTCCAATGAAGTTGGGTTACCCGGCTTGTTATCCACAAAGACGCAGCCCCACTGCATGGCGCGTTTGCCACTGGAAAGAAAAAGACGGAAACCATATTTGGTCACGTTGTTCGGGTAAGCTTCGATGGACTCGATTTCTGCTCGCTCTCCGCTATATGAATGAGTGCCATCGAGAAGTATCACCACCTCCCCGATGCCCGGATTAGCACGTCGTGCCAGTGAAGACGCGCTGCTGTAGTGGCTCGTGCTGAAGGCGCTCTCTGTGGTCGCGGTGCGGCTGAGGGCCTTGCCGTAAGTTGGGAGCGGCACTTGAAGTCCACCTGTTTTCATCTCCTTAAAAGGAGGAGTGTTAGTCTTGTCTCCGGCTCCTTGCGGCAAACCTATAGTATCCGTACTGGCGCCATTTCGAACCGCTTTGTTGTCATCCAACTGGCCGCTTTCGCTAAGACCTTTTGCTGACCCGACGGCAGTACTGTCTCTTCCTTCTTTCGATTCTTGTTCTTCTGCGATTGCCGTCAACACGCACGCCCCCCCGTCCCCTGAAACACCGCCTCCGACCCCGGTTTCCTTTTGTGGTGTAGACGCTGCTGTGGGACTGCCTGATTGAGAACTGGTCGGAGTTTTCTCATTGGAAGATCCGTTCACGGCGGGATCAGCTGTGTCTATACTAGCTTTCCGAAATGAGGGTTCCCCCGAAGAACCTGCTGCACTTCCCGTACCAGTACCTGCTATACCAGTTCCAGTAGTTGCTACTCCATCAGCTCCTGGAATATTGCTTCCAACAGCTTCCGGCTCCATATCCATCGCTGCGGCCATTGGGTTGGCATAGTTTGGCAAGTTTTCCGCTCGCTTGTACACCACTGAGCTCGCCGCGTCAATGTCCTCCATGACGAAGATGATTTTGTCAAAGCTCATACGACCCGGCAGGTCCTCCCCGTCCACGGGAAAGACAAGATCGAACATAAGGTCCATCAGTTGCTGGTTGGTTTGTAATTGAGCAAGGTTTACGCTTACCACGTGCCTCTTCGTGTACGCCGCCAGCGCCTTGATCAAACTGGTCTTCCCGGTACCAGGGGGACCGTCGAGCAAAAGCCCGAGCTTGTGCGGAAAACCGTCGATCGCAAATTTGCTTCGTTTGGCTTCAAAATCATCGACCAGGCGAAGTAGCGATTCTTTTTCTCTGAAAAAAAGGTTCCCAAACGTTTTCCCGCTGTCGGAAAGCTGGTACTTTTTGAATTTGAATTTCGACGAGTTGCTCGAGCTAGATGATCCGGCGCCTCCGAAGCCACCACCCTCTGGTCCGCCTAAAAAGAAAAAACGTGTGTCATCCACTTCGCCCTCCTTCTGTTTCAGGTACCAGGCGTAGGCGTCCTCAATGAATTTGTCCACCCGTCGCTGGCAATGCATGCCTTCCGCACGAATGATGTAGGTGATATGCGTCTCAGTCTCAGCCCCTTCGCCTGAGGTGCTGGCTCCCCCGTCTTTGCTGCTTACGGTTTTTTTCTTGGTAGAGTGCCAAAAGAAGAGCCCGGGCTCAACCTCGGCCCAGGTCTCTTTGGCCGGCAGGAGCTGCACGCGAAAGGACTTCAGCTGCTGGAAGTTGTTGGCTCGCATTTGTTCCTCCATCTCCATGCGGCGCTCGTAATATCCTCTCGCTGCCGCTCCTCGCTTGACCTCAATCTGCTGAAACTTGATCAAATTGCACTCCATGTCCTCTTGCCGGAAAGCTGGGTACCGTTCCTGCATGTACAGCGAAATCGCTTTTTGCAGAATGTGGTTGCGATCCTCGTTCTCACTGTTGCCTCCATCTCCGACAAGGTGGAACGACCGCCGGCGACGTCCCTCGACGAACTCAATCGAGCGTACGTGCGTGTCCGGCTTCCTCACGAAATAGTCTTGGAATAGACGCACCAGCTTCTTCAGATCGACCGACGAAATCCAACCCAACACAACCGGAATCAGCATGCAAATAAGCATGTCCAGAATAACGTTGCCCGTACGGAGCGCATTCATCAGACCAAAGTTGGCCCCGACGCCATCTAGACCCGACGCAGACGCGACCATCTTATTCGAAATTGAAAATGCTCCTGTATCCAAAACTACGTAACTATCTCAGTAGCAGATGCAGTTGCAGATGAAGCAGAACAAGAGAATGTCGGATACGGATTAAAATGATATATACAGAAGTGCTCCTAGGTCTTGTTCTTGACAACAATCAGAAAATCAATTTTAAGTCACACATTATCTAAGTGTCATCGATCTACCAAAAGAAAAACTTCTAAACCAAAAACATTTTTCGCTAATCTCTTTACACGACGGAACAAGGCAAATGAAAGTCCAGCTTACAACTTAAGTACAACACACCGTTTTGGAGTTGCATCAAAACCAAAATTTTGATATTTTGGGTCGACCAACAAAAGTCGGTTTTTGTAGTTACAAAACCATATAAAGCATTGTGTTCAACATTCATGTTCATCCTGTTTTTTTTTAGACGTCAAATAAACTAATAAGGGATAAATATCAAGCAATGCTTTTTGCAGATCGCTTGCATTCTTGTCGAAGCCTCGCCCATGCACATCCAAGTCAACCTTTCTAGACGACATCCAGCAGAAGATCGCATCTGAAAATTGTTAACAGCCAAGCTGAAGGATAATGAAGTTGTCGTTGGAAGATCATTATGATTTCACCATCTCCCACGACAACTGGGCCAAAAACGATGCCAGCAAGACGTAGTCAAAAGTGTAAGATAGACATTAGGGATTCACGATCTCTCAAAATTCTGGTTTTGCATCATACAGACTCCATGGATGACAATCAACTCAGTTTGTCACAGAAGATACGAAGGCTCTCCATGAAACATACTCAACACGAGTCGGCGACCAGAAAAGTGAATTTCTCATACAGTTGCAGACAGAGCAGCACTCAAGACGATAACTTTGACGTCTTTGCAGTCTGTCAGATGGATTTGCCTATACATAGAAACAACAGAACACTTCTCGGCATAAGCAAGAGCAAGATAAGAAATTCAAATTCTATCAAACTCAAACGCACTCACTTCTTCGTCTTGGATGGATCATTGACTTTCTTGCTCTTTTGTGTCTTATGGCGTTCGGTCCGAAGCGTGAATCGGCGATGTAGAAGACGATGCGGCAACGGTTGATCCGCTTATCTGGGTGCTGCCTTCGTGCAAAGGGATCGTCCGCTGATCCTGCTCCTTTTGAAGCGGGTCCGCACCACGTGCTTGTGAAGTCACCCTTGCTGGTGATTTCAGACCCGTCGAGGATGGCGAGAAGTTCCGCTTATCGTCACACCCAGTTGCGTCTGCGCCCGCTGAAGCATCTGTCGCAGGATCTTCTCCTGTCGCCTGACCGCCATCCTCGCCTTTCATTGTTGACACAACCTCTCCCTCTGCTGCGCCAGATGCACTAACAACGATCGTCGAACTACCGCTATCATCTGGTTCTATCGTTCCAGCTCCTCCTGATGCATCACAAATAGCACCCTCTACTCCTAATGTTGTGGTATCTCGTTCTGCGACGTCTCCCAACTGAGCTTTACTCGCGGCTTCTGCGGCAGCCGACGAGGAAAGCAGGCCGAGACTCCGTTCTAGATTCTCTACATCTGCAATTAGGCTGTCGAATGCAGCATCGCCACCTATTTCACGACGCAGCTTCTTGATGCCAGTTTCTGCCTGCTGGTTCTCGCGACGCAATTGCGCTACTTCCCGCCTGTATTTCTGCAGTGCCGCTTTCGACTTCGCCGTTGTGTCACGAAAAGCCTTTGTGCGGGAGCATGAACAAAAAGGGAATAAAACCACTACCACCCAGAAGAGCAATCGTGAAGTAGAAAAAGGACGATTAGGTCGTGTTTAGGCTTTTTATTATGTTGATCGGCAACTACGACTACGTAAAAATTACTTTGATCATGCTAGTTCCGTTTTTTTATCATGTTGCTTATATCCTTATGGTACTTCATCTTACGTGAAAGAGCTACCTTGAAAAAATAGAGAGGCATAACGATGCGAAGTCCTGCTCTTGCTGCGACAGCGCTTCGATAAGCTTCTCCAATTCTTCTCCCCTACGCTCACTGAAGATGCGGCGAATTTTGCACTTTTCATTAAAGCGCAGGAAATTCCTTTATTTATACTGATCATGCTTGATATTTATTTGCTCATTCTCGACACACGGTTGCTAACTGATCTATACCTGGCTGAAGATGAAAAAAAACAAAGAAAAGACATACTTAACTTTCAATTCCTCAGAAAAAGCTTGCATTTCTCCGTCCAATCGCTTAATGCGTTCTTCACTCAGCGCATCTATTTGCTCCGATCCGGGATGTTCGTATGTTGTGGCTGCTTCACGGAACTGCCGTTTTAAATCCTCGCTAGCTACCTTGTCTTCAATTCTTATGAAGATGGGAAAAAGTGATGATGAATCCAAGAAGTGGTGCATGCGCGCGGGTGGTTTGCGATGATCGTCTACTTGTTGTTGGTATAATTGTACTTATGTTTGTTTATCGAAGGACGCCAAAAAAAACTGGAAGAAACAGCCCAAGAAAATTTCGTTCATGAGGTTGAAGTTCTAGTAGTACTCAACTACCCTAGTACGCGTTCTGGGAAAGAAACTAAAACCAACGTGACAACGAACTTCGGAGAAGCCATATTCTTTTGCTCTGTCTGTTTGCGGATATGCTCTTTCACGCTTGCCAGTCGAGCCTGAACATCGGCATTCACCTTCTGTCGCTGTATGTTAGCTTGCTCGGCTGCTCTCTCGTACTGCGTCACTATGTCATCGAGGTCAGCCTGCAGCTTGGATCGAAGACCCTCGAGCGTTGCCAGCTGACCTATGCATATCAAAAAAGGACAGTAGATAGAAGGAATCCAAGGTGAGGACGCAGCAAGATGAAGCTGATGTGGTAGACTATAGATACGATTAACATCACCTACCTACGTCAAAGACATATCAACAAATAAAAAGATTGATTGATCTGCTACCAAGCACATTTGAATTTGATGGAGTGAATACTTACTGCAAATCATTATAAATATACTCACCATCTTTCTGCGCGATCTCGGTTAATAAGTTGGTATGTTCTTTCTGATGCACGCGCGTGCGCTTCGATACTTCCTTTTCTTTCACAAGCAGCTCGGACTCTTGCTGACGCAGGAGAGGCTCCTTGCGCCTCCAAAATTCAAGGCTCGCGCTGCCTTTCCGAACCTCCCGAAGTAAAGCTCGCAACACTTTTGAGACCTCGTTTCATCTTAGAGATGATCAGAAGAACAAGAACAGCAATGTCTATGTTTCTTAAAGATCATATTCATATGTATGAGAGCTTTAGCGACAGAAAGCTGCTCCTGAGAATGAAAGGGATTCATTCACGCATTAATGATCAGGGAGAACCTTAACTTCTTTTCCTTCGTTTTGTTCCCATCTCGGCGAGAGGCAGCGGAGACCGTGGACGCGGGCATTTTGGTCTTTCTATGATTCTGTAGCGATACTATACATAGGATGTTATGAGAGTTGAGAATGGTGTAAAAAGCAACACCACTATTTTTTCCAACGTCGTCGACCAGCAATGCTGATAAATCCATAGATACATAAACGTGCTGATTACATTGAAAAACGTAAGTACAAGTAGATATCTCCTTGCTAGTTCGTCTGATTTTTTAACTCGATCCTATTTCAATCATGGTTTACAACTGTGATAGAACTCGACCGATTGAAGTGTGAGAAGCTCTTTGTTAACATGTTAACCGGTGACTGGTAGTCGAACATGAATAACCGAGTCGCAGTCTGATCCGAGCACTTCATCCTTGACCTTGTCAAGGATGGAACTTTTTTCTTGGACAGCCGAAAGGACTAGACTCAATTTCATCATCGTCTTTGGTACATGTGCTTGATGCAGAGAATTACGTTGAACAAGTACATTAACATCATTCCCAATCAAAGTTTCACGAAAAAAACAAAACTAAAATATTTTCCTGCACAGGAAAAGTCTTAATTTCTGACCACAAACTCATGCTTCACTCTTAAAAAAGTACTATGCACATGACCCTTTTTTTAGAAGTAGCAGTATGACATAATGTGATGGTGGAAAAATTGACTCAAACTGCTTACCCATAATAGAAAGCCGATGGGTACAAATTAGGCTCGCATCCTAGTACACCTACACCTGCCTGCAAAGGCCAAATATTACACACGATGATGAAGAGACTTAGATTAACCTACGACTATGACAACGGAATTGCCAGAGGTTTTAGTTTTTTCATCACCATCGTACTTAAATCCTCTGCACTGGCTCACATCGGATGCTATCCCATGTGTCGCGCTAATAGGAAGGCCCACTTGCACTCGCGGGCACGGCAGGCAGCGACGGCCTATTACTATTGTTTTTACAACATATCGATATTACGAGCCAACGAGAAGGAATTAAGGTAGAACTAGATACCTAGTAGAAGCCAAAACTTCTTGAATATAACATATATATCTAGTACTTAATACCTTTGTTTGTTACTTCGAAAAAAAATGAATCGATATGAAGAATTAAGTGCAGAGAACCAACGAAATAACGGGGAACTGCGGTTTGTCGTATCGGCAAGATCGCATATTTTTACACTGTCAGTCGTTGGAAGTAAATCATGATGAAAAAATGTTTCTTGTGGGGTAGAGAATCACAAATAAGATTACTCTTCACAGCCACACCTTAACCTTTGGACGAATGAAATCATGACTTTACATACGCGACTCGATGATCATGCGCATTCAAGCAGAGCAATTCCTCTTCCTCCTCCTCGTGAGACAGAGTATAAAGAGCCCTCGTCTCTCACCGAGATGAAACTTTGCCAAACAAATCATATTGATATTCTTGATCGCATAATTTGTAATCTAAGATTATATGTCTCTCACCTCAACATCACAGAAGACTTTTTCACCACGTCAATCGTCTATCAAATCAATTGGACTGAAACAAACATTTGCAGACCTTGCTTCACCACAGGCAACTCGTTTTCCTCCTGAACGAAAGTAACACCATTTCGATGTTGACAGAAAACTCGCATCGAAAGGGTATGAGCACAGAGGAGCAGGAGACGTACTGAGCTGCTTCACCGCGTCTTTTTTTCCTCGTTTCACTTTCTGTTCCCAGGAGTTTGTTCACTCTCATGAATGTGTTCCATTTCTTCTTCACGACCAACACTAGACTTTTTTACAATATGAAGTGGACAAATCCAGATACACGAATTCTACTAGCTCTTTTTAACAACCTCTACTGTATGTACACGACGTGTTTGATCATTTACAACTATTTTTCCAATGAATAAATTACTTACTTGCATCTTTATCGTTTGCACATCTATGGTACTTCGTTTTTCTTTCATTCTTTTCCGCATAGTTAATAGAGACCGGAAGTGTCAGCCGCGTGTCGGATATTCTCGTTAGTCAGGACCGATTTTGGTTAGTAGACCTCTCCTCTTCATCTTTTTTGCATATGCATCTCCACTTAAAAACAATTCCTTGCCCTAATTGTTCTTGTTTGCTCCTACGTACTAGTACGACAAACACAAAACTACAAAAAACTCTATTTTGTCAATCCTCTTGTTACATTTGCGAAAAGAACTCGTAATTTGCATCATGCATATTACTGGATTTGGTTACTAGGTTAGGTTATGGATTTATCAATCTGTACAAGTACAATTTGTTATAAATAAGATCTAGATCATAGTATTCTACTGCACTCGAAGGTGCATCTGTGTAGTTCGTGTTGTTTTCACAATAAGATAATAATTCTCTCTGTCCATCTATTCTATACATGTTTTAATACAGCAGCTCCCTCGCTGCGTCTACTTGGAGGTGTTCTTCATCAAGTGGAGGTCTCCTTACTGTGGATTGACAAGCATTCGGCCGAGTTTCGGATCTACCTCGTGCACGTGGAGAAAGTTGCGATCCTGCAAGTCGCCCTGTTGATCGAGCCATTCGCAGATGCCCTCAGCCTCGGCGTTGGTCATCACATTATCCTCGCAGAGCCACTTTATGAGGTCGTGACAGCTGACGCCGAGGTAGAGTCCCCGCTTGCGCCACACTTTCTCGAACGAATTGTTGCTCTTGTCGCCTGCCTCCGCGAAACGGTCTTTCCACAAACGCCAACGACTCTCGGTCTCCGGATCTAGGTCGTTTATCGTGAGCGACATGTTTTCTGCGGCCTGGCCTAGCGAGTCCCACGTGCTCTTCAAGTTGCCCTCGTACTCTAGGCCGCGCAAGGCGCGACAGAATTGCACGAAGTCGATGCTGTGCTCGCCGTTTGGCGCGAAAGCGGCGGACCAAGCCTTCTTTAGCGATCCGTGCTTCTCCCGAGCAACCGTCAGAATATTGATGCAATCGGGACTGTACGTAGGCGGAAATGGCTTCTTGCCAAACTGCACGCGAGTCGTTCTCTCGGGAAGTGAAAATTCCGCCGCCGCGGAAGCAGCAGGACTTTCCGGAGCCTGATCACCAACAGCAGATGCGACAACCGAGTGAGAGCTGGCCGGTCGAGGCTAATAAAGAAGTTGTCAATTTCAGAATCAGGCGGCCATTGAGTCGTGTCAACACTAGCAAGAATCATGTTACAACTGCGAAAACCATATTTTCTAATGCAGCTTTTCGACGCATTATGCTACGTCTTCTGGAGAATCGATCTGGTGTTGTTGCATCAACTATAATGATTACCCGAGGTCAAGTTGTAACGGAAAACAATATCTGTCGAAAATACTGTACCTCCGCGGATGCCGCAGCAGGGCTTCCTGGAGCTGCTGGACTACCCAAGGCCTTTGCACTAGCGTTTCCGCTGCCAGGACTCCCAGGTGGCGAGCCTGACTTGCGTCTCGATTCTCTCCTTGAACTATGTCCCCCTGGGTTGATACCAAGCTCCTTCGTTGTTCCCGGATCGGTTACCTCGGAGAAGCTTTTCGGAGTCTCCCCATCCGCTAGTGCCCGCGCATCTTCTTCCGTCATTTCACCCTTTTTCGTCACTTTGATTAGAAATCCCTATCCAAATCTCTGTTACTACAACAGTACTGCTCTTTACATCGATGGATGATCTTTATCATGATGTTGGTAAATAAGATAAAGTTATAGTGTTAGGCACCACACGCAGCGCTTTACAACATGTTCATGTTCAAGTTCATGTTAATATGTTTTCCACCCCTGCTAGCTTGCAGAAAGAAACAACCATCCAAGTACTTAGATTAAGTCCTCTTTGAGATGAAATGTGAATTCAAATTTAGTAATCCATAATGTAAACTTCCGCTCGTCCTGCGGATTCTCCCTAAGGTTGTCAGACTCCCATCGCATGTGAATCTGAAGGTAGGTAGGATCAGTGGATTTTTTTACACGTTGAGCAAGCATTTCTTGTGGTCTTTAAGCACAGACTCACTCAAACTCAATAAAGGCTGAGTATAATATAGAATGTTGATCCTTTCATACGACTATAATTACAGCAAGTTGAAGAACATCAAGTTCGAATCGAAGAAGGGTAGTATGTCTTGAGAGGGATTACTCTATTAGGGCCACTTGGTAACGACCGAGATATTTTGTTTTACACATAAATTTATGGGATGGCTCGGATGGAACGGATGGACTTCCCACCATTTCAGGTAGGATCGGAAGATTTAGGAGGGTCCATCCGATCCATCCAAGTCCATTCACATTCTACATCCGTTCTATAAATCATTCTAATTATAATTAGAGTTAAACAACGTAAAATCTAATAAATACTTCGTCTTGTTGCCGCTCAGCACTGTTCCGCGAGAAGGTCGTCAGCTTCGATGGATTGCCGACTCTTGCGAATTCAATTGCTGTTCCTCGTATTCGTTTCTTGTTCTTCGAATCCAACCAGTCGAACACGTTCTGGATGTCGTATGGCTTAAAATTGAATGGTAGCAACATTCGTGCAAACGCATCGTGGTCCACCTCGTTTGACGTGCCAATGTGGTACGGATGAAACGCGTCCAACAAGTTACCAAAACGCTGATGGATCGAACATTTGAAAAATATCAATGTCAATGGATTTCATTCTACTACAACGGCTAGGTAAAAAGTAAGTATATCATTCACCTGCTTCTACACCAAGCTCTGATTTCTTTTCGGCGTACGTAATTCTTGTTATTGAGTAGTTCCTGCACTTCTATAAGAAGAGAATCGAGTGTTCAAGAGAACAATTGTCTTGTTCACAAAACAAAACGCACTTCAGCATCAGCGGATGAGTACCTGCAGAAGCTGGAATTGAACGTCTCTGAGGCATTCGTGTGCGCGAGGATTGAAGTCGCTCATTGCTACCATGCCACTGCCTTGGTAATCAAGTGTTTTGAAAACTTTGTCAACGCTACCATAATACTGCAATCGCTTCTTGCAAGCATCCGCGAATTCATCGTATGTTAACATTCCCTTGCCCTTGGGATCCAGAGCCTTGTACCTTTTTTAAATGTCAAGGAAGGTGTAGAAACTTTTGACATGATCGAACGAGGACTCTTCTCGTGTTCCTGCTCCGTCGTACCGAGTGTCTATCAGATTCAAACACCAGCTACACACAACGACGAACTAACTTGTTGTTTCAAACCGAAAGTAAAAGCTATACACAGATTTGCTAGACAAACGAACTACCAGGCGTCTCGTGTCGTAGCAAACTTCCGCTTCAAAGTTCCCAGGAAGGCCATGGTCACGCGGCAAGTCGTGTAATTCGGATCCGGAAGATTCGAGTAGTCAGTTACTGCCTCGTCTGGGAGCGGTGGCGCAGTTATTGCGCTAAAGCCGCTTGCCGCCGTTGTCATCATTGGCGATTTTGCCCCACTAGGATGCGACTTTCCGCCTGTTGTCGACAGCTTCCCACCAGATGCTGTTACAACAAGAAAGAGAGAAGAAAGCAGAAAATAGCTGGTTGGTTCATAGTCATGGTCTGTCAGCAGATACGGATTCTTCTAGGAGTCACGAGCATAGACAAAAGAAAGCATGATCAACCACCTTGTACTTAGTTAGCCTTGGTGAGTACCCCACGATTGCTGTGTGCTCATAGGCGACGCAGTGGGACTTGTGCCTTTCTTCTTCTTGTGCGGTGTTTCCACTCCAGCCCAAGAGTCCTTCGCTCCTCGCGACCTGGCTAAAGCGGATTCCTCGCAAAAATCCTTCAGGGTGATGTAACCCGAACTAGACCCTATGACCTCAACTCCGTTTGTGTTAACATGCTCAAAGACCTGGCGGAGGTGGTGGTGGTGAACATGCGGTTATAGAAGTTGAAAGAGAAGATGAGGAAAGCAAGGATCTATCAAACTAGTCTTCGCCCATTCGTTTATTAGGTTAGAATTAATTACGAATTACGATAAACAACTACTAAGGTATAGAAGTACAAAGTACCTTTTTAGCGTCACCATTCCAGCCGAGCTCCGCACAGCGTGAAATAAAAACGGCCATTCGCAAGTGGTCTTTCTTTTCGGGGTCAACGAAATCATTCCATGCTCGAAGAATGGAACCATAGGTATCAATCATGAAATACTTGAGTTAGAGCTGCTCATTTTTTCTTGAATACAAATTCAAAACTAGACATATTGCAGTGTGATCAGCAATTGTGCGTCTTCATCCCACAAGATCTAGTACAAGAAAAATTCACGAGACGGAGACAACATGAATAAAAACGATGGATAGGCTGAGGTAGATCATTACAAAGTAGCCTTAATTGAGATCCTTTGTTACCGCATGCCCTTTTGGATCGACCTCTGCTAGGCTCACGTGGCCGTCTTTTTCGAGCTCCTGCCAGAGATGCCGCATATTGGTGTCCGCACCGATTGTGCGGGCAGCGTAGCTTAGAGGCATACAAAGGAAAACAAAGCCTGGCACCGGCACCTACTCATGCCTGAAACAACCTCGTTACAATAATGTGTGTGGACTAGACGGCGACTAACCAAAGATTAAGTGCTAACTACCCTGCACTAGAATATAAATGATCTAAACGAACACATAAGTAGTTAAAAATAGAGGAGAGGGTGAGAGCAGAGGGAGCAGGAACAACCTCGTTATAATAATTATTCGATCAGGCCTTTTGTGCCTGTACTTGTTTTGTCTTTCACTGGGTAATGAGTGTATGAACTGGAACATAAGTTGCAGAATTCCGAAAAGCCCAGATAGCCGCGCCCATTTTTGTCGATGGCTTCAATCCACCCCTTGCGAACGGAGCCGTAGATTAGAGCAGCAGCTGCTACCCATATTAGGGCATCTCGTTTTCTCTATATTTTGTAGCGAGCGAGGAATCCTTTTTGTTACCTAATATAATTTTGATGTGTTGGCGAGTAGGATGGATTGTTGTTGTAGTTCTATATCTAAGTAACAAAGCAGCACTTAGATATTGCTAACGGGGAGGCATGTGCATATGGATGGAAGTTATTTTTAGCTAGTAGCCGTGAATATCCGCGTCGCAGGCGCATACGAAACTCTTTTGAGACGCCGCCGAAAGCAGTGCTAGTTGTTGATCTCGACTCCACATAGGCACGGTTGGCAAGTGCTGCTGACCGAGCATTCTCATACCTGAAAAATCATGGTAAAAGATACTTAACTGTATATAAGTTTGCGTCGATTACTGCGGCTTTTCGAAACACTGCGCCGAAATGATGAAGAATGATCATGAACATCTAGATTGTAAAAACAACCAATTTAGAATAAATTAGAAATGCTAGGATAGGATAGGATAGGATGCCGTTGCCGAATCTTCACGCAAGGCGTCAAAACGGACGGTAGTGGTCAGAGCGCGAAAATACAAATTTTTAGTACGACGAAGTCGTCTGCCTCTGCAAGAACTCATCAAATATTTGCTCTCGCCGATAGGTTACTGTTGTCTTGTCGCCATACTTATCGCGCCGTTTCTTGTCGTAAATTCGTTTCATCTCGTCGTGGCTTGGTGAACCAATCACGGGTAGCGATAACTTAGATCTATAATATATGAAGCAATAGCAACTCGGCAAAGAAGTATGTAGGTCATCTACTGTTGTAGTAAGATCAACATGGTAGACTTCTACGTAATTGCCTTTCTTTCGATACAGATAGTACTTGATCAGGTCGTTTCTTCAGCATTGAAGCGTTTGTTCGTTCTCTGACAAGACACTGTTGCTCAAAATGTTTTCATAAGAGGAGCCTCGGGGAAGCTGGGCATCTTAGTGCGAATAGGCGAAAGCGACGCCTGTTCCAGTTTCGCGGGGTCTGAAAGCTCCTGGATTTTTCTGTCGAAGTACAGAATCTGTTGCTTGTAATGCCGTTCGTACCTGAAGAAGGTAATCCGGTGGGGCCGGTTTAGTATCTTTGGGCGAATACGAGAAGAACGTCAAATTCAATCATCTTCCACCATGAAGATATGTATCTATAATATTCATCAGGGGACGGGTCGAACTGCTAACTCTAAATCTAATCCAAGAACGAAAGCATATGGTGCATATAATCGGATTCATATAATAAGTAAATGGATCTAAGTAGATGATCTATCAAGACCAGTCACGCCACTTATGCAGCATATCGCGTAAGTGATCATTTTCCTCTTGCAGCTCCTGGACTCTTGCACATAGCTCCGTTTTGCTCGTCTTCGGACTCGGCGAGTACAGCGACTTCATCATGGCAGGTGGGTCTTCACCCCCCGTCGGAGACAGGTGTCGCATAGGCGACGACATCTTCAGATGATCGTGATATTCAACTCTCGTTCTCTTGTTGGAAAAGTTTCTCGTCTAAAACATATGAGTATGTTGACGTGCATGTACAACAAGAAATTCTTTATCTTCTTTCTGCGTAAAGTAATAGCAAGTGCAAGAGTGAAGAATCAAAGTGAAATTAGCAAGTACTTGATACGTGGACGAGACGCAAAAGGAAAGAGTCAGAGAAAGAAACCTTTCGAAGTGGAAGAAGCGGGAAGTAGAGAGCAGGATCGGGAGGAGTAGAAGCAGTAGCCCTAATACAAGCTGGTTGCTTGATCTCCACCGAATTATTGATTCGTGTTGAAGTTGACCGAATAAGCAGAAGTTTCATCAAACAACCATCTCCTGATAACCACACACCGACCATTCGACTTCACTTTACTTGTCTGATCAGATGATCTAGCGATCATATTCCCTTTATACCGATTGAAGCGTACAAGTAGAGCGACGGGATGCGTCCGTCGTTGATTAGTATTCCATTAGTAAAATCCAGAAGAGAGCCGCAACTCCAACCCCAGAAGTTCTGATAGTGACCGAAATCAAGTACTCCTGATGGAGGAGATTCAGTCCAAGTAATCGAAATCGGAACAGTTGAATATCATGCTGCGTTGCGTCCGATCGCATGGCGTCCGGGAATCGAAATCCATCTTTCTTGTTGTTATTTCTTCAAGTGGTGGAGGGAATACAGAGCACAAATCCGTTCGTTTCAACATGAAGGCTCCACCTGCAGTATTATGGTGTAGTACAGTCTCTCCATAAATAGAAATAATACCATGTGTAATTAGGATATTAAAGGAGTAGGAGGTGACACAATTAATAGTACTAGCAACCTCCTTGTTACATTTGTATGTTGTTATGAATCGTCATCATGTTGGAAGGACCTCTGCTATACAACTACGAAGGATGCTTGACACATCTTTCTTGCTGTATCACGCATAGAGTGATGCCAGAACAAGAAGATGATGATTGAAGAATGTTGCAATATTAAATTTCTTGATAGATAGATATAATGCGATATCATGAAGACGAAGACCACGACACGCATCTTCGGTATATCTCAACCTCGAACAATTCGACAAGTTGTGGTTAGACATGAACCTCTTCAATATTGTCCTTCTGGGTGACGATGACGAAGACTGATGAATGTGAATCTATCGCATGTAGTATTAGTAGTGGGTATTGATCAAGAAACACATCAATTGCATTATGGGCAAGTCTGAAGCACGAGGATCTCCTGCTGCTTTTCTACCTAGCTGTAGTATGAAGATTGCGATAGCGATTTATCAAGAGTGGAGTCGTGAACTGATGGTGGACTGTAGGAGAGCGAGAGGGTGTTAAGGAAGTGTTACTTCATGAGTGCCTCACTCGGAGCCGTCAAGACGTCCTCCCCTTCCGTTCGTTGGCGAGTCTCGTCGTCGTCTACTACCTCTAAGTGAGATAGTGATGATCTTCTAGTACTTCTACCTGCTGCAACATCACAATTTTTTATATCATGAACAGAGTCGTGGCATAGCGACAGAAAATCAAAAATAATCAACGAGGAGCCGACCGTTTTTAACTAATCGCCGCTAGATCACTTACCTGATGCTGATAATGCATGATATTCGAATCTGAAAAGAGAACGCGCTGAGCACTATTCACCGCATACAAAGTCTGTGAACAATCATCCTCAGGAGTTTGAGTTATTCTTACTTATTTGCTGATTCACATCCTCGAATTCAGAAGACGAACGCCGATTTTTCTAATAGATAATAGATACGTTCAACGTAAATGAATAAGAATCGTCCATGTAGTTCGCCAAGAAAACCTCCACAGCCATAGATACAACGATGAGAACAACATGACGTTGTTGAGGAGCACGGGCTGGAGCCTAGACGAGCGAGTTTCCTCGTCACGCCATTTTAGCAGCCTCTCCGCTGAGAGCGGTCATCGCATCCGACAGAGGTACTTTCGCACAGCCCGCGTCGGTGTATTTCTTGAAATCGAAATCTGGCGCAATTCCGCGACACAATTCCGGGATGACGTAAGTGTTGAAACCGCTTTCAAATTAGAGGGCGTGCTTACTCGGTAAGAGAACAATTTTTTTTCATTTTGCTGAATACTTTCATACGAGAATCCCACAACTCTGCTTCATCATGATGTTCTTTGATTTTGATCTTATCACGAATTCTTATTAGTCACACGCTTGAAGTACGCTGACTACATTTTACTTCTCAATTGAAGCCGTAATTGACACTGTCGGTGGCAGAAAAAAACACGCAGAAGTCCGTCGCGAGCCCAAGGCAAAGCACATTTTCGACACCCTGTGTGATCATTTACGAAAAGCAGTGTTAAATACAACAAATACGAACGATGGTCATGCTCTAGTACGTAGGTTTAGGTCTAGCTGTATAAACGAACAGAGGGAGAGGACGAACTAGTACATTTACAATATTTATAAGGATGAAGCTCATTATTACAGGGTAATTTATAAGATTTGCCAGCTCGCAGGGCATGCGCATGGAGTGCTATGAACTGTTGCTCTGTTATTAGGTTACTTAGAATATCATGCAGTTCATACCTTTTCCTTCAGGTACGCAGTAAGTCCGGTCTCGTGGCCTCCGTCATCCTCGAAAGCGCTGTAGCTGTCCCACTTGGTTTTGGTTCCCTTCTGCTGAATAAACTCCCCCTCCTTGACTTCCATGACAAATTCGGCCCCCTTGCTTCCCTGCACGCAGTGTACAGGCCACATTGTCTGTTATGAAAAAAAAAATAGGATCGATGGACAAATTCTCCCGACCATGTTCTTGATCTCTCGTCCCCGTGGTCTATCACGATATAACAGATTCTTGGCGAGTAAATCTTTTCTAGCATGAGTAAAAGCTTTTGCGATAATATCGAGTGACTACCTGGTCGGTTTCGACCGTAGTTCCATCGTCCTTGTCGCGAACGAGCTTCTTCTGACTAAACGGCGCCGGCTTGTCTTCGTGAGATATCGCAAAGCTCCAATGATCCTCGGGATGCCAATCCTGCGACCAAGCGAGGCACCTAATGGCGCATATAGACCACGTAGGACAAGATGCATTTGCACACAAAACAACTAATTAACTCGTGCCAGCCCACAACGAACTAGTAGTAGCAAAAATAGTACTACCTACGAGAGAGGAGGATAGAAACAACGAACAAGCTGAAAAACACCAGAACAAGTGCGCTCACAATTTTCGTTTTGCGTTTCTGCAGGCCGTAACGAAGTCGACTACTGCGGTTTTGTAGTCCTCATAATTTGCTCCGGGGACTGCCAAATTTCCACCTTCCATAAAATCATGCTGGAAATCTACTACAAGAATCGCGGTTTTTTCGGAAGCCAGCAACTCTCCGACATGAAGGATGATCCATCAAGCTCAAAGTGCAACTTACCAGGAGAAATTGATATACTTAAGTACATAATATCTTTGACGAGCCAGCTATCTTCAAACATCGAACTAATCGTGCTCGGCTTTCTAATCGTTGTAGAGCCAGAGTTATAGTCGTGCGGCTAGGTCTACTATAAAGATAGTGACGGGCATGTACTACAAGAATCGCAACAATTAGGTTAGTCAGATGTCTTGTTCGTGCTTCGTAAGCGACTGAAGCTTTTGGCAAAAGTCCCACGTCTCCGGAGCTGACGATGCCGGGAGACGGCGCCGCTTCGCCTTCGGCGGCGGCTTGTCGTGGAGTCTCCTCTACTGGCGCCGATGGTGCTGCTGCCTCCTTGTCCAAATCACGTCCGCGAACAAGATTTCCTCCAGCACAACACGCTACCATATTGTCCGTTCTAGTTCTTGTAGTGTAAAAATAATACTTAGAAGAATAGCGTTTCTTTTGTTATGTCATAAACGAGAGAACGAGCAGAATGATGTTCCAACCTTGCTGGTATTTTGTAAGTAGGTATGTTGTCAAGCAAATTCACTTCCGGTGGATGGATTTCACTTTAACTTGAGCAATGACAAGGCGTTGTGTAGTCTATTGAACTAAGTTGTAATGTACGAAATTAAAAACAACCTAAGGGTATGGGTAACGACATGGCTTGAAATATAATGTGATTCTGATTACAGAATGAATTTGTTAAATTTTCGCCCAGTAAAAGTACTATGTGAATGTAAAATCTATTGCTGTATTCCGATTTGTAAAGTAAGAAAAAACCGAGCAAGGGACGGTGCCGCAGTCTTTGTTACTTCAGTCTGTCATCGCTTTCGCTGTTAAAATTGGCCTGGAAACAGTACACCTCATGCAGGAATATGCTCTCTCGCGTGATCCCCCTCATGAATTTCTTTTCCACCTCCCTGTGATATTAAAAAAGCATGTTTAGAATATCTAGAAACTTAGTGTAAACTCAAAGATGAAGACTCTTATTATGCTATTAAAAGATTGACTTTCTCTTCATGATAGATTGTGCGCAAATCGCACAACAAGTATATATATGCACCAGGGAGGGAGGCCCCCCCCTGTGGATGGATCTGTGGTGGACCACGCCAGAGGGGTCCAGCCTGGCCACCTTTGCGCGGTCTGTATGGTTGGCCACATGCAGCACGCCAAGGGGGTGGGTCCCGCCTTGCCTACTCTGCCAGCTCTGTCGGGTACCGCAACACGCCAGAGGGCGCCAGCCTTGCCATCTTTGCCAGGTCTGTGACATGCAACAAGGCAGGGGGGCCCTGCCTTTGCCACCTTTGCCAGGTCTGTAGGGTACACGCAACAAGGCAGCGGGGCCCTGCCTTTGCCCCCTTTGCCAGGTCTGTAGGGTACACGCAACAAGGCAGCGGGGCCCTGCCTTTGCCACCTTTGCCAGGTCTGTAGGGCACACGCAACAAGGCAGCGGGGCCCTGCCTTTGCCACCTTTGCCAGGTCTGTAGGGTACTCCCAACAAGGCAGCGGGGCCCTGCCTTTGCCACCTTTGCCAGGTCTGTAGGGTACATGCAACAAGGCGGGAAGGGGTCAGAAGTGGGCGCTCTGAGGCCTTCCCGCCCGGCAGCCCCTCGAAAAGAGGGGCCGGGGCTGGCAGGCCCCCCCTCCTCAAGAAGTTAGATCGGGGGGGGCCTCCCGCCCTGAGCCCTGGAACATATATATATAATAGCTTTAGCTACACTTCTGACTGAGTGTCAAAAGATGCAAAATTGTCCTTTTTTCATCATGTCGAACACACTTATCAACACGACACAGTGCCCGATCTCGATGTTTAGATGTAACTTAACGGTGACTGCTTGTGCAAAAAAAATCGCATGACTTGGACTTGCTGTCTCGAAACTCTTTGCGGCAGACTCACCTGAGTAATCTCAGAACAAGAACAAGGGGATGTTAATTAATAAGCGGAAGGAGCAGTTGAAGTTGAAGAGTCTTTGATATTGTTCATGGTTGCATTCACACTCCTTGTTTCTCGAAACATGATACCGACGACATGATTTCCAGGACCATCTTCAGTGAAGAGTGTTTTGTGTTTGCTTTTCTCAAGCCGTATTCTCGCTAGATTTCGCGCGTCACCATGAAGATAATAGTCGGCGGTCTTGGCCTCGCTGTGCATGTCGTGGTACCCTATGAACGCAATCGCGGCAAAGCGTTCCAAAAGCTCTTCACCCCAGCGGACAGCAACGCCGCCCTTAGGTCCGTCAAGGAAGAGGCAAATTGATGGCTTCGTGCTGTCTCGGACCTCAACACGCCCTTCCACAGGTGCTCCTGCGATACTCTGATTCCCAGTACAAGTAGTCGACTGGCGCCGAGACAATGCAAAATACGACACTTCTGTGAAGTCGAGCTCTTTCCATATGCTCACCGCTTGCCTTCGTTCCGCCTGTCCTGAGCTCAAGGACGAGGAGGACGCTTCAGCGTTGAGGAACTCCAAACGTTTTGCAGTCAGTTGGCCTAAGATTAGCGGAAGAAGCTCGAAGGCGTCTCCTTCCAACATGGTAAGAGGACTAGGATTCCCGCCGTGACCTCCCGAGTCCAGATTGTGGTCCTCCAGATGAAGATTCTTTTTAACCTTTTCATCTTGTTGATCAACCTTCGCTTCCGGGTCCGGGATCATGTCATCAATAAAACGGACAGATGACTGCCTCCGGGTCGTACAAAAAGTTTCCCTCGCACGTAGAAACTGCCGGTCTACTGAGATAACGCGCCCAACACCAGGCGGGAAAAAACGCTCCGCATATTGACACCAGTACTCCGTCGAGCTTCCCTGGAAGACACCGCTTTCTACGATAACCGGACAGCCAGCCTCTTGCGCATGGTGCAAAAAGAATTGCGCTTCGCAGGGCAATATCCCGCTATCGACCGCAGGTCCTTCAGGAATCAGGGATTGCGGGGGCAGTTGTTGTTCATCATGTGACTCGCCTTCCGGTCGCGCTTTCTTCCACTTTTGATACTTGAAACTATGTGGATCTGCTTTTTGCGTAGCGTCCGCTCCTTCAACACCAACTTGTTCCAAGTTCTCATCGCTGTAGCAATAGTTGAAGGGATTTCTCGTCTGCCGCGATTCCCTCTCCAAGGCCTCTCCGTCCCCGATCACATGCATCCAATCTGCAAGAAGATCAGGTCCTAATGGCTTATCGCGAATAAGAACGAGGTCTTTATTGGTGCTAGTACTTCGTCCGAGGGCATCAACATTTCGAGTACTACCTCTAGCACGATCTTCTGTCTCATCGCTCTCGCCAAGGTCGGGAGCGATGAAATGTTGACAATGTGTGCCCAATTTCTCGACGTTGTCTTGATCCGGTCCGCCACCAGAATTAACCACTACAACGTGTAACTCTCGTCGTCTAGCTCCAACGACTCGACAGAAGTAGTCTTTCATCAGATTTGCTGCCAGAGTGTGTTCGTCAAAAGAGTCGCTCGTTCGAAAGTTTTCCTGGAAGCTTTCAACAATGCTTGATTGTAGCGCTTCAAAAAGCGGCGACCAAGCGACTTCCGGATAATTTTTGAACAATCGAGCGACCAGGGAGTCTTTCCTGTAAACGATTCTTACCGCGCTACCTGCACTAGTGCCTACATTTCTATCGTGTTGTGCCTGTAGCTCTTCCTTTACATCAAGTCCGTCACCAATATGAATATTTGCTACAGCTGGTGCGCTCGCATCAAGCCGCTCCTGCTGTTCTATCGCTTGCCACGTTGCAAAAAAGCCTTCCCGTTCGTGTAGAAAGTCGCGCACCGCAGGGTCCCCATCACCACTGACGGCAGCAAGGAAAAATTGTAAACCCAAAGAGCCAATCGGACACTCCACGGGTGCTACCACCTCCAACACATCTTCGTGGTCCTGACTGTCGCTTGTGTGGTTTTCCTGTTCACTCCTAGGTGTTCTGGTGCTCCCAAGTTGGGACGTGGCGTATCGCATCGCGGGATCCACCAGATCTTCGCGACGCAGTTCAAGCTCCCCGTGCCTCGGATACCATGCCCACAAGCGCAGAGCGGCGAGCACGCGTCGCCACCATGCTTGACCCAAGCATGCCGCAACGACTGGCGGACGAAAAGCAATTGTACTGTAACCCGTAACTGTTACTTCACGACCCAGTTTGTCCACCGGATCACGACTCCTGTCGTCCTTCATTCTGTTCATCTGATTCGTTACCTATAATCAAGAGCTAAAAAAAAGTCAGGAACTTCCCACCCAACCTCGAAGCGAAAGCTGCACTTGAACCAAAAACACGCAACTCCCGTAAGAAGTTTTTCCACTCTCTCTTCGTCTTCCAACAAACACAACATGTGAACAAATGAACACGCGAACGCGTGAACTCCTGATCTCATGGACATGGTACGGCTGCAGTTGTTGCCAGATGCGGTTTAATTCAAAACTTAAACGATAAAGTCATCAATTTTGCAATCCGCGCCTAAATTTGTGATTTTCTCAATCAAATTCTAAATTTGTTCGCTTGTTTGATTGTTTGTTTGTTTGTTTTGATGCGCTCCGGGCGACGCGTACGATCCCACCGGAATCTAAATTTCAAAATTGAAAACTTAAAATTCGAAACTTCAAGTTCAAAGTTGCAAATTCCAAGTAAGTTTCAAACTCAAAAACTAAACCTCCTGGCTTAAAAGAAAATACAAAGCTTCAAATTCAAAATTTTCACGTTCCGAGTATATTCAAATTCAAAATTTAAAGTTTCAAACTCAAAGCCTCGGGCCCAAAACTTCAAGCCTGACGCTTCAAATTCAAAGCTTTGCATTTAAAGTGTCAAATTCAAAATTCCGAATCCAAAAATTGAAGTTTTGAAATTAAATTTAAAAAATTCAGCCCGAAAACCTTGGGCGTGCGCATTCCTCTTTCAATTTCTGCGGCTCCTCCCCCGCGGGTCAGCTCCGCCTGGAAAGCGTTGCGATCTTGCTGAAGAGGAGCGGAGGAGGCGCGCTTTGACAGAAGAAGTGCCTGGAGAATGTGGAGGATTCTAGTGGAGGGAAAGCTGTCGGGAGCTGAAGTCTAGTAATCTAGACTTCAACAAGCTGGGTCTCCACAAGACGCGGACACGAATGAATAGAGTCGTCGTGAGAGATCATGTACTTAACCACCACTCCACTGGTATTTCATTTTGCAACTGTAGTCACACCTGCTCTCCCGCTCCACCGAAAACGTAAGTAACATCCTATCTAATGCATTGATTACAGCTCCACGGTGGTAGTTGTTTGCTTCACACATCCTCACATGCAACAACTGATGTACGGCTTGGTGGTCGCTTCTCGTGCGAAATAAAAAGACAAACACAAAGTCGACCACCTAAGAACACTCAGTATTTCTTCTACTAGCGAAAATGGCTTATCACCAGTAGACCTACTCCTCTGAACTGCGGTTGACACAATAAATAACTTTTCCACTAGTGCATGTATTGTAGAGGCTTTGTGTCGTGATGCGTCGAAAAATCAACACAGAGAAAGATTAGCGTTAGTACATTTCATGCTTGTAGTTGGGTAGGAATGGGGACCAATGGGGAAAGGATATTCAATGGAAGAGTAGCAGAAAAGAGGGACAGCAGACGCGCTTCAGCAGGAATTGAAGCAGGACGCAAGCACCCGATGTCGCGAGTGAATTTCGGCGTCGCCTCCTCACCTATTCTTCGGTGAACTTTTTGCATCTGTAGGGCTTTTGTCGTCTGGACTTGACCCTCGTGACGTTTTTCCTTTTGGCGAGCCTCCTCCTCGGCTACTGGCTCCCTAAGAAATATTTTTCAAAGGCATATAATGGCGGTGTCTTTGTGCTTGAATGTTGATGCTATTTACTGTACTCAGTTAATGTACTACCAGATGGACAAATATTTTGAAAATCGAAGGCTTTATTTTACAATTCGAAGACAATTTTCATGCTAAAAGAGAGACGCTGTTCCTAATGAATCGATTCATCGTAGCTCCAAAGTTAGACGGACAGAGGTACTCCTGTTGCCGAGGTTCCTGAAGTTCGCCTGGCCGGAAGTGGTGCTACTTCCTCCTCGTCTTCAAAGGTTCTCCCTGGTGGTATTTTGAGTCGCAGCTTCTTGCAAAGCCACTGCCTCACTTGGGCGGGCGCGAGATCCCAAATGTCTTTTTGATCATTCGTAAGCATTTTCGGATCAGCCTTTCTCTGTACCAGGAGAAACGTCACTTCCGGATGGAAACTGTAGCTGTTCAGGCTTAGACGAAAATATTTTATAGTAGCAGAAAAATCAATGACAGGAGACTAGTATTCATAGACATATATTGCCCCATACCCACCGCCCCTTGGGCTCGAGTAGAATCTCCGAATTCCAATTCTTCAATCACTTGATGTTGCTACAAAATAAGACCAAGTAGTACCACGTACTACAACGAGCCTTAACATGCACAAATGTATCAAGCACAGACCGCTGTCCGGACAGCGAGTGTTCGGTGAGACGAAAGCATTGAGTGCTGCTCGGACTTTCGCCACGTCCTTGTCCAGCACCGCCTGAATGATATCCTTCGGCCCGAGGTCGAAGTCTGCTGTTAGACCCATTCTACGCTTTTGCAACTTCTCCATGTCAGCCTTGTTGCGTGCAGCTCGCTGTGGTCGTTATTTTGAATATGTTGTTTGAAGGGAAGATAAGCCTAAGGATAGAGGGGAAAACTGTAGTTGTTTTTAATATTTTATAAAAAAATCAAAAGCATAATTTTCAGCCAGGGAGGATGCGTACTAGAAGATCGCAAAAGCAATGGCAAATCGCCTAAAAAAAATAAGACTTCGAATTAGAATTGATATTGAAAAGTAAGTTCAATAAAATGTAATACCCTAGTTTGCGTGGTGATGACTTCGCGGCCCACCATGTGCCACCTGCCGATGATTGCCGGGTATTTGCCGTGTATTTGCATCGTTCCGGCAATGGCTTCTTCAATTTTTGCGCCTTCCTTGGAAGCCACCGCGACGGTGAGCATGGTGATTGCGTCATCCAAGTCCTGCTGTGCTACTTCCTGAGCTTCCGCGACTTTTTTCATCGCAATCCTGCATCGCTTGTTGAGCGGCCAGCAGTCGATGTCGTCGGCGATGGCCTTGGCGCGGACGAGGACGTCCTGAGCCGCTTCCAGCTCGTAAACGGCCATCTTTTCCAGCTTCGTACTGCCTTCGTACCTTGCCAGAATTTCGAGCACAGACTCTTTCTGCAACTGCTCGCTGCGCTTCTCGTTGTCCGTCTTGTTGAAGTCATTCAACCAAGCGGCCTGCTCCACGAGGCTTGGCACCACACTCTGCTCAACCACCGGACCCTCGTAGTTCAAATCAGTGCCTCCGTGCATCGGATCCCGGATCGGCTGGCCCGCGTGATCCACAGCATATCTGTATATCGTTGACGTTTAAGTATGTAGAGATCGAGATCGTGAAAATAAACAAAAATAATTATATTATAAAAATATACGTCGCAGCGACATACTGGTAACAGTACATGCAGCGCAAATTAAAGTTGTCATGATACAACTACAACTAGATCATCAATCTTCAGGAAGAGAAGCAGAAGTTGCGCAAGAAGGCAAGTAGTCTGATTTTAAAGGAGTTATCCCATGCAGAAGTCTTTTGCTATATTAATTTCCATATTTTACTGAAGTAGATGTACCTTTGATCCGTCGGTGCCATGAGCAGCAGCGTGTCTGGAGTACCGTCGTGAGTTTGAAAAACGGGGTTCCGTTTCGCAAACTCTTCCTCCTGCTCGATTGCGGCTTTCCGCCTGACGTCATCCATGACCTCATCCTCAGCGAGTGCGTCGACTTCTGCGTCCAACAAGTAGCCCTCGTTTATCAATTTGGATGCTCTGTCGTAGTTTTCCTCGACTAGAAATCCCTCGTAGGCGGACATGTACGCGGACTCGATCAGCGGCACCTCTTTAATCTGCGTGCGTTGCAGGTCCGTCAGCCGGCTCAATCTCTCCACCTCAGCCCGCGCAAACTCGTCGCTCTTCCAATTCTCCGATTTGTGAAGCTCGCTGCAGTAATTAGAGCTAGAATCATAGATAATCACCATCACATCATCATCATACATCTTCCTCATCATATCAATACGACTGCGTCTTTCAAGTACTTCAGATAGTACAGACGCGACTGCGACAGAGTCATATTCTAATACAACTGAAACAAACGGAATACTCCATCTCAAGATAAAGATTCCTCTTCTGGTGCAAGCAAAAACTGCTGATGATTGAAGATGACATGCAATGATTGGTTCTTCATCTTTAGAACAAGTACAAACTACAACATCACATCAAACTAACTTGAATCAACAGCAGCCTTGCCATATCAAATTGAATTTCACCGGTTTCTGGATTTGTCCGGAAAATCGGGTACTTTTCTCGTCGCTTTCGGTCGAACTCCCGTGCGCTTTGTGAAGGTACTAGCACGTTTGTCTGCCCGCCGCTCGCATGATTTTCTATGGCCGTCATTGTACCTGGACGAAATAAGTTGTGATAACACCGTGCTAGTTTCCTGATGGATGCCGAAGGTAAAAATTAGACTGCAGAGCCAGGAGGATAAGCCAAAAGTCCTAATGTCCAAAATCATGCATAGGAGGTCACAGCTGAAGACTTCTATGCAACCTAATTATCAAAAACAAGAAGCGAAAGTAAGCAAAAGTGCTCCAAGGTGGTCCCTGATCATAATATTGATATTCGAGCTTCTTGAAGGGAAACTTGGTCTCGAGGATTAGAACTAGAGACACTACTCTCCGTTCATCTTGTAAGTGAAAATTCCTCACTTGTAGTTGTAAGTAAAAATTGCTACAAAAAAGTTGAACTCGAAATTCAGTGTCATTCAGTGGAACAAGTACCAAAAAGAAGTTGTTTTTGTAAGTACATTTAATGTCTCCAGCGTATATCTTCGTCATGTTTTTCTTGACCTGCCAGTTTCTCCATTTGTAGAGGCAGAAAAGGACTATGAGGAAGAGAACATACGAGCCGGAAACTGCGACTGAGCCGACCAGACAGACAGTCGGAGGCATCGGTCCTCCGCGACACTCAACTTTTGGCGGACTCAACGTTGTGCCAGTACACCGCATTACCGGAAACGATGGAAAATAGTCCGTATCGCAATTTATTGTACATGTCGGACCACGAACATAGGTGGTATAACCCTCCGTACACGGCGGCTTCCCTGCGTTCTCGATCTCGGGAAGAAGGCACTCTCGAACCTCGAGCTCGCAACTCTTACCCGCAAACGAGAGGTCACACGCACAATCGCACGCCAACGTTGTCTGATTCCTGTTGTAAATGATTCATTATGACCAAGATCGTGTTCGTTTTTATTGTTGTTTCCAGATGAACATACATCTTCCTGATGTATAGTAAAAGCCACGTCAACAAGGAGCGGCACATTGACTTTGATCATGTGCTGTTGACCGAGATGCGAGAGAGAGTATACAAGTTAGTAGCACGGACATCTCGCGTCTTCGCCTTATTGGTGATCGAAGGAAAGGATGTGAAAAACTTCAAGACCTCAAGAAGAGAGGAATACCGTGTGGCTATTCCGTGGCCATTGCAGTGCGTGTCACGAAAGCATGGCTTGGCTCGCATTTCGGCTCTCCAGGCAGTAATTTGTGACCCGAGGAGGCACTGTATGGTCGAGTGGACCGGGAATAGCAGCATTTCGGGTCGACGACACTCCTGCGTCGTTACCGTTGGAAAATACCCACTTGCACAGTTGACGGTGCAACTTTTTCCTGGCTTGATGAACTTGCCTTCCACGCACGGGACCGCGGCGTTGATGTTCGGGACCTCCCGCTCAGTCGCGCCTACGCACTGCCCGGTAAGAAGTACGTTCTGTGGCGAGTTTGCGTCGGCGAACTGCGCAATTGCTTGCGCCTCAGTGAGACCCTGCCATATGCTCGTCTGCAACTCGTAGCAGATTGCACCAACAACGCTTCCGCTGGATGCGTCCACGAGGTTGCCGTCATCGCACTCCAATACCGGCTCGTAGTACTGTTTTCCCGGAATCTTTCCACCTGGTGTTATTGTTATCGATATGTACTACTACTAGTGATGATGGTGATCAACATCATTACGAAATCATAACTATTCATCATGTTGAGGAACACATCAAGCAAGCTCTCTCAAGAACAGGGAAGATCAAACTAGGTGGTGGTGTTGGTGGTGGTCTGAGGCTCCAGTCGCATACTCATTATCCAAGAATTTTCTCAATACTCGTCCTCAACAAATTCTTGTTAACATCAACGTGATGAAGATGAAGGTACAACATGAAGATACACTTCGAAATTACTTTTGGATTTTCTTGCCTTATTATAAAAGCACCAGATTATATATTTATAATGTGTCTAAGTGGTCAATTTTGATGTAGTCATTGTAGAAACACGAAAAAATACCGCATTTGATCATGCACTCGCTTCCGCTCGTGAGAACTGGTTTTTCCCCTGGACCATGTTCGGCGCAGTAATCGGTAGGCCCCAAAATATCGCCGACGTCGCATGTGGCCGTAGTGATGCACGACATTACGATAATGGGTATCAAGCAGGCCAGATAGAGGATGAAGGTCCCCAGCGCGATTTTGCATGCTGCTATCTCGGACGCCCCAACCTCGAACATAAATTTCTCCTTGTTCAGACCAACAGCTGTGAGAATATCGCCAATAGTCTGTCGCCATACGTCATCTTGTTTCCTCGCTGCGCCTGGACCCGACGCAATGGCAGTGCTCGACCCTTGAAGCTCGCGGCTATTCTCTGCCCCCGCGGATCCTCCTGGCGCATCTTCGATCGCGTATTTCATTTTTGTGGCCGGCTTTTCCAAATTTCCAACTTTGAATTGCGCCTCGCTAAAGCAGATGCAACGAGCTCGAAAACGCACGAAGAACCACCCCCTTCCCACGCACTACGATTTTTTCAGCAAGCTGCCAAGAAGACCGTAGCAGGCTCACCTAATTCAATTCGAACAAATCCTCTCTCGGAGCGGTTCTGTGGGTTACTGCTCAGTCCAGTAGACTTACTCTATATCTATTCGGTTGCTGCCTGTGAGCGTGCCTCTGCAGCATCTGCGTGTTTCCATTCTTCGCACATGACCCCAAGAGTTATCATGTTGGTAGCCAAATGTCCACCCAGTCTGCCTTCTTGTCGATTACACACAGCCTCTTTGCAATCCAAACGTGCTCTTCCTGACGGCGGCTAGTCAGCTGACCAACTTGCATCCGACGAATGTCAACGTAGTCGTCGTCAAACGCTAAAGCTGCTTCATCTGTTAATACGGCACAGCTCGCTTCACTTACCTCTTCTTCTAGTTGCTGTAGCATCTCGAGCAGAGCTGTACGCATATTTTTTCTCGTGACCGCCAAGACGACAGAATATGTAGCTGACGAAAACCCCTCATTATTTCAAATAGGAATCATTAAGAAGGAAACAGCCGTCGTATCGTTTTATGAATTCATGGTGCACAAAATGTCAAAGGAGAATAATGTTGACCATTTATTTCATTCACCGCGTCCCGACGACAACGGGCAATAGCATCAGCAATTGAAAATAATGCATATGCAAGCAAGATTGATAGTTATGACTTGAAAAAGACTGCAAAAAACTGCCTCTTTGTACATCAATACCAAAGAAAGGCTTTATTGAGGCGTTCATTCACGACGGCAGATCTACGTTGCAAAAGCTAGTCGAATCAATTCTGTTCCGATCGATCTCGATGCTCACTCAAATATAATTGCTAGTAACCATCTAAATCTATGAAAAAGAAGTTCATAGGCGGAAAGTTACGAGCCAAAATTACACGACTATCTATCACTCAGCAAGATCGAAAAACGTAAGCAAATCTACGAGGACTAGAGTTACCGTTACGGGTGCCTCAGTATAAGATTCTAGGCAAGGCCGACTGATATATGTTTCGTGTGACAATTCGTGGGGTCGAGGGATGGGGAAAGCGAAAGGAAAACAGAAAACACATGATACGTGCTTCTTGCCTTCGAAGCGATGGTTTCAAACAGACCATGATGGTTGCACCTGTATGTCTTCATTTTTACAACGTCCTCGACCTTCTTCATTGAATAAGTATCCTAACACTGATATTGACCCACACACTACTGAATTTCGTATGCAGGCTCGTCCCTCCCAAGTTTCATTCATACCTCTCGATATGATCCAATCTCGAAACAAGGCAAGAATATGACCACAATCTCTGAACTCCCAACTCGACGCGTAAACACGATATCTTTTCCCTAGGTGTGTCACAACGACCGAGGGTGAGCGCACGACACCAACACGTGGATGCCTGAGGTAAAACGAAGCTTGCTAGCATTTTCTGCGATTCAAGTGCACATATCAAGACTAAGGGCTATCATATAATTAATGAAATCAACTCGGCTTATCTCTCTTTCTTATTTCAACATATTCATTTATAGTTGTCGTCGTTGTAGAAATACAAAGTGCGAGTTTCGTTGAGCTCGCATCAATGGTTCGAGCTACCTCGTCATAAACGAGCCAGCATGAAATGGGTAGGATTTGGTATCACGAACACACTTCACATTTTTCAATCGGGAGACATCACTGTGGAATCCCATGCCTCGCGTACTCTGTTTGCAATGATTGAACTGAATGGACGATATCGTTTGCATGAAAAAAATGAGGTGGGTCGGTGCTTTCATTCGTTTTTTGCAACTTCAATGAATCATGTGTATACCCATACTCGTGGATTGATGGGTGATCAATACCATAATATACCAACCTGTGCTTAACGATAATGATCATGCAGAACAAACAACATTTCTTTTATTGGTCTTGTGGACCTTCGTCTACACAATATCAGATGAATGTACCGCCCAACAACGACGCCCTGTTGCTACTCGTTCCTCTGCTTCCTTTTTATCATTCTGTCCAAAAAAACGACTCATCGTCATTCACCACAATCTTTTTACGTCAACATCCATACCGTTTTTGGGGGAACCACTCAATCTCAAAAAACATATACCACTACATGTACTACTATTTATTGTGGAGATCATGTTGCACATAGCATGGAGGAGAGAAAAAACAACTTCCACACATGCCATTTCTTGCGCTTAGTGCAGACACCACGGATCAATGCACCATCAATATCTATAATATCTACGGTAATGGTTCCATTTTTGCGCCCTCAAAGGTTGATGTCTAGAAGCTGAAGATGTTGGACGAGTAATCGTCGACTTCTCCTTAGATGTAAATATTTCTGTGTTTATAGTAGTTTCCTTGTTCTGTAGTAATTCCACGACAAGGGAGCTCCTCAATGCAAGACACTGAAGTCGTTGTATCAGGGACTGCTCGCGATTTTTCGAATCTGTATAAATTTTATGTCGTTGAATTTCTGATGGCATCTGTACCTCTCAAGAATTTGCGCATATGCTACCATGGGTCGGTCTTGGCGCCATCTACGCTGGCGCCTTGACCTCCGTTTGCCAGCCCAGGTAGATCTTTCTATCAATTTCAGCCACAAACCACTCACAAAGATATGATAGATAATAGATAGTCCTAAGTTTTAGGGTTCAGTTTCCAATATCGCAGCAAGGGAAGCAGAAGATGAGCATATTGAAAACTGGCCGAACACCAGACGACCATCGACAATCCGAATTCATACAACATCATACTCATAGTGCATATAAATGGGGACATCTCTGGCGAAAGGACTACCAGTGGCTAAACCTAGTAGAGCCGGGGCACTTTACTCCTCATATTTTATTTAAGGAGGCGCCTCCGCATCCTCAATAAAGGAAGTAGGAGACTCCTGACCTCCGTTTTTTTTTTTTGCATCATCTCTATGTCTGCGTGCAGGTCATTCTTAGTCTAGGAAGAACATTCGTCGTGGTACCTATGCGAGTTGCGGGCGGGGGTACAGCTAGTAATACAACGACTAAGAATACGAACAAGTACTCTGATACCGAGCTTGCGAAGACATCGGGAGCAGACGCGTTCCCTTCCAGACAGGGCCTGCACTTTGGCGGTCCATTAGACACGACCACCACATTCGGTTATCAAAATCAATACAAGCTTTTGCAAGTTCCTAAAATATAAGAAGCCCACAGGCGATAGGTAGGTACAACAATTTCCTGCATGATCACACTAGTGTATAATATCGCGACAACTACCTAGTACCTACTAGCGACAACAGAGAGACGAATGAATCATGTCGCACAAGGATCAAAATAATCCCGTTTTCCTGTGAAGACTGTATAAATATGGGAACATAATTTCGACTTTTTCGTTCCTTGGTCGATTTCCTTCGTGATGATAAGTGTCAAATGAAAAAAGGGAGGCAAATGAACCTGAACTAGAACTGACGAGCAATTATAATCAAGTATCAATACATGCAGAATTGCACGACAGGGGAGCTACGACACAGACGTCAAAGACTGAGTGACATTTTCTCAGTATCAATAGAATGTCTCAGAGGAGAAAGATTCTTTGAACGAGATAAAAAGCATCTTTCTTCGAGAAGTTTTCTTCCATATTTCTTTTCCCTAGTTAACCGCGTTGTCGTGTTCTTTAGATCCATCAACCACACTGTGAAACAAGAAAACGAACAATCTGTGCAAATTCTGTTCCCTCGTGGTCGGGAGAACTTTCCTCCACCTCCTGAATTAACCCTAAAACATGTCTCGACCACGGTCACCCACCGGGAGAGCGGCTCAACCCACGATGGAAGAGCAGGACCCCACATTTGTTCATCCTCGCATTTGTTTTTCTTCTAGGCGACAAGAAACAGGATGTTCAAGGTTCGCAAGTTGTGACTAAGATACGTCCACCATGATTTAGTTTCGCTTATGAGACAATGGAGAGCATGTTTCTGATGAAGCGCTCCACCTTGGGCTTGTCCAGGAATCGGCCTATGACAACGAGCTGGCCTTTGCGCTCTTGCATATGGCCATTAGCCATCTTCATCTGCGCCGGAACTTCGACTAGCGGGTCAAACTTGTCGCGACGTCCTTGGACAATCCAGAACTTTCCAGCAGCGTCCTCCACGAAGCCCTTCATGCGCAGCAGAAGGCCAGCCTTCGCAACCTCCATGACCACAGGATGCTGTAGGAGCCGCTCGATCACTTCCTTAGTCGGTCGCGGCCCAGGTGCTTGTGCACCTGAGGATGTCGTTGGCGCAGGGGCTTGTAGTAGGTGTCCTGATGGAGTTGGAGGTGACGCAGCTCCTCCGTGCTCGGTTCTTGTCGAAGACGTACTAGTTGTAGCTGACTGCGAACGGTCCAGATCGATGGCGAGATATATCGGTGTCGAATGTCCACCGTGGTCGTGAGTGCAACCCGCCCCGCATGCATGACCGTGATTGTGATGGCGCGGGCATCCACTTCCATGCGCATGCGGACATCCTCCACTCGAGCACGGGTTTCTATCAGAACCCATCGGGGAAATGCTGGGGTGATCATGATGATGAGAATGATGATGATGCGGGCATCCACTTCCATGCGCATGCGGACATCCTCCACTCGAGCACGGGTAACTATCAGAGCCCATCGGGGAAATGCTGGGGTGATCATGATGATGAGAATGGTGATGATGCGGGCATCCACTTCCATGCGAATGCGGACATCCTCCACTCGAGCACGGGTTTCTATCAGAGCTCATCGGGGAAATGGGGCTAGGGGAGCCCGGTGCGCTTCTGTTGTCTATCGGTACTGAAGATGTGGCGGGCGAGCAGGACGAAGCAGTGCTAGGCATAGCAGGACTCGGCTGGCACGAACTATCGCTTGAGCATCTTGGGCATCCATTGTCCCCACTGCTGTGCTGGCTCGAGCTTGCCGCGCTTCCTCTCCTTCTAGATGGTCTTGGAACTGGTGGTGGTGGTGGTGGTGGTGGTGGTGGTGGGACAGTCCCTCGACGATCAGTGCAGGCCGTTCCTGCTACAGTGCAGGCCGTTCCTGCTACAGGTACGATAGGGTGCGTTCCTCTAGCGCCGTGATGATGACCACAGTCTCCGGTATGTTCTTGTCCGCATCTATTTTGTGTGAAGTAGTTCTTACATAGTTGAAGTGTTGAAGTGTTGCCAGTAGATGGCGTTGCGGCAGCTGCTTCATCATCTAATACAGCGGGTGGTGGCCCACGGCGATTGCCAGGAAGCGCCTCTGGAGGCCGCACTGTACTCCTGTCTTGAAGATGTCCTTCGGAGGCATAGGCTTGTGTTACGCTAGAAGGAACTCCTTCTCCTTGTCCTGGTACAAGATGAGTACAATCAGGCGCAATACTAATATTTCTCGGATCAGAAGACAGAGCTGCTTTCCCCTCAGGTGCTGGCAGTTGAGATGTTGATGTTTGACTTTCGGTATTAGATGTGCAGCTGTGGCAATTCTCGTCAGCGCAACCACCACATGATGTCGGAGCGGGTAAAACTAAAAGCGGAACGTTGTAATTCGTTACGGCTTCGTGTGCCCATTTTGATCGGAGATCCGTTCCGAGTAGCTGAAAGAGAAATGTGAGAAGAGTGTTGTAAATTTCAACCATGGCCGTGGTCGTCGTGGATGACTCTCGTTATCTTAAAATGCTTTCACGGGCAACTAGCACCAGGACTACGTACACAGGATGAATATCAAATCATCATCAATTAAGAATTTCTAACTTTACAAGCTCCTTGCTGCACCATCAATAGGATAGAGGAAGACACAACAGAGATCCACTACCACAAATATCGCTTACAACCTGCCTCTGCCGAATGTGAATGTTCGATCATGACAATTAAGGTTCCCCAGAACATAAATGAACTCATCAACTTTTAGCTTTTTGTTATAACTTATCTGAAAATCGCGATTCAAACAGGGAATAGCCAGAGTAGCATCTATGTTAGTTAATTCGTGTTGAAGGAAGAGAGCACGAACAAAAAATTAGGATAGCGGTATTCAATAAGGTGGTACCTGATCAACTGGCACAAGGCCTTTGCTATCCTTGACATCTCGGTTTATAACGCGGAGGTTGGAAGGGTCGCGCCTGAAGATACGTTCAGCCGCAAGGTAGTCTTTTACTTTCTGAATGTCCGCTTCTGTCAAATCCGAGACTTTGTTAAGAAAGACGCGGTCAGCATGTGCAATCTGGTTGCGTCCAGTGTCATCCAGTCCATCAGTCCATTGATTTCCCACCCGGCGCATTGCCTCCAGGTCCACGAAGTTTTCGATTGCATCTCGGGATAGACTCTCCAACTTCTTCGGCTCACTGGCGTGTTCCGCAATCTGCTTCAGCAATACCGGTGTATCCGCCACAGATATTACTGCATCCAACCGCAACCTGAGAATTGGTTTTATTGGTTTCCAATCCTCAATGTTGTCATTATACTAAGACTAACGGATTGTATTAAGGTAAAGCTCTTTTTGTTTTGAGGAGGAACATTTATCTGTATCTTCAATTTCATCGATTCATATTAATAACTCTGACTCTGTCTCTGAATTTAGTATACAACTTAGTCAAGAATAACAAATCAACATTATAATGGTGATTATTGTGACAAGTTCATGTTGTTCAGGCAAAAGTTGTCATGCTCTTTTTTTGTTGCTGTCTGCTCTCGAACTTTTCGTGTTTACTCTTTCTATGAAGTTGTCAAAAGCCTTTGTTCGCACGCACAACAGTGAATCTTAGGGGTACCTCAAGTCGATGACGCCACCGTGCCCGAAGAGGTCCGCCTGAACGCGGGAAGGATCAGCGGCACCGGAAAGTTCGATAACGATCGCAGAAAAATGGGCGCCAGAGAGAACGAGAGCCTGCACCGCGCTCTTGAGGTCGTCCTTTTTCTCGCAGCAAGCACAGCCGCCCGCGACGCCTGTAATTTGCCAACCCTCACCTTCGCCCAAAAGGCTTTTGTCCACGTTGCCCTCGCCTAAGTCGTTTTCGACGACCCAAAGTCCTAGACGGCTGTCGAGAATGCTAGACTTGAGCAGTGTAGTCTTTCCGGCACCGAGCGGGCCCGTGATAATTGTGACTGGAATGCGATGATCCTGCTCCGGCAGCACCGGTAGACCGTTGCCCAGAGCGAACATCATGCCAGTCTTCGGATCCACGTATTCGGGCACGCCCGGGCTGATCAACGACCGGTGACCCGGGACTGGTGTCGCGATGTTGGATGTCGCGGGAGTGAAAGAGGGAGATGTGGTTGACGTCACTCTCGCTCGACCTAGAGGAGGCCGCTGCTGCCAGATAAGTGCTCCTACAGGTGAAGCAGGGGGCGCAATTGCAGCTGGTGTAGCAACTACGGGTGCAGCTGAGGTAGCAGGTGAGGTAGAAGTAGCTGCAGAGGTGGCTGCACCTAGTTCAGCTTGACTGGGCCCCCTGGCGTTTGAGGTTACATGGGTCGTATCATGATTATGTGAACATGTTCCCATTCGACAGGCATATGAAGTGTGTTGTATGTGAGGAGCGACGCCATGTGCCACTGTTAGCGGTGCTGACGCCTGCGGTCGTGCACCATCTCCGCTCGATGCAGCTGGTGTGCACGCTTCTCGTGGTTGCTGCGGAGCACACTCGCGTGCGTTGCAACCGCCGGCGTTGCATGCTTCGTGTGCACTGCACTCGTGTGCGGTGCACTCGCTTGCGTTGCAGTGTGATTGATGCACAGGCAAATCCGCGCTCGCAACAAGGGCCTGTACTTCGTTCGGGAGAGTGTCAGCGGTCAGTCGCAGGACGAATCGCAACAAAAAATCCGTATACCTGCCAACAATGCGGCTCTTCGTTTTCGCTACGCTAAGCTGCTTCTCGTACTGATCTCGTGCGCTGTTGTCGTCTCCATGCTCAGGAGATGCAGAAGAAACGCCCGCAGTTGCTCGGGGCCTGCTTTCGTTCTCTCCCACGGTGACGTCCTTTGCCGCTTGGGTGTAGTAGGGCACAACTAGTTTGAAAAGGTGTGCGGCCAGCCGTTCACGGTAGTGCGACTCCCGAATTGCCCACAGCATAGACTCGAGGTGCTCGGACAATTCCATTGCTTCTTCCATCTTCTTCTTGGTCTTGTTGTCCGAGGTGCCAGCATCTGTGCTACCTGGTCGTGTCCTAGAAGGAGCATTCTCCCTGATGCTCCTGAGTCGCTCCCAATCAGTGAGACCATCCTCTAGCACCACAAAGTCGTCACCTTTCTTGCGGCCACCGACTACCGACAAGAAAATGCGCGCTGCGATCGCTCGCAGGTTAGGTAGGCCTTGCTGATACGACGGATTTAACAGAAGTCGCAATCGCTGCACTTCTTCGTCTGTTATCGGTGTTGGAAACCCCTCCAATTCTACTATCCTATTTTCGCTTCCCTCTCCGTTGTTTGCAGCATAGACATCCTTAGCGCCTGCCGGTGGAAGCACAGCTGTAGCTGTAATAATTGTGGTAGTTGTTGAAGTGAAAATTTTCGACGTACAAGAAATTCATCGATATTCATTATAACTTAATAGTGGCCACGACATTAATGACTGTTAGTCACTCCTCACGGTCGCGATCGTCTGATAGGTAAAAAATATCGATTGATCCAAGATTTCTCGTCTCGGTCTTGCATTATCATGTACATCATCGTCAATCAAATATGTACGTGGGTCTGCGGTTTCCGGCCAGAACGGGTAGGTTATCATTGTCACAGCAATAGCTGCGATCGCGAAGCACGCGCCGCCTATTGTGATGCATGCCGTTCTCTTGTCTGACCTCGCCATTTTCCTGCGGCACGTAAGTCTTCAATGATACACGGCGAATGATATTTTTCTTTATATTCTTGATTGAATTTGAATGAATTCAAGCAAAGAATGCCGTGTATTAGTATTAAAATTTTTGATGAATCTCCTTCAAGAATAACGTCTGATGGAGGTAGTAAGTTGCAGTTGTTCGCTGGAAGCAATATAATTTCCACTCGTCGGAGGACGAATTTTGATCGTCGTATGAAAATTGAAACTTTTCACAGTTCGTCCTGGTCCTAAATTCATTGCATGCATCAGAAAAGAACGTCGACCACATTCATCAAAGAAGTCAGTTCGTGAAGCTTCGCAAAAAGAAAAAATATTTACAGACAGACTGAGGCAGAGAAGGACGAACTAAATTTTTTGTCAATGAAAACGCAATAATTCTTAATGGTGAATTCTTACTGGGAGTTACCACTCAAGAGAAAGAAAAATATATTTTATATTACGTCCAAAAACCAAACAAAATAAATCGAAATCTACGCAATTCGTTTGGCTTACGGATTTGCTATTCAAAGTTTGTACCCTTGAAAGAGAAGAAAACGCAATCACAAGAACAACCTGTAGAGCTCTACACAAGTTACTAACAACAAAGAAACAAACCGCAATGTGAAAGCTCGTCGCGCAAACGCAAAGTTGATTGTATAGTGCAAAAGCCACGTCCCTCCTGCTGTAGTTGATATTCCATAGTTTTGATGACACATTATCAGCATGTTCATCTATCTTGTGGGGAAGTTTTCGTCTCAAAAGGAAGAAAAGCCTGTAGCTAGAAGTAGATCTCATTCTCAATATTCTTGGAGCATCATTTTTACAATGAATACTTTTCACTTTTTCGGATCCTGACGAATTAATTTCATGTAATCAGGAATTCTACTTCCGGAACTTTTGTCGAAGTAGGAGATCTTGTTCTTTTGATTGATTCATCTTTATGCACCACGAGGAATGGCTTGTGGTTGGAAAGTCAGTTAAAATGCAGTGCAGAAGTCGATCATCTTATATATAGTATACTTTGAGCTTTCGTTCTCTTACGATTAAATTTGTGTGCAGGATTCATTTCACAGTGTGCACACTCACTTTACGGAAGGGGAACTGAAAGCAGCTAGGATGAACAACAATTATCGTTCTGCCAATCTTCATCTAGAGGAGGCGAATCGAGTCGAAAACACTACATGAAAAAAATGGACGACTAACGTAATCACCTTGTGTTGGCTGAGATTCAGAACACCACAACGTGCGACTGAAGAGCTGTAGCAACTACCTACTACCACACACGCGCCAACTGCATTGTTCTGTACCGTTATTTCTTCTCCTGTCCTTGCCTTGCTGCTCCTCCACGGACTACTTCGAGCCTTAATCTTCTTCTCGAATGAAAGTACTGTTAGTCATCATTGTCTTTCCACTCCGCAGTGGTAAATGAAGAAAGCTCATCCTAGAGGCGTGGGGGTGCATCACACTTTAGTACTAACTTCTAGAAAGTGAAGAAGAATGAAACCAGCAAAAAGTATTTTCATGGGTGGGTCAGTGCGTTATTTGCAGACGGTTTTTACTTCTTGATTGTTCAAGGTAGTGATGGAGTTTGGTATTTCTTTGGTATTTCTTGTTGAAGATGTAAGTAGATCATGCCAAGAGGAAAAGGGTGTGGGTGAAGATATAAACCTAAACTGAAACAACGTTTTTATATAGATATCCAGTCTTTTTTACACTCCACGCGGGGCTGCTGAGCAAGTTGCAACTTCACTTACTTCGAACAGCTCTAGAGCCAACATCCGACGCTGGCAGCTGCAAACACCAATATTGAAATTGATATGGGAGGCAGCAGTAGATGAAAACATGAGCTGCACGACAACTCAACTACAACGAACGGAGACAAAAGGGTTACTAGACACAAATCAGGACGGTCAATCTATCTATAAATATGGGTGACGGTTTGGCCTTTTTCAGTTCCGCGGACACGACTGAATTGAACTGATAAATACTCCTTCTCCTGTCAGCCTTCTGGATTCACAACAAAAAGAAAAGACTCCGACATTGAAAAAGCCTTGCTAGCGAGTACGAAGACCTTTCATTGATATCTTTTCTATCTAGAAGAGTGAAGTCACAGGAACGACCTGGGAAGGAATCTTAACTGAATCCTAAATGCAGGCGCAGCCTTGGCGAGGCGTTGAAGCTGCAGAAAACAAAAGCACTGCAGGCTGGCAGGGGAGGCGTCCGCCAGTGGAATACAGCCGGGGGGGCAGTCGAATGTCCGTAAAGGGTCCAACGCGGGGGCTCTGGGGGGTGTGGCATGTCCCGCACCGGCCCACCCCGCTGCCCACCAACGTGAAACCACACCCACCGCTACCCGCCCACACATCAGCCAAGAACGCCGAATTTTTCCCTGTGTCACAGCGGCACCCTTCGGCCGCAAGCCGGCCACGAACCCATCCCCGCGGGAACCCCTCACACCGCAGCGCAGCGGGGCGAAAACCTAAACCCAGCATGACACCACCCAACCAAACCACAGTAGGGGGACGAGGCACTTGCTCCCCGCCAGCGAGTGGGGAGCGGCGCGCCGCCATCGATCCCAAACGGAAGGAGGCAGCGCTTCCCCGGCTTTCTTTCGCCCTGCGTCGATGGGTCAGGCCTCTTCTGGCAACTACTCGCTCCAGAGTTGGAGCCCGTAGTAGTCGTAGTAGTCGTAGGAGGAGTACTAAGTAGGAGTACTAGGTAGGAGTACTAGGTAGGAGTACTAGGTAGGAGTACTAGGTAGGAGTACTAGGTAGGAGTAGGAGGAGTAGGAGGAGTAGGAGGAGTAGGAGGAGGAGTAGGAGGAGGAGGAGGAGGAGGAGTAGGAGTAGTAGGAGTAGTAGGAGTAGTAGGAGTAGTAGGAGTAGTAGGAGCAGTAGGAGTAGTAATAGTAATAGTAGTAGTGTACCCATTCGCGAGGTATAGTGGCTATCTTAATTGTTGACTTTCCTCCTATAAAAGGCAGATAAATTCTTCCGACCGACTACGAGGACTGTGACAAGAACTCGTCTAAAAAGCAGCGAGGGAGCAGAAATAGTTCAAGGTGTTTGATCTTTTTCTTCCTAGGATGCGAGAATGACGGACATCAACATTGGAAGAGTACAATGACTCAAACAACTAACACACGACGACAGTGCTCAGCACCACTACCACCATGTCATTTCATTGTGCCTCTCTTTTATATATAGCGATAGGTGTCTATGTATGAGGCCACTCAGTGGAGTGGTACCTCCTGAGGAGAGCCACGACACCGATTTGGATATAAATGGAAAAAGCAACCACAGTTCTTGTCTGCTGTCGCCGCGTCACTTATTAGCCTTGAAGGCACGCCTCCAGCTGTAAGTAACTTGTAGGATCATTTCTTCCATGACCCCAGAAGAATGAAAATAACAGAATCCATCAGAAGTCATCAAGTGCTTCAGCAAGTAATTGCAGTACTCCCAAGACTGGGGAGACTAATCATGGCTACTATCAAGTAATGACTCTACTTACACTTCCAACATTACTCTTACTATATCATCTACATAAGTAATCATACCCCTACGAAAAAACGTAGAAAACTTCTAGTTACTTTATACTTTCTCCGCAATTCTGGGGGGCACTAATAAAAACATCATGGGCCAAATTATTTGCAGCTTTATTTAGTCGTTCCGCCGCCCGAGTTTCTTCTTGTTACAAGAACCGTGAAGCTTCACTTCGCGCCTCCCGTCGCTCGCTAGCGGTCAGCGGTATCGCGAAAAGCCCTCCTCACGTGCAAAACTGCGGCTGTTGCCTTCAAGAAATGAGGACGCTGGCCGCGGATCGGCATCAGAATGCACTCGTCTCAATGCCGAACTGATTCCACACCGCGGTCGGCCTGACTTTCCCAATAGTACCTCTCCCGACGTTGACGCGGAGGACTGAAGATTTCAGAAACAAGAGCGAATAAACCCTCGTTGCACCATGCAACATCAACACGAGCATCATCAAGATCAGCAGATCAGTCTTGAAAAAAAATCACAGCGGCAGCCAGGTCTCGCAAAAACCGCGGCGGCAGCCGCGCCTGGAAAAAACCGCGGCAGCAGCCACGTCTTGAAGAAATCGCGACGGCAGCCACATCGCGAAAAAATCGCAACAGCAGCCGCGTCTCCTCTCGAAAAAGCCGCAGCGGCACCCCCGCAGCGCTAAAACCGCGGCAGCAGCCGCGCCGCGAAAAAATCGCGGCAGCAGCCTTGGTGTGAAAGAATCACGGCGGCATTCGCGTTCTGAAAAAATAAATCGCGGCGGCAGCCACGCGCGCTTCGAAAAAACCGCGGCAGCAGCCGTGTTTCACAAAAACCACAAGGGAAGCCGCGTGCCACAAAAATCACAAGAGCGGCGACAGCCGTGCTCTGAAAAAGCCGCAACGGCCGCAGCCAGCGCTTCGAAAAAAAGAGAAAGCGGCGGCAGCCGCCCGTGTTCCGTGGGCGTGGAAGTCCATCACCGTGGCAGCCGCGCTGCGCAAAAATCTACTGCGGCGGCAGCGGCCGCGCTTCGCAAGAGTCACAGCGGCAGCCATATTCATCGCGCAAAAGTCGCGACGACTGCTGCGCAAAGCAAGCCTCGCAGCAGCAGCCGCGGCCCTCGAAAATCGCAACGGCGTCCGCACCCCGCGAAGCGCCTCCTGGAGAACCGACTGCCTCGGCGGCAGGAGCGCTTCGTTCCTTAGCGAAACCGCGCCCGCCGTTGCGGGTCGCTATCGCAGCGGCCCTCCCACCCACGCAGGCCACGCCACCGCCCCACCAAGATCCGAGATTTTCTTCAAGAGCTCGATTTTTGGCAAGACGCTAATTTTATAGCGTCTATTGTCTAGTAGTTCGTGTTGAAGATTGTCTAAACCTATACGGAAAAACAAGATCTCTCCAACACATATCATATTTTCGTGCAGAAGCAAAACTTCAATAATATTCATGACGATAATAGCCGTTGTACCAGGGCACGAATCGCAGAATCGTGAGAGTGAAGGCACGGACCTTCTAAGGACGCGTACCCATCTGAAAAGTAATGTCTCAGTCTACTTTTATGCTCTCGGGTCGTGGCCACATGCGCTGATGCCCCGCCCACGTGAGACGACAGCTGCGAAGTGATGTGCTTCCGCTGATCGCGCAAGCCTCCACTACTTCGCGTGCGATCACGGTCGGCAAGTACGGATGTGGCGTTGTAGGTGTCAGACAAAAACGTCGATGCAAATGACGAGTCACATCCTGAATGTAGACGGAGCCCTCTCGTCCCACTGGATGAAAAGAGATTAAGATTGTCGACGAGCCCCGTGCTTGTTCCTGTTGTAGTTCTCTTATCTGAGAAGTTTCTTGTTGTAGACGAAGTTAGCAATGGCAGGGGCTGGTTGTTCCGCAAAGCGATGTGGTCTTTCGTGCTGGTTAAACTCTTCGACATAAGCCAGCTCGAAGAAGCAGCGCTGAGAGTCTGCGGTTGCGGCGTTTTAAAAGGATACAGGAGTGGGTTGGTGGTACATTCAAGTGGAGTCGTTGGCGCAGATGCGAATACAGCTGATGAAGAAAATGTCGACGGTATTGTAGTTGAAGATGTTGATGCTATATTTTTATTCGGTGAAGAAACTCTGGCGGCGCGATTGCCAGATCGTTCTTCAGAGGACATTTTCATTTGATTCTTCATCAAAGGAAAGCCGGGAAGATCTGCTCTCGTGGAGGATGTACATGCGATAGCAGGAGATGGCGCACTAGCAGCTGCACAGCGCGGCAAATTTGTGGACGAGGATGATCTGCTTGGGGTATTCAGATGTGTCGAAGCGGAAGAAGTAGCCGCTGCAGTCGCTGGAGGGCAGGGAGATGGAGAAGTCTGTGAAGAATTAGCAGGAGCTCTTGTTGGATCTTTACAGGAAGTACTTGTCGTGAACGAGGATGATGAGGTGGATGACGTTGGCATTATATGTGAGAAGTGGTTTGCTTGGAGGTGCATTTGTGATGTAGTGGCTGAAGAGTCGTCGAGAACTGGATTGCTTTCTTGCATTGTCGTGTGTTTCGGACTACTTGTTCTAGTGAAACCAGACCTTGCTTCTTGATCGTGCAAGAACTTCTGACTTCTTTCCATATCGTGGTCTACCACAGAAGGTGAGGAAAAAATGTTCAAATCGTTTTTGAGTGTTGCTCCACTAGAAGGACAGGTGGATGAGAATGCTGTCTTCAGCTCATCGCTCGATATTATCCCTCGTGTCTGCGGAGGGTGAGGGTGGAAGGCAGCTTCTTGTTGAGAAAGATGATCAGCGCTTCTAGTGGTTGTAGATATAGATGGATGAGTATACTTACCGGGAGCGGTCGCCGTGCAATTGTTGCCACTAGCTTGCGATGACGGTACGGTCGATGACTTCGATGATGATGCTGACCCCGAAAAGGATGTCGAACATTCGGACGAGCCTTGCGGCTGCTGGAATGACTTAATCGTACCACTTGCGTCTGGGTAAACAGATGTTGAGCTCTCCTTACTCGTAAGTGGAGCAGTCATGCGGCAACCAGCTTTGAACACGGTCCGCTTGTTCTCCTCCAAGGAAGTGTCGGAACGGCCTGATTCTTCTACTCGCTGCGCCACTTTCGGCTGCAAAGAAACACTCGCAGGATCGGAGCTCGCCAATGCTGATATTGGCAAGTTCGAACTCCTATATTCGAGCAGATCAGGAGCTGAGTTAGGTGGCGCTGGGTCGTAAGGTGCGGTCTCACCGAGCCTATGCCCCACCCGGCTAGGCGGCGGTACGGAGGCTGTTCCCGCAAGCGCACTCGGCGGGCCGAAGAGATTCACTAGGGACTCCTGTGGAGGCAAGGCTGGTGCTGACTGCAGGACAGAAGGCTGAGGCACAACAGCTGGTGCTGCTAATACTTGCTGTGGGTGACTTTGACTCGTGCTACTTGAAGGAGCATGCTGGGCGAGATTTTGACTGGTTGCCGCACTGGAGTTTGGGGGAAATGACGCTGGTACGGCTATCGGAGTTGCAAAGTAGTGCGGTTGATGCGCTACAGGTATCGGCCCCATCCCGCTGGTGGTTTGCCCCCACCAAGCAGAAGGAATTACTTGGCTAGAACCTCCCGAAGGGACACCGAGTGCCGACAGAGCGCCTCCGACAACCACATGACACGTTGGTGGCGCGACTGTTTGATAAAGTTGCTGCGGCAGCTGAGCAGTCGCGGGTTCAAGCAATACGTAGTGTCGTTGCTGGTGAATCTGTTGCAACTGTTGGCCTGGTGGATGGTGCAGACTCGGTGACTGCGCCGAACGTAGGTCAACACGGCTGTTCAAAGCCGCGGGTGGCTGGAGACTGAGCGGCGGACCTCCGCCTGCTACTATAACTGGCGACGCAGTAGCCGTCGGCGGATAGTTTCGAAGGTCGATGTAGCTTTCCGTGAGCCCCCCGAGAGCGCCACCACAGTGAGGAACAAATGCAGCACCCCCCTTCACATGATGCGGGAGTGCACTGTGGTAATTCATCGGTTGGATGCTGACGTGGCTCGTCGAATTGCCTACTGTTGCCGCTCCTCGTGCTGCGCTTCGTTCGTGCTCAACGTTATACGGATCTAGGAGCATCGTGCTACTTTTCTGACCGCTGCCTCCGTGCTGCCTTTGTTGGTTGTAAGCGTTTCTGCGGATATCCTCCTGTGAGCCGTGACGCGAAGCGGCATTGGCATTGCCTCCACCTGGGCAGCCCTGACCATTGAAGAATGCACTTGATGGATCATGCGGCCCCTGTGTGAAGGAGTCCATGTTGTTCGCTGCATTTGCTGAGGATGAGGTCACATTGTGACAAGCTGAACCTTTGCCGATGGATATTGTTCGCTGCAATTGCGCTCCGCCAACGTCAAGGCAACTTGCGGGAGACTGGAAAACCTGCTGGTCATTATCCAGCTGATTTTGAAGTAGTTGGGAACTATTCTCCAAAAAACGACTGTCTTGGTCTCTTGACGAAAACGGTAAAATTGATTCTCCGCGCGTCAACTTAGCCTTGGGTCCGTTCCCACCACCGGATCCGGACAAGTCCTGCAGGTGGACGCTGGCGCAATCTACATTGTGATTATGAGCAGACTGCTGGCGCAGCGCATCGGATTCGACTCTAGAAGTGTCGCACGTCGAAAAAAGACGAGTTGGCCCGTTGATGCGCGTCGATTCGGGTTGGACGACTGGAGCAGCTTCAGCATGATGACCATTGGGCGGGCCCACAAGCATCACTTCCGAAGACATGGACATCATTGTTAGACGCGGATCTAAAAATATCGACGAGGGATTCTGGTTTTTCGAGTCAGGCGATGCGCCCACATCGAACTCCCCAAGATCCTGGCCCTCTTCTCCCCCACGAGAATGGAGGTTATGGTGCTCGCCAGGCTGAAGATTTCCTGCTTCATATGACACAGAAGACAATGAAGAAGCAGAAGTCGGAGGAGGACGGCAGTATAGGTCGTCGGCGTGCCTAATCTGCTGTCCCCGGAAGAAGTTCATCGAAGAGTGTTCCTCTTCCCGACTGCCTTTATTTATACTTCTACGCATCTGCGGCTCTGATTCGCCGCTAATAGACCGGACGAAGTGCAGCTGGTCTTTACAGATGCGGTCTTCAGCTGGTCCCGGCAGGTCCTGCGGATCTGGCGATGGCTCTTCAACAAGTCGGCTATCCCTTCTGATCGCCCTGCTTGATGCCGCAGGATGATCTGATCCAGCAGCTGCAGCTTGGGCGTGGTCATGATAAGACAAGTCACAATCTCCTGCTTTCGTTCTGCTCCACGTACTCTGGTGCTCACTTTCTCCACGAGGAGCCTCCCTACCTTTGCCGCCCTGTTGTATCTTGCTTCGTTGCACGTGAAGGCGCAGTCTTTCTAGAACAGGCCGCCAGTAGAGACGCTTGACGCTGGCACGAAGAACTTCGCCCAAAATCACGGCGAAACGCGCAATGCGTACTGAGTACTGGCTTCGCTTTTGCAGAAGCAGCGCATTCTGTGCTTGCGAACGCACCATGTTCTCAAGCACGCTGGTTGAACTGGAAGCGGCCATGATGTGTCTTATGCGTGCGTGGCTTAGGGGCTCAATAATGTTACAGATGAAGGGGTAACATCAAAGAATGAAGATGAAGAGGCATTTCCCATACTCAATCAAAGAAATCAGAAGATTTAAAAGACCGGATATGTCATACAGAACAACATCGTGAGCGGATACTTGTGTACTTACTTAGGTGGAGCGCGAGAAGATGCGGGACGAGGGTCGTGCCTATCTATAATAGCACTGGACTCGTTTGATCCGTATCGGGTCGAGTTTCTCAGGTTGCTCACCCTAATTTTTTGCGCGGCGCCCTTAGGGCGCAGCTTCATGAGACTCCGAGAAACCTTAACAGGAGCGCACGACGCTGCGAATCGTGTCTCTACTCCATGGAATTCTTTACGCTGCGCCCTGCGGGCGTAACCTTGGCGAGACGTTGAAGCACTAAAGAACAAGCATACTACTGGCCAGAAGAAGGCGAGTCTCCCAGTGGAAGACAGCCAGGAGAGGCAGTAAAATGTCCACAACGGGTCCAGCGCGGGGGCCCCGGGGGTGTAGCATGTACCACACCGGCCCCCCCACCTGCCGACCAAAGGAAAACCGCACCCACCACGACCCGCCTGAACAGCCCCCGCCGCATGTTTCTCAATTTCACAAAGGCACCGCTCAACGGCAAGCCAGCTACGCGCCCACCTTGGCGGGGACCCCTCCCACCGCAACGTCGAGGAACGAAAACCCAAACTCCCCTGACATTACCCAACGAACCAAACCACAAGCATAGGGGGGCGAGGCACTTGCTCCCGGCCACCGCGAGTGCGTGGGAAGGGGCGCGCCACTATCGATCCCAAACGCAAAGAAGCAGCGCCGCCCCCGCCTTCTTTTGCGAAGGAGCTCCCAAAGAGGGCGCCCCGCTTTCCGAGTGATTAAGTACTTTTGCGCCCGCTCCGCCCTGCTTTGCTACCATTTCGACGCAGCTGGATACTTCTGGCAACTCGTGGCAACTCGTTCCAGAATTGGAGCCCTTCGCTTCGGCAACTCCCTCGAGCAACTCGAAGCCCGTCATAATTGGCCTTACTCTACGGGTATAACTATAACTACAGCCGACACATGATCGTAATTACGTTTAACTTTACGTTTGTATCAAACATGAAATCAATTATATGAAATACGGAAGCGCGAGCACCTGCTCGGAGGACTAGCAGCCGCAACAAACTCTGAAGTGAGCTTTGGTTACATTATTATGGAGGATAATGCCGGAGTCAGCTTTACGTACTATGATGAACAATATCTTCAAGTTCAAGATAAAACACAATCTTCTACTGTAATCTTGATAGTTTTAGCATATTTGACAGATATATGTGTATCAAGACGGACAGCGCCCAATTCCGAGAATCACGAAGCGGCGATAATTGGAGTTAATGTAATTAGGCTTGCCTTAGCCAATACACCATCAATCTTCCTTGATGCAAAAGTATTTTCATCTTGCTCTCTCATATTCTAAGAAAGTAAGGCGCAAGATTCCTCGAAACCAATTCCATGCGCAAGCTACTTTATACAGCTGGTGACTATGAAGAACTGAAGATAGTCCAAAACGCTATGTCCTTCGCCTCCTCGTTCTCTTTGTCCATTTTTGACCTAGGTAGCCGCGCAATTTTTCAGTTTATTGCCTCTCTTGTTTTCTGTTCAATGAAGTCAAGTTCACTTCTCCTGAACCTTATCCGTCGTGGCTCTCTACTAGATTGATTCTCTCTTTGTCAGTCGCGCATCCTCCACCTTCGCGGAGAAGAAAACTCTTACTGCCCCTGGCGTGGAATCTTCATGCCAGCATCTTTAAATGACGATGCCGGTAAAGCAGGCTACAGTCTTGTTGCCGCACAAATGCAGTTGCACCTGTCGCAACAGTTAGCTTGTTAAATATGCTACATGAATGCTGTTGCAGTGCGAATACTTTGACAATCTTAAGTTGTTAATAGAACAATCATTATATTCCAGCAAGCACTAGCTGCGATCGCTGCCTGTCTTTCATCAAACAAAAATGACTTGATTTCTGGTCACCAGATAGAAGGAGCGCATCTTGCTTCTATTCATGTTGTTGGTCGCTATGTTTTTTGTCCCTGAAACAACAGGGGTATGATCGACTTCGCTATGGCGCCGACGTGTCACGATAGTTAGTCGTCCTCCCATCATTTTCTATATATTAGCGTTCGACCGTCATCCTTCGCTCTTTCCGGTCTCATCATCGGATACACGCGAACTGAAGCAAGTCAACCGTTTGTGGGCCTACTGGACACAAGTTCGAGAGGACAGGTGGTAGTACACTCGACCGCGGTGAGAAAATACGGATTTGCCGTACATGCGTGTCCCGTCCGTTCTGGTGATTCGCGAGGAGCGCGATTTGGAGGTGGAAGGCGCGCACTTCCTCAACAACACTTGGGTCGCGAGCAACCACGCCATTCGCCGTCGGTGGCGGCATTCCAGTTCCACGACTATGCAGCATATATGAATCTTGCTGCCGTTCTTGATGCAGCTAAGTAGTACTTATACTGTACGCGACAACTTCTTCTAGATGCCATTGCCAGCATCATGGAACTGGTACTTGATTGTACTTCTACAATTTGTTATATTATAAGTACATTTAGATTAGTAGACGAGGCGTACTATAGTCACGACCAATATTAGATACTTCTATGTATATATAACTTTAGTTCGAAGAAAAACAACCAGAACGATCACAAGAAGAGGAGTGATTGAGGCACTAGCTTCTCCATTCTCATACAGTATTTAAGCGTCGGCGCGTCTCATACATTCCAATAGGTCTCGAGCTCCTCTTGGTCAGCGTTCTTATCGGGCTCGTGAAGCCGATAGCGCTCGGCGGCTGCGCGAGTCAAAGGCAACACCACCCATCCTTCAGGCTCTTTTAGCTCGAACGTCTGAATTTCACTGAGATCCTCGACGGCATTCCCCACACGGACAGAGATTAGCGACGGCGTATAGGATTCGTCGACCTGAGTGATGAAACGAGGTGGAGAAGAAACTACAACAAGTACCATGTGGAATAAATGACATTTTTGTGGAGCAGAACGACATGTTAGTTGTGATGTGCAAGTGCAACAGGATACAAAACATTGAATTTTTTCTCAGAAGCACCTTGTAGGACATATAGATGTGTATTTCGGTAATCGAAGCCTTGCGCGGGAAAGCGACGTTGACGAGGTGCGGAAGTAGACCATCGGACTGCCAGAATGTCTCTGTGTTACTGTCGCGCAGCTGCTCTATACCGTTTCCACCCTTTGCGCTCGAGAGATACCAAATGCCGTCTCGCCCTATCTCTCTCAGCCCTGCGTGGTAAAACTCGAGGTCTATGTGTGGTGAAGCAGTCTTAAACCCTGAGCCCGTTTGCGCGGTAGAAGCTGACGAAGAACTGATGGCGCTGATGTCCATGCGGCTAGCCTCCTCAGGCGGGTCCGGCGGCGGATCGTGCGGGTAGCTAACAGCCGCTAACAAACTCATACTGCCCTATCGACGTTGCAAATCTTTCTCTTCCCACCAGCGGGAGACCAAGTAGCGTCAAGTACTCGGAACCCATGAGCACAGCGCTTGCTCTACTAATAAAACTTCATGATCGTGCAGGTCAGTCGTCAGTACAAAAAAATCAATAAAATTATGGTAGTGTGTTTCCAGTCGTAGAGACAAACTAGAGGAACTCGAACTTCTCTTATTTAAAGTGTAGGTAGTTCAATGAGTGTGCTTCCACCGCCTCAACAACAAGTAGACAAGGAGAACAATCGTCATGATCAGTTTCCAGACCAATGCTCGTGCACCACGATAAAAGCCGGAGGTGTCTCTTAGAAGCGGCCGGAAGTATCTTTACAGAAGAGGGAAACATCTTGAAGAAGTAGAGTGTGCAGAACACTGCGCTACTAGAAAGTGGGAATGTTTCTGAACACTCTCTTGCGAAAGCGACGTCTGGAAAACTGCAGCCGAGGCTACTTGCTTCATTCTTGCCAAGCCCAAACCTAGCTGTTTTTCTATGGAAGTGTCGTGTTTCATACAATAGACAAATAATCTTCTCATTCAGCATACTTCTTATTCTAAGTACCTGTTTTTGAAGAAAAACTCAAACTGTTCTTTTATCGTGTTGTACAAGACAGAATTCTCAGTCTACGTGCTTGTTGTCTTTAAAACCCAGCCTAGTGATTGAGAGGGCTGCCAGATATCTCATCTTCCTTGGAGATCTCAATTTTTGACACCAAATAAAATCTTCATGAAATCACCAAGACACACGCTCCTGTCGATGCAGATCTGACTCTGAGACTGAGTTCGTGTTTCCTCGTACTAGTAAGTACCTCTTGGTACACCCAATCCCAATGTATGTCACTGTGACATCACTCAGAAGTGCCATATGAGAATCAAGAGTGCGCAACCGACGAGCACAGTGTTTACGATACTGAGGAGCATAAGGGGTATGAATTCCCACTTTGCTCCAAACAGCAAAACGTTCATGTCGCTGTCGTTGTAAAACGCGAACAGCATCGAGAGTGCGCAGCCGAGCTTTGTCCACCAGGCCTGGGGAAACAAACCTAAGAACTGCATATCCGCACCGTGAAAGAGGAAGAGGAGCAACCATTTGGTACAGGAGCCCAAGCGATCCGCAACTGGGATCAGTGGCATCACAGTCAGAGTGGCCACGACCGTCAAGAGCAGATACGCCTGCAGAAATGCCGCTGAGAGTTTCGGCCGAGACGGTGTGGACGGGATGAAATCAGCGATGGCAGAAGCAGATACTCCTTCGTTCATCTTCTCAAGCAAACTGTCCTTCTTGGCGTCGTCGCTGCGTCCTTGCTGAATCTTTGTATGGACGAAAAGCTGCAGCGGGAGCGTCGTCATCAGTATGGCTTTCTCGTGAACATGCCATCCGAGCTGCGTATTGGAAGAAAATCTATCTACTAAAGTCTGTCGATGATCTAGTAGTTACATTTTCCCTCACTCTAACTACTGCATCCTTGGTACTGGATTATCTTTCTTGCTTGTGGTTGTGACCTTATACACGAGCACGACAACGCCAAGAATGATAAAGAAGGGATGAGCAAAACCAATGTGATCCTTAACAAACGCTATGGCACTGCCAATCGCGAGAAAGAAGAGCACGTCAACACCCTCGAAAACGCGGGGTGGAGGTGTCCGAGGATCCCGAAGCGCGAACGGACTGGCAGAATTAGTAGATAGAAGAGTATGATGTTACTGTAACTGTATTGGAGCCAGAACTGCTCATATTCATGAAAGAAAATCACGATCAATGAAAAGTCTAGTTGTCTTCGAGTAGACACGGAGTTTATGCATTCTACTTCTAGTTCTGAAATCATACCAAGTACAACGACAACTATTGTTAGAGCTCAAAACAATTCATTTCTTGGGTTCATTTCTTCGGAATCCCAAAAAGCAAACCGAGGAAAATGACCGTTTGAAATGAATTTCCTTGAACCTTAATATTGCTCTGCTTAATGTTGGCTTGTCTTCCCGGCTTTTGCTTTGCCGGCCACGGGTTGTATTTTTGCAAGGCCACAGCGATGGCGACGACATATCCAGCTAGCACGAGCGATAAGCAGAAAGGTGGAGTAATCGAGGGTAGGACGGCCGACTTATAAACTTTGAAATTAGAACATCAGACAGAATAAATGGGCTTGAAGTACAGGGTCATACCGGGCAGCATCGACCCGAAACCGTCCTCGAGGGGACATCATGCCACCCTCAAAACCCAATTAGCTACAGCTAGTGATCTAGTACATAGGCCTAGGCCGACAATGATGGTATAAAAAAATCGTAACGACCAATCCACTAGTCGCGCCGCCAGTATTTTCAACACGCAGGATTTTCGCTAACACGCGGTCTGCGAAATTGTAGAGTGCCCAGACATTCGGCGCCCAGTAGGCGTGCGTTAATCCGCGCCCGAATGGAAAGAGGCGTGAAACGATCTGCTTGCCTTCAGCGATGGTTCCGCCTACCACCCGAAGGGCGAAGACCGAGACGGCGTTCATGTTGCTGCTCTCCTCAGCTTGCTCTCCGCTCCGCCAAGAACCTGTCCAGGAACCAGTTATTTTCTGGCTCGACTCCAACATCCCAGCTTGTGCTTTCACCGCTCTTTCCAAAGCAGGAAACAGCGTGACTGGAGCCCAGACCAGCGCCGTAAGCCCCAGCACGAGGAAACCGAGACGCAGAAAACGAAACAAAGAAAATTTTGGTTCTTGCAGACTGTAAAGACCTCCTCCACGCGAACAAGAGTTCGCGACCTGATCCATCGGCGAACCTCCCTTGTTCTTAGTTTTTAATTTGTCTGCGGCAGCATATAATTTCAGTTCCTCCTGTTCGAAGTCCGCCATCATGCGCCCCCTTGCTTCCATGTAAGCAGCGAATGCGTCCTTGGTGTTGTTGGGCTCTTCACCGACTAGGCCATTCAGATTCACGGCGTCTCGATGCTGACCAAGCGGGCGAAACTGGCTACTCGGTGTCGGCAGTCCAGCGACAAATGGCGCACGGGGACCTAGACCGCCAGCAGCAGTTGTTTTGTTGCGCAGGGGTGACTTGGAGCCACCTCCAGTTGGCGAAACATCTTCTGATGCTTCACCAGGCAATCCAGTACGACGACGAACGCTGCTCTGACGCTTGCTTTCCTTTGGCGAGGTATTTTGCGTGGCGCGGATTCCAGATGGTACAGCCATGGACGAACGTACGCTACCTCCTTTTTTGATTAGACATTTCGATACGATTAAATTTCGCTCGTTGTTCGTACTACTTTGTTTCGTTTCTTGTGTCCAGGAATTACAACACCCTGACAGAAGAATGTGTTTCTTCGTGTCGACCTACAAAAACCAGTAGAATCATCAAAAATTATGCATGGTTGTGCTTGTGGAGAACTGAAAATCAAAATAATGTCAACGTTGTACTTGCACACCGACGCCCTTAAGTTCAAGATATCTGATATGCGCTGATCGCCTAAAGAAGGACCAGGACTGAGGTCCAAGAGCCTCGCAAAGCGGTCATCTATAGTCGCCAAGTCTTCGGCTCTCGGAGGGAAAGAGGATGCGAGCGAATGCATCTTGCATATGTCTTGGAATCGACTGTCTGGCAGACTACTGGTGTTAGGCATCCTGTTGGAGCCTCCCACTGCATGTAGAAGAGGACGTAGTTTTTCTTTTTCACCGACCTAAGGACTCGATGAGTGAGTGTGAGTCTACCTTGGGCGCTTCTTTCTAAGTAGTTCTATACTCAGGCCGTAGGAAGGTCCACATTTTATAAAAAGCAGATAGCTCACGACCCTAGTGATGAAAACCTACCCACTTGTAAACTTAAAATATCCTGAATTTTATTGAGCTGCGTGCCCAACGTCGGTCCTCCCATGATCGGCTCACCCGCACGTTCATGGCACTCAATCACAAGAAGTATGAAGAAGTACACCGGCGCAACGTAAAGGAAGATGTGCTTCAGGTTGAAGACGCACACAAAAAGAGCGGCAGCACGCAAATTTCGTCTTTGAGCGATTTCATACGCCGAAAGGAACAATAACCCTGTCAGAAATCCATTGTATTGAAAATGCATGTGATCCACAATCAGCAGCCCCGGGTTCAACGCCACAAGGAATTCGCTGCCCGGTGCCCAGATATGACAAGCGTGTACCAAAAACGCATCAAAAAGGACGAGATTCTTAGAACATAAGCTAAATTCTGATCCATCAAAACTGTGGTGATGTTCTGGTGTTCTGGGCGAGAGAAAGATCTCCGATACATATTAGATTGTAGGTACCCTTTCAACATTGTTCTTTGGTCTACTTATAATCGTACGTAGTACAACAACTCCGTTTTTATCTTTCTTTGCAAGCTCCGTAACAGTGAGTCTGTGGAAGAGGAGGAAGGAGTGCGACGTGTACTGCAAGTTGTCGATCTGCAAAGCCTGAGCGTCCCAACAAAAAAACGAAAGGAAGCGTTCGAAATACGCAAAAAGTGGCGGATAGTCGAGCGTCCACTCGCTGCGCGCTTCGTGGTACCACTGATTTAGTGGAAGTTGGTGCGTGATTGCTAGCCAGTTTCGATGCACCTCGAAGTCGGTCGAGTGGTAGGCCTCGGGAGCTACGAAAAAGAGTTTCAATATCGAAATCGCAACAAACGCCCACTGCCAGGACATGTAGACTCCAGGCTGTGCAAACGCAGAGCGCAGTCGTCGGGTCTTCTGAACAAGTGATTCTGCTCGAAGAGGTACATCTTCATCGTCAGCAGAGGACAGTATCGACATCTCACGAGACATCTTGTTTTCTCTCGCTCTCTCGTCTCATACTCTATCCTTGTTTGTGTCTTTCAGTCCTCGTGGTCCTCCTGCTGATCTCAATTATACTAGAAAAATGACAACCTCTTTGCTTCATCAAGTAGTACAGAGTACTTAGGTTATACAATCATAATAAATTCTAATACTCAAACTGAATAATAATAGATTCTTGGTCATGTGCAAGAAAAATGGACCCATGATATGCTTATCAGCTCTGCAACTACTGGCAGTGGTGATCCTCGAATTCTGCTGACATGTTTAAGTATAAGTGGCTCCTTTTACTTCTGTCACAACATCGTCCGCATGCATCTGCCATCAATCTTCTCAGTCATGCTTACGAGTACGAGATGCAGACCTGAATATGAACACAATCACATCACAATGTGTAAACTTCTCATATGATCATTATATCGCACCTGATGAAAGTAGTCCTTCGAGCTGATTTTCATGTCATGCAATTGCACAAAAAGCTGTTCTCTTCGTCGACGGACCCGCGGCCGAAGATTAGTTTTTGAAAAACCTTACCTGCTATTCAAGTGCATTTTGCTTGCGTCCGTGGCTAGACTTCTGAGTGACTCTGCACCATGCAAGTTGTACTTTTATCCTCTACATCATCTCCGACTTCAAGCGAATCGTGACGAATCAAAATTGCTCGATCATACACAGTCGGAACGGATTCCGCCGAAAATAAAAGTTGATGGAAAAAATATCCTTCGTCGTCTTACACAAATAAGTAAGTACTTGGTCAAGCCAATGCTGGAGCGAAGAAGATTCGAGAAACGCTGTCGTGTCCTCTAAGTGCATCTTCACGTCTTGAGAATCCACTTGTGCCGATACATCCGTCAGAGTCCAAACGTTTTCTTCTTGAAGACGTCAACCAAGACAGTGAGCCTGCTTGCTTCTAGCAAAATCAGTCCGTGACCAACTCAACTTCGCTTTGTCATCATGCTTCGTTTCATGCGCGTGGCCCGAGATGAAGATGTTTTTCATGCGCCAGCAGACAGCCTGTTTCAGCAAAGGAGCGGAACTTACTTCTCGGAGGACCGTGCTGTTTGAATGAGCAAGAAATCGATTGCATTAACGATGATGAAGAAGTCCTCATCCCTAGTCGTCCACGATTACTCGTCGCTGGGCCTGTTTGACCCGCTTGATTGGCGCCTTTAGTGCGTGAACCGGCACTCGGGTAAAATATGTGGTACAACAGGCAACATAGAGCCACACACTAAGACAGGCAATCGCGAAACAAGAAACCGAAACGGTTTCGCGAATCGTCACTGTGCGTCGGCTTCCACGAAGGTTTCCACGCTTGCATGCAAGCCGATATGAAAAATCAATGGGGGGTGATATGACAGTGGGACCTACCGAATAAACCGATCATAATTCCCTACGGAAATATTCTTCCAAGCTACTTTTGCTGAGAAAACTTCGTTCGTCTTTGTGATCAAGAATCATCCTCTTTGCATGGGTTTGGGCCCCTCCCTCTGATACGAGTATGACGAATCACAATCACGACTAATCACAAGCAGGTTTACGTGACCATCCTGTCTGCATACCTGTTTCGAAGAGTCGTTCGTCCCGTTAACGTGAAAGTAATCGTTAACGTAGTTATTCATCAAAATCGGCATTTCCTTCCCGGCACTGTCTAAGTATTTGTCTATCTCTTCCTCGTATGCGGTTTCGTTGTAGCGGCCACGAATGTTTTCGAACCACGAGAGCATAGCCTCATTAGCGTACGTCTCCAGGTCGTATGGAAAATAACTCTTTGCCTCGTACTTAGAATCAGCTGTACTTCTAGTTTCTCATGATTATCTTATGCTGACGTGTCAAGGTCAACATGGTTTTCAGGCGGCTTATCCCAGCGAAATAACACACTACTGTAGATCGTCCAGGACTTTGCTTCTTCGACGGGAGATGAAGAATACAACCCAACACCCACCACGACTCGCCAGCATGATTTTGAGAAACTAGTTTTTCAAGGCGTAGTGTATTCTCGTGTTCCATCGAACACTTCCTGTGCCTCCGTCGCACTCAACGCCTCTTTCTGCAGCTCCTTGGGAACCGGAAGGTGCATGAACTGCGACTCGACAAATTGAACAGGAAAAAGTGTCTGCATGCCGATGTAGTCGTGCTGGTGGACGTCCTCGTCATTCACCTTCTCCGGGGAATCTTCTCCGCTACTTTTTTCCTCACGCCCAGCATGATAATTCGCGTTTTGTCCAACTTGTGTTGGGACTTTTGACGCGACGCGAGGTCGTCGTACGAAAATGAGACCGAGAAGCAAGCAAGCTGGTGCCATGGTTGTGAGTGTTCGCCATAACGCGCTTTTTTTGGAACACCAAAAAAGTGTTCTTGGCGTCTTTAGTGGTAAGGCGTTCGCGCTTGCGCGAATACGACGACAACTCATTTTGATCATGTGCCACTTTCTTATGCATGTTGATGTAGCTAGTTCAAGTACAAGTTCTAGGGCGCATTTGGTAATATCAGCCACACTTTATATCTTACACCGTAAATTCAAAATATCAAATCATTTACACAAAAATCAATTTATCATCACAACTCATTCTCGCCAATTCAAGAGTGATGTTTGATGACCCTTATGGAGCAATCAAAGAGATGAATGTCCGTGTCCCCAGTCTTGAATAAATCCACAACATGACTTGACAAACACGTCGATAGAGAATAGATAAGGACCACACGAGAGAACCATCGGTGTCTGTCAATCAGGACGAAGAAGAAACCAAAAAGGCGGGGGATGAAAGCAGGAGGGGACACTACAAGCTACAACAATCATGATGGGTTAGAGAGAGGATGATATATTGCCGGATAAAGATGCGCAGGACCAGGAGCATCAGACAAATACAAAGAAATGATGCTATCGACGAAGCTCCTGGCCAGTCTGAGGATTCTTCTCGAAGATTCTAAGTACACAGAAACGAGGACCCCTTTTGCACGAAACAAACAACAAGTCAAAGCAGCTTTTCAACATGCACGACGACCTCGCTGAATAACCGCAGGTAAAAACACATACACATCAACATACGTCAAAAAATTTGGGGTGTTTCACAACTCTTCTCGACTTTTTTCTGAGCCGCAAAAATAAAGAACTGCTATCAGTCTTCCGTTGCAACACCGAGTTTTCCATAAATTGTTTACTGCGAGGAGCATCAAGTTTGTTTGGAAAAAAAAGACAGATATTACTTCCCGAACGCCTGAAACCGATATGAAACAGACATTCAGATATCATGACCTCCACAAATTCATGCCAGTATGTAAGATCTTTGAGGCAACTCTTCAGAACACGAATCATTGTCTCTGTCCTACTGTACCGGAAACGAACCAGATGGGGAAGAAGCCAATCCACTTGTTCCAGATCCTGTGCAAGAGGCTACTAATTCTGCTTTTGGATTACTTCGACTGGTGTGCAAGTTTTATGAGAACAATTACTCAACTCGATTCTTCCCTAATGTTTCCCGAAACTCCCCAAACATGTAACGTCTATGCATCAGAATCACCATGAACAACGACCTTCCATCTCCCACAAATCAATGCAGGCACAGGCGATGAACATTGCAATAGGCGAAGTTCGTTGCTGAACCTGAACGTGAATAAATATCCGAGAAATAAAAAATGAAGTTGTACAAGAACTACTTCCTCTACCACCAAAAGTACATATTTATATCCTTGTTACAACGCACGAAAATACAACTCAAGCTCAGAATGATCTTCATTACTTCGCTCTGTTCAAACAAGAAATTTATCAGTTCCCCTAAGTGCTTCATGATGAAACCAATGCGAACATATCTATATATAAATACATTCCTAGTGTATCGTGTGCCGAGGAACGCCGTCTGAAATTGGACAGCCACGCACTGTACACTCATGCTCTGATACATTGTCTCTATGCGAATTATGAGCTCACTGTAGTAGTTCGAGTACAGACGAAAAAAAAATGTTGTCTTCTAAATTGAAAAATCATGATTTGAAGAATAGATGACAATCACTCTTCTTTCTATATGATATGCCTACTTGGTAGTATTGTGGTCATATTTCTTAACAAGCAAAAGCATGTTGATGTTCAATAAGACAGAGCAGTGCACTTCTGCTCCTGCTCCTGGTGGTACAGTCACAGTGATGTAAATTGATGGTGGTGGTACAATCACAGTGTAAAGTCACGATTGTAGTGCTCTGCCTTCTGGTTCTTGTTGTCACTCCTCACTCTGCTGCAGATCTTCGGTCTGAAGAATCAATGTCTGTTCACAAAAAGATAACAAGTGACGACATCAGGACCGCATCTAAATTCATAGTACGACGTCTAACATCAAAGCAATATTGCAGTTTTTTGTTGGATGAAGCGAGGTGTTTCCATTTCGATGACGAAATGTCTGACCCAGATAGACCTATGAATACTGGACTACGATTGAAAAACAAATGATATCATCAACTAGAGCTGGAGGTCTTGAATCTGTTACATGTTGAAATTTGGAGATGCATCATGTCATGTGGTAGTGATAATTTTCGATTTGATGGTCGTGAACGTACTCATAGAAAATACAAATTTAGGTCGTCGTTCATTTTTCCGTTGCCTTACAGGTGGCTTGCAAGTGGTTACAGCTCTTCAACCATGTATTTTTGGATGAAGATTAGTACAATTCGATCATTACGGGAACTAGGCGGTTGAAATTCGAAAGCATTATGGGATTTCTGCGGAGAGGCTTTGCAACATCACGAGCCATTTTCTTTTGGTTACTGCATGTACTTCTATGAAAGCGAGCCCCCCCCCATGCAAACAATGTATGAATTCATTATGTCCCGAAGTCGATAAAGCTGCAAAATTCATAAAAATTCCTCAAGGATTTTTACTATTTGTATCTATTCGAATTCTTAACAAGAGTTCAAGGGTATTTATCTCACACCAATGCCAATACTTTGCCAACTTGATGATCTCCCTAGTTCTACTCACGACACTGAGATTGAGAAATAAAACTTCTAGTCTTCGTCTTCTATACAGTAAATTTACTTACGAGACGAATTTCTTGGCAGCACGGAAAGGACGAGCAAGGTTTCATTCTAGTACAAGGAAGTTGAGGGGGTATGAAAATCAAATTCAAGCATGAATGAAAGAAGGTAGGGTCTCACTTGAAGACAACATGATATGATATTACAGATATTAGTTCTTGGAGGGTAACAGCGTTGCGTGAATGAGTCGGATGTCGGCTCGTATTCGTGCGATTGGACACTACTTGATAATCCAACGAACCGACATTAAATGAGATAATACAAATTTGAAGATATTGATCTACTTACTCTCTCATCGATCTATATACTATTTTTAGAAATTTTCAATGAAAGCACCACTGCAGCATGATAACATGGGTAGCCTTATCTTCCCGTATTTCTTTGTATTCATTCGTGTACAAGACAAACATGCTTCAATTTTCACTGATAGTAAACCATGAAGATGCAATCATTTGAGCTAAATTTGTAAACTGGTGACTTTGACAATGAAATTGTTGGTGGATTCGGATTCGATGCTATCTATATTTATATAAAACAGACTAAAACGAGGGTTGTTATTTTACGCTAGCTAGTTGTAAGTTGCTACAAACAGAAACAGGTATTCAAAGGTGTGACTTTTCATGATACTATATCTGCATTTTTCCATCGAACAAAAGGATAATAATTGGTGCTACTTTTACTTCTTCGTATTCAGCGCTCTGCAAAATAAAAAAATATTCAATAGGTCCTTAGCATGATCGACATCAAAAAATTATTGCGTTACGTGAGGCAAATGCCTCATAATCATATTGAATGATGTAATTGCGGAGCTGCCGGTGATGATGACGCCGCTTGTAGTTGTGTGTTAACACGGTGTCCTAGGTAGGCACACACGATCAGCCCTGCCTAATTTTGGGATTGAAGTTTTTTGCACCGCGGTTCTTCCCCGTACTAGAATCATGATTGCCCGGCCCGGCAGGACTTGCGTGATGTTGCTCTTGATCCTTATCACATTCGCCACTACTCATCTGATGCCAGTTCGCATATCCATCAGACTCGTTCGGCGACTTTCTAGTTTTCTTCTTCGAATGCTGGATGCCCACATAAAGTTGCGAATATGATTCGAATGTCAAATGTCGGCCTTTCTCATTCCCTTCCCGCCACGCTGATCGAGCATTGTTGTTGCTGTAGTATCCGCCGGTAGCATGCTTAGCGTTACTACCCTGATGGCCCACGACTTTCTGAAGATGCTGGCTGGGCTTCGGTGCAACTGCACCTGTCTGTGTTGCGATTTCGTTCGGCAGGAACATTCCCACACCGGTCTGGCCCCCACGCGTTCCACCTCCCTTTCCTGGCTGTCTATGCTGTTGCTGGCGCGCTTTTTCTTTCTTAGAAGCAAATAGATACAAGAGCACTCATGAAGACAAAACTGGAAGCAGGTTTGGCACTGGTTGCCCTGAGGATTTGCGACCATCAGTTAATGTTGACTCTCGTACGAAATCTTATAAAATATGGCCCGTGATGCCGATAGTCGACATCCTTTTTGCAGCCTAAAAGTCCTTCGCTCAGGGAAATCTTCTGACTCCTTAAGATAGTACTCAAATCATAAAAATATATGTCGATCACATTTACAAGAACAGCAGATTCTTTCATTCTAGTGCAAGTTCGTCCATTTAAAAGGGAACTCAAAGTCAAAAAAGCCGGTTCATTTCTGTGGTCTAGTTGTAGTTCGTGTGGTAACATAATTTGTTTGTTTCTTCCGCGCTTTGGCTGCAGTGCAGACGCTTCAGCAGGTTCCGCGAGAGACCCGGAGCCGCTAGACCTATGATCTTCTTGCGGCCAGAACGCTTCAGCACAGTGTCGCGACGACTTCGATGAGGAAGTAGACGCTTGGTGCCTACTCCCTTTTCCGCTTGTACCTCGCTGGAGATCACTAGAGGTGGAATCCGTTTTGGATCTTGTTCTACCGCTACAATGGCCTTCGTTGTTCGCTGTCTTCGCGCCGAATTGTGCACTCCAATAGTCATTATTTTGTCCTGCTTGGTAAGCTTGTTGCTCATATTGAGGAATCTGACCACGATCGCCCTGAGGGGGAGCAGCAGGACCATCATTCACTACCCGACTACTAGGTGGAGCTGCTGTCGTATATGCATAGTTTCCAACAGCGGTAGTAGGAGTAGGAATCCTTCGTGGTATCAAGTGCTGATCTGCATCTACCATCGTTTCGGCCGCGTCATCATCTTTCATGACAGCGAGAGAATCGCAGGAGGCTCGAGATCGCGCTCGACTGGGCGAAAAAAAGGGATGCTGCCTCCCCTCTTGGTGATGCTGCGTTTCCCGACAACCCATGTTGACGACCTGAAGAAGATTATCACCGGAAAAAATAAAAATGTACTATTTAAATTCGTAAGTATGCTCCTGAACCGTAGGACGAGTCAAGCATGTGGAGTTTTCATCTTACTTTTTCATGATTTTCATAGACGCCACTTGTTACTTAATAAACAGGCAAAAATACAACAAGTAATCTTCACAATCTTAATTTACGACAATCAGGTTGATGCGGAAGAATCGAGGCAGGTTCAGCTCGCTTGTCTCTCAATTGCAATCGAATCAATCAAAGAAAAACGTAAGCTTGTTCTTACCTGTTGACGTGGTGTTGGATGTGCCAAGAAGAAAGTCCCCGCTGGATCTGACGCTGGTGGGGGCACTCGGGTTAGTGGTATCAGGTGATTCTGTGCGGTGGTCGGATTTCCTGAGGAGATGTTTTGTCGTTGTCCTCCGTGGAAATCACTCAGCACCCCTGGCGGTCCTCCTGAAAAAGATGTTGTTGTTGCAACATTCACCATTGCTGGAGGAGCAGGAGCTGCAGTGGTGGGAGCTGCACTATCAAAGTTGTTATAGTTGTGGAATTGTGAAGATGTTGCGGGGGTTGCCGTCTGATGCTGACCAACTGGGGTTTCTGCGCCAGGTGCGTGCTTCCACTGCTCGTTTAGGTGGCCCGCCGTGGGTGTACCAACCCCAGGAGGTAACACTTGTTGATGAGCGATTTGTTCGCATTGAGGTGACCACGGAGCTACACTGAGAGATAAACTCGATGGGACTGATCCACCTGGCGCAGCTCCACAAGATTGATTAAAATTGTTGTAGTTCTTTGCTGATGCCCCCTGCTGCTCGACCACGCCAACACCTCCTACATTGTTAACGGAGGCTGCTAGAAGAGGGATCATCCCTAGTGAGGACGATGATGTTGACGCTCCTCTGGCGAAGACATTTTGATCATCCGATAGACTAGTGGGGTTGTTCATCACGCTACTTTTTTGTTGGCGCTCGATCTCCGTTAGCAATTGAAGCAGAAGGTGAGGAGGCACTGAAATGACTGCTTTCTGAGAGTCCTCACAACCTGGTGTGCCTCCAATCTGGGGCTGAGTCGACTGCTTGTTGGAATTGTTGTTAATATGCGTCGCCTGCTGTCGCAATGCGTTTAGTTGCTGTAGTTGCGTCGAAGAAGAAACATCTTGCTGCGCGGCTCCTGTGATAAACGCTGCACTAGGCGTGCCGTTAATGCTCTGTGCTAAGATATAATTGAAATTAGCTGCAACATTGGTATTAGTTGTAGCTGCAGCACGACAAGCGGGCGGAGGATGTTGTTGATACAGAGCTGTTGTACCAATGGCAGGTGGATGAGCAACGCTACCAGCTAATCCTATTCGATTGTTCATGTGATTGTAGTTCACGGTCGCTCCACCTAGTACTCCTGTAGCGCTGGAAGGAGGTGCTCCCCAGGAGGCCCCACCAGTACCCACAGCGGCGGCATTGTTAATCGACGCTGAAGGACCACATCCACCGAGTTGCATCGCGACCGCCTTCAAATTTTGATTTCCCAATACAGCAGGAGCAGCTCCTGGCGCTGCTCCTGGCATTTGCTGGCCGCTCCTCGTGGACGATCGACGGCCCAGCATGGTCGATGACCCCTGGGAACATTTAAAATCACACTAAAGGCATGCTTCTAGGATGCCAAATCAAATAAGTATGCATGGTACATTTGCAACGATGACGAAGACACGGTCAATCAGAAACGCAAGAAAAAAGCGAAGTATTAATTGGAATTTTTTCTCATCGATGTCGATAAAAAAAGCTACAACTTCCGAGGTGAAAATAAAAGATCGAGTACGCATAAAAAGCAACCTGTATTCTAGTACTTTGATTCCTCCTGTTTGGAGAATTGGTCCACCTGCAGTAGCCGCAAAACGGTTCGGTGTTGTCGTCTCCTCACCAACAAATTCCTTTGCCCCTGAGAATATGCTGTTGATCGCTGGTACTGGGATGGAAGCCTCAGACTCGAAGGCAAACGGATCGACCGCCTGATCTGAATGCTTCCACTTATTGGGAATGTCGATACTATGGATATGTCGTCCCCCCTTTTCCTTCCTGGTTTTCCTGAGGAACGACATGATCACCTGATCTTTGTTCTCAATGAGTCGCGCCATACATGATCTCTCTGGCAGTGGGTGCAGCTCCAATAATATTGATGCGATGTTCGATCCCATTCTCGCCACCTTGCGTATCCCTCAACCCCTACTGTGTGCCGCACCTCATCGAACCAACTATGCTCTATCACCTTTAGCGCTGTCTTTATCACAATCAAGTTCAAATACGGCTGTTTCTGTTCTTGTTGTAAATTTTCTCTAGTATGATTTTTACGGTTCCAGTATATTTCGTTCCTCTAAAAAAGCGAACGAGTTCCTTCACGTCTAGATTTCACGCATGCTTTCTTATAGTCATTTTGATAATTATGGTTATCTTATCTATCATTCATGCACTAGAAGTAGATTTTGATTTTTCTAGATGAAGCCGTAAAAGTTGCAACACGTTCGCGCGCGTGAACCGATTATAGGCACGCATCTCCGCGTCGACACTATCCCATTTGTAAACGGCTAAAGCCTGGCGAAGAAAGTCGTGGACAACAGGACCATATTCATGTATGATCTGCTCCCGATGGTCAAATTTCTTCTCAGCCAGAAAAGATGACATCCTCATGGAAAGGCGCTGTGTTTTCTCACTCCCGACGTAGTTGTTCCCTTGAATCAATGATTCGTGATGAAATGAGGAGGATCGATCATACACGAAAAATGAAGAAAATGGTAGAAGATAGATCATCCACAAAAGATGCGGATTCTCATTCTTCTCTTCTTGTACCGGCGTTAATAGCAGTATGTGTTTGTAGAAGGAGATTACTCTATTAATCGGATCCAACTGCACGTTGGAGTTCGCCAGAGAGGTAGTATATCAACAGCCATCAACAGGCAAAATTATCAACGAGCGAGGAAGACAAATACCTGGTTGTTCTTGAGTGAATATTTCTTTCGGAAAAGGCAGCTTCATTGTCAGAATACGATACAGTGTCGCCCCCAACGCCAACACCTCGCTTTGAGGAGCGTACTCCCCGTGGTACACTTCAGGTGCGATGTAATGATCTGTTGTGATGAAGTAGAATTTTGATCATGAGGGGTCTACAACAATACGTCGAGGAAGATTGAGGTAGTCCTTCAAGAATCTACTTAGTCCGATGTCGTAAAAACGTTAGTCCAACTCCATATCGAAGCATAGTATACATACCATATACACCAACACGATGACAATGAATCGTTATGGAGAAAATTCACCGAAGGACTGCAAAAATCCGGACAAAGTTCAATCTTGCCGGGCATGATACGAATCCGCAGAACACTCGCCGCCTACTGCGCTCCCTTCGGGAAAACCTTCCCCCAATTGCGAGCCAAGAACCTCGGGCGCCCTCCAAATCCCCGCGCCCCTCCAGAATCCCCAAGCACACACTTGCAGGCTGACGCGGTGGACTCTGGAGGGGCGCGGGGAATCACATGAAACGAAACCAAAAGACAGAAAAACCAAGAGAGAGCAAGTTGCAAACGTCGCTAAGCGAAGCACTTCCAGGACGAGGAGGCGACAATAGTGGCCGTTTTTGTGCAGTTCTTAGTTGACTTAACGCCTAAAGAAATAACCAGACTAGTCGTTGTATCCAAGATCCTTACCTGTTCCGAGGATCCAGTGGGGCTTGAAACAGTTGCTGATGCATTCGCAGGTATCAAAATCGATGAGCTTGAGGCGTGGAAAGCCGCCGTGCGTCTGATCTCGTAGACCGACGACCATATTCTCCGCTTTTACATCCTTGTGGTAAATACCGCCCGCATGCAGATCGCGCAGCCCGCAGGCTGCTTGCATGATGTAGCGCTTGAGCACCGCTTGTAGATGGTTTTTGCTAACCCCGGGACGCTTACGCTCCATGCTTATATACTCCCACAGATCCATGCCATCAACGCGCTCCATAACCTAGAAGTAGAAATATGGGTTACTTAAAAGATCTCCTAGTCGGAAGCAAAAATGTCAAAAACGCAGAAGAAAATCGGCACGACAAGATAAACATAGAAGATCACCAACATGATCTTGAAGATCAGCTACTTCTAATTTCAATATGAATACACATCATGCTGGTTGCATCGGTTCTTTAAAAAGGCTAGCCGGCCTAATTTCGAAGAAGATGAAATAAATGTACCATGTAGTAGTTCTCATCGTCGTAAATGATTTCGTATACGAGCGCAACATGTGGTGAGTAGTATTTTCGCATCAAGAACGCGTTCATGTTCCGTATCCAGCGTTCGTGAGTGTCATGGTCGCTAAACCCTTTGACGAAATCTCTGACCTTGACTGTTACCCGCAAATTTGGGTCTGCTGCGGCCTGCAGGGGAAGACTATTATAATTATAGTCCATATTTATTCAAAAACAACATGGCGAGAACTCTTACTTTCTTGGTTGATCGCCAAGATCACACTCAACAAAGTTTTACTTGTTCAAGTAGTAAAATTACTAGTAAGAACTAAGGAGTGAGCCCTCGTCGTTCATGTCGCATATTCTCATATACATATTCTACAAAAATCATCGCTAAGAACAAATGTTTAATGTCCTCCAAAGAATGAAATGAGGCACAACACTATTAACCCTGTTCTTGAAGTAGGAAGAGGAGGAGCAGCTTGAATGAGCGAGGGGATCTAGAAGTGGTGCTGTTCGTTATAAACTACCGCTTAGGTTATCGGCTTTTCAGATCATCATCAACATCATCGTCATCCTATTTCAATTTCTTTCGCTTTAGGAACATTTGATATTGATCATCATGTCCTCCAAAGAAGTAAAAATACCCTTCCGTGCCATAGCGTGACGCCCTTGTGGACAGACCGTGGCAGCGACTCCTCCCGCACGTATCGTTGGGAGGCGTAAGGGTCATACTTCAAGTTGGGGAACCGACCTCGATCCACCATTTTCGAATTCGAAAGAGGCACAGCCCCCCTCATCTTGTTGTCGGTCTGGTGCTCGACTTTGTTTGTTGCTGCTCCTTGTTGATGTTGAACACCGGTGGTGACTCGACGTTGAGCTGCTCGTAGGCCGTCTAGGTAATCAAACACGATCAATATTAACCTTCAAAGGCACGTAGGTAGCGGGTACGTGTTGGAAATCGATGAGGAATGAAATCGTTTTCTAGTCAGCGAAACTTCGTCCTCGGCTTCATCAGGACGTAATCGGGTCAAACAATGCGGGAAAGGCAGCCACAAAACAAACTCTGCACTTGGAAGTACCGAAATCCGGCCGAATGCTTCTTCCTCGAAGCCAGATGGATCATCAACGGGCGAGTACCTGCTGGCGGGGCTGGGCGACTCTAGGTAATATACAGCTATCCTGTTCCCTTGAAGATCAAGATGCGTCATTCAAAAAATATCATCACGAAGATAGGCAATGCTCCAGTACATTAAAGTGCATCAAATATCATACAACATTCGACTCCCCTAAGTGCCTCCAGTGAAGAGAAGATGTTAGGCAATGAAGAAGTAGTGAAATAAACGCCATCGGTGTATTCAATATCGTGGAAGGGGTTGCTACCGTAAATCATGCAAATCAAGTCCAAGGCGAAAAGCTGAGACTTAGCAGCTAAGTAGCTACTTGGTTGTCCTTCATTGCAGAACGCAGAAAAGGAGCTTTCGGTAAGAAAGATAAGGAAGGCTTGGGTAGAAAGGTAGGCTAACAAGGTCGGCAGAGTAGTGTGGAGAGCGTGGTGAGCGCGACAAGTTGTATCATATTCCGGTGATGTTGAGACATGACAGAGCAGCTACGGTTGATCCAGAATCAACATCTTCATCTGCAAGTGCAACACGTATTATCTTTCAAACTAGTTGGTAGACCGACGACCGACGTCTATGTTCGGAACGATCTTCACTATCTATACATACTTATATGTTCGGAGCGATCACAACTCCTTTCAGACAGATGTTGCAGATTACGAAACTTACGAACAGACTCAGAATCATCACGAATGATTTGTACTATACCAGAGACATACTAATGTCAGCAAGTCGAGATACCGATCAATGATGCAGTGGACATTCAAGATCAATAGGAATGTGATCTCGGGCCTTAAAAAGGCCTAAATCGCGACGTGGCTCATACCGAGGAAACCGAAATATGAGCAATCCGATTGACCTCCGTCTTCACATTCATATAATTATGGAGTTAAAGCTCACGATGGGACTACATTTCCCACGTTCGGATTTTTTCTCTGTTCTTTCATTAGCGCCTGTTCCGGTCCTGCGAGAAAGGAAGCCGATATTGTTGGAAGATATCTGAACTAACTAAGGCGTATCCTCAATTATCCCGCCCGACTTTTACAATTCTCAGCTGTCGCTGCTTGCAATATTCTTTAGCCCACGTCGCGCGCCTGCTGTACAACTAGAGGCTCTTGGGGTTTCGTGTTGATCGTCTGATAATATGAAGTTTTTCATATACAACTGTACACTGGTTGGTTAACTGCTCCATCCAGATCGAAGTCTGTTCACGAAAATCATGAATGCTCCACGATAAAATGAAACTAACTAGTACCAACAACCTGTTAGGTTAGGTTAGGTTAGGTGTGGGCCTACCAGAGAAACTGGCAGACATACGCGGCTGCTGAGGAGCTAATACAGATCTACGCAAACTAGACCGATCACTGCCGCTGAAGGACCGTGTAGTACATCCGCTAAGTTATACTTATAATACTGTTTTCTCCAATAAACATGTGTAAACACTGCAGCTCAACGAACTTCATAATCAGCCTGAAACATCAAAGAACTTTTACCTGTGGTACAACTGACCAAGAATTTTAGATACATTGCAAGGACTATATACACCAACCATTAGCAAAGCTTACATTAAGTGACTTGAAGATCCATGTAAACTTCATCGTTACTGGAAAACCCCAACATCACACCCTGCTGAACATCTATTTCGATTGATTTTTATCGCGTGCGTGCAGCTAAACAGCTCTGCACGGGAACTAGTACTTCTCCAATAAATATAAATGCATTTATTTCAGTTAATCAGCATTCGATAATGTAAATATTGTAAACAAGAAGATTCAGAATCACGCATTTTTCATAAAGATATTCATTGATAAATGATAAGAAGTACTTGTTCGTTGCATTAAATATTGAGAATATCGTCATGCAAGCGAAGAGCGCCGAGGTCAAGAGCGCCGAGGTCAATTGTACGAGAGCCGGTGGCAACCACAAGACAACGGTTGTGCAAGTGCTAGATACTACCTAGCATTTTATCAGATGACTCTTTCTATAAATATGTACTTCGGACTGACGCATTTCATTTCGATAAGTTAAATGCAGAGGAATGGGTGACTGATATCCTTGTTACCTGTTTCTGTACCTCTTTCGATATTAGTATCGATCAGGATCATATCAAAAATGTAATAAGAAGCGCAAGCATATTAGGAAGACACGTTAACTATTCAAATTATAAGCTACGATATGTAAGGTGAGTAGTACTGCACCACGAACGCAGAGTATGCAATAGTGTACCACGAATGCATCTGCTAGACCTGACTGATACTTACATAGAAAACCCTTCATCCGTTCTGTCTGAATAGCGAACATAAAACTTCTTCTTGCTCTCACTTCTTCTAAGTTACCTTCTCATTGATGTTGATGCAATTTTTCCGGCCGCAAAGCGACCTCCTTCTAGCTGTAGGCATCTTCCCTTGCCGTTGCCCCTTATCCGTACTATTTAAGTGCTCTCGTCTCCATTCGGTGACGATTTTTCCAGCGTCTCTGATGCCTCAGCGACACTGAGACAGCTCTCGCGAAGTTGCTCTACAATCGTCTCGGGAATTTGTTGCTGGAACATACTAGCTAGTGCCCGCTCTTGCAAGGGTTGCAGGGAGCCTATGTAAGACAACCTCCGGGGCAGTTTTGAGGCAGGACTTGCGGTTAGATCGGACAGGTTTCCTATCGTTGCTCCGCGTTTGTACCCACGAGGTTTTGGACTGCAATTGGAGTTAGTGTCAGAGTCCATAGGAGGATCTTCAGATATTGGCACTACCGAAGCCAGATTGGATACCTGAAGAAGATGCTGATGAGCAGATGAAGATAAAACAAGTTTCATCTCATGTTCAATCTTCGATATGGCTGAGAAGAATGACTTCAAGATATTTGAACTTCTTCATTGTACTGTAGAAGTACAATACATAGCGTCAGCACAGAGTACTATTTCTATGCAGCGTCGACATCGTCAACACCGTTCGTTGTGTCAACAACAAAATGAAAGAATACATTATTCCGTTTTTCTAAGAGCTGTGCTGCGAGACTCATATGATTCATCGAGACTCCATTTGCAACAACGGTGCTCGCGCTAGACTGTAAAGGACCCGCGTTGAGTGAAAGCTGGTTCTGCTGCAGGAAAAAACTCGTACTTCCCTTAGGACCGGCCGGCTTCATCCAAAAACTGATAATCGTGGGAACATTAACATGCTCATAGCCAAAATCATCATTGTTCTTTGTGCAGTTGACGATTCCGATACATCTCTACAACTCAGATGGTCTCTCGTCGATTTTTTAGGCTGTGGCATGAAGCATCTTCACGTTAAGTATGTATCAATGAAAAGTCAAGTGATAGATCCAAGGCGACAGCGAAGCTACGAAATAAAAGCAAAAGCTACCTCCCTGAATCTTTTGGAATTCCTAAAGGACCGGCTGGCGCGGCTCCGACATTCTGTAAAGTCGTGACTTGAGACATCCGTGTTACCACATCTGGACCCTTAGAATTCCGGTTATTTTGCACTTGTTCGCTTGGGCCTGAAGTTGAAGAAGATCGAGTTTTCAAGACTGACTGGGAGAAGATTCTCATGATGCGAGAAAAGGTAGAAGATGAAAGAATTCGAAGAGTTAACCAAAAGGAGCAAGCTGTTCGCCAAACGCGAGCTAGCGGTGCAGACAATGGAATGAAATAATTAGAAATTCTAGTAAGGATTTTTACGTTTTACAACGCCAGTCCCACCTGCCTCTGGTAACTCTGCTATCCCCATGAAGGTACTCATTCTTCGCTTTAGGGCTCCAAAAACACCAACAGGCTCTATTACGAGAGAAGGCTTGTGCATGCTGGTCATGCTCACGGCTTCGCCGATATTAGAGACAAGAAGTAAAACTAAAACGTACAAATACAAATTGATGTCCGTTGAACGAGCAACGGTTCATCAATCATAGCATAAGCTATACTTCTAGCTGAGCAAAAGACCAACCTAAACCTATGTACCAGGGATTCACTAGTATGGGTTTGCGGCTGATTACTCTATAATTACCCATCCTTTGAGCATCCGTTGCGTGGTGTTGTTGTCTTCTGCCATATTAGTTGCATGCATGGGAGCGGCAAAGTACGCTTCTGACGTTGACGGCGTAGGTCCACCCATACGATGCCCGTATCGGAGACCGCGCTTGTACTCCTCCTCGATAAACTGTAACTTCTGATTTCGTACACTCTCGAATGCTGTGACGACAGTTTTGTCAATCTTTGGTCATCTTGACTAGCAATATAGCTGACGTTGCTGCATCTTGATATTAAGTGCAAATTAAACCAGCAGAGAGAAGCAGAACAAGCTACAACACGCGCAAAGGAGTTTAACATTGATGCAGATAGATTATGAATGTTTTATTCCTGCAACTGCGATATCAAAGAGTTGAAGCTGAGTACTCGTATCGACGAGCCTTCTCGTGGCTATTGAGCTGCGACGCGCCATATGCAAGACCTCTTTCGGAATGTCAATGGGCTCGTAAACAGTGTCATCGACCTCGAAAGTGTCTTTCTGATCAGCCGGATCCTCGTCTGAGTCTTCATCGTCGTCGTCCGTTGTTTGATATTGATAGTCATCCTCGTCTTCGCAACATTAGACGAGAACTTCGTTGTCACGTTAGCATATTAAAGAAGATTGTCCCTCATGGATAATTTCTTAAACTCGTTAACTTACTAACACTAAGCCAAAGTTCTTTAGAGACTTTAACTTCTGTTAGGACGATTTTTAGGTTCTATCGTTGTTTAGTATTAGTACAGATTTGATCGGATTACAAACAAGAGCAACCTCACGGCAAGTAGAAGCTTCGTGCATACGCTGAAGACTCGTCGGCATCAGCTGCCGAGCTTTGCGGTATGTCCTGCTCGTCGGGAGCCCCGTCTGAGCCGCGGTCACTCATTGGCGGTTTAGTGTCCTCTAGTTCTTTTATTGGGTCCTGCAAAAGCGTAGGTATCTTCGAAGACGAGCTCTCCTGTGGTGCTTGCATGTTCGATGTCTTTGAGGGTGCCGGAACAGGCGGGAGGCCATTATCAACGCTGCTAGAGGGGCCCGCGGTGTCGACTGCTCTTTCTCCAGCGTCAGCCTGTTGACTTGTTGAGTCTATTCTACCAGTATTGAGAAGACCAGCCTCGTCCTTCCCTCCGCCGGGAGGACCCTCTGTCCTTGCTCCGACGTCCACCTCAATCCGCTCCACCGACGTTTCTCCCGCCTCACTCCCCGACGCTGAGAGGGGTACTACTGCGTCTCCTGGCTCATCCCCTCGTATTTTTCGGCCAGCCTCATCATCATCTACTTCTTTTCTGCCAACAACGCGGTCCTCTCCTGTGTCCTTCGAGTCGACCCCATCTGGCGCGCTACCCGTACTCTTGTCAACCACGTCTGCACCTGAATCTAGTGCCAATTTTGCCGATGCTTCTGCCGCTTGTGCGTCCTGACGTTGCGGTTTGGCGTCTCTTGAAGGTGAAGACGTACCTGATGTAGCTGCCACTTTGGCTTCTGTCGTGGTCGCGTCCTCTCCACCGACAGCTTTCTTTGCACTAGTACTACTAGACTTATCTTGTTCCGCCACCTCGTCTCCTGCTATTTTCTTGACAACGTCTCCTGGCACTTGAGCTTTAGCTCCTGAATTATCAACAGCATCATCGACATTTATTATCTGCTGCTGCTGTTTCGGTGCAGCGCCAGCACTTGGTGGAGAACTAATTTTGCTTGTTCTGTCCTCATGTTTCGATGACGCGCGCTTCCTGCCTACAATGCCTCCAGAGCTGTCCGTTTTGTGTGCCTGCCTCGCAGTAGCCTGATCCTTCTTCACCGCTTTCTCTTTTGCCTCGGCCAATTTCGAGTGCCCACTTGATGACTTCCTAGACGCTTCTCCTGCTCCAGGTGGCTGCAGTTCATCCTTCTTGCCGCTAGGCCGAGTTTTCTTATTCTTTCCGGTACTGGTGGACGCGCCAGTCGTTGGGGTCCCTGGTGTTGCGAAGACGATTTTTAGACCACACGTGGTTCAAAATACATGTTAATCGTTGTCATCAAGTAGTACACATCCATGATGATTCATTTTCATATACTTAGCACCATCTTTTGAGGAAACTCCCCGTTCAACGGGCAGCAGAAATCCCAAGCACCATAAGTAACATGAAGATGCATAGCATTGACGTGAGTAGCGAAATAGGTAGTACTGTGTTCTTTCTCCTTGGTGTCTTTCTGTTGTGGCGCGGTAGTCGCTGCGGCTTCTGGTTCAACCTGTTCCTTGCTACCATGTCTGGAAAGTGGGACCAGCTTCTTTCCATCCCGGATCAGTTCCTGAATAAACTTCAGAGCGAGTATGTTCGTCTTGTTCACTGGTTTGATGTGCGTCTCCACGCGAAGCATATTCTGCACAACCCACGGATGCTTCATGGCCTTTCGTGAACTATAACGAGTGCGCACGTCACGATCCAGCAAGCATCCTAGAAAGCCTTTCGCAGCATCCCCTATTCGAGCTTTCGGATGCCGCCACTCAATTTTCTCCGTCAAAATCTTCACCTGTTGTATCTTGTAAGTTCATCAAATTGCAAGGAATAAGGATGTTGAAAAGTATAATAGCACGTTGAAGACCTTGATGAGGTATTACGCAGGAGGAGAAGTTGTAATTGTATTCATTTCATTACAAGCCAACATCAACTAACTTATGGAGTGGGGATTTTGCACATGGGGAGCACTAGAAGCAGCTTGGCGAAAATTTTTGAAGTTTGGATGATGATGAGGCGTCCTACCTAGCTATATGCAATGAGTGGGCTACCTAGCTAGGTAAGAGGCAAATGGCCAGGCTCGCGGAAGCTCGAGGACTGCACTCAGCGGAGGGCGTGTGAGCTATGAGTGCGACAGTCTGGCACAAGCTGCCGACGAGGACGCGGCCCTTTCGCGGTTTTGCTCGAGGCTCCGGGGGAAAGTGGTTGATTAGAGGGAGCTTCTTGCCACTAGGTTCCGGGTGGATGCCGCGATTTGGGGACTTTGCACAAGCGCTCGAAAGTTTTTGGCTTGCCTCCTGGAAAATCATGCCTGTGCAAAATCCCCAAATCGCGATCCCCAATTTCTATCCCCACTAGATGACGCATTTGGGGATTTTGCACAAGCACCCCATTTTTCGTCTCAAATTTCTCGCGAGCCTCAGAAGTCTCCAGAAATTTGAAACAATCCGAGCCCTCCTGTCCGAAGGGCAGGAAAGAGCGACAGGCCTGGCCATGGAACGACAAGCCAAGCTCCGGGACATCACACGAAGCAGCAAAAGAGGGCGATCTGCGTCAGCGTACTGCGTCAGCTGTCTCGCCAACAGCCACACTCCCGCCGCCTGCATTCTCCAGCTGCCGCGATCCTTTCAGGCCGCGCGCCTCTCTACTAAATAGCTTAGCGAGCTAGCGAAAGTGCCCGCCTATATCTACCATCTCTGTTCAAGAAAATTTATTTTTTTTTCGAGCAGGCTGCTATTGGTCCCCATGTGCAAAATCCCCATTCCATATAACTTTCAAAGACACGCACGTGCTGAGGAAGAGATGAAATTACTTACGAAGTTTCTTCTCATCACAACAAAGTGTGCGATTTACCATTAGTTCCTGCGGGTCCTTCGCGTCGTAGGGATATCTTCCGTACATGAGCAGGTAGAGCAGTACTCCTAGGGCCCAGAAATCCACCAAGTGGTTGTATTGCTGGCCGATCAGCTCCGGAGCAAGGTAGTGGGGACTGCCACACAGCTCATGGAGTACTTGCTGGTCGTCCTGCCGCTTTACCGCCATCCCGAAATCGATCAATTTCAGCGGTGTGTTGTAAATGGACCCTGGTGCAGTGAAAAGGAAGTTCTCAGCCTTCACATCGCGATGGACGATGCGCAGGGAATGGATGTACTCAAGCGCCAGCATCATCTGGAAACCGAGAAATGCTGCATCGCACTCGGAAAAACGCTTGATCTCCAGAATCCGCTGGAAGAGCTCTCCGCCAGTGTAGAATTCCATCACAATGTAATAGAAATCTGGATCCTCGAAGAAATCGTAAAACTTCACGATATTCTCGTGATCCAGCTGCTGCAAGAGTCCCACCTCGCGCACAAACACCACCTGACGAGACCTGTTTTTTGTAGTGTCGTAAAATCACGTTTTTCGACGTAACTACTAGATCTAGAAGTAGGTTGGAAATACTTGTAGAGCAACACAATCATTAAAGTCTGTATATCTTCAATCATGAAGTCCGGAAGAGGATAAGGAAATTGCACACAAAAAAGAAGAATCAAAAGACCACTCTCCATCGGTGTCGTCTGCTTCTACTATCTTGACGGCGCGAACATGCCCTCCTTGTCGGCACTTGCACTCTCGTACCTGCCCAAAGGAGCCTGAGCCCAAAATTTTTCCGATTTCGTACACATCTCGTATATCAACTTCTGGGCTCTGAGCCAGAAGCTCCGGGTTCGCGCTTATCGAAACTTCGGAAGTGAAGGTCCCAGCTGCTGATGAGGCAGAGAAAAGAGCAATAAGATGATGTAGTCACATATTCTAGATACCAATTGTTTGTAGATGAAGAAAAAGATGTACATACTAGATGAAGCGGATTCGAAAGTGACACCTCGACGAGTCAAAAGTCAGCTGCTGGTGCAAAAAAGAAAAAAAAGGTAAAGGTGTTCCGTTAGGTAAGTACATGAAAACTTTCCCGAAGCTGAACCCTTGGCTAGACGGGAAAAAAAGCTCTTGATCTTCGAGAACGGCATGTTCGTCAAGTGGAGGGCTCATCATACTAGGGTGCCCATGAGTTGTGAAGATTATTTGGTAGTGAGGGTAAGAGCCGCCAAAGCCACCTGCAACCGGTGTTTCCTCGAGTTGTAATCAACACCCAGTCACGGCGAGCTTTGTATTTGTGGATCATCAAATCAACATGACCACAATTTGAAAGGTCGGTTTGCATTATTGCCACTTGTTGTTGTTGATGCAGATTCCGATGCTGTGTGCATGCCTATAATTAATCAATCGTAACGATGCTGGGTGGGTACTTCTTGGTTTATGTTGTCTCAGCTTGAGTGGTCCCTCGCTACTCACTTGAAAAATTTTATTATACAGTGTGGAGCAGATTAGACAGTCGCGCAAACCGGAGTACCGGTACCGGCATCGTCCTTTTTCATCTTCAGTATCCATTTCCATAGAGTGGCCGACAAACACAAGCCTTCGTCTTCCTTGATTGTGTTCAATCATGAATGCAGAATTTTGCCAATGTTGTACATAAAAGCTGGATCACTTTTTGGAGCATAAAACCAACTTTTAAACTCTTCAACATTCAGTTTTCCAGCCTTGTTGGTATCACTCTGCTTGAAGCATTCCAACACAGTTACAGAGGCTAGATCTTCTGGAGAATCAACGTCGACTCCCATACCCTTCATCGCGCTCACCACCGTTGGTGTCAGTACCTAAGAGTCAGATGAGATGAAGTTCAATGTTCATAAACTTACTTGCGATGATGTGAGTCTATTCGGCAATCTGCCTACGATTTCCCGACTACCTAATGTTCATATTCATATAAATATACATATTTACTCGTTCATTAACAAGAGCAACATAAACCACATGCTCTACTCATCTAAGTACAAATGCAATGAAGTTGAAGTTGCAAGAAATCCACTAAGAAAATTGCAACTCAAGTACTATTTTGTAGACGGCCGTGAGAAAGGTCCACAACTCGTCGTTTGAGATGAAGCCGTCGCCGTTTTCATCGAAGCAGTCAAAAATTGCATGTATTTTCTCCTCCTCTGAACCTTGGCAAAAAAGGGCTATACCTGAAATCGCGGCCGTGGATGGTGGATGAATAAAACTCGGGCGTCCAACTGAATCGTGAGCCTTGTCATTGGAGTGTTTCATCAACAGCAGAGGAAGCTGGCGCTTTAGAATTAGTACCGCAACAGAGCTCCATCATATCGACTACGCCGTTGTGGTCTTTGTCGAAAAGGGCGAAAACTTCATTGAGTATGTACTCTGGCGCGGGCTCCATTCTGCATTTTTTCAACGTTTCTTGATACCCTCCTCGAAATTCATTTGGCCCAAGTTTGCTGTCTTTTGAAAACTTCTTGAATGTTTGCAATGCGACTGAGGCCGGGACCTATCACGTATTAGTTGAGGTATTGAGCATGTGAATTTATGGTGGAGAAGATGAAGTAGATCAGTTGAATCAGATTCTGCCAGAAGACTCCTTCCTCTACTGCTCCGTAATATGCATGTGCCGACTTCTAGCAACGTTGGTTCTAGGTCTTTGATATTCATCTTCTTGACTCTGACAACATCTTCCAACACACACTGTTGCTTAGAAAATTGGTACCGTGCTCAGCGCACAACGAGTTCGCACAGCTTTTAGATGCGCCATAGCAGAGTCGTCCTTGCTCCGCGCCTCCTGTGACTGTACAGCATCGCCAGATGGTGAATCCGCTCCACATCCCTGCTGCTTTCCTAGAATGCCTGGTAATTGAAGATTTCTAGTAGAGTCCGCATCGCATGTAGTTTAAGCTTCATCTATACCTTCCTTTTCCTCGCTTTCATTTCATTTGATTTCTTTGACATCGTTAAGATCAGCCATGTCCCAACGTTCTCTGTTTTTCTTATGCAATTTCCTACAAGTCATGATTGCCTCCCATCGAATAAAAGCATTAGGACTAGTTCTATTTTTCAAATTGCCGTAGAAAAACTTTGTAAAAAACCTCCTCCTCCGAGTGCGCCGAGGGGTCTTAGAACCGGCATTGTGAGACCCACCGGCGGTCGATACTCCTTTGCCATCGAATCGCCTTGCGTGGCAAGGGCAATGTTTGGCGGCCTCCTTGCACTATCGCTGGCGTCCCCAGCCCCACCAAGCACGTCTTGATTCGTTACATTATTCGGGTTCAGACTCACGCCGCCAAGAGCGTTGCCGCTGTGCTGGACGCCATCTAGCTGGTGGTGCGGTTGAATATTCCGCAGGCTGGCTTGGAACGTAATCCCGGTGAACCCCTTGATGCCGGTGCTGAGACCCATCGGAGGCGGCAGCCCGCCAGCAGGGTAATTCACTTCGCCCAGCTGCCCTGGCACAGCATGACTGCCTTGCGACGGCGTGCGCGTGTCCAGGTGATTCATGTCGTCCCCTGGTCGCGCTGAAGTTTGTTCGGAACGGCTGCTAGGGAAAGCAAGATCACCCATAGTTTCGTGAGCGTCTAGGGATGCGCTCGCACGAATCATTGACATTGAAGTTCGATCCGTCATTTTTGTTGCGATGAAGATAATGTGGAACCAGGTGTGAACTAGAAGACGAAATAAAAGTCAGATTAGTATGCTGTCAGCGGAACATATATATTCAGAGCGACGCGCAATTAATGTCACGGATGTGAGACATAACTTTTGGATACTCGCAAAAGTTACCCTGAAAATCTTCTTCGAAGCACTGCTTAGAAAACCCGCGATAATATGGTGCTTTAGGTTTAGCATTACAGTAGTCTAATCAACAATGCCGTGCCTATGATTGATGTGTTTTGAAAACTCTTCTTCAGTGATTGTTCAAATTCGCTCTCCAATAGGCGCATACTAGCGCAAATGCCCAAATTTTTTCTCTCGAGCGCTATTTCTTTGCTACTACTTAGCAACATTCTTATTTTTCTCTGCGCATTAGTACTCTACTAGCTCTTTTCCTCTTATGAAGATGGGAATCCATGGATCAATAAACCGATGTACTCTTGCAATGTAGTGCATTCACTCGTTGACCAGAATGGCGTGTTCTGTGTCATTTCGGTGTCGCCATCTATTTTTACTGCTTTCGCTTTTACTTGTGTAGTTGAAAGAACTTGAACTTACTGTAATACACTGCTCTTACAATTTCCGTAACTCTTTCTTGGAATACTGTTGAACATGAAGATGGTGCGGATCGTATCCACAGTTCCCGAATCTTCGCTCCAGGGTTCCCGCGAAGGGACCAGCTTAGAGGTAGAAGGGACAAGAGCCTTGCAACACTAGCAATTTTTGACTAGTACGAACGTGCTGAGCTGGGTCGGGCAGTTCTGCTGTGATTTTCTCTCGAATCTCACGATATGCGCAGGCGAAGGGGACATGGGGAATTCGTTATCGCTTCGTGAGTATTTTTGTTAAGTGATTTTTCGCGAAGAGTAAGTGTCCAGTTTTTCTACGTCTCCACATCCTCCACCACGGTGGGACTTGGCATTATCTGCGTCTGCTGATACTGTCTCATAGGCGGCTAGTCTGGATTTGTTATACAACTAGTAGCTACAACAGCGTCGCAAACGTCAGACGCCGCCTTTAGTTCTCAACCATTTGAGCTTTCCTCCACTCCAGTTGCTTTTTAGGGTCGCTGTCAAAGCAATTATCCACGATCAACCCTGCAAAGCAATCCCTCCCAAATTCTACACGCTGTCTCGCGCTCTTGTTCACCTCCCCTTCGGCCTGAAAAAAGCAGATCTTTAATAAACGGAGCAGGATGAAACATCCTAAAAAAACCTAAAGATGGAATAGCTGTGTTCTTGCTCCCAAAAGTCGATTCATCAAGCTAGAAACCAGAATTTAACGTCTTGACATCGGAATTTGAAAAAAACGCACCATCATGACTAAGACTATCATCTAAGCTCAGATCGAGCGCAACAAGAATTAGATTTTCAAGCGTGCTAAATATGAAGTACATGGGTATTAAAGTAAGTACATGGGTTTTTCGTAGTTCGTCGAGTGTAACAAATCCCTGGAATTCACCGTCATAGAGCTTCCCATCCTTGAATTCTCCTGTGAAGGTTCTTCCGCCTGGCCATGAGTAAGTGCCCTGCCCATGAAATTTGTTCTCCTTGAATGGGCCTTCATATTTGTGTCCGTTCCTAGACTCATAAACGCCGTTCACGAAGAGTCCGCTCTCAAAGCGACCTACGAAGCTTTCGGGGCCGATTACATAGGTTCCCTCACCGTGCAAGACTGGGTCACCTGCAGTAACGTGGGAAGACTTGTTATCCAAAATTTTGCTTAAACAAGCGGTTTCATCTTGAGTCAACATTTGTTCCATCCTTCCACGCCACCAGCAAGGGGAAAGACTCATCCCCTGCGGAAATAGGACCATGCCTTCTAGATATTAGAAGTACCCTCCTCATTCTTGAGGTATTGTCCCTTGTACGTGGCTCCGAGTGAGTGCAGTCGAAATTCGTCCGGGCCGAACACTTCGGGAGGGGCTTCCTCGGCCTCCTCGGCCATGATTTCCGAGTGAAGACAAGATACTCCTTGCGGTTTTCTTCGGTCTACCTAACACCACTTCAAAAATTCAATGTCTAGAGCTTTGCCTTGGAAGACGCTCAAGCTAATGAACCTATCCTCTTCATTTGCAATTGGGAAAGGCGGCACTACTACCGCGTCCTTGCTGCGAGCATGTTGATGCAGGCGCGTCGTCTCGTTCCTACTTACAACATGTACTGCCGCAACTTTTTTTCTATGTAGTTAGTCCACGCTCAACTCATTTCCGACACGACTTTTCTCTCGACATCCCTACAGTTAGATTCGATTTTTGCGACATTTCCTCCGTTTTTCTCCATTTTAGTCGTCCTCTCAAAGTCAAACGCAAAATTATGGATTCGTTGTTTATAGTGACCATTTCTTTACCCTGGTACACGCGAACGGGTTGGGGTTGCGTCTGAATTGCTTTCCGTCCGGATCCCAGATCACCGTTAGTAAAGACACTGCCAGCTGCGGTTCATGATTGCTAGAAGCCGTTCTTGATGCTTTCGCCTGTCTAAGGCTAACGTTCGTGCAGTCTCGCACGCGATACTCGTGCTGCTGAAGCACGTCTATTTTGAGACATGGGTAATTCATCTACCTTGAGGAGCATGCTGCTCCACACACTTTGTTTGATGTGTCTCTTCCACATGTCTGTGTATCATGACGCTGGATATTTCTTTGAAAGGAAATTTTTTACGAATTCGCTCACAAATCATTTGGTACCCAAAAAGCTTCCAATAGAGACTCATGTACACTGCATTCCTTGGTCTATGCTAATGAAAAGGAAAACAAGGAACGAGAATGAATAATATGAAAAGCCAAATTGAATCACAGTAAGTAACGTGAGAATCTTAACGCAACAATGATAGGAAAGAGAGGTGGCGCTGGGACTGGTCTGATGGACACTGTGAAAAGCTTGGCGGGGGCTGGAAACATGACGGGTGCGCAGGAGAAATGAGGAACAGGGAAATCCCAGCAAAGTGGGTGTCATGTCCTGCAGATATCAGTGAGTATGAGTGAGCTCTAGGTGTCCCTATCATTCACGGGGAGGCCAATCCGACCACGGGGAGTGCGACTTCAGAGGACTATCGTCACGTCGCTCCACCCTGACCCAGTTCTTGCAGCTCTGAGAGGAACTGCTCTGCAGACACGAAGTTTGTTGCGGTGTAAATGCATTCTTTCCCTTGTTCCTGTGCCGCCTCTCGCATCTGCTGTGCCTCGGTGTAGTTTCCGCCGCCTATCATGCAAACTATCGCACGCTTAAACGGAGCGCGATACCGAGATCCGCTAGAAGAAGCTGCAGCCTGAAAATCGAGAACAACGACCAGTTCCAGACACTGCACTTCTCCTTCATGAAGATTCTCAAATCAGGATTGATAAAAAAAAAGTTGAACAGCAATGATCAAACTACGAAAAGATTTAAGTTGTAGAAGATAAACTTTTTTACTTGTGAAAAAATATTTTATACATATAATACCCTAGCATTTGGCGGCATCTTCGGGTCAATGTAGACGTAATTCTCGACATTCGCCTTGTCCTCGCTGGATTTTGTACTCCTGTTCTCCATCAGTGTCGAGACAATTTTGGTTGTGAGCAATTCGCGTTTCGTGGGCAAAATTTTTTCTAAATTTCGCATGGTTGCTTCCGCCGCCTGATTCAATAGACCGCCGAACATTCGACCTGCGGTTCCAAGCGCATGGTTACCCATCAGCGGATTGGGTAACGAGCTCTCTTGCTGCACAGCGCCACCGGACGCTAACTGTGACCTAGTGAATGGAGACGCACGATGACCATAACTAAGTACATGAATGAAGCAAGATCATGGCGTTGCTCCTTCAATTAAGCAGAAAGAGGTGGTGTCGTCTGACTCTGTTTCTGTACGCTCAATCCTAAAAATTCATTGACTTGCAATAAATTCATTTACACTAATCCAAAAACTCACGGTCGTGATACCTATGTCTATTTGTCTGGTGCACGTGGTTGAGGTAGGCAAGGGAAGCTCTTGGTGCCCCAATCCGGTCCAACGTTGCCATCAGTTCGTTCACTTGCTTGTCGTTTAACTGTTGTGCTTTCGTCTGATAGAAGACTAAAATCGCGCGAATCTTATCCTGTAAAGTTGCGTTTGGCGACTCGTTAATCAAGCTTTCCAAACTTGTCATCGCGCTCTGCACAGACGTTCCTGGAAATTGGTCCTCGACAACGTAAAACCTGGAATGTTGGCAAAAATCGAGTCTGGTGGACACTGGGAGAATAGCAGGGAAACTGGTCTAGTTTTACTCGTACTTATTGATTCTATGTATTGAAATCCCAGGGTCTTCTATGGGATCTCTAGAAGGTGTTATAGAAGGTCGCGCTGTAGTAAAAGTGAAGAAGCTAGTCAAACAACATAAAAGTCAGTTTATCAAGAATTGCGTGCTGCTTTCTATCCATGATACCTGTCAAGGCCTCGCTTCTGGATTTGCCTTAAAATCGCATGAGCGATATTCGTGTGCATCTCTAGTGACCGTTTTCTCTCCTGCATTTCTGGAAGTTGCGTTATGGCTTGATTCAGATCACTCTGCTGCATTGTTTTATGTTTTTTGTTGAACTCCTGGAGTTCCCTATCCACAGCCTCGAACTGCTCGTGAATTATCACATGCTGATAGTCGCTCCAAAATTTGTCAGTTGCCTGAGTATTTTTATGTTGTAGTTGTGAATAACGTTTTTGAGGCAAGATCTTTTTACAGAGGTTGTACCTGTCTATTCAGTCAACTTTTCATATTTGCGTTTGCTGGAATAAAGTAGAAAATTCTAACCTACAAATGCTACTGGAGATAAGAAATACGTCAATGTCATAGGTCTTTTTTGCAGCTTTTGTCGGGTCCTCTTCGTTTTCTATCACTGAAAGCTTGTTCAGCCTCATGTCGAGGACGTCATGGCACATAGTTTCGTAGGTCCAGGTATGATGTAGCAGCGTCGCCAGCTCCAGCTCGCGATCGAGGAGGCACAAGAGGGGACGCCCTTCTGCTTGGTAGCCTCCCGCTCGCTCAAATAGGTCCGCGGTGCCGGTTGCCGGTGCTGATTGTAGCAGCTCATAAAGCTTCTCGTGAAGTTTTTGCGCCACTAATTGCGCCGCGTCGTCTGCGGGACAGCGAATAACAGGGACGCCGACTCGCAGAGTCACTAGTGTCGACAAAATGCCGTTCACGATACGGTCGAGCAGCTTCTCTATCTCCTCGTCCTGCACGTTCACGCTTCGTAGCGTAGAGTAGCTGCGTTCAAGATTCAGCGACACGCAGCCCGGCCCAAGGGCAACAAAATTTACGTACCGGTCGACCACGCTGGAAACCCGCTGCGCCTCTGCTATCTCATTCAAGCCAAAGGCGAGTCTCTCCAGAAGCGCACGGGGAACCGTACTCGTGAAATTCACATACAAGCTGGACATAAGGTAAACTTTTCATTCTTGACAAAAGCGTGATGAAGCAGAACCAGAAAAAACTTGAGAAAACAAAAGTGAATTCCACATTGATTTTCTGTGTGATACTCATGATCAGTTATGACAAGTTGTAAGAACTGAAAGTACTCTGGATATAGCTTCCGCCTGCAATCCTCTATAATTTTCTGGATATTTTGCTCTGTCGGTTCGATGAAGTATATGCAAGGCACGTCGGGTACTTCACTTCTCTCTGCCGCTATTGAGCGATGCAGCGTGACCCCAAACTGACTTCGTAAAGAACCCACCGTAAACAGTGGGGCCAAGATGTCCTGCCCCTGCTTGTCATAGACAAGCGCCTGAGTGATGAGACGCACGAGAACGAAAAAAGTATTGAGAAAATGATGGAGTAAGAGACACTGCATGGTTGGACGCTAGGTTGAGTTGATTTCTACTAGACCTAGAGATGGTACAACTTTGTTGCGCGAGGTGGAACCAAGTAAACAGCACTTGTTCTGAGATCAACAACGAAAGATCTTCGTCGAGGTACCTTCCATTGATTTCTTTCTTGGTAGTTCATAGCATCCTCGCCAACCGTGAGGTGAAGCATGCGATGCACGCTTTTCCTTTGCAGTTCGCGTGCATCCAAACGTGACGACATCATGATCAACGGAAAATATGTGGAAAACGTCTACGACAATTGGGTCGTACTAGAATCTCAAAAACAGCAAATGGTTTTGTTGTTCGGCTTCGGCTAATCTTCGTCTGTTACCGCTAGTCACTGTAAGCGATGTGTCTTTTCCCACGCTCGTTCCCTACGTCTAAGCTTGAATCGAGCAAGGCAAACGTGTGAGTATTTTCTGGGCGGTAGAAAAACCGCACTGGCGTCGCTACTAGTCAACGTGGAGCGCTTCATGCGCAAGTATGAAGCAGTCGAATCGGGCCTCCTACAGTCACGTGCCGTAGCTTGATAAGCGATGCGAAAACTGCGAAAAAGCTCAGGGGCGCTCTCTCGTCCGTCGCATAGATATGCGCATCTGCCTCAGCGACAGAACTACAGAGAGTAGGCCATCGACACCGACTGGAGCGCAATGCCTATATTAAATATAATGAGGCGCTTATATGTAGCTTGCTGCTGCTAACAGACACGGAAGCGACCTCTGTCCGGGAGAGTCTCGCGTCGGGTTCGCTATCGTGCTTGCAGAGTGCACGACAGGCGGTCGCGACCGACACACCAGTCAAAAGGGCTTGCACAGTTGCCAGCAGGCACGACCAGTACCCATCACCACCTTTACCTTTCGCGCACCGAATACCTCATCTAGCGGAAGACCTCCCACAAGAGGTTACGCAAGCGCAAGAACATCTACTCTGTTTCATGACATGACCATTTTTTCGATGGAAAAGAAGAAAACCGTAGGAGGTTGCCAATATCATCAGTCACGTGAGAGAAATAATTTTTGACGAAAGTGATGCGGCACGAGTCAGCAAAAGATATCTTCTCCAAATAAAACGGCGGAGACTACACCCGACTTCACCAAAAACTACAACCTGGATCTTTTCTTGATAGTCCCAGCACAAAGGCCAATTACAAATATGGGAATGCCAACGACGTTGTGAAAGAAGTGCAAACTTACCTTAGCGCAAGATTTAGAGTTAGATCGAGTTGTATTCTATTATGAATATGTGTCTAACTTATTGCTTCCGTATGATTCCAGCTTTTGTCCCAGGTGCATGCCTAGCGATCATCAACACGCTTGAGATTTGCATTATAATCATTAATGAGAGTTTCATTGCGTATTTATTGAGGAGTGTACCATGATCGCTGTGCCCTTTTCTCTCTGATCAGTCTTCCCCATAAGACAGAGGGGCAGTGCAGCCTTCACCTGTTTATGTCAGGAGTCTGATGGCTAAGAATTTCTCTGTCCTGCTTCAATTTCTTTCAAATTTTTACCACAAACGAAATCTTCTGCAGCTAAAAGATTTCTTGCCCCCCCGGTCTGGTAGGACCACACCACGGAAAGATCCCCGAGAAAGGCGAAAGATTATCCTGTCCTTCCGCACGTCGAAATATCGACTTGAATGAATCTACTGAAACTGGTTTCGTGGCATGCCAGTTGCGCAACTAGGCGACTAGTTGTTGCTGCGACGTGCACTGGTCAGGGCATAGATTGCTGTGACGTCAAGAAGTTGCGAGGAGGAGTGACCACTCTTTCTTGGAGACGGCCACAAAGAAGAAAAACTACTTGCGAGTCAGAGTACCAATGGGATTGAATGGATATTTTGTCACCGAACTAGATAACATGAAAACTCAATGGCATGAGTGGTAAATACACCAAAAGTCGCTGCGTGAGCTGCGTGGGGCATGGTCAAAGTGGAGATCGACAACGGCAAGAATTCGCGAAATACACCCACATACGAGGAGTAATGAAGCGGAGTAGTGCGAACAAAGTGACGAGACCACGATATTGGTAGAAGATGCTTTTGATTTCTTCCAACATATTAATGGTGTATGAAATAGATTGTAGGTTTTTCAATTTTACTAACCTTACTAATAGAAGAACTAATCTTAAGCGCACACGCTGAAAGATATGGGGAGGGAATTTGTTGGTTGTCAATTTCTTTTAACCGACTATATCCAACATATTAATTACTCATTACTTACTAACTGCGGCGCAAATAACAATATGAATACGACCGGAAAATGAAGAAAGAGTACTTTCTGACATTGACGTAAAAAAAAATGAATTACTAATCATGAATATGCGTGAACGTAACTTTATCTACACCTATAGACTATCCTCCTGATGTGGGCACCGAACGAGCTGCACCTGTGATACGAATCGAATATGCGAACAGAAAAGCAGATATTGCGGAGTTGAGCCCACGGATACTGTTCCATCGCGTCCATGGAGCATTGTATGCACTCCAGGCTCGTTGGCATTCCGCTTCCGAGTGCTCTTTTGGGTTGAAGAGAGCGAGCTCGTCATTCAGCGGCACATTGATTCCCGCTGTGAGGCCGAATTCGCCGAGGACGATTAAAACGGTGGCAAGAAATAGTACTAGAGACTCGGAGCAACCCGCAGTTCTACCTCCAGTGCAAAATGCACACGATTTTCCGTCTGCCGAGCGGCAACACTTGAGCGCAAATACGAAGACTGCAAGAACTGGAGTGCCCATGAAGACCGAGAAAAAGATCGGGTTCAAAATTACCACATTGATCTGATTCATCACTTCAATAGCGGTCGCAGCCGAGGGAAGCGAATCCAACGAAGGCATCACGCAGACCGAGAAAATGAAGTACAGACCGGCAAGAATCCCACATCCTACTGACGTCAATGGCAGAAGAAAACCATCCAACAATGCAGACGAAAATGTCGATACGCTACCGTCTGCGTCGTTCGGGTTGATTAGCGGAGCAGTAGCACCTGCGGACAACGAACTCGAGATGCCTCCCATGGTGGTGTTGTTCATAGTCTTTCTGGCTGTATCGTTTCTACGTGTTGATTCAAAAAAGATATAGATATACCAGAATTGAGATTGCTCTATTTTTTCTAATCGATTCTTTGAGTTCCTAGCTACCTCACAAACTTGATATTTGCCCTCACACTCGGTCAATGACCCGACAGATCTATTTTCGTCCTCTCTCCCGTGAGTTTCTATTCTAGCATATCAACGCTTTCACAGCTGAATCCTGCTTCCACAGGATTCTTAGAGTTCACTGTTCAGGGCACTCAACCGAAGATCGGAAGAACATTCCCTCCTACAGCAAGAACCAGGCATCCGCCAGTCAGGTAGAACAAGGAAGAGGCGATGGCGAAGAACGAAGATCATGGACAAAGCCATAAAAAAATCAACATTATCGACAACTTCACAAGAATCACATACTCCGAATCCACATACGAGTTTCTATAATATCAATGTTCTTCATCTGAAAAAGTTCATAAAAAGATACGATAAACGTTAATGTTGAGATGAATGCTGCTGATGGGAAATGTCTATTGAGCCTACTTATACAAGAAATAAATGGCGGGCAACTACTGGGAAGTGCTCTAATTACTGTACTACAATAAGGCGATGAAGAGGGTATCTCGGGTTCGGGCAAAATTGGGACTCTCTTACTCTTCTACTTGGGATAGACTGGACGTTGATGATCGGAATCGAATGTTTGGCTATGAATGTATTTGATGTACACCCTAGAAACTATCAAAAACTCCTGTATTCCTCACAGCAACTGCGTTATGCAGCTGCGTCACCATCAGGGTCGCTGGGGGATGGCGCGGTAGATGCTGATGTGGAAGAGGCGGCGGCCACGTCTGCTAGGACGGACGCAGAGAAGTTGGCTTTTTTGAGAACTTCATTCTTCTCTTCGGGTCCAAGCACGGGCCCTCTGGGGCTAGCCGGTTCGCTGCCTGCGCCGAAATCACTGCCCTCGTAGACCGAACTACTGTCGGGTGGTAGAGATGTGGTGTCCGGAGCGCCCGTCTCGGATGAGTGCTTGATCTCCTTCGGCGTAGTGGAAGCTGTAGCTCCAGCAGTAGCTGATGCAATCGATTGCGCCGCTGGTGTTGCCGTGGTCACTTCAGACGTCGCGGGAGCGCCGAGGGAAGAGGTCGCAGCACCGGAGGCTTCTCCTGATGCTTCTTGGTTTCCACTCGAAGATGCATTGCGTGCGTCCATCGCTGCAAGTCGTTCGGGTGTAAGCGCTGGGCTACTGCGTCCCGGTGGTTGGAATGTTGATGTTGCGTTTGTGCTCTGCTGCTGTTGCTGCTGGTCTCGCAGCATCGCTTGGTGGAGCGCCGTGCCGCCAGTAGCCGTACTTGTGTTTTCGCTCGATGCAGGTGCCCTTCCTCCCGCTCCTGCTGAAGGTCCGCCTCCTGAGGGGGCCGCCCCAGCTGCTGCTCCTGGCGGATGATGTTGGTGGTGCCCGCTGCTGCGTTCCTTACTACTTCGGGACTTGTCGCCATTCCACTTGCGCTCCAACCCGATCTTCAGATTACGCGCATTCAGAATGATTTTCTCGAACTTCTGTCCGACGAGCTCGAGTTGCTTTACTAGCTCCTCTGGAGTGGGACTCTCGCGAAACTTGATCGTTTTGATCAGCGCCTGAGCGAATTCCTTACCCATCACGTGCACGGCCTCCATTTCCATATTGCTGTCGCCTAAACCTGATGAAGATTTCGAAACGACAAGACGAGAATGACGAACACTTGTTGCGAAGAAATGGGAGAGGTACTACAACAAACTTGCGATAGCGTCGAGTAGTTGCAGCTCGCCGGTGGTGGACAAACAATCGTCGACATATTACATGGTAATAAAAACTAGAAGGTTGTAGATGAGGAGTACTGATCAAATTCGTGATGATCTGTGAATTCAGCTGCCTCTGCACCTCCAAAAAGGCCTCAATCTTCCATTGCCCGTAGTTCCCAGGAAAGGCATGCTCGTAATTTCCGCGAGCAGATATAATTTGAATCCTGAATTGATGATACATTAACGTTAAAGGAATAGATGATTATTACCGAGGGAAGATACTGGATAGAGTATGGCATCTTTGAGTTTCACGGGGGGGGAAATAAGACAGCAATCAAGATTTGCAATTTTTCTAGAAGACCGACGACACTTATGTTCAGGTCGAGGTCACGTTCACGACGAAGGGAACAAAGTACTTTTGTAACGTCGGCAGAAGTCTCGGGACATATTTGCTAGCAGAGTATTCGACCCAACCTTTCATCGCGTTGGTGATGATGAAGGTCTGCCCAAGTTTCATAGCAAGCTCGAGAAGCTGGGCACCTACTCTCTCCAATAAGAGCAGCTGCCTTTGGACATGCCCAGGGATTTCTGGGGTCGGCAACCGCAGGTTTAAAAACGACGTACACAAAAGGGTATCGTCCCAGTCGAAAATGATAACTGTAGTGGATGGTCAACAGGAGTGCGCGTGGCACTACTACTGGTATAGGGATTTTTTAGAACAACGACAACAATAATATAAGTGTAGAAAATTCCTAAACTTCTCTTCTCTGGACTCTGCGATGTTTTCAACTTGGTTATCATAGGCGAATCTCTAGTAAATCGAGTATAGTTGTAGTTTTCAGAAAGAGTATAAGATTGCGAACTGACTAATCTCAACAAGCCTTTGAGTACCTGTCTGATGCTGCGGCGGGCGCTGTGCCGCTGGCACCCATATTCTTTCGTAGGACAATTTCTGTAAAAATTTGTGACGAAAGGCCTCGCCCCGAACCCCGGACGGGCCAGCGCCTGCGACGTTCATGTGAAAAGTTTCCATTTTAGGTTCTGCTTCGCTACTTTTTGGTTCCGACTGTTCTGTACTGGCAGGATCGAGTCCGGATGACGATGACGATGCTGTATTCTCAGAAGTTAGCGTGGAGGGCGTGGTCTCTGAGCTTTTACTTTGCCCTGCCGGTGCTGGAGGAGCCACGGCAGCCTTGCCCTTGGAAGAAGCATCAGCATTCTGTTTCATCTCGCCTCCCGCGGGCGCAGTAGTTGTACTACTTTTCGACGTTGACGCGGGCGGCGGTGGACCCGTAGAAGTCGTGTTGCTTGATGCAGCGGTAGAGGGAGAATCAGTTTGCTTTTTAGAGGCTCCTTCATCTTCTGCTACTGGTCCTCTTGCTTTTGTCTCACTTCCAGCTGCAACAACTGCTTGCTTGGCATCCTCACCTTCTGCTGACTTCGAAGCAGTTGCGGCCGCTGGCGAAACGGCTTTCTCAGAAGGTTCCGCCGCTGCCATTGCCGCCGCCTCCGTGACTTTTTCCGTTTCAGACGACATGCTGACGTCTGCCTGGCAGCTCGATGTTATCGTGATCGTCGCGGCTGTTGACTCTAATATAAAGACGCTATCCGTAAGTCCTGTATTTTGCTCCCCGTCTTCTCTCGTGATCGGAGCTCGAAGTAAAAAGCACCAGAAGGCAACGCAGCAGAGCTAGGTTTTGTGGCCAGCGTCCGATCAAGACGAGCACCAGGGGACACCAGACGATGAAGCCATTCTTGTCATGTCTTGTTCTATCCACAGTTTCTAGTGTTGTACCACAGCCATGTGCTTGTAATCAGGCTTACTCCCAATTTTTGAAGACATCTACTCCAAGGATAGACTGCCCTCAATGAACGATGGAGTAAAAAGAGTCGAAATCGAATAAACACGATTTATCAAATGAGTGCGTGGTCAACAAGCAACGTGTGCTAAAAACCACAACCGTTATCATCCACAACTACCAATTTAGGTGTCAGATGAAACAAATATGGTATATCTACTATCGACGAAGGATATGAACCACGAAGAAAAGAATCAAAAAAATCACATAGCATTGCAGTTTTGGACAAGAGTAGCGCAAGCGCAGAAAAAAACGCTAATGGATTAGGTTTTGTTCAGCCTCCCACCTGTCATGCAGTTGTTGTTGTAGTCCTTGATACATAGTGAAATGACTGAATCTGCTGCCACACGATTCTTGGGGACGCAATATCGACGACGAAGGTGATCTCGCATGCACCAGGGAGAAAGAAAGAGGCGCGGAAGTGAATTACCTAATCTATCTAATGTATTTTGGCCGAGAAGGTCCGATAAAGAACAAAAAAGTCCAATATATAAAGACCTGCGCGCACTTTCCTCTGAGGATCATGATCCACGTGTGTCTGATCAGAGGATGAGCAGGAGGAGGAAGCTCCTGCTGATGACATTAAGTTTCATCTATCACTTTCTATTTCCAAGATTGCCATCATGGTAAGCATAAGTGGAACCACGAAAAGATGAGTGTCTCAGAGCATGAGACTCTCGACTGGATGTCCTTCGAGTATGCGCCAACTACAGAAACAGAAGCAAAACAGACATCCATTCTGATCCTCTGGCTCTGCTCTCATTCCTTACTAAATTGTGCCTAGTGAATATCCCCAGTCGTGCTCCAGCATGCTAAAACGCTCATGCAGCCAGGTGAAGATGAACATGATCTAAGAACAACACGCAAGGAAGTCGATCTAAAAAAACGTTTTGAGTTACTCCTCCGGGGTCTTCGGTTGCGCAAAAGGAAAGAACACCCCCCCACAGCACGCGGCGCAATATGCATCAGACTCGAACAAGGTGCGCATCCTGAGTAGATGACAGGTATATCATCGTTATGATCTTCAACTTGTTCGTTGTTCGTCCACGAAGGGGACACAAGCCCAACGAGCTCGTTAATATTTGCGGAATGAACATCAAAGCTAGAATCTCTGCGATGAGCAGAACAAGGCGACAAAGACGTGTTGAGCGCCGACATCGGATTCCATTTGTGCGCCTGACGCAGTCGCAATCTATGCACATGACTTGGCGAAGACGAAAAAGCGCGGTTCGCTTGGGAATGACTAGACGGTAATGAAGCCGCTGGCTGCCCTGTGGCGAGGCGGTGGCGCATTTTCAAATAGCGCTCTCGCTCAGGGCTGTAGCTCGTTGCGATCCGAGATCCCTCTCGTGTGGTTGGTGACGTTGGCGACATCTCATTTGAATTTGCAAAATCCTTCTTGCCCCCAGGCAAAATCAATAACGGCGCAATAGCGCCGGTTGGCCGAAAATTGGAGTCTTGCGAACTGTTGAAATACTCATCTTTGTGAGGTTGACGCAGAAGAAACATTGCCTGTGCGCGAGAAAACAGTGATGAAGCAGACGCGCAACTGCCCGAGCTAGTTACTCCGTTTTTGTCGTTCACTTCCGCGACGACATTTCTGCTCGGGCTCGGCGAGTTGCTCTTCTTTCGCATTTCCATTTGTGCGACACCGTCGAAGCATCCCGCGCTAATGCGTGCACAGGATGCCACACCACATTCATGGAAGTCACGCTCCGCTCGCTCGGGACTGATTGCCGCCACTCGCGCGCGACACTCCTCCGCAGCTTTACGACGGGCACGCACGGACGGAGCCTTGTCCACATCTTCAAGTTAGAAGAGGCTTTACAAACTTCTCACTGGTGTGGCGAGCTACGTCTTCGGGGAGAGTAAAAATAGCTTGAGTAAGCGACGGACACACTTCATCATAATCAGAATCACGATGACGTTTTCCAAGGATAACAAAAAGTGAAAACCCACAAGGCTTTGACCTAATTGAATGGAATTGCATTCTCGGTCGCTATCCGCGCGTAAGCGCCGCTCTCAGCTAAAAAGCGTGTCACTGGGTCGTTGTCTCCCTTCAGATCAAAAGCGCGAATCAAATCATCTACGCTGTCCCCACCGTCGACGCTCAGCTGGATCCGCGACAAATCAGGAAAAGCTATGCCGCCAGCGCTCAGCTCCTTGACGCGCCGATGGCGGTAAGACAGCTCAGGCAAATCCGCAATGCCCATCGCTTTTTGCTGATCTGCTGATGTAGTTTTCACGATCCCGACGCTCGTCACCTGATCAACACCTGCCATCTCATAAGCCGGAAGACGCGAGACGGAGGAGCCCGAAGTTATCACGCCATTGTGCTGGTTGCTAGATGGTTGGTCATGATCTCTTCTTGATAATGCGGACGCTGCCGCAGGCATCGTTCCAGGACTGCCCTTCCGTGCACCCACGTTCATCGCTTGATTTTGACCACGCACATCGCCGCCGTTTTTCTTCTGGTTTCTCTTTGTCGTAGGACTTTTTGACACGCCGCTGCGCTTTTTTCCTTGGACCGATGAATTTAACATTAGATCGTCGCTGTTAGCTAATGAAGAGGCAACAGGCAACTCTGACGGACCTAGAAGCATCTCCAGTTCTTCTAGCATTTTCGACGCCGCATTCATCCTCTCGATGCGCCTCGTAGCATTGTGAACTGCCATGTCATTTTCCCGGTCTGGCGACAGTGAAGGAGCTGCTAGCGTATAATCACCCCCACCTTCTTTGCTTTCGCCACGTTTTTCATCGGCTCCATCTTCATCCGCGAGGCTCTTTTGACTTCGTCCGGGGATGACGCTTTTGCTTCTGTTTTTTCCGTCTCTCGCTGGTTTTTTCGCCGTCGCTAAAAAATCTAAGTTGGCAACGAGCTTTTGCCGCACCTCTTCCACCCTCCCATCGAGGTAGTCTTCCATTTTTTTCGTGCGAGATCAAAAATCTTAGTCGAAAACGCGGATGGTGGAACTGGTTCAATGGGTAGCGATAAGTTAAGAAACTTTTCCAAACAAACGTGGTCGCTCCTTAATGGCATGATTTTCAAGAGTAGACGGACTCAAGGCTTCATTTGCTCATTATTTTGCATTCTTGCGGATTTGATTACAAAACTTGTGACTAGCGCAGTTGTTGACTGTCGACCAAAATCTCTCTCTTCCCGCTTCACCATTGTTCACTCCCGTGTAGTATGATTTTTCTCTAGTTTTCTTAGTCACTTCGCGCCATGGGGTGGACTGCCTCTGGCCATCTACCGTTAGACTTCCATCATACACTGCGCCGGCTGGTAGTTCTACTTGAGATAGTAGTCTAAATACCATCCTCGTCTACCTCCGTGCCTGCGACGAGACCCATTTTTGTTCTCAATGTAAAAGTAAAAGAAGTAAGATGCATAGTACATTACACATGATGCTTCGACGGTATTCTCAAAGGACGTTCTTCTATTTTGTTGTTGTAACTGCTTGGCTGCAACAGCCACGCCAAATCATCAATCTAATCTCACCAAGCCAGATCATTTTAATAAAATCTTTCGTCAAGAGGATCGCGCCTCGAGCCAGCCTCATCCTGTTCTGCTTGTGCATGTGCTGTAACGAAATACGTAAGCCTATTCAGCCTTCTTCCCCTCAGCTTTTGGTTCATCAGGCAGACTCCGTGCTTCGATCCAAATTAGATGAAAGCCAAATCCCGTTGGCACGGGGCCGTGCACCTGATCTAAAGCCTTGGTGGGATCGAATATCACCGCGTCGAAGGCAGGCACCATCCTCCCTTTGTCGAAAGAGCCGAGGCTACCTCCTTGTTTCCCTGACGGACACGTTGAGTGCTGTCGTGCAGCCTCTATGAAGTTCTGCAAATTGCCGCCAATCTTTTCCTTCAACGCAGCAGCTTGCGACTCCTGAGTATTTGTGCACGCATGTAAATTCAGAGGAAGAAATCAACCTTGAGATTGAAGAACAAGGGTTGCGAAGCGTTGTCGAGCGAAAAAATTTGAAATAGCAGATCTACTACTAGATTGAAACACTTTAACTAGACGATACCTCTTTTACGAGTATGTGTCTTGCAGTTGCAGTGCTGCGCGGCTCCATGAGACCTAAAGAGATAAGCGGTTGTCGAACTATATCAGGTATTCCGAAGACAGCAAGCATCAGTACCAAAACGAAGCCAAAATTCATTATCATTGACGGGCTCAAAAAGAATGAGTCAGTCCCTGCGGAGGACCCAGCCGCGGACGAAGAAGACGAAGCCATGGTCTTCTCTACCTCTACGCTTCCAAGATGTAGGGAATTATGCAGAATGATCTAAAGTAAATTGCCTGTCACGAAACTACGACCACGAGGGCGAGGCAGGACTCGTGTAACAACTCAATGCAACAGAAAAACACGTCCTGCTCTGTGAAGAAGGCGGACGTAGATGATTAAAAATGGACCAAAAAGCGGCAGCACGGCACTCGTGAGACTCCGGCAAAGCCAAGAATGTAAGTCTAAGTAAGCGAAAGTAGAATAATATTATTCGGTCTTCTGATCTATTGTTAAACTGGAGTAATTATTAAGCCAAATCGCACCATACAGGGTTGATGAATCGCTCCACGAACACATACACCAAGCAGCTGCTAGGCACCACACATCAGTCCTGCTTGGGTAGCTGTGCCTGATTGTTTCTCAAGAGATGAAGAAACGTCAAGCGGAGCAGAAAGCGCAAGTATTCATATTTTTCATATTCTTGTCTGTTTCTGTTCTACTTATTGCACCAAGACCACCTTTTTGTAAATCGTAACTTTGTTGTTGCGTTCTGAAAAGTATCAGAATTTCCAGCGCAGGTCAGTGAAAAGACGACCAGCGAAGAGCATAAACATCATAAATCCAGAACCAAACCATTGCATTGCGTACCCGAAGTTCGTTGATTCATCAAATCCCATGATGAGGAAGTCCTCCTTCCTTCGCATGGTAAAACCCTTCTGTTTCTGCTGCTTTTCCTCATAAAAGACGTCGTACGCGGTGATGAAGCCCTGCGCACACTCTTCGTAGTTCAGGGCCCCAGAGTTTCGAGCCAGGTCCTCCGCAATCAGCCAGGTGAACTTCTCGGTACTCACCTCGTTTTTCAGGTACAGCGCACTCTTTTCTTGATTAGGCACTTCCCCAGTCTCGAGCACGCCGCGCACGCGAACCCAGCCGGGAACCTCCACGTCCTCACGCTCCTGCAGGGTCTTGCTCGTCATGAATCCACGATTCACCTGCTGGCCACATTCAGTAGATAGAAATCCTTACACAATTTCCATGAACATGAGCGTCACACTTACTAATCCAGAACCAGTAGATCAACCCCTACTCACTAGAAGTTGTTGTAAGTAGTTGTAAGGGCGCGACTTTGTCTTGTTGATCATCAACATGAAAAAAGATTTGTACAAGTATCGTGGATCCGTCTTGCAATAGTAGCGGAGTGACAACGAGGTAGCCATTCGAACATGCGTTGCCAGTTCGGTCTGCTTGGACTCTGGGACCAACGAACAGCTCGCGCTTGTGGTCAAATACTCCTCTAGTCTGGATTACCCGATACTCCCAGTCTCCGATATCTTTGGCCCAAGGAAATGGTGACTTCTCCAAGACATGAACTGGTTGTGACATACGCCGCGCTCGCAAATCTATCAGTCTCTTCTTGTAATGCATCCGTTCCAATTGCCAGCAGCCCAAGGAGAAACATGATTAGCAGAGAAGCAAACGAAAAAATGAACTCGTCCTACAACAGGGTGGGAGTTTCCCCCTGCCATTATTCCTGGAGGTGGAGCTGGACAACGACCATAAAGTCAAACTTCTTCTAAGCGAGAAAACCATTCTACAAGGAGATGAATATGGATATTACTAGCACTAGTTGTATTCATGAAAGTAGAAGATGCAGCCTAAAATATACACGCACAGGCGACACCATATGCGAACTTTTCGTATTTAAGAAAATTCTGTGATGCACCTCGAGCGCCGCCACCTGTGATACGGTAATTGCGAATGGCACGATAGACCGGAGACACGACAGGGTCTGACAGGCGGACGACGCGCAAAATCGTTGAGTTTTCGTTGGCCCAGGGCATCACGTACTGTGCGTCTGTTTGCGATAGAATTTCTATGTCTTTCCTCTCGGCCTTATACAGCGTCTGGCCTGGCGCGCGGCTCTGAGGACTCTGATACTTGTCGGGTGGCGGTGCGGAAGCAAAAAATTAGCGCTGTAGCTGTTGTTGCACTATTACGTCTTCCTAGGCTTCCACTGGAACGCATTAGGTCCCGAACACAACCATCGTTCCTACTTTCGAACTCCTTCGTGTAGAAAGCTTACAAATGACACTCACCTCGATGACGAACATCTGCAAGCAGTCAGAGACAGAGTGACTCATCTCTGATGCATCATAATACTCCGAGACTCGTGTTCCGTCGCCTGATGATCCGCTCTGGCCCTGCTCCATCTCAAGCTGCTTGATTTGCCGGTGATGCCAGAAGCTCGGAAAGTGTTTCAGATTTAGGGGCAGCTTAAATTCAACATCTCGACCCCTTCCCCATGAAATAAAAGGGGAAAGGGTATGGAGATGCTGAGAAAGATGGATAAAAGCTGTCCTTAACAAATGATCCGGAACAGCTCCAGGATACTTTTTCCCGCCTCCACGAGGTGCCGAGGACGCAAACATGAAGTAGACTGGGAAATTGTCATCTGTACCCTTTATTTGCGTATGCAGAATGTTTTCCATTTTCAATTGCGTCGGTTACATTCATGATAATGTCAATTTTCTTTCATACAGGTAGCCGTGTCGGCTTCTGCTCTTGTCCCACCGAATCGTCCTCGAAACACTGAGCCTGTTCCTTGGCCTCCTTCGAAAGACGAACCAGTACTGCTGCTGCTGCTTCCTGCACTTTGATTTCGATTCTCTTCATCCTTGCGAGTTTCACGGCTATTAGAAAACAACGCTCTTTGGCGTCGCAGATGGTTGGATATTGTTTCGCTTTCGCCTTGGCCAGCAAAAAATCCTAGTACAGGAGCGGTCGTTAGCCGCATAGCAGCTGCTGCTGCGCGTGCAGGGGCGACGCCGAGCGAATGACTCAAAGCGACCCTGGTAATATGCTGCTTCATAGCAAGACTGCGATTGGCGGATCTCTCACCATGCACCATCCTCTATCCTCGTCTGACTTCTTTCAACAAATTCGTCCTACGAATTGAAGCCTTCGTCCTCAAGCAAGTACGGAAGAGGTGCAGGTGACTAACATCTTTTTGCTTACGAAGCCTTATCGAATTCATTGTAGTCAAACATGACACTTATGAACCACTGCGTACTATGCAGCTGATAGTCTACCTGCCCCTCAGTTGTTACTTCCTCTTGGAAACAGATTTTTAATCTCCTATGTCGAGCTCCCCTAAAGCGCAATTACGGCTCGCAATATGTGACTCTTGTATTCGGCAATGTCGATTGGTCCCGGAGATCATATGTCAGTGACATCCGTCGTGTTGAGGAACAAGTACTTAGATACGGCTCAGAATCGCAACAAGATTGCACCCAGGGTGCAGTTCAGGTCCTTGTTGTCAACAATCTATGAACTTGATTTGGTTGAAAATTTTTTGTCACAGGAGACATTCGTCAGCGCGACTCAACTAAAAAAAAACCACGATGATGAGAAAATGAAAAACACGAAGTATTCATGGATATCTTCACGGTCCCGCTACACATGTGATGAAGGAATCACTGTTGTCCTCATCGATCTGCGTGGTGATTGATTGCGTCAAGGACTACGCGATATGTTCATTTCTCCAAGTCCAAGCGAGTAGAGCGTCGACACCAAGATCGTACTCGTAGCTCCGAACTCCTGGTCCGCCAAGAAGGAAGCGTTTCTATTTGTAGGCTGATATATCGGCGGTTCCCTTTTCATAGACTGGCGGGGGAATACGACAGTGCGTTACCGTGCGCAGCCTTGAACCGTCACAAAGCGGGTACTGCGAATTCAGTGACCGCTGCTTCCAGGCTTCGATGTCAGCCGCGTCCGGGTCGCCGGAACGCATTGCGGCGTCACGCGCTAACCGTTGCATTTTCTGGATCTCGTTCTCGACCGAGCCATCAGGATTGCACCGCAAGCACTCCATTCCCGGGGACTCGACACAGTGCTGGCTACATTTTTCTGGCGTCTTCTGCTTCATCGGGTCGAACTCCTCGGTTCCACGTGGCCCCGAGTACGCTTGTATCTCTGGCTCAATATCGTGCTGAGTCTGGAAAGGCTGAGGCTGAGCGGCCAAGAAAACACTTGCTCTATGAAAGCGATCACGAGAGTGCCGGTGACGATGCTTCCTACACGTTTCGCTGGCGACCGATTCTCCAAATCCACGCAACAAACATGCAGAGCTCTCGTGACTTCTTCGCATACCGATTCTTCGCGTGCACGTGCTTTTCTTTTGGATTTGGTCGTATGATATTCCTAAAGGATCATTGCTGCTTTCTTTCAGTCCCTCCAAAAAAGAGGTGCTACTTGTTCCGTTCCTCCTTCTAGCTCGGCGATAGAGCTTCTTCATCGTCAAAGCGAGAACCTCATCCAAGTTCGGCGAAGCATCTGCATGAGTCTCGCTGTGCCACCAGTGCTTCATGCCGATTGAAGTGAACTTCCATGTGCTACTCGTGATCGAGGCCAGAGCTTCGTGCAAAGCCAACATCGTTCTGGTTTCTTTGCTCAACTATTTTGTCATCTAACTTACGAGTAAATGCCTCTAATTTTGATACAACTTACCAATTACATAATCAGTTCTTTTCATATTCTAGAAGAGATAGAGATAGACAAAAATCAATGAATAAGACTTTGAAATCGGTAGTCTTATTTGAGTTCGTTGACTACTTCCTCCTCGAGGTCCCGACAGGTGGAAGGAAAACCGATGAAAAAGGTGGGTAGCTCCTGGGGACTAGTCCTCGTGGAAGGTTCGCGATACACGATGAGGCACGATAAAATCGAACTCACATACATAAACAACCGATACAACAGAACGGGACTCTTCGAGACGTCAACTGAATGTGGGACTGGGAGATCATACGAATAATTACGACTTTTTACCGAGAAATCAATATGATCACCACCACCCGCAATGCTGTCCATGAAGATCATGCAAACTCGGAAACAAGCTTGAAATGCCGCTCGCCAACGCCCATCATGCTTCTCTCAGAAATCTAGTATGTACCTTTCTGGTATAACTCGTCGTGAATAAAGTTCTTGCTTCAGTCTTTTTCTGTATCAGTCGCAGAATACGCTGTTGAAGAGACATCCGTAGTGGATGCCTCTTCACTGACGTGTCCTATCTCACCTCCACCTTCCAAACGGGAAACAAGGTCTATTTTTCTCGCCATGAGGGTTTCTTTTTCGCATACTCCAGCATGATCGTCTTGGGCCGTCATCTGTGCTAGCTCTGTCTTCGAAGCAAACTTGGCATCATCAACGAACTCCCCTGACGCTCCATCTTGCCCCTCCTTCAAGTCAACGTGTTGTTGTGGCGTTTTATCTTTCGTTCTAGTCGTCCGATCGTGCTCTGCTAACACGGAATCGCGGCGCGCTTCGGTTTCCTTGAGGAAGCGGTCACCGATTTGTCCGAACTCGTTTATCTCCGTTTCCAGGTCCTTGAGTTGCTTCCGAAAGCCCTTGTTAGGGTCTACTACGGGTCGTGCGCGCGACATCATGCTCAGAGCGCCGGCCACGGAACTGCTCAGCCGTGAGCAGAGCAAGTACCAGCAGCAAGCGGTAGCGCAACGACTGACCCCTCGAGCACAGAAAATGAGCACGGCGCGCTTACTCTCTCGAGCCCGGTCAACGAACGCAACCATCTCGTCCATACAGCGACGCGAAAGTGCGAAGCGCGGGTGATCCGAGAGAGCTAAGGAGAATGTGCGATCAGCCAGCAACCGATCCAGTGTCATGCTCGCTGTTTTCGGTACCCTTTTACGCTGCTGGTGCTGTTCTTCTCCAAGCTCGTTTCCTGCTTCGCCTCCTGCTGTAGAGCTGGTGCTAGTTCGATTAACACTTGCTGCTGTCGATGACGACGTCAACGACGAAGCAGTGCTATTCGACAGTAATTGGTGATGCTCTTCAGAAGATACGACAGGAGAGGGCCCTGCTGTGGTGCAGCTGCTCACTGTTGCACAGGCATTGACAAGATAGTGTATTTGGTGGCGTCGCAGCGTCGGCCCACAAGCAGATTGCATACTGCCAATGAAAAGATAGGGGCACACTTCCGCTGGATCGTCGCAGTGAAACTCCGCTGGCGGTCTTCCACTCCGCAGACAGTACTCTACTTTGTCCCGCCTGCGACGCTGCGTTTCCGTCAGGTAGTAATGGTTGTCGGACGAAGCGACGTCAAACTTCGCTGTACTCGAAGAGGAAGTAGTGCTAGACTCCTGCTTTTCAACATTATTCTGGTCACCAGAAGGAGTTTTCGAGAAGACTTCCTGCTCCTCCTGCGCATGCAGAGCCTCAACAAAGTCCAATTGTTCCACCGTGGCCCGCCCACACGGAAAAATCGTCCCGCTAACTCTCCGCTTGCTCTTGTTGGGAACCGAAGTACGTTGCGCAGCTCTTTTCGGGGACGGTTCAGCTGGGGGCGCCTTAACAATGTCGTCTTCTGGTTGCTTCGTCTTGTTCCCTCCGCGAATGTAGTCTTCCAACTCGTCGCGGAATTTCCGAGACACCATCATATCAGTACGTCCGGAAAGCAAGTAGCTCACCGGGACGCAGTCAGTAGAGGTTACGGTATTCGTCCTAGCACGAGCGCCACCTGCTGCAGCAGCAGGCTTTTCTCGCGCCGATGGCGATGTACAAACGCGGGCATCTGATGTACTTCTCGGCACCATTTTTAGGTTCCTCTACTTCATCATGAAAATCTGCAAAGAAGAGAGAAACACTGACGCATCTGAACGAATTCGTAGCATCACACTGATACTTGATGCTGACCCTTCTTTCCTCTTGTGACAGCATCCGCAATGGAAAGATCATGTAGTTCCAAGCCGCGATGAGATTCCGTATGGCAATGGAATCTGCCTTGTCATCAGGATATACTTAGAAATCATATCTCTCTATCAGTTCCCACGGTTGCTTATGAACAAGGACACTCAGTATTCGGTGTCAAAAAAATCCTGCGTCAAGCAGATTATTCATGTCTTTGACCATGAGATCGCGCTCGTGTCGGTGTCGTCCTTAACAGATTTCAACTCATACTCGGGAAACTGATGTGGGTGGCTTCTTCTACTGCGGTGAAATTCAGAATTATATACCCTGGCGGGGTAAATTAATACGTCACTCGTGACGTGAGGACAGTATATGGGTCGTATCTCCGCCCATGCCCTTGAATGCTGCGAGCACTTTTGCGGCTGACATTACTGGATCTTCCTCCCGAAAAATCTCTTTCCAAGCTTCTGTGTGTGACTTTGACTTTTCTCTAGAATGATCCGAGTGCTTCCAAGATGAGTGACTTTTTACCAGGCTTAAAATCCTACCGCTCTGCATCCGCACTACGTGAGCACTCTCCGCATGCAGCATGCGCAATCCCCCTTCTGTTGTAGTGGAATTAACAATTATACCCGCACTTTCACATTGTAAGGTTAAAGGACGCGACGTTCGTGCATCGCTTCGCGCTTTAGTTTGGTAGTCGACTCCGGATCGTCCGGTTCCTCGCAGGTGTTGCCTTACGTCAACAAGTGCTTGCCAGTTGTCTTTTCTACCGTCACCCTTATCGTCTTCTTGGTTTCTGTAATATTCTGCAACATTCCTTCCATGCTCAAAATGAAAGCTAGCAAAGTGCGTTCGCCTTCTGTCCAGAATTCCAGTTCGTTCTTGTTGTCCTTGGTTTTGTAATGATGGTTTATCCCTGGGTTTCTTGCCGAGTCTGAGGCTCCCTCGGTATTCACGTTCCCAAATGCCGTGCTCTCGTGGTTGCAGACAGGCAGTTTTATTCCCGCTCGAATATTCATCATGATTAACAAGCTTCGCGTGAGGACTCCGAGATGACGAGCAAGCAGGTGCCAAGCAAGTAGGTGCTGTGCTAGCCAGTGAGTACACGAAGTTGATTCTTGTTACACTTTCCCCGTGCGTGTCCTCAACGATGTCGATACTGCTGACACGGAAAATAGGTGTCGCCTTGCGGCATACAGAAAGTCGATCCATTAAGTCCAACATGCACTGCCATGAAGCCGCCGCAGCAGCGGTACTGCTCGATCTAGATTCGTCGGCGGGCATCACTGTAGTAAGGCACCCTTCTGTGTTATAAACTTCGCAACTACAGCAGCAGCACAAGCCTTTCTTTCAACTTCCACCTCTATCTTCTAGTCTTTCATACGTTTATCGAACATCAAAGGGAAAGACAACAGCTCTCTCTGTCCTCTGAATCGGCTGATCTTCAACTGAATGCAAGTATTCATCTGTTAGTTCTTGTAGAAGTTCTAGTCAAGGAGGATATTGGATATAGAAGCGAACTACTTGTTACGAAGGTCACGTCATATGATCTGGCATTTATGATCTTCTTCATCTTGGTGCTAGCAGGGACGCAGCGAAACCTTAGTTCGTACGTTGCATCATCAATAAAAAACGGAAGCTGCCACGGAGTCTCCTCGCCTATCCCCTCCGAATCTTCTGACAGTTCTGCCTCGACATTCAGAGCTCGATTTCTTTTTGGCTCTGCATTTCTTGCATCCTCCTTTTCCTTTTTTTCTTGTTGCAGAACTACGTATTGAAATCGGGTGTGACCATGCAAGGCATCACCTCCCAGGCCAAGCATTAAGTGTAGCTTTCCAAGTTGCTTGACCTTAGCACAGTGCAAGGCGGCACTCACCTTTTCAGGGTCGCTGTCGAGACGCAAACGGCGCAAAATTTCTGCCCTGGTAGTGCTCGCGTGGATTTTTCTTCCTTCTAGATCGACATGCCACTTCTTGTGTCCTTGTGACCGCCAGAGTTGCGCTCGCACCGCTTGTCTTGGAGGAAGACGATGGATCGGTTGACTAAATCATTATTGTGAAGTAGAAGAAGGTACTTTTACTATATAAATGTACAGCGAGACAGGTGTCACAACGAAGCACCGACATCGTCTTGCTCCAAAAAATGAAACCGATGAAAAAAAGAGGTGGCCTTACTTTTACGGTCGCTGTCTCTGCCTTTGCTACGTCCCCCACGGTCGGAGTGTCACTGAGTTGTACGAGTCGAGGCATTAGTTCGCTCAAATAGCTCGTGCGTGTCTCGCGGTCCCATGAGAGTATCTCTGTCAGCAATGGACTTCGGCTCCATGGATGAGGCAGCGAATCTTTAGCCGTAATATCATCTTTGGCAGCTCGCGGATGAAAGCCGTAATTTTTGTGTTCGAACGAAGCCGTGATGGCGGAGGTGGAGGGCAGCGTCAGCGTACTATCGTTATTTTTTGTTTGCTGCGACGTCCAACTACAGGTATAGCTAGCGGCAGTTTTCCGATCTATTATCTTAAACGGGAAATGAGCACCAATTTTTCGCTGGTCTTCGCAGCACGACAATTGTTTGCTTGACTTGTCACGGTCACTTACCGGCGTGACCCCATCATACGCCGCCCAAGCTCTCCGGGAGAAGTATTCGTCAGCAAGCGACAGTCCAAACAAGGCGGCTCGGACGAAATGCCGCACACCGAGTTGAGCTTCTACATGTTGCCGATGGTACACCACCATTGTCCGGTTGTAACAATTACGTAGGCATCTTTTATATATATAACAACACCTTCATCAGCCAGAACTATAATTCTATTCTGCGATTTCGATTTTTACTTGGCTTGCACCAAATGTTGAGCTCGCGACGAGAAAATGAACAAAAATATTAGACCTCCATTGATCAATGTCGTGCGTACATCCATTATGAACAATATTAGTTGGGATTTGGAGTGCTTCCAACTCCCTCCGCCCGTTTGAAAATCCATATGGAACGGTCCGCGCGCACAAGGAACGGGCGCACAGGTCGACGAAAAAAATTTTTTTTTTCGCGTTGTATATACTGCTAATTAGCTAGAGAAAGGGAAGCGGCTAGTTGAATATCTAGAAAGGCTGCAAGAGGAGGCGCGGGTGGGGGTCAGGGGTTTCCGTGGCTGCTTTGTGGGCTACTGCATTGGCAGAAGATGCACCGCCAAGAACTGTGGCCCACTAGCTTCGAGGCGTGTCAGCCGGGTCCCCCAAGCCCTCCGCCCGAGCAGCTCAGGGCCTGGGCCTCTGCATGTCTCAGCTGTTTGGGCTATCTTGGTCGACTATTCTGGGCATCTTCCGGTGCTGCTGTTGCCGTCGTCTGGACTACTCCACGCCGCAAAGGTGGGCGAGAAGCCAGCCCAAAGCTGTCGGCCTTGTGCGTCGTTGCTAAAAGGAGCCCAAAGGGATGAAGCGTCCAAGACCTCTGACACCTAGGCCCATCTGGCTGTGGTCTTGCTAGGTGGTCTTGCTGGAGGGGTCTGCCGCCATTTTCGCGCGAAATGTGCACGCGGACCACTGCCCGGAGTGCTGGGGAATTGGGGCAAATTGGTCCGCGTGCACATTTAGAAAACCACAGGACCCTGACCAAAATCTGGACAGACCTGACGGCGAAGGGCTTCGGACAATGTGCACGCGGACCAATAAGCCTTATAGTCGGTCGATTTGGCTTGCGTCTTTCATGGCCTGGCGGATGTGGATGGCCTCGACCGACCTGTCCAGATCGCTCGGGCCATTTTTCACCAACCTGAGCAAAGGAGGCCCGGCCATAGTATCACGATGCCAGGCATTGCCAGACGCTCTGCTCTGGGATGGCGTCGGAAGTAGATGTCTTGAAGCCTGGACATCAGGCCAGCGGGCACCTCAAGTGTTCGGCTAGAGGTCATGCTGCTGCACCTTTCTCCGATGCAGATGCCCACGAAGGGGCCACGGACCTCCTTGACCGCAGCCCGCATTTCCTCCTGCAACCAATTAATTGTCTTACTTTACCTAGCTAGTGGGAAGTATCTAGTTCCTTATATAATTTACCAAAAAAAAAAATTTTTTACTGCCAGACTGTGCAGGCGGATTTTGTGCGCGCGAACCATTTCATAATCCAAATTAAGTAATTGAGTCCCATTTTCTTCCACTCTTCTCTTCCATTTTCCAATGGCATCTACTACTTTTCTTGAACCGCACACCTCCAGCATCTTTGCTCCTCAGCTACCTTTTGTACAGGTCTTTTCGCTACGACCTCCCAGGTCAGTTGTCAGTGCATCTCGCACTATGCCACCGTGACTGCCGCCCTCTGTGCCAACGCGGTGACGCAAGAAAAGGAGCAGTAGAACGCAGGTCGCCCCCCATCATATTTTTAATGTTTGGTTGATGGGCAGACCCAAGGATATTGTTGTCACAGCAAGAATGAAAGGATTATTGACATCTTTTCCACCCTATAAATAAGTATGCATATTCCAACCTTTCGAAATCATGTGAGTAGGCCAAAGCTAAGGCTGTCGAGACCAGAGCAATTATGCGAAACTCGCTACTAATAGTGGTCCTTCCGTGAGTGTCTCTGTTCTATGATGATATCAAACTAGATTGTTTATTCATCCTGGATTTTTATTGAAGTAGAGTAAACATGTCAATCTGCTTCAATGTATGCGAGCCCTGCTAACATGCAGCTGCTATGCTGATCACCAAGTAGAATGACCCAGTCGCGACCGCGAGGGTACGTCCCGCACCAACTGGTCGTGCTGCCCCGTAGTTGTACGCCGGATCAACTACGGCCAGATCCAGACCCAGATAATCCATAGGTACTAAGAGCCGAGTTTATAATCAATAATTTCGAAAAATTAGTCTGAGAAATATCATGTCAGGTCCCAAGGCAGTGGCACACGTGCTGTAATTATTCAACTCCCGCCGAATCATTCTCGTCCAAGGAACCGGAGGAAGTCATTCACAATGACATCCATCAATCAAAACTACAATTAAATTACAACTTACACGCACCTTGCTTACAATTACAATTGTTATATCTTGTTTCCCTTGATGGTCTAGATTTTGGAAACATGTAACAACATCATAATCAAGTTGCCCACTCTGGCGCATGACCACAGGCATGCTTTTATGTTGTACTTATATGTGGTCAATGTTGGAAAGAAAATGAGCATCCAGCTTTACGGAGGAGCCCTGATTCCTTCTATTTAGTAGCAAGGTGTGTTCCCGTACTTGTACAGCAACAGAAAAGTAAAAAAGTACTTTTTTGTTTCTTTCTCTCGGTGCAATCTGTGGGCCTATTCTGAACCAATCAAATCGGTTTTTTCTTTCTCTGTTTATTCCGTATTCTCGGCCCTGTATCCCTTGATACTACTAGATTTTTGGCACAGAGAAAGCGCACTATGATATGAGAAACGCACGAACATGAACATCACGAAATAAACCAAATTGCGCAGTCTTTCAGGGATAACGAACAACTACAAAAGTGGAAAAGACCCAAGCCCCGGATATTATTTGGTGTTCAAATATTTCGGTTCTTATCGGTCAACACAAGGTGTACTATAATTGTGCGACTTCTACCTAGCTAGCAGATATCATGATTATATGTTCCGATAAGAAAAAGGCACACACTCATTCTTTGTTATGCTATTTTTTGTTCCATATTTTTCCTGTAACCACAGCAGTACAAACCCGGAGAGACGCACCATCTACCTTAGCGCCACAGTGACGGTGCATGCAAAGATTAATCCTACTTTTTTGGGCGCGATGACGACCCTGAGCGGACAACCACTGCATGTGGTCCGCGATCTTCATCAACTGACTGTCGTAATTCACGAATCACGACATACTTCGAATAACTAGAATAAGTAGATCGTCATTATCTACTTCGTAATTTACTGCTCGACAACATCGTTAAGAACTGCACAGAAAGCAAATTATATTTTTTGATATCAGAGAACGACAAACAGCATCTTACCTATTGACGAGCTAGAAGTTGTACAAGAGTCAACGCTTCCAAGAGGGCGGAAGTTGGCTCGTTCCTGAAAAAATACCACCTAGTCGTACTCGTATTTTTCATTTCCTTATCTGTTATAATGTGCGATCGTTCGATGCATCCGTGAGTTTATGCAGCTTATGCCGAGACTGATTGGATCAAGAGCCCATTATTCATCGACAAAGATACGTGCACGCAACAACGGTAAATCAGCTATGTGAAGTAGATGATCGATGTGGAAACCTGTAATATAATTTTGTTTCTGTTTAGCGTGTGTCCTTCCTGAAATGTAACTTCTCCTGAGAGATCATTTATCTTATATATACATACCGTCCGCCACGACACGGCTCAAACAACCTGCTCTTCTTTTTTAGTTGGAAGCACGACTGGACACGCCGCCTCTCAAGCGAGGCATCCTTTTGCTTTCTCGTGGCCGTTACAACTACTACAAAGAGGAGAAGAAAATTACCATCTAAAAGATGAACAAAGAAAAGCGTTTCGATGATTTACTAACTTAGGATTCATATTTATCTTGCAACGAGAACAGAGTGAGATGATGAAATGTTGATACATATTACCATAACACTAAAAACTGGGAGGTTCTTTTCTTGAGCAGTCTCTGAATCAACCATATCATTTCCGACAAAAAGTAAGCATCGGGGGCCGAGCTGGAGGTATGTCAAAGGTCCAGTAAATGCAAGAGGAATCGTCCGCATCAGCCTGGTGCACCACCGCACAGTGAATGATCCAACGCAAATAGGTAGACGATGGACAATCGGTCCTCTTGTTCTGGTTTGTCTGATAAGAGGAACGCAAGAGAATATCAACAGCCAAAGGGTGTTTTTCTAGGAGAAAATTGGGTGAATCAAGGGGAAACGTAAGAGACGAGCAGAGCAGCACTCCTATCATCAGCTATGATTATTCATCAGGAAGACACTTAGAAAAAGTTAAAAAATACAGACGAGGCGAAAGGGGGAACGAGGAGACGAACGGCACCAAATCCGGTGCTGTCCTGCGTGCACCGCCTCTGCCTGGCTCTTGCCGTAGAAGTACGCATTGCGACACTTACTACTGACGATGCAGAACAATCAAGATATGCTGTTGTTGAGATAGACGTGGGGCCAGCATGCAGGACAAAACATTCACTCCAGGCTTTGATTCAATTGGAAAATAAGGGAAAGGGCATAATTAACAAAATAAAAGGACAAGGAGCGGATCATGAAGTGCTTAATACTAGAGTTAGTCTTCTTCCTCAAGTTATCTATTAATCCTGGAAACAAAGATTGATGGATAAAAAAATAATGCTCCTGCGCATCCTCATCAAATTCATACCAAAAGCAAACAACACAGCCGCAAAGTTTATAGCTGGTAAGTGGCATTTTAGAGCCAGTAGCTGTCGAGTTTTAACTGGTAAATGTCTCGCCATAACTAGCAACTGTCGAGCTTTAACTGGTATGCGTCATTTTATCACTAGCACCTGTCGAATTTCATCTGGTAAGTGTCATTATATAACTAGCAACTGTCGAACTTTGGCTGGTAAATGTTTATTTTTAACTAGAAGCTGTCGAGTTATGACTGGTAAGCGTTTGCTTTTAACTACTAGTAGCTGTCGAATTTTAACTGGTAAACGTCATTTCATAACTAGTAACTGTCGAATTTTAAATGGTAAGTGTCACTTTATAACTAATAACTGTTAAATTTTAGCTGGTAAGTGTCATTTTATAACTAGCAACTGTCGGACTTTAGCTGGTAAGTGTTTACTTTATTTAACTAGTAGCTGTCGGATTTTAACGAGTAAGCGTTTACTTTTAACTAGTAACTGTCGAACTTTAGCTGGTAAATGTTTACTTTTACCTAGTAATTGTCGAAATTTAACTAGTAAGCGTCATCTTATATTATAACTAGTAACTGTCGGACTTTAACTGGGCAGCGTTTGCTTTTTAACTAATAACTGTCGAAGTTTAACTGGTAAGTTTATATCTACTTTTAACTAGTAGCTGTCGAATTTAAATTCTAACTCCGAATTGTAGCTGTCGCAATCCAACTAGTAAGCGTTTGCTTTTCGCTAGTAAGTATCGAAATTTGCCTAGTAAGGGACTGACTCCTTTTAGCTAATAACTGTCGACATTCACCTACTAAGTGTTTCCTTTTCCTACACTCTCGACCCGTTTCCTATTCGCTTCCGAAGTTGTTCAAACTTTTCACAGTTTGGCAGTCTTCGCCCGTGGTTCTTGTTTTTATTTTCTGCCTCTCCGCCTGTGCATGAGTGGGATTTTTCCGGCGCCATTCGGCTGGCTGCTCTAGCCTGGGGCGGCGGCGCGGCGCGCCTGCTCTGCATGTTGCAGAGCGCGAGCCATGGCAAGCTGTAGCCGCCTTTCAATCATAGCGAGGGCGTGGCTCAGGTGCCCCAAACTAGCGGCGCACCTGGCGTTGGGGGTTTTCCCTTTTTATTGCTCCCCTGCTGGCTCACCTTTGTCACAAGCGGACACCCGCGGGCGAGCGCGCCCGGCGCAGGCCTGTGAGTTAAGTACGCAAATTACTCTCCCCCAATCTCAGACCCCAATGGCGCCACCTCGGTGACCCTGCTAAGCCAGAGCGCAGAACGCACAAAATCCCCAAAAAGTTCGGCTGGCTTCTGGAGGGGTCGCAGCTGGTGTCGCATTTTTTTGCTCGTTGTAAGACATTGGCGCTGACCCAGCAGCAGTAAGGTTTGGCAGCAGCTGGGCGCTTTCTGTGCCTCTTTTTCGCTTGTTTCTAGTGCTGTCCCGCGGTCTTCAGGTCGCGCCTCGTTTTGGGCGTGGTCTGAGGCTCGCGGAATTCGTTTCAAATTTCGTCGGGATTCATCTCAAACGCATGACAGCCAAGGCGGACCCTAGTGCGCTGCGCAACGTTTTTGCGTCCTTCCAAACGATTTTGAAACGAATTCCGCGACCCTCAGATCGCGCCCAAAACCGGGCGCGGCCTGAAGGTCGCGGGACAGCACTAGAAACGAGCGAAAAAGAGGCACAAGAGGCGCCTTCTTTTTGGGTCAAAAAAATTGCGCCTTTTTATAGTTTTCGTCTTGAAACGCCATGGAAATCCGAGGAATTGCCTCCCAAAAAAAGTGCCACTTTTTTGCTCCAAAGTGGGGCTGTTTTTTGCGGAACATTAGAGAAGCTTCCGAAGCTTTGAAGAAGCCAAGGCCCAAGGTTTGCCCCCTCGGCTTGAGGCCTTTGCGCGCATCTGCTCCAACTAGGGATGACCGCGAGCCTCCTCGTGCTGCACTCGTGAGCCCGTTGGCAACATCCGCCCAGACGGCAGCCTACTAGACTGCCACTGCCAACCTATCTATTCAAACTACCTAGTGAAGTAGCTACTTTAACGCCTTAAAAAATCAAAAAAAGTGACTTTGTATCTTTTTGAGGAGATCCTTCTTATCCTGGCTATACTGTAGTTGTACATCTTCAATTTTGGTCATTTTTGTTCGTTGTAGAAAGGAGTGTGTAGTTCTAGTTACAACAATTGAATTATGTCCTCGACTTGTACTCATCTAGTAAGCATGTCTCGCCAAGCAACAAATCATGAAGTTTGAGGAGGCGACACTATCTGCGGGATGGCGGTTCCGTCTCGTCCGTCAGGTTCTAGCAGTGGCAATGGCAAAATGAAAAACGCTCCTACTATTTGAGCTTGACGAAGTTGAAGATCAAAAGGCCTAGGATATTTTTAGTGTTCGTCCTCAAGAGGCTCGCATGTACTGACACTGTCGCCTCCTTCTGCCAGAGGTTCTAGAACTTCGTCCGGGTCGGAATCCGTCATCATTTCGTCTTCAACATTTGTGGGAGGCTCATCGTCCTCGTCAGTGGTGGGTGATGCGCCTGTCCTGAGATGGCACGGCTCGGAGTCGGAACACGCGTGAGATGTGGAGCTCGCTCGCGCCCGCGAAGGCTCTACTTCATCTACTCCGTTGGGTCGATGCAGCATCTCGTCAATGCTGTAGTTTCCGTTGTCGGGATCATCTGGGTCTGCCACTGCGAAACTTGGGTTCACCTCCTCACTCCACATTTCTGCAAGCAATGGATGTGCACGTGGGTCTCTGTCTTCAACCGCACCTGGCCTTGCTGTTGCCTCACGACTACCATGGCTGTGGCTGCTTGTTGAAGACGACTGCATTAGGGTATCGGCCTCGTTACCGGTTGTGAATGCGGCGGCCCCGTTCACGTGGTTACCTTCCTCTGTGCTAGTGGTTTTGCTCTTTCCTTCATCAATATGTTCAATTTGTTCTCTTCTAGGAATCAGCATGGATTCCGAGAGCCCTGTCGTCACGGCGTCCCCTCCAAACTCCCGCAATAATCCACGCCATGCTGCACCTGGTCCTTGTGACAACACTGACGATTCTAAGACTACCGGATTCACACCTTCAACAGCAACCTGAGAGTGATCTTCGCGCACTCTACTACTACTTCCTTCCTCGCTCGAAATTGCAGCTGCACTAGAAGATGAGCTAGCCCCTGAAAATGTTGTTGCATTTCTTGTCCTCATCGCAACAAAAAGCGAGCTTCTAGCCCCAGTATCCTCGTTCGTACACCACCGGCACCCACGGCCAAGCTCCTCACCGTCTATCGGTGCCCGAGACGATCTTGTCGATGGCAAACGCAGGTCCAGAGAACCACGGTGCCAATCATGAAGGTTTGGCCTCGATCGAAAAGGACAGGGAACTGCTGTAGTCCCATATCCACTGGGAGCCAAGAGGTCTACTCGTCGCCGTTTGCACGGACGATTCTGTTCCGGGAAGTGAAAATGTCTCGCGGCGCTGGAAGTATTTTCTTAGGGCTAAAATCTAAAATTCATAGAACAAATAGATATTCATCGTTGGCCTGCTCCTCCTCCTGCATCTTTTTAGCAATTGTATTCTAGCGCAATACAATTACAATTCTCTGCATTGCAGCAAATGAGAAGAGCCAAAGATGTAGATATGATTCAACGAGGACAGCCTTAATCGTCTGTAGTTAGTGAACCATTCGCGCTGTAGTCGAAGCGAGAGGACGCCCAAAAAGTCGTTGCCGGTGGCATAGGCACGTCGACTTCGTCATCCGAGGAACAGTTGTTGAGACGAGAATACCTGTAGGTACTCTCATCCACAACAGAAGGAGAACGTGCTGTCTCTACAACAGCAGGAGCAAGAAGTGCTGGACGACTAGATGATGCGCTACTTGCACTACCATCGTCTTGTTCAAGGAATGGCAAAAGAGCGTTCCGTGCTCTTGTATCTTCTTCGTCCTCCAGTGTCGAGGAGGAATAGAGAGAACTGTATTGTCCACCAAATGGGGATCGACGACGCCGGGGGCTATTTCTTACTCCGTGCCTCGGCACCGGCGAAGACGCACCTGGACTCGTAGTAGCTGCTTCGGAACTACATTTGACCATGCCACTCCCGTCCCAGGCTTCAGAAGAATCAGAAGAATCTGGACCTTCTAAGTAAGCGCGAAGCATCTGAAGATTCTTGGCCCGAGCCGCTTCATCGAGCTGGTCGTCCGACGACGATGGTTGCGGTTGTTGCATCGTTTCGCGTTCTCGATTTGTTGCTGGTAGGAAAGTTGCGTAAATGCAACTGGCTCCCAGGCAGAGGCGGACTGCATAAAAAAAACCGCGGGGCATGACAAAATGAAGAAAACATAAACAGATGTGGGCTTATGATACAAGTTGGAGTTGAGTTTTCTGTGTTACATTGCAGTCATTTTGAAAATCATGTTTTTTCTACGAGGAAACAGCGACGAGCAAGGATTTCTTTAATCGATCAACTACTACTTCTTCCATAAAATCGATATCGACGCCCGCAACCACGCAGCATCTTCATCCCGCGCATTCGATACGAATCTGCAGAAGCCATTTTTAGGACGACATTCATCAAAAAAAATAGACTGACAATACAGCGATCTTTTATAATGTATGAAGATAGAACACGCTGCTCAAGCTCAAGGAGCATAGACAATTATATATATAATTACATCACTACACCTAGGTAGTAGAAGTAGAGTGATTGGTATTGTGTTGGACCACAAGAACACAGGCCTCCGCGCCTTGGTTCGTTTCTCAGTGGAAACACAAAGTCAGAATCTTGAATGCAAGCAAATCTTGATACTCCTGCCTGAGACTTGCGATCTCTGGCTGGTGTAGTCCCTGTTTGGTTCATTGGGTGAGATGAATCATACATCAGCAGCATAAGCATGTCAGAAGGGATCAGAGTCAGACTGAACATGCATCATATGACTAGGATCAGTACAACCGTACCTAGTCTACACCTTGACCATTATGATTATGCATTGAATGCGCATTGAGTGTTCATTGGAAGTAGCATTCATGATCATTGACATTCGTTTCTTGTGAGATCATCCCGATGACAGTCGAGCGCGAGGCTTTGTGTGAGCCACTGAGAACAGAACGCCACGACATCCGAGAGGCTTGAACCATACATGACCAACGCCCCTCCTCAATCGATGCGGGTTGAAGTCCGTCTCACGTGACCGCCTCACTGTGTGCTGAGTCACGGTAATCACGTCTCTTGCTTAGTGTATGTGACCTGGCTGCGGTGGTTTAGAAACCAAAATAAACCGAGTACATTACGCTATAGTAAGCTAGATCGTCCCCATCTGGTTCATCATCAGAGGAATCGCAATCATCTTCTCTACTTGTAGTTATCGGGTTATCTACGTGGTGTAGTATAAGTCTACGCTGAGTGGCGCTGCAGGTTAGTTTCGAAAGTGGGTCTGCCTTCATCAGATTGGTAGGACAGAGCACGATCTTACTAGCAGCGTCGCGCACTCTTAGGTAACGTAAAGCATAATGTCTACTTTTAGGGCGAGCGTCTGTTGCTTTGGCTGTTGTGGTCGCAGACTGGTTGTCTATCCACAATACAGCATTGTCTAAGGAGGGAGACAAGCCGTTCTGTGTGTGTACCAACTGGGTTGGGAGAGGCTTATAGAAGTCTGTGAAGTCATGCATCTCACTGAGCACTATCGTGCCAGAAGCTGCAATATACTCACTTTCAGCCGTTGAGTAGGCTCTCACCGTTTGTCGGTTACTCCTCCACGCTATGGGTGTACCTTTGTAATACATTATGGAGCCACTTGTGCTTCTCATTGTTTTGATGCAGTTGGCGAAACCAGCATCACTGAATATGTTTACTTCTGGCATGTCTCTGCCTTCTGGTAGAAGTTTCTCGTATATTTTGTTGAATTCTTCTTCCTTTTCTGGTGAGTATTCTACTCCTTGGTCTTTTGTTGACACCAGGCATTTTAGGACTTTCTTGGCTGCTTTGGCCATTCTTGTTGACGTGGGTTTACTGACATGTCTAGCCAACGCAGCTACCGGAGCAGAGATATCCGGGCGCGCGGTTACAGCTACCCATAGTAAGGCACCAACTACCTCACGAAAGGGATACCCATCAACTATCTTGATCCCGTCTTCAAGAAAGCGAAAAGTTGCTTCGTCAAAATTGGGCGAGTAAACCGGTTTCCCTAGTTGAGCTTCATACTTCTTAGCAATTTTATCGATGTACTGCTCCACGCACAGTCTGAACGACTTAGCTTCACGGCCATAGTACACGATCGCACCTAAGAAGTCGAACTTTAGCCATTCGAGACCCCAGGGGGTTAGAATTGGCTCGACTTCAATCGCACGGCCTGGAGCACGTGTGGAAATGGGGTCTAGTTCGGTCTTGAGCTCATCTTGGTCAGGACCTGTAGCAAGATTGTCATCTACATAGACAGACATCTTCAGGAACTTCCCCGGTGCTTTGCTGCTCGGTTTGCGCCACAATCCAGGCGCAGAAGTACACGGCTCCCAACCAAGACTGGCGAGAGTCTCGCGATACCTCTTGAACCATGCTCGTGGTGCGTCCTTCAAGCCGTATAGAGCTTTCTTGAGCTTCACGATCTCGCATCCATGCTGTTTCGCCCAGATGGGTGGAAGACGGCAGCAGACATCTCGATCGAGTTCGGCATTGAGGAACGCTGAATCTAAATCGAACGGGATCACATAGTCCCCCTCTGACGCAGCAGAAGTGAGGAGCAACCTATTAGCGGCATGTGATACCACGGGAGCAAAGGTGTTTAGCTCTCCCGAACGATCTAAATTACCGAGTACGCAGGCTCTTGCCTTGTATTTTCCACATCTCTTTCTTGTTAGTATGAAGGCAATTGGTAGAGCCCGCAACGCGGTTGCTAGCTGCTCGTCAGTAGCTTCTTCCCACGTTTTAAAGGCTAGTAGTCTCGCATGCTCAACGTCAATGACTTCCTTCCACTTTTCAGCTTCAGGGCTCTTTAATGCATTGGCAACGGACAGCATCACACGCGATTCGACGATTTCCTCATCTTCGTCTATCTCACACGTGCCACCAATAGCACTTGCGAACAGCGCCAAACTCTTTCTGAGTTCTTCCATCTGTTTCTTTGTTCTACGAATCCTTCCTCCAGCCTTGTCCTTGGCTCCTTTCGGTCGGCCACGCTTCTTGCCGTGTGTATGGCGTTCGCCTGCCACAACACGTGCGGGAGATAGCGCTTTCGATCTAGTCGGACTAGGTGAGTCAGAGACTCGATCCTTCGTCTCAGCTTTCCCCTCCTCAAGTGAAACACCTTCAGAAGAGTCAGCCACGTCAGATTCAGCCTTCTTGTCTAAGGTTTCAGCATATAGTTCTTCGGGAATGCCGGCCGGTCCACTTGAGAACCCCGATTGCTGGCCCAGCCTTTGCACTGACTGCCCAATCAAGGGGGAGCCCAGCGACGACGCTCCACACTGCAAGTTTTCCAGTTCATCATACTCATAGTAAAAGCCCTTTCTATCTGGCGTTAGCCAGTCTATGTCCTTTATTAGATAATCCTCTCTGAACTTGACGTCTAGGGTAGAGCATTCCGCCCATCGATGTCCAAGCTTGCAACGATCGTCATGAGCGAAAGTAGCAACCAACCAACCAGATGACTTCGGACAGAGTCCAAGGAAGACGCCACGGCGGTATTTGGCCGAGAGCTTGGGTTCAGGAGTGTTGGCTTGAATTTGTTCACGAAAGTAAACAAGACAACCAAATCGGCGGAGCATGCCGATTTTGCTTTTGGAAGAATTTCTACCAGTTCTCTCTTCTAGAATCTCTATTGGACTCTTTCCGTCGTGTTCTGGCATTTTAGCGTAATTATGCGGAAGACGATCCCAGCAGTCACTAGCGTACTCAACACAGTAACACCAAAGACGTCGGCCAACCTTCGTTAACATTGTTCGCACGCTGCCAAACAAGGCCCGCATAAAACGTTCAACAGTCCCACTCATTTCCGGACTATAAGGAGCAGCCGGATTGTCTGAGACCCGCAGCGATTGCATGAGTTTGGTCATGTCATCACTACCGAGGACTGGTTCTCCTTCTCCATCCCTCCGGATGGACCATACTACCCTGTCATCTAGCGATAAGGAGTAGTCCTGTCGAATGCCTTTTATGACTTGTTCTATTTCCTCCACACAGTCACTTTTAAGCTTCAGCGGTCGACAAAGCGCCTTCTTAATTACGTCACATATGACAACTAGAACACATCTCATAGATCTTACTGAAACAGGTTTTATTCCTACGGCAAAGTCTATTGCAAGTAGTTTGAGGGGTTCAGGTTTGTAGGTAGTCATGTCTCTAGATTTTGCATGGGGTTTTCGTTGTCCTTTGTGTAGGTCACATTCTGGGCAACTAACTTGTAGACCATCTATGTGAAAGCGGCCACATCTCCTGTGTAGTTCTAATCTCGTAAGATAGCAACTAGAGACGCCTTCTTCTATAGATGTACAAGTGAAGCCACTTCCATGCTTGTTTTCAAAGAAACTACACGCGAGTACGGGTAACTGCAAGCGTGGGTGAGCTCTGATGGGTAGCGTCTGGCCATGGTCCGTGTGCACGATACAGCCGCCAGTGCCTTTGAAGTTGAACTCCCACCCTAATTGCGAGCAGTTTCCGTCTCCTAACCATGGCAATGCGCGATCTATGTTTCCAGGTAGAGAATCATAGTAAACTCCATTCTTTATTCCAAGCACGTTGTTCTTGAGTTTTCCGACTTTTCCGTCCTTAGTACCTGCACTACCTGTTAAGTTATTCTACAAATGTTGTTACCAATTTCATCGAGGTCATCTCTGTGGCGTGAAAGATATTTGTTTGCACAGCTATCAACTAGCGCTGCGTCTTCTGATGTTCTAGCATTCAAGGTTGTGAAACTATATCCATCTGTGTTGTAGCTATCAGCATGATTAACAACATTTGCCATTATCTCATCTTCCTCGAAATTCAGCGAACACTTCCCAAATTCGTACGGTTCCGTCGCTCAGCTTCGATTGTGCGAGTTCATGACGTTGAGCATCTCCGCAACCTGCGACATGTGGATCATGCCACTGCTATTACCCTTTCCACCTTTGCCTCTAGAACTACTAGATGAGGCTCCGGTAGTCCAGCTTCCCTGTCCCTGTTGAAGGGCTTGTGTGTTATGCCAGCACTCGGAGGACTTGTGTCCGACCTTGTGGCAGCAAGCACAGCGGGGTGGATAGGTATTCTTTCCTTTTCCTTTATCTTTCTTCGGCTTTTGTCCGCCGTTCTTTCCTCCTTTGGGTTGGTACCCGTAGGAGTTGTAGACCTCGGCGATTGCCTTCTTCTTTTCTTTCTGCTTGAAACGCTTGAGGGCGTTAGCGGAAATGAAGGTCTTACCATCTGCCTTATTGGACTCTACCTCGTCATCATCCTCATTCTTGTCATCACGAGGACGCTTGTTCGAGGTTTCCTGAACATTGACCGGAAACGCTTTCCCGAAGGAGTCGTTCTCAATTTTGTAGGTTCCCTCCTCGATCAACGTTGTAAGACGTTTCTCAAGTCGGTCTCCAATTTGGTCAAATGTTATGCCAGGCCATCTTCTTCTTGCATCCGCTCGATAGTCGCTTTGAAGTTCTTGCAGAACAACTCGGGCAACTTCAGCAGGATCGCTCCGCTCTGTTGATCAGCTTCGGGCAGATCTGCATCCGGCGGGAAGACAGTGGGCGCTTGGTTCATGATGTCGCGGATCTTTGAGAGGAACCCCTTGACATCTGCAGGCTGGTCGCTGTTGTGGAACTTCGTCAGTCCCTCCGACAACGGCTTGACCTTCATGCGCTGCTCCTGGCGATTATTCGCGTCGAAGTTCCCTTGTTCACGAAGTAGAGCAACAACTTCACCAGCATCCATCTCGTCCACCGCGCCATCGTTGTTCCGATTGTCGACGAACGACTTGGCCGCACCTTTCAGACTTCGCGCGATTACGTCTTTCAGTTTGCGCCACTTCTGGCGGGTCGCGTCTTCGCGACTGGTATTACCTTGCGGCACACCATGTGGAACGGCCGGCACGTTGACTACATTCGTGTAGTTCTCAAGTAAGCCTAGGCGGCTAGCTTCTTGACGTACGGCTCGTTGCCACTCGCGCCAGTCGGACTTCTGTCCCAACTTCTTGAGGATCTCCTTGGCCTCGCAGGACATTTTGATGGATTTGCTTATTTTTACTGCACTACTTCCAATTTTATTTTACTTTTGCCGCTCAAGGGTTAGACCAGTGCTGGACCACAAGAACACAGGCCTCCGGGCCTTGGTTCGTTTCTCAGTGGAAACACAAAGTCAGGATCTTGAATGCAAGCAAATCTTGATACTCCTGCCTGAGACTTGCGATCTCTGGCTGGTGTAGTCCCTGTTTGGTTCATTGGGTGAGATGAGTCACACATCAGCAGCATAAGCATGTCAGAAGGGATCGGGCTGAACATGCATCATATGACTAGGATCAGTACAACCGTGCCTAGTCTACACCTTGATCATTATGATTATGCATTGAATGTGCATTGAGTGTGCATTGGAAGTAGCGTTCATGATCATTGACATTCATGTCTTGTGAGATCATCCCGATGACAGTCGAGCACGAGGCTTAGTGTGAGCCACTGAGAACAGAACGCCACGACATCCGAGAGGCTTGAGCCATACATGACCAACATATTGTGAAATGCTTAACACGGGCAGCCCTGTTAATAATAATAAATAAGCCTTGAAATAAAACAAGCACAAAAAAGTTACCACGCTATACAAGCAACGAGGACAACTCGAGTTACAAGCAATATGAAAAACTACAAGACTAACATCAAAGCAACAAAAACAATAATCACATTGCGGGATGATCATGTGACCAGCCGCGACCTCAGCAGCATCGAAAAGTGTCGATCGATATTTTATCAATATATTTGAGTAGTGCGTACCAAAAACTTCTTTTGCATTCTTCATATTTTCTAATATCACAAGACTTCGTTTTCCTATCGGACCAGAAGAAGGCGGGTTCCGAGGTTCTGCCCTTAGCGGTGCGTGACCGTTACGGAATTCACCAACCAAGAGCAGCGCCTCGTCAACGAGTAAGCAGCCTTCTTGGTCTGAACCTAGCGTTTGACCCAGATAATCATCAATGAATGAATGTCAAAGGCGAGGTCTATTGCACGTGCACCACAGAAAAAAAAATGAATGACGCCATGGCAGCCTCCTTCATCTCCTAGGACGAATGGGACTAACAGTTATGAAAAGATACTCAAATATCAATACGTCGTCGTTAATTGCTCGTTTTTATCGTCTAACTACTTTTCTTTTCTTGTTCATTACAACTGCTTCTACATCAATTATGCTCAACTACATTCAAGGGATAGTTGTTCTCTGACTACTTCTTTCTATGACGCCAGAGGATTACACAAGAAGTGACTCAATTTTTCTTCATAACAATCTTCGGGTGCGGATGTAAAATTCTTTCGAGTACGAAAAACTAGTGCAGTACTAAAAACGCATTCATCTTCTACTTTCATGCTCTTACATAAAACGCTACTCACAAACCAACTATAGAAGCATGAGCCCAGTCATCACTGATTTGGGTCTTTCATCTATTTTGTTCACATTCTTCACATTGATGTAGGTGTCCATACTACTACTTGTACATACGTCTTCCTCTGGTAAGTTCTCCCTCTACGTCTTCTTCAACCCCTCGTAACAAATGGCTCCTGCGTGTGCCCTACCTCCATTCTTCTAGCGCTCCGGAATACTTGTCCCGACAGTATTGATCATTATATCAACGTCAGTGACCAGGAAGCATATTTATTGTCAAGTAGACTTTGTACCAATAAAGTCGCAAGGCGATGTTATATTACTAGTTTCTGCTGATTCTCGTATGTAAAGCAGTAAAAAATACTTTTCGTTTTTGTGTGGCTCGTTGTGTCTACTAAGTCCATCACTTTACGATTACGTAGAAAAAAAAAGCCAACATCAGAGGCACGTTACTAGATCACTCAAAGTTTAGTCTTCTTGTAGTGTAGTGGTGGTGACAGTAGCGACAGGTCTTGGCTGACCTCAAACTATGTCACTCTTGTTGCACCCGGTGCTGTGGACCACCCGCTTGCAAGAATTTCTTTTAAGTAAATATTTAAGGGGTCGTAGCCACGCACAGCGTCGGCGTCCAACACCCTCCTCGACTACTTCTGGCCCCAACAAGTACTAGTACAGGTTAGGTACTACTAAAAAAATATGTTTTATCTATTGTTCTTGGTAGCCCAGTCATTCTCAAATGAAGGTACTAGATGACGGGACTCCTGCTCTGGACGCAGTCAGCTGGCATCAAAGGATGGCAAAAGAGAGTCCGTAGCCAGAGACGGCTGTCAAATCGCGTAAACTTTTCCTGCAGCTGCCGATAGCGATGACGCTGCTGTAGAAGTGAGACGTAAGACGTCTCTGCATCACCTACAACACATGCTAGCCCACCTTTGGAGGTTATCAAGGCACCCGCTCCCGCAGCAGCTGCAGCTGACCTAACTAGAAAAAACAAAAAACGAAAAAAGAAAAGTCAGGCAAGTACTTGTCCCCTACTACCTAAGCGCCAGCGCTGTTGTGGTCCTGTCAGCCCCAGAGGTCTCACCTTCGAAGGCAGGCCGGAGCCCTGCGCAACATCTCCGGTGAGTGCTCAGCTTTTTGGTTGTGTGCGCTGGTTTATTCGTAACGGGGTACCGGCTCACCAAACAAACCCACAACATCTACTTGTAGAACGACATGTTTGATTATGATGAACACGAACAAATGGGATAGTGAATCATTTGAACTCGATACGGATTATAGTTATAGAATAGCGATTGCTTGGGTTTATTTGGATGGTGAGTGTTGATCATGAATCTATTTTCTTCAACATAATCGATCACATTCTACTTACGGCGCCGCGAAGGGCCTTGTTGTACTTCTTGAGTCCGTTTCACACACTAATCACACTACAGGAAGCCACAAGAATCACAGGGCAGCTCCACTATTCCAGACACAGAAGTCAAGGCAGGGCTAGTAGTATTACGAAGTCAATCATAAATGTCGACGGCCTCGGCCATCAGCAACGTGAAGTACAAGTACTAGCTCTAGCTGTCGAAGTCGATCAAAGAAAACGAAAGTAGGAAGTATCTAAAATATAAATTTCTTCTTTGTTCTCAGAGTCGCCAAGACCAGCACCATAGACCAGCACCGCTGCCTGTCAGTAACTCCTACCGAGGATCGATGTGCCTAGTATTCATTGCCTGCGTTCAGATTAACATTAAGAGATTTCTGGCTTGCGACTTTTTTTTGTATCCTGGGGCTACTTGCAGGGGCCGCCCATGGCTCCAGAAAGTCTGGGCTTAGGAGACAACGCATTTCACAGACAACAAGCAAAGAGAATAGGATACCACAGACAAACTAACGTGTGGGAGAGTTGTAAGTTTTGATTGACTGCTGTATGACGGAAAACCTCAATCAAAAGATCTGAGAAACTATGAGTCTGGAATTCTAATATGAAGAGTGATGAAGTGCTTAGATTGTAGCCGCTTTCTGTTCTCTAACCCCCGTCTTCTTCTACTCTACTCTAGGAGTCCAATCACGAGAAATCGGCACAATGGTCTGAAGGATGAAAAAATAAAGAACTGTATCCTTCCATAAGGTGTGGGTGTCAAGCTAACTACACACTTATTACTCAACAACAACGATGAAAAGCACAAAATCACACAATTTCTAGACGTTCATCATATGGAAGGAACGACTACACTAGCTTCTTTTTTCGAGCAGAAGCCATCATGAGACTGAGGACCAGCTCTGACACAGCGCAACACGACATAACGGCCTTCGCCTTCCGAGATACATGAACAGCACAAAAATGATGATGATTGAACACTGCGGAAACTGCTAACCGACGAGAACACTGTATTGCTTTTCCGCAATCCAGATGAATCAAAATACACAGCTATGGCGGTGGATTTCCTTTTCGCTTCTTTGCAGCGTGATCGTACTCCTACTTTCCTCCAGAACACTACAGAATGACATTATGCCATACTTTCTGCGCAAAAACCTTTCTGCTTCTTTCCTTTCCTGCAGTTGCAATTTCTTTTTTATTCATTTTTCTCAAACTTCCAACATCATGCAGCAAGAGACGACCGTCTTTACATCGATCCATATCCCAGAAGGCAGAAACATTTCGCGCATCAGCGACTTCACCTGAGAAAACCGTCTCCCATGTTGTTTACGTACGGCTGAAAAGACGCCGAATAAAAGCAAAGCGATGTCATAGGTCTCCGGGCTCATGACTAAATCTAAAAAGCAATGTTCATTTTCTTATCAGACGATAAAGATGCGTCGAGTAATCCTTTGTTACACATGCAATTATCTAACCAGTATCACTACCTATCGTCGTTAGTGCCCCAGACAGAACCCACGATCACGCGTCATGCCTGGACTATTCGGATGCGCTTTCGCTCTGGGATGCGGCGGGCTGGGGAGAGCGTGCCTGCTCCTCTGTGGGACTTCGCTCCCAGAGGTAGCGCGCAACCGAGGGAAAGCCTTCCCGGCGCGCATCGTCCAACGGCGTGTTGCCCCATCGATCGCGTACGCACAGGGGATGCCCGTTTTCCAGCAACCACTCGACTACCTCGAGGTGTCCGCAGCTGGCGGCGAGGTGGAGTGGAGTGCGCTTGTCGTAATCTGGTGCGGAGAAGTTGCGCGCGCCGGACAGCTTTAGCCGTGTCAACGAAATGATATCGCCTACGGAGGCAAGCTGGATAACATACATCGGGGATGGCGACGAGTTCATATTACTACCAGGAGCTCCCCCTGCTGCAGGTCCCTGTGCAGCTGGTCCTCCACAATGTTGGTTGCGGTCCAGAGAAATCTCTGACAGTGTCCTTCCTGGAAGCTGCGATGAGGATGACATTCCTCGCCCCACTGAGGACTGGCGCGTGGCGGCATCGTCTTCAAATGTCACTTCTTTCTCCGATTCGCGAACTTGTTCTGTCTCTGACTCGTGGCACGTTTGTCCTCCCATTCCTCCGAGTAAGATGCTCTCGCGACCTATGGACGGCCGAATGTCGAAGTTGTGAAATGGATACCTCTCTGTCAGTTTCAGGAAGAAGTCGCGCCCGCGCTCCGAGTTTCCGTATTTGTCCAGCGGCGGCGAAAAAGTGGCGAAGCCGAACAAGTTCGGCACAATGACCATGATGCCGCCAGCGACTCCACTTTTCGCTGGCAGCCCCACGCGAAACGCGAATTCGCCACTGTAGTCATACATGCCGCACGAGTACATCATGGAGAGAGTGTGTTTCACCGTCTCAGCGCGCAACACGCGCTCCCCCGTAGTCGGACACACCCCGCCGTTTGCGAGTGTTGCTGCCGCGATTGCTAACGTCTCACAATCGACAGTGAGCGCGCATAATTGAAAATAGAGATTGAGCACCTCATTGACGATGCTATTCTGGCCGCACTGCGACCCGTTGACTAAGTCTGGAAAAGCGCGTGCCTCCTTCATGTAGTACGCCAGCGCGAAGTTCCGGTCCGCCGTTCGAGCCTCCGAGCGATAGACGTCCTCGTCGTAGCCGACCGGACGCCGCCCGCCCAAACGACTCCACAAGTGAAGAATCTCTTCTCGACATTCGTCAACGTAGTCGTTGAGCGTGTGTGGCGCATCTTCTTCTATACGCGCAGCATCACTGCGGGATCCTGAGGGGCCCGCGAAAGCGATTCCATCGCCGGCAGCGTCGCTATCTGCTGCGACCGACCGGGCGCCCGCCGAAAGAGCGTCCGACGCGAGATCTTGCGCAGAGCGCGACTTCTCATCATTTCCCCTGTTAGCGCGGCGGTACGCGGCAACTCTTCCTTCAGAGTATTCGTCTTTGGACGGTCCTGCCGCAGTTCCTGTGGGGTGTGGATCCGACGTTCCGAGAACGCGTCTACTCTTTGGAGACGAAATCTCTTCCGAGACTGCTCTACCCGACATATCTGGGTCCGCAGCTTCATGGACTACCAAACTTAATTCGGAAGCGTTTCTGCCTCGGATGGGCTCGTCGTCCGAAGCCACGAAGGAGTCTTCTCGATCTACGAGAGAAGATCGTTGGCTCCCGCTGCTGAACGACGGCGCGTGCTTCGGCCGTCGAGACTGCATCGCCGCGGGCCGTGCAGGTCCATTACCGATAGCATTCGGCGCGCGGTCATTCAAATTCAATAAGCGCACCATCTCCTCTTCCATTTCCTCGCGCTCGTCGTATAAGTCCTTGTAGTTTTGGAAGACAAAGGGGCACACCCCTGCAGGCGTTTGCTGTACCGCTTGCGACGCCTTCGTTGGTTCCACATTGTACATGCGCAAGATCTTGCGTACGGCTCCGTCCGAGAGGCCGCTTGCCGTGGCGATGGCGTGAGTATCCATATGCTCATCTTTGCTCAAAGCTGTGATAAACTCTCGCATCCTCTCGGGCACGTCTTCCACCATCTCGCCCTCCTCTTCGCTACTGTCCTCGAGCTTCCCGAATTCGCCGCCGCGCTCGCTGTCGTGGCAGCTACTCGTAGTGCTATTCCTAGGAATCATCGTCGGGTTGACATGATGAGAATCTCCTTGTTCGGCCCTTACTGGATTCCCACCTTTCGCACCCCCTGACTGTGTGGTACCACCAGACGGCCAACCATCGCCAACGCCTCTGTTCAAATTTCCTGCGGAGGGGAAGCTGCTTTGCAGCCCTTTCGGCGCGTTCATTGTGCGTCCGCCTCCGTTTGCTCGGCGGTTTCCGAGTGCATCAAGCCCCACTCCGCTGGACGAGTGTAGAGTGCGCTTGCCCCATCGGGACGGGGATCGATCCTTCGAGGACATCTTTTGTCGTAAACGCTGCGGCGCTCCATCACCCGCCACCGCATTGTGCTTAGGACTGGATGTACCGGCGGAAGTCGCAGCTATCCTCGGAGAAGACGCGTGTTCTCCTGCTTGCTCAACGTCAACGTTGGGTACCAAGACCGGACAACCCCGCGCGCCCTCCTTTCTTCGCAAATTATCATCCGTCGACGCATCCGACCGAACGGATCCCTGGTGAACATTCGAAATGCTCGTAGCGTCGCCCAGCTGCCTGTTCCCATCCGCAGCTATGCTTGTGCCTGATGCAGCCTCAGAGATTGTCAGATCCGACGCAGCCCTGGCGCGCGCCTCTGCCTCCTGTTCGCGCAGTCGCTCCTCTTCCTTCGCGCGTTCTTCTTCCATCTGGCGCTCAATCGTGGAGGAAAAGTAGATGCCAGCGCACATGATGGCGCCGCTGTTAATCAGCGGATTATGTGGTAACCCGTTGCGGTCCAGCGCCAGCGCGTTAAAGATCATGCCACTTGGCTCGCGACCAACATGCCGATGTGTGTTCTCGACTCCACTGCGGTCTAGCGCGGCACCGTATGTGATGGGCTTGCTGCAAGACTGTAGGCAAAAAGGAACGTTGTAGTCGCCATACCGCAAACGCTGTCCGTCAACGGTGCAGCAGGCGATCCCAAACCAATCTTCATTTTGGTGCGCCAGCTGGGGGATATATGTCGCCTTGGCGCCCTCGGTGTTGGGCAACACCTCCTCGTAGATGGCTCGGCATTCTTCCGCAAACTCGGTGAAGCCCTGCATCACAAAATTGTTGCTGCACGCCGTCGCGATGGCGTCTGGAGAAGCCGTCACGCAGTAGAAAAACTCACGTTTGGCGAAGAATACTCCTTTCTCCTCGGAACTTCCCAATGGCCGCATGGCAGGAGATCCAGGGCCAGGGCTACCTGGCACAGCACCTCCGGCTCCGACACTGCCAAAGCTTTTACTTCTCTGCCTCTGAGGTTGCTTCAACAACGATTGCTGCGAACAGTTTCGCTGCTCCGCGAAGGTTGCGATTGAACTTAAAGAAGACCCACCTAGACCCGGACCTCCAGCACTGGCAGCGGCGTAGTTGTAATCTGATTCTTCCGCGGCGGTGCGTGTGGTCGCTCCTGACGGTGCCGTCGAAGGCGTGGCTAGCCCTGGATCCTCCTCCTTCGCTTGCCGGAATTTCTCGCGCAGCATTTCCATCTCCTCCCGTTCCGAGTCACTCGTGATTGGGCCGTCGATGCTGAGCTCAGGTCCTGGTTCCCCAACTTCAAGCAGTGCGGCGTGCGTGGTTCCACGTCTATAAAGCTTCTTGAGCCCCGACCGCCCGTTGGTGCGCAGGATTTCCAACACCTGGTTTGCTCGAGAGCGCACTGGGACGATGCGCTCGTCGTCGTCCACCATGCCCTTACCTCGCAGGTACGTAAAAAAGCAATGCATATCCACTTTCAGCAGTTGCTGTCGCGAGACGTTGGTTTGGGGGCCTGTACTCTGCGGTACCTCGCCCGCAGTCCTCCTGTCACCATGTTGTTGATCCTGCGGCTGCTCTGTGCTGCTGGTGAGCAAGGAAACTGCGGAGCAAGTCGATGCTCGCCGCGCACGCTCAGCCTGGAAGGGGCCAAGACCCGAGCGCGTTCGGAACTGCTCATCCTGCTGGAGCGCTAGTGCAAATTCATAGATCGCCTCCAGCCACTCTGTTTGTTCCTTTCCGCCTTTTCTCAGCGCTTGTTCTGTATTTCCCTGAATGGAGTTGGAGTCTCCACCTGAACCCCTAGTACCGCTGGATCCTCTTCCACCTTCTTGCGCAACCTCTCCTCCTCGAGAGGAAGAAGAAGAAAAAATCGCCGATGAGGAAATGGAGGCACCGCTCTTGACGGGTCCGCCGATACTTTTGCTTGTTCTGCCCACTTCAGCAGCTGTCGAACCGGAAGTGGACGATGAGGGCCTCATTAGCATGGCTGAAGACGCAATGCTGTCCTTGGACGTCTGGTGTTGAATCGTGGGAGTCCGTACCACCCCACTTTTCTCCCACGCCCAGCTACCAACGCCAGACGGCGACGACATCTTTAGAATTCTATCTACGATCAATACCTGTGCCTTCGAATGGCTGCTAGGATAATGCAATATATCTCGTTGATCTATTCTATCTGCATCTTCATCTAATAGAAAAAGAAACTACGTAAGTACCCATGCAGGTGGACAGTGAGGTGACCATAGACTGTTCTTCTCTTCAATCGAATCCATTGATTCAGATTCACAAGTTCAAAGACAACTTGAACATGGCTACACTCCAGCTCCACAAATGAGCAGACATCAATACTAATACTTGCATCACTTATCTACCACTACCTCGTTGTATGAAGCAAGAAGAGACAGACTGGATTCTATCAAAAAGGATGACAAGTAAGTAGACCTAAGAAGATAGTCGTGGTGGTGTTGCGCGTGCGATATAAAAATGCCGATCTACTTCTCATTTACGCTTGTCGCAGGAAGAGTGGATATGAAGATTAGACCTGTGACTAAGGTTGTCTCGGGGGATTATAATTCATTGGAGGATATTGATCATGATCTTTTAGGACTTCTAGTAAAAGCAAGTCCATATTCGATTTTATTCATTTTTACTCTCAGCCTCATTGCATCTTATTCCAATACTCAATGGGAACTTACTACTAGAACTGTAAAAAAACGGATGCGCGTTGCGAATGGAGGGGTGCTGCATAATTTTCAAAAAAAACTTAATATACGGTGTAAGCACCTAGTGCCAATACCTGCAGAGAAGTCATCATTTGGTTCGGCGTGAAAGGTGGATCTTGCAAATTTGTTCGTTAATCAAAGTTACAAACTGATTTTGATCCAGATCAATGCAGAACATCATCACTCAATGAGAACATCACAGACCTGCAACATATGAAGGTTCGCACTCATGTAAACAGAAACTGCTCATCGCAAAGACCAACAGTCTGACTCTCGTTTGAACATTTCAGCAAAGTTGATTGTTCATGACGCGGTTGCAAGACTCAGATATAACCACCGCTAACTCGCTAGACCCTCACACTCCTACCTACTAGGCTACCGCCAGATCACATTATGTGAAAAGAAACAAGGGAAAAAAGACAGAACATTCGCAGCAGCTGCATGCAAAACTACACAGGAGCCTCACAGACTAAGCTAAAGGATCTATTACTTTGGCGCGTACCTTGATTAAGATTAAGAGTTTTCTGGCTTGCGGTTTTTTTTTGTATCCTGGGGCTGCTGAAAGAGCGGCCTCAGCTTTATTCAGTTCGCAAACCGGCGGCAGGCGGAGCTTAGTGTTCCTCTATCATTCTATTCTCTACGAACCCGCCGATTTTAAAATAACCAAGAAACTAGGAGGCTGAGGGAATGACCACGCCACAATTCCCAGCGATATGCCGATCGCCTCACTCATAGCGCAGCCACTCAGGTCGGGGCGAACAGGGTGCCACCTGCCACTTCTACCCACATCGACGCGCTCAGCCATCGGTGAAAAAGAACTAGCTGATAGCCAATATTTTGGTGTAAGACCGTATATAAAAACATGCTGCCTAGCCACGTCAGTAAATCGCAACTACGCTAGTTTTCTTATCTCTTCAGGCGAAGTCTCCCCTTCGTCCCTTGTCATGCATCTTTTCCGCGTCCCACCCAGACGGCCGCAGAGGCTTCCCGTGCTGCAGAAAGCTCCATCCGTCGCACAATCCCGATCGGCGTCTGCTTGCATGCAAAAGACCAGAAAAGACAAAACCGGGGAAACCGGAATACAGCACTGAAAAGTACAACAAGGGGACCTGCTAAGGGGGCACAGAAAAAAGCGCCGAGAAGTTGCGGCAAAAAACCGTGCAGGGCAGATCCGGTGAAGTGTGTTGTTTTGTTGCAGTGCCAACGCCAGACCGATGCAGAAAAAAAGGCGTCCATCTCAAAACCTACGAGGTGAACAAAAGACAGGGTCGAGCACTGGTCAACGCGTCATTTGAAGCGCTCCCAACCATCTTCAGATGCAAGGAGCAACTACAAATGCTCTCAGGAACACATTTCTGGCCACCAGATGGGGCGCATTGCGTTTCACAAACGACAGACAAGACTGGGAATAAACAAACAAATACAACATAAAGAAGATTTTTGCAGGGGCCATGGTTCCAGAAAGTCTGGGCATAGGAGACATTGCATTTCACAAACATCAAAAGGAAGAAAATAGGATACCACAGACAGAGTACTACGGAAGCTCCGAAAGGAAACTCGAGGATACTGACAAACTTGCTGACTGCCACCTCGTTCTCTACATGTCCATTCATCGTAAAAATAGTTGGAAGATGAATCATTCGCTCGGGCACTGGCGGAGGCAGTAGCACTTTCACAGCCACACTCGTCAGCTGGTCACTCATTCAAACAATTACTCATGTCGCAGTCCGTCGAGTGCGCGCCGACCTCTAGTTCATAAGCTGTTGCCACACATTGTTCACCTAATAAATCACTTTTCCTTGCGAACACTCTTCTCGCCAACACCCACAGGCGGCACCGCCAGCTGCTCTTGCATGTGAGCCATAGGCCATGTCAATGGATTCATGCCGATGCATGGCAGAGTCGCATTTTACACATGAGTCCTAAGTATTCTAACCGCCAATTATTATCGCGTTAGTTCATTTTTGTCTGCTGAAAAAATCGCCTACTCGTGTTAGTATATTCCTAGTTTGTTCGTGTTTCATATTCAACCCATAGTTCATTTTTTGAGAGATGAAGTTTCCGATCCCAACTCGGTCAAAGAGTGTGTTGAAGCGCGACTCGTCATGGACTCCACCCGACCCGCAACAAGTCACCAGTCTTTCTATGCTGTTCTTGTTGTGCCGTCCTTCGACTACATCTTGACGAACGGAAAACTGTTGAAGTCATCATCAGATGAATTACGAATATATACAAGGAAATTAGAGGTGCAACATTATTCATCCATGGAGTGTTTTTTGGCGACTACAGACACATATCTTCAAGCAACATGAGTACACATCTTGGTTCAGTACTTTTTAGTTCAGCTTTACGGCCCGATAGGGCTTATTCATACCTTTCCAAAGCTACATGATAATCACCTATACTAACGAGCCGGTTCTTTGCACTTTCACCATTAAAATACTTCTGGTATCATTACTTTATTCCGACAAAATACACGACATTGATGTGAATTGTTTAATGCACAATTTCTTTCCTGTTCCTTAGCGAATTCTGTAAGAAAATTAGATTGTTGTTTGCATTATTGTGTCTAGCACATCCTAATCAAAATTGTGATTGTTACCGGGTTACACCAAGAAAGATTACCAGAGTTTCTCAAGTATCGTCGTTGGGCGCGTGGTACTTCTATTTGTCACCCCTTTCGGTCACCTTGCCCGGCCTCAGCATCGACTTTCCTTGTCATAAAAGTTCACAGTTCATGATTCAATCTTTCCATACTAAATTTTTTCCTACTGATGTCATTATTTTGTGATAATAGCGAATTCTCTATCTTCAAGCAATTGTTTTGAGTTTTGTGAAAAGTAAAATCGAAGAAGTCTTGTTTTTATTCGACAGAAGATCATATCATCCTACCCCTCTCAATCCTACTTACTTGAGAGAGTAGCAGAGACAGTTTTTTTGTGCTCAACGCGTGGAGCTGGTCATCGTGCCACATATTTTGGCATACCTACTCACATTACTATAACTCTACTAATCAGGAGAAAAGACATAGCACCATCTTCATACTTCTGATACCGGCTGAAGAAGTTGAAATGGATTACAATCATGAGCGCATAAGCGCTTAGTTGGAACCGCCAGAATATTCGTCCATTTTCTTGATCAGCGTCTCCGCATAGTTCGGAGAGTAGTAGTTGACAATCTCCGGCGGATACAGGTTGTTGATTTCGTCGATATAGTCCTTGAGCTTTGAGCCGACCTGCATTGATGTTGTTGCACAAGATATTAATAGTGGAGTTCGTTTGTTTTTATATTATAATATGATTTTTGCCTAATCACGCTCTAGTACCATGATGAAGATCATCAAATCAATGTTGTACTCAACGAAATTACTGCACATACAATTTCGTGGTACCTCTGCATTGACTTCCTGGATTTTCTGAAGTGATCCGGACTGGACGAAACTTCTCCTGGCTTGAAGATCGTGCGGCAGAACCTTAGCGAACTGCTGGACAACATATTTCAAGATATTTGGTGGCGATTCCTGCAACAGGGGCTCGAGTGCCGTCAAGTGGGTGCACTTCTGCACTACTGATTTCAAAGCCCGCTTGGCCTTAGTCTTCAAATCTTCCGATGAGTCGCCATGCAGATACCTATGAAAATGTAATCCATGAAGTGTATTCAGTACGAAAAGTATTCATTCCACCGTTTGTGAGTACATATCCTGTATATCAAAATTGAAAATTCAATATTCGGCTTGGTTACGAAAAAACACGACTCATTAAAGGATAAGTACACTGCGAGAAGCCTTCTGAGGACATCTGCTTCTGCAAGCGCTCTCGCGTGATCTGGTGAGTGCCGTCCGATCTGACCTAAGCTCCACGCGCTAGCCGCCTTTAGGTGATCTTCTGGCTCGTTGATAAGCGCATCTTTCAGCGGTGGAATACCTGGTTGACAAAGATACTGAAAACTATGCCGCATTACAAAAAAGCTTCAATCTACTCTAGCTACAACTGGTTATATTATAATATCAAAGAAGTACAAGATACTGTGAAATGGGGTTAGTCGAAATCATGCCTGAAATGCCGTTGTCAAGACCTCAGTATAAGGGCAATTATTGACATTGTCACCTTTTGAGACCACAACTGCAAGCGCCAGTGTCTCCGAGAATGCCGCAACGTAACCGAGGGTCATGATACCCGGCAGTCGGTTGTTTCCGCGTGCTTCGGTGATGTACTGTGGTTGTTAGTTTCATGAGGTAATGCAAAGAGAGACGTGGAGGACGCCAAATCCTGTCAATCATGCGTGCGATGAACCTCGACTTCAACGAGGTCAAAATCAAGAATACCCATACGCTCAATAAATGCGAAGAAAAGTGATAAGACGATTGGAGAGAAGTACATCGACCATAGCCGCGACACCACCAGCGTTGACGATAAGCTTTGCCAAATCTGGTGTGTGTCTTGCGATTTCTCGAACGCAAGTGGCGGCATTTTTTCTCACGTACTCGTCTACATCCTTCAGGCAATGCAGAATTCTCGGGAATATTTCTGCTTCTACTACCTAAGCAATTGATCGTTGTTTTGTCGGGATGAAAAAACATCGATCTTCCTGTAGAGACAATAGTAACAGAGACATTATTTGCATCCACTTTCTCAAAACTTTGAAGCAGTATTGCAGCAGCTACGTCGTACAACTGGCTCTGAAAGTACGATAGTACCACTTCCGCGAGATCCACTGAATGCTTCGCGATCTGCGCCAAGCACGAGCACACTTGCCTCTTCAATGGGGCATCCACATGTGAGATATCCTTTGCGATAAGCGGTACAGCACCGGCGTCTTGCACCTAGTAAAAAGGATGTCGATGCTCAATGATGTCATACCAGTCGACTTTAATGAAAAATATTGACATATTTGTCGTCTTCAACTAGGAGTAAAAGTTTTCGTACCGTCTGTGCGAGTTCTGGTGAGTGCTTGCAGATATCGGACATAGCGCTCGCTGCGATTCGTTTCAGTGTGATTTCCGGTTCCTGGAAGCACAACACAAGTAGTGGCACTGCACCGGCATCTACAACGGTTTGCGCCAACTCCTTGGTGTGTCGTGCGATATATCCGAGAGCCCAGGCTGCCGCTTCTTTCACCGATGGATCAAACTCTTCCAGGCAAGTCACCTTTTAGTACGACAAAGATATTATTGACAACTCTTGATTTCATATCTAGTAGCAGACGCATGTTCTATTCAACAAGGATAAATACCTGATAACGAAACGAGTAGAAGTGGTTGGTCTAATTTCCATTCACCCATCAGCAGATAAGTTTTTTTGTTACCAATGCGTCTAAGGCGCCTGAATCGACGACTGCCTGTGCAAGCTGTGGGGAGTGTTTGCTCACCGCTCGAAGGACAAATGCTGCGGCCTTCTTGTAAAATCGGTTCTGCTGCGAAAGTGAGAACCTGGTAGGGTATTGATGTTGACGGCAGTGTAAGAAGAACATCTGATGTTATTCACATAAGTACTAAACAACATGCAGGTGCTGGTAGGAAACACTAACCATCAGATAGTAAGGAACTAGACGGTATCTATAGTACACAAGCTGTGGCAGGATTTCGTGTGTAACTACGCTCTCGGCCAATTCATCTGAATAATTTGCCAATCGCCCAAGCGCCAAAGCCGCAGACTGCTGGATGCTTGCGACATTATCCAATAAGAGAGGTCGGAGCAATGCCATAACCTGAGAAATATATGTAAACATAGAAGTAATGTTGAGTGCAAAGAAAATTGAAGATTACCAAGTCCAAGACCAACAACTACAATAATCGGTCATGATCGTTTCATGGTACTACAAAACTTCATCAGTAGTCATGCTGATCTTTTTCTCTGACGACAAAATGAGACAACTTGATCTATTCTATGATGATGAACCAGACGTATTGCTGTAACTGTATCATTTTTTTTCGAAGGTCTAACAGTAGTACCCCAGCATTCTGCAAGGCGTCGATATTCTGTGGCCTCGTGGCGAGATCCGCGACCGTCTGCACGAATGTAACACGCGCCTTCTGGTATTCCTCGAAGACCTGAGGATGGTTGTGATGTGTGACACCCAAAACGTTGCTGAAGTTCTCAGGAGGATAGATACACGAGAATTCTTGCTCTCGTTGTAGGATGACAGCTTTTTCTTTGGTGAAGAATGTGCGGAAAAATACTCAATCAATATCCTCGTGTCGCAGACGAAAGTATTTTTATACCTGCAGCACCGCGCGGCTCATCTTTTCCTATGCCAGATGTCAAAATCAACACTACAAATGACAAAATCCAATAGCACTCTCTATTACCGCTGACGCGGGAAGAACAAGATTCACTGTACGTATTTTCCCTTCCACACATCCCACTAACATGTTTGATCACATTTATGTTCGATATTAAGGACTTTGAATAACAAAATTTTGTTGTAAGTTCTCCCTTGATTCACAGTCTACTGTGTGCTTCGAATAATCGACGAGACCCTTTCAAGTGGGAAGTCGAGTCAAAAACATCAATCTCCCACTCGGTCGCTCTGTCCACATGATCACAAAACAAAGTACATATAACCTTTTCACTCAGCTCGCTCTCGACATGAATTTTTTCTTAGCTCTTCGCCACCGACTGACGAGGAAAGCCAGATTAATAATGAAAGTTCCCGAGATGAAACGTGTGTATCCGAAAAAAAGAAGGGCGGGACGAGGGAAAGTCAGTGCTTGGAAAGGTCCGACTAGAAAACAAAAAGATGAGTCTGGCTGAGAGCGAAAGACGAAAACCAGTAAATCCATGCATGAGTGCCACAATCTTCAAAAAAATCCTACCTTGTCGATGTTCTTCCAAATACATCGAGTTCGAGCCTCAATGACGACTGCAGAGAGCAGGTGTGTGAGTTCTACTGTCTCTGAAAGTTGTTTGTCTTTGTGAAAGGGCGTGCATCAAATCAATAGGTCACTGGTTTAATTCGTCGTATTCAATGAATCACTAATTATCAACATCTATTTCGTCTTGTATCTACATCAAGATTAATTTCAGCCTGCTATAGGCAAAGAAAACAGGGCACGGAATCGATGGATACCGTATCTTTGGCGAAGAAATAAACCACAAACTGAAAAATAAAAATGTAGCCACATTATCTACGTACGTACTACTTCCCTTCATTTCTAGTACTTTTTGCGATTCTAGTAACTTCTTTTTAAGAAAAAACTGAGTTCGTAGGTCGTGTACAAGCAATCAATATGAAAGATCCTCGGAATAACTACAGGACGATAACAAACAACAGAGTCTGCGTCAGTCGATACTAGCGTCGTCTGCGACGGGAGTCTTGTTTGACTTGCCGCTCAATGGCAAATTTATTATCCGGCGTTTGGTCATGGTCGTGCATTGGATAACTTATTCCACAATGAAATGCGATTCGTATAGGAAAGTAGAAAAATTTGGATGGAACTCTAACATTGCGTTTGGAAGCGTAGGCAACTTCGCGGTTGAGATTGCTGTTGTTCTTGAATATGATACCACTATTTCTATTCATTGATTTGCGATCAATAACTGTTAGATTGGTAGTTCTAGCTCCTGACTTAAACTGCAACTTCTTATCAAGACAGACCGAACGCAACATCCGCTTTCTGCTATGTAACCTCTACGGCAGGCGCTGCATTCCCGTCGTCTGGGGCACCAACGAAAGCGGCAACACGGCCTCTACAAATGGGACATTGATAGCTCCACGTGCTACTGGTCACACTTGCACAGCTTTTACAGAGACAGACATGCTTGCAATGCAACACAACCACCTCACGTGGCGCGGATAAACACACCACACACTCCTGCCCGTCTCCCTCGACACCAGGGACTGTTACTGTTCCTCCGAACAAGCTCTGTAGTAGGTAGCTGCGCCCAAAGCCTAGTGTGATAAGCTTTTTGTTTTTGGTGAATATAATGCTCATCCTCATGTTCATCATCTCTATAAAGCTGTAAAAGATCCATCACCTAGATGGTCCTGAATCTTCTAGGACGTCAGATGACATGATTACATGACGGGAAGCATAAGTAGAAGACCGTATGCCAACGACCAAATATCTAAGCATAGATAAGTACATGCGACCAGCTTCTTGAGAACCAAAACGTCGTATTTTTCGCCGTCGGTTGGTCGCAGATTGCAGTAGAACCAGAGGGCATTCACGTTGCTGCTCGAGTAGTTTTCCTTCAGTGAACGCACATGTATCACCAAGGGCATCTCAATCGTTAGAACTAACACTATCGTCCACAAGTATAACAATCGCATGCTCAACTTGAGTAACGATAGATCTACTCTAAGACAACCTAAACAAATAATACGATCGAATTACCCATCTCATTGATAACGTTATTTCTAACGTTTAGCTTTAGAAGGCTTGAGGTTTCGTTGTGCCAGAGCATCATCGGAGTTGGAGCCTGAGTGAAGTACGTAGATATGTCTGATTATATATTAATATAATGCTTTGAATGAGAAGGTTCCATAGAAAACAAAGAAATTAGAGCCTTAGTCTTGGAAGTTCCGATTCTTTCGGAGAGGAAATATTCGAGAACATCGTATTCGGTATTCCCGCAAAAACGACCTTGTTCGCCCCAGACACTGTTTTCTTGAACTCACAGGAGGGATCCGTGCATGTAATCGTAGGTATTATGTTGTTCTCCTGCGGATCACTCACGACAGCTGTAGTTGAAGTCGGTTTGGTCCAAAATTCCACTTTGTGAACAACTCAGTAGTAGAGCATTCGGTAACCAAGAATGGAGTAAACAATCAATGTATGACTATGAGCTACTGTACAAGAACTCATCATCATCGGCGATCCCTAGCGAACATACAACTTGACTACCTCAAATCAATACAATGCAATAAATCTCGAACAAAATTCAGTGAAGACTGACTGCCATAGGAGAGTCATAAATGTTCAGCACGATGTTGCTTACCCTCAACAGGATGATATTAAATCAAAGTACCATTGAACATTGCCGTGATTTCGAATCCTTGCGAAGCACATGTCATGCCTATACTGAGTTCGTATGTGCCGGTGCCTTTCTTTTCGAGTTTTATCTGATCGTTCTCGACCTCAACCAAACTCTTTACTACAGGTGCCTGCCGCAGCGAACGCTGTTTTGTCATTGGTGATTCCCAACTCCATCATCGTCATAATTGATGAAAGAATGAGCACGCCGAATTTGCTTTAATTCAGTGTCAAATCAATGAGCACGTGAACTGACTTTGTGCACCTGCATCAATAATCCTAAGAAAGTCCCCGACGTGGCTGAAAAACTAGAGGCCAAGAATAGTACATCTCTCCCACGTTGACTCCCTCGATTTGACGAAGGACTGGGCGCTCCGCTACTATTTCCACCAGGCGCAGGAGCGGCACTAGTTTCGCCATCTGGCCTATTTTGATTTCCAGGTTGCCTCCCTGGCCTGTTCGAACGCTGTTGGGACGCACAACCACCCATGACGAATTCAGTCGTAGCACAAGCGATCGCACTGATTATACGACCTTCGCCTCCCGGTTGCCTTTCACAGAACCTCGTCCTGAGATCAACACCGTTTCAGCGTAAGCAACCGTGACGGCAAGTTTATGATTTCTCACGTTGCCGCCCTTACTGTTGTTCTTTTGACGGTAGTACGTTTGATATTTGGTCTTGACGCTAGTACGACTCGTGTGGGTCTTGATGACTTAGCCGGAAGCCAGGAGGCGAGCGAAGGAGAGGTTGGCTTGCGAGCCCATTTTCCGAAGCACGTGGCTGGCCTGCCATTGCAGGCAAGCCGCGAGCGAACAACTACCTGCTATCGAAGACGCACTACGAAAGTGCAACCTACTGGCCCATCGTGAAGGAGTGTGCTCGAAAAAAACTGCGACGTGAACGCTTCTCGCCTAATCGTCAGCTGTTACAACAAGAGCCGGGTCGGTCTACCAAGACTAGATCGATGCTAGCGAATTGGTTGGTGCTATCAACCAGCGCTTTGTCTTGATGTACCGGGGGGTGGAAACCGAAGTACGCGGTAAGACCTTGATCTGCAAGTTTTACTCAGTTTTATCTCATCATCACCTGGAGCATCTTCTGGAGTTCTCGGCATGCTACTCAATTGATCTTGCTAGTGTACTAATTCGTCATCTTTCCGGTGGTGGCTCGAAGCCCCAACGCTTGCGCTCTGTCGATAAAATTCGCACTTGGAGGACACTCTCCGCCATTACCTACTGAAGCCTCCTCTCAACATGAGCGAAGTCCCTGTGCACTGACTCGTCGTACTTAGCTAGCCTCCAAAATAATTACGCTTCCACAGCTCCGCCAAGTCTCCGAATTCGACGCATGACGAGAGTGCCTTCCGCTGGCAGCATAATCGTCGCACTCTCAGCTAGCCAGGAGCCTCAAATTAGTGACTCCGGAAAATAAGCGCATTCAAACATGGGAGTACGTCATCGCCGCGTGTCAGTGTCTCTACTGTTAGTACTATTCGGTTACAACCAGTAAGATGGTACGCCTCGGCAGTGCGTTCAAAATCCGAAAAAGTTGTGCATGTGCGTGCGTGGGAAAATCCGACTCTTCATCAACACTTCGAAATTCGTTTCGAGACCTCGCGACACTATCGGCTTGTGGCGACAAGGTTCTATTCCTCATCCAGAGGACACTCCGCGGACTTCGAGCCATGAATCGAAGTGAGAAACATAAAGATCTTTACTGTACGTTGTAGTGGAAATCAATGGTCACTGTAAAAAATTACAACTCTTCCGACCTTTCACTTTTGATCCTCGTCAAGACACTCTACATCCTTAGCCCTCGTCTCTTCTTTTCGGTGAGGGATTTGCCCATTCCACGAGTGACAGACTCAAACATATCCGTGTCTGTCCCTCTTACATACGCTTAAGTAGGTATCTTCAATAAAAAAGATGTCAAAGGAAAATGCTAGGACTATCTCATTATTTTCTACTTTGTGTCGTCAACTATCTTGAGCGTGCTTTTATGAAGTGCTGTTTTCGCCTTTTTCTTTTCAAACTACTTGCTTTTGATTGTCCTGTCAAATGCCCCGAAGTCTGCATTTCCACGTATCCACCAATCCATCACGCTCGTCATGTGTGTTCCCCTGATATCACCTTGCCTGATGACCGTACTTATTTTTTTTTTGCGTTAGGACTATATGCCGCCACCCTTTCAATCAAATAATTAACCTAAATAAGCTCATCCAAGTTACATACTGGGAGCGCATAAGACCGCACAATCGGCCACAAATCTACGAATATCGGAGGAGCCGTACATTCGGCCCCTGTAGAAAACCTAAGGCGCAACCCGACGCAGCGGGGCCCCATGAGCAAGTCAGCACACCTGCAGGGGTATGACACGCCGCAACACAGATGATTGATTTACTGATGAGCCACCCAATGAATTTTTTGAAAGTTAAATAATCGCCTACGACTAGAAAACCCGAAATCAGATAGATACGCAGGCCTATGCTAAGACTAAGCACAGAGATCGGACGTAACTAATAGTTTTGAGATCTCGACCAGTGAAGTCACATGCCTCACCAGTCATCTACAGCGCGGAGCAAAAATCATGAGTGAGGCGGCCTGGTGGAAGATAGTGCTAGGCAGAAAGTGCCAAGGCGGATAAGTGCTAGGAATTCATATCGGTGAAGCCTACCGCTACCTACTTTCACTTCTTTCTTCGTTCCTCCTCACCCTAAAGTGCTCTGTCGTCGCTCCCATGCTCTGCTCCGCAGATGTTGCAATCGTGTTCGCCAGAAAAAAAAGAACAAAAAGAAAAGCAAAAAGTTGGCGGGCTGACTCCGACCGCGGGGGCTACCTTATGCCTGATAGCCACTACGCTGCTAAGAGCGGGCGGGAGATAAAAAAAAGGATCGGCGAGGGAGAGCGATGTTCTAAATAGAAAAGACGCGGCTTGGAATATTACAACGATCAGAGCACGCCCTTACGCTCTGGAAGTCGAGCATCCGGGTAATTTCGCGGCACGCCTCACGTTCGTGCTAGCTTTGTATCAGGATAGCGCTCCACTCAACACAAGCTAACCCATTCTCGCAAAGAACAGAAAAACACGCTAAAGATATCCTTTGGGTTCCAACGGGCTCCCAGCTTATCTCAGTTGCAAAGATCGAGGCAGAATCCAGGTAGGTAGATCCACGTCGTTCAGAGAAACTTCCTCTCAACAGATAGGTAGGCGCTGTTTTCCCGGAGAGACAATATAGTCAAATGCTGTTGCTAACATCTTCATTACAACCACTATTAGCCCTCCTTTATCAAGTAAATGTTGATGTTATGTGCGCGGTTGATGTTATCTTATCGCAGACACTGTACGGTTGATGATCACGACTGAAAGCCGAGATATCAACAGCCTGAATTTACCTACCTCGGTGAGAACTACTCGTTTGAATCGAGTTGATTCTGATACAAATATATGCATAGTGTAACCGCGAAGCGTGAATCAGCGGACTTCAGTTCTAGTCATATTCCCTTCCTATACAACCTTGTCAAAGTACTCCGTGGAAACTTTTTGCGACATGTCTATGTCAATCTGATTGAAATACTGAACGAATTTATTTATCTCTGTATCCAAATTCTCGACCATTCTCTTCTTTTCCTCAAACTCTTTTTTCGAATCTTCAAGCATCTGGCGAGCCGATCGCGACCTCTGTACTGAGACAAAGGAGGATACCGCTGAAGGACTGGTCGTCTGGCTGCTGTCCTTGGAGTTCGCCTCGAAGTTTCCATCAATTTCTTCCACATTCTTCACTGTAGTAGACGACTGCTCCTCGTTGGCTTTGGCATTCCTTTCAGCTTCGGCGGCCGAAACGACACAAATTAGACGGCCCAGCAAAAGGAAAAGCCCTGCACTGCAAACCGCGCAAGCATAGGATAGCGACCGCATTTTTTCCTCTCCCGTCGCGATGACGATGATGATATACCCAGCAATATTTACGGGCGTCAGCTGAATTAGCTAATTATTGTTCTTGCAATTTCTCCTCCTCTTCTGATTTGTTCTTCTTCTTCATTCTTCTCTCCCCAGTTCGCATTTGCCACGCTTCTCATGTGCTCGCCATTTTCCAGCTGCTAGTGCTTTTGAGTGCAGGTTTGCCGTTATATAACTCCATTTGGCTTCTTGAAAGTTCCCAACGGATGATCTTTCTAGTCTGAAGCTGCAAACTTCATCTTCCGATCCCGCTTGTCCCTAACGAAAATCGTCATCTTTTACGAACAATGAGTTCCTGTTGTCGTTGTTCGTATATTTTTGTGTTCACAAATAATCATACTGCTCCTCAGTCTGTCGCTCCTCGTTCTCATGAAAAAATGTTGCCTTGGCGGCGTCCTGGATACGGTAAACATTTCCCAACAGTGCTCATGCGATTGCACCTTTGCGCTCATAGAGAGGACAAGGATCTGAGCGACCGCGATGCGCTGTCGTCAAGAGATGAAGCAATTCATTGTTTGAAAAATAAAAAAAAAAAACAGAAACCCAGTATAAATGACCGGAAACCGATCCTTTGCTTCTTCTAGAAAATGGTTGTCAAACCATCTGCGCCTGCGTGTTGACAACGCTCAAGGTGGACGCTGAAGCTGAACGTGTTGCTGGACAAAAGCTAGCTGTTGAGACTCAGAGTGAAGATTGTATTCATAGTTCCTACCTAAAAGCTGCTTTTTCGCTTTTGTTCTCATGTCATACATAATTGTTTTTGTCAACAATAACCAGCGTTTTCATACGTTTGACTAAAAAGACTCACCCAAGCTTGTGTTCAGACACGCAAGAGGGGACTGCAAAAATGACACAGCGAAACTATTCAACGGTAGAATGATGAACTACAGCGAGTTTACTTTCACTTTCTCTATAATTATATGGTTGGAAGATGGAAAATTGAGTGCTGGACTATCCTCGTAAGGAAAGCATGCACGTGTCCCTGTTGCCAACTTTCCTGATGACCGTAAGGAGTTCATAAGTGTTTACAAATCAATAATCATGGAGGAAGTCACTATTTTTTGCGTGAGAACTGCACAGCAGCACTAGCCAAAGGAGCCAGCGCATTTACAAACAGGAGTGAGCTTTTCATTTCTCTATTTCTCAGTTCGAGATAGAAGCAAGGATCGCAAAAAATATCATGACATGGACTTTTTATTCCCCAGTGAAGTTGATAGAAGGACTATCTGGAAACTGGTAGTGTATCTATCTTATACATAGGTATCTAGACTGAAAAACTACAACACATACTAGTACCACTACCAATATCGCTACTACGACCGCTGAACTGAAATTGGACTACTTCTCTGTCTTCTTCATATACAACTACCAGGCGTTTGATTTATATTACCGCAGCCACACGGCCAGAACTAAGACAATGAATTACCACAATTCAAGCGACGAAAATGCGTACTCGTAACGCACTGCTGGAACAACTGGTGGTGCTGGTGGTAGAACAACAAGTATATTTACGTAATATCAATCGAAAGTCATCAGGATCTAAATGAAGCACTTTCATCCAAAGAGTGTAAGCAATTGACTTTCACGATCTTGTTGATGATGAAAGTTGAAAATTATTTACAACCGTGATTCTAATCGTCCCTAGCAGAAGAAGAGTCTGAAACTGCATCGGCACCGTCGCTACTCGTCGAATCCTCGTCAATGTCCCTCGTCCTTTCCTTTTTTGCTGGTACCCGATACTTCAACTTTACCGAGGAAGATGAAGTAGGTGAAAGCGCACCATTCGCCCTGGTTGTACTAGGAGCAATGCCAACCATCTCGCTCTGCTGAGCGGTGATGAGAGTCGTTCGCACAGCAGCATTCTTCTCCTCATATTCGATCCTTCTCTCCAACTTCGCAGCAGTCTCGACAGCATCAGCACTGACTTCCATGGCCGTAGAAGTAGGTGCATCTACTTTTTCTGCTCGTACATCGGCTGTGGTAAAAATATTTCGGTTGATGTTCTGCTCAAAGTTACAACTAGATGTGCAACTTCTCGCTGGTGTGGAACCGGAACAAGATGTCACAGTTGGAACGCTAGGTCGCTTGTCGACGAACAAACGATTCTGAAACATCGAATGCTTCTCACCGTACCAGAAGAAGCGCCAATCAAGTAGAAGGTCGTAATTCGGGAACGCTTGAAGCACATCAGACTCCCATTTTGCGAGTGTTCGCTTTCCTTTCGCCCGCTCCGTGCGCGCAAAGCATTCAACGCCTTTGTACTCCGTACCCCACAGTTGGTCCCACAACTTTATGAAAAAGCCACAATGGATAGGCTTCGAGCGAGTACCTTTGCTCATGATTAACGTAAAAAACCGTAACGAGGACGTTTTGAATAATGAGTAGTCATAGACAAAAATGTTGATGATATCCTTCCATCCAAATCCATGACGACATTCACAAATGTTTAACGAAATTGCTGAATCCTATTTGGCTTAGGGCTAGGCTTCGGTTTGCGTTTGATCTTCTTGTTTATACGCACCATTTATTAGTAGAGGAGACAGAACTGCAAGATGCTGATAAGAAGTACCCTTCGCGTGATGGACGTAGTGCTGGAAGGATGTGTTCACAAAAAAGTGATCGCTCGGAATGATCCAATCTGCTTCATAGCCACAATGGAGGTACACGCCATAGAAGTAGAAGAAGATCCCAAAGGTGAGAAACAAGGTGTTCAAATTCAATGGCAGAAAGTACGGAAGCCAAAAGAGCGGACTCGCACGAACGATATTATCCATCGGTTCATCGGCGATCACTGCCCAAGGTGTCGGAAGACTTAGAAGGTCTAAATTTGTTCCCTGTCTTCCATTGATCATGTGATAATGTCGTCGCCCATCGGCTTCGAAGATCATACTCAGATACGGTAGCACACGGGAGTTGGTTCTGGAAGTCTAAGGCGAATCGAGACAATTTACAGTACGACTATAATGACAAGGTACTACTATTGGATCGTTGAGCATTTTTTTGCAACTACAAGCACCAACATCAGCCGCCCGATCAATAGCCGTAAATTGGAGAAAACATGATGATGCCGGTGTACGGCCCATCCGTGGTCGAAGTAGTGGCCACACCAATGGTAAAAAAACTCGACAAAGTCCGTGACCAGCACGATGATCAACCACTCCAAGCCGACCCGAAGCCAGCTCGTTTCGCGATCTAAGCCGATTCCCCACGACTCGAAGAGGTCGGGTTCTCGAGCAGAGGACGCGGCGCCAAGTTTTTGGACTAGGCTTTCAGGGTTCGTCGAGGGCATCAAATCTCTACTACTTGCTGGTGCTTCCCCTGTTATTCCGTGGTCGATGCAGTAGCCCTGCATAGATGCCCGGCGGTAGACGCTCAATGCCGGAAAAAAACACGCGAAAACTAGGCCTTTCAGAGTCTGCAAGATCTCCTTCCGCACATACCCAGCACTGGGGTAAACTCCGCTAGACTTGTGCTGCCATTTCCCGTACGTCGCTGTTGTGTAGAGAAAATGAAACGTCAGGCCAGAGCTTCCGACGATCGCGATTGCGGCCATCAACGTAGTCACGACCCAAATCAAAAGGAGGGCCTCAGGCAGCCACTCGTTGACTTCACACAGCACCATTTTGATGTTCTTCACTCAACCAGAAGCTGGTGCTCACGAACGAAATTAGGGAAGACCTTGGTCCTCTTACTGAAGAAAATTCGATCCGAAACTAGATGTAACGCAGCTTGGTCACTAATGAGCATATCTTCATTTCGATTGACTGAATGATACTCGATGTCGGTCGTCTATTTTCCCTCGTTGTGAGGCAAACGCGAGTTTTTTTCCAGTGACTTATCTTTCCTAGAGATAAAAATTAACGAGAAAACCTAATCGACGAGGACGACGTATCTCCTATTTGGGTTCGCTCCTTTACTAGAGAACTTAATTAATTGACGCACCGACTCCTCACACTCCCATTCGACATGCCATTCAATTTCAAGAGGTTCTACTTATGGAATTAGAGTTAGAAGTTAAGTATCTGGCTTGCGATTTTTTTTTGTAGGCCGAAGCTACTGAAAGAGCGGCCTCAGCTTTGTCCAGTTCGCAAACCGGCGGCAGGCGGAGCTTAGTGTTCTTCTATCAATCTATTCAGCGGCAATGGCTCCAGGAAAGCTGGGCTTGGAAACATTGCATTTCAGAGACAACAACAACAAAAAACGCGGGATACCACAGACAGAGGACAGCGAAGGATAAATACAGATGGGATACCGGACGAAACTGATACAACTAGACGTGGTTTAGGTGATGAGTGAAGGAAACTAATGAAGGAGACAACGGACACTCTCAAAGAGAACTAGCAGGAGACACCTACGACAACCATGATAGCACACTTCTAACAAGCAAGAACTGGACTTGCGATCACTGTAGTTATCCCACTACTTCTTTGTGCTTCTTCTTTCCCGCAACCCTAGTCATGTTCGCTTCCAAATGCTGATCATGTGACGGTGCTCGTTTACATCAATCTTGCGACAGGAAAACCGTGCTTCGCAGCATGATGAAGGGTTTTCTCAGGCAGCCATCGACAAGCCTGCTCGAAAATCCTTGTGCCTACGTATATGCTTCAAAATCGGTGGAATAGAGTGTTTCGCAGAAGCAACGCAGGCGCATGCTGCCGCACACCTCAGGCCAATACATTCTCGAGAGCCTTAGAATTCAATACATATACATTCTATATTTCGTGTCACATGGTACCTCGTGGAGATGAACTACGACGGGCGTTCAAAAAAAAAAGCTGGAAGACAACACTCCTGCACGATTATGGGTATCGACGAGGTGAAAAAACATATTGAATCGGTACCGACGTGGAAGGGAACAAGATCTTCACGAAAAGGAAAAGCACGGATAAAAAATTACCGAACTTCTGTCTCGTGTCACTTCTTCAGACTTTCATCTCGTTGAGCAGGGGCATCGTCCTCGTCTTGCCTGTCGCTTGCTGGCGGGCTCAAATAAAAAAACCCTCGGAAGTGAACAACATCTTCGCTATCAAACTCGTATGCCGCCTGCGTCTACTCTGCCTCCAGAAGAGAATAGTACTTTCTGGGAGACGGTACTTTAGTTACTGTACACTGTACACACGCATTGCAAAAGCTTTTTCGTGAAGAACAATATTAAATACCTGAGAAATGAGCTCTTATCAAACCACAAAAGAAAACTTCGAATTCAGTTGACACCATTTTTCCGTCGACTTTCTGTAACACAACTGGAAAGCGAAGACTTGGAACTTCCACTACGTAAGTCGGCCTCCTTTACTATATGAGGAGTTAGAATGAAACTGACACAATACTACTACACAGACAATGAATGGAGTCTCAAAAATACATCAACTTCAACTGACTACATGGACCCAGACCGTGGGGAGAGGCAGTCGACCCATCGATTCGTGTAGCTGTCAGACTCATGACACGGCCAGCGAAGCGGCAATGACCAGTCCCAGTGTAATTATAGGCTTGTCGCGTAGGGCACCTGGTTAGCTTCTGGCGTTGCGTGGCGAATTCCCAGCACAAGAATGCTCTTGCGGATAACCACTGTTACAAACATCCACCTGTTCCACCTAGGTAATCATGGGGATAAAATCTCAGACAGACTTTCTTAAAGAAAGATCGGGAGCACTGTTCAATACTTTTCACTAGTGCGTCGCCCATCCTTTAGTCTAATATTTGCCAGCTAATTCTTGAACGACAATATAGTAGTCAAAGATCTGTGAAAGGGAGAGCGACGAAGACGGCGCGCGGCGTAGCAAGCGAGCATCTGAGATAGCACAGGCAAAACTCATGCCTACCAGCCGGCCCATCCATATCTGGATAGTATTTCACAACTAATGATGGGCTTACGTACGCAATCATCAAAAAAACACATCAAGAATCCACTTTTTTTGCTGTCTCCTTTATATTACCATAGTCACGATTCGACTCAGAAAATGACTGGCAATTCTATATCAAATGGCATACAAGGCTTACACTCAAATGAAGAAGATCTAGTTCCTCCCTCTTATTTTTCAAACCTTGCTTCACTCCAAGTTCTTTGTGATATATCTGCGATACTGTAACAAAAAACTGACTAGCTGCTATCAGCATCGTAACGTCTGACTTCTGATTGAAAAAAAAATGTAGAATCCTCGGTCTAACCTCTCTCCACGACAACTGCGGCTGCTTATACTCTGTGTCTTCCATTCATTTATCATAGCGGACGCGGCCACACCTTACGGCACTCACGCAGCATGACTGCATCAAAATGGGCGGCAGAATCCTCGAGAAAAGATTGAAAATCGCGTTTGTATTTCCCTACTCAACTTCGCCCACTGTCTTGACCGTGACCTTTCCACCCTCTGGATGCACGCCTTTGCTGTAGCCTCCTTTGTCTTCGTCCTCGTTGTCACATTAGAACATGTGGCACCACGGGTAGGAAAACCTCGCTTTTCCTTGCTCTACTAACTCTCAAGAACGACAAAAGTTTTTGCACCAAGCAATCTTAGACCCGCCAGTCTGTGAGTAACAAGTCAGTGTAAGGAAATCCTTTTCATTTGAAAAATGAATCATAAGAGTAGTAGTTTACCCGGTCATGGGGTAAGCCCACAATGAAGGGGGAAAGGAGGGGCTGTTTATGGTTTGCTTCTGCAGATTGATAGGCTCGTGCAGAAGAAACAAATAATTAACGTAGTCCTAGTGTTGTATACATACACCTCCTTACCCTATACTAGTGGCAATACAGTTGTATACCAGAACCTTTAACACGGAGATGGAATGAAAATTTCATTCGAAAAATCGATTACGTTGGTTATAATTGCCACAACATGAAGTTCTTCCAGTAGGTCCTGAACTTTTAATGAATTATAGGTCTGCCTTAATCATTTTTTTTCTCCTCGCTGTCCTCCCAGTGTCCTGCTAGCGCGTAAACGTCTACCGTTCCCATGCCCGGAAAGAAAGTGCGCGCGATGGTAATCAGCAGCCACTGCCATGGAATGCTGAAAATACCGCAGAGAAGACAAAGCAGCCATTGTGTGCCACTGAGCGCCGTCGTGCGGAAGGCAAGGTTGTGTGCATCGCAGGCAACGTCGATGCCGCTCTTGCCAATCCTACCTATTTCCACCAGCATTAGAATTGAAGAAGGGCCTTATGATGCCCAACTACTGTCGTATTTTGCCTCACGACTACAAGAGAGTCAGCCGTAGCCGTTTCCCATTCTACAACTAACTTCCTTGCTGTTGGCACCAGGTGATCGTGTGTGACCTAGATTATGTACTAGAGATGAAAAATTGAATGAAGATATAATCTGGCCAGGTCGGAAAGGGTAATCGTGGCCATCTTGGATGCGATCGCACAAGGACAAGAATATAAAGCAGCATCTCTTAACAGTAGGACTTGGATGAAGAAGCAGGTGAACCAGATGACCACGAAAGTGCGGTTATTCTCCACGCCAGCGAAGACGTTGAACTCATGGTATATTTTTCGGCAATTGATCCAGTTAAATAACTGCATCATTACAAAAGCGTTGAAGATAATCGTGTAATGCTGCGTCGGTGCGCCCTGGAAATCGTGTCCACGGCCTGTCATTGTAGTTGGTTCTCAGTATATTAAGGGTGGTCGTGATATGCCTCATCAGTGAGAATTCTGACACTTGGAATTAGTCAAACGCACAGACATAGAGCAGACGCACAGAATTTTAGAACGTAACGGGATAAGAGTAAACATCCTGCACCATTTTGGGGGGCGTTGATTCCTAAACTAACACCGAGCGACCCCGACGACAAAGAGAAACGCGACGGCAAGAACCAAGCAACGCCGCCCCGAGTTGTGAAAATCATGCGCGGTTTTGCCTGCTCAGTGTGTAGATTCCTATCCCAGGAGAAATTTCCCGGATCATGCTCTCGTCTATCGTTCTGCAGTCGGTTTCGCGCGAAAGTAGTGAAATCGTTCGAAATCGCAAAAGATGCGAAGATCGCATCGTTCGAAAAGTTTACACCATAGAAATTCCTCCGCAAGTATTTCCTTCGTGTTCTGGTCTTGTTGCTTGCTCGTTAAATTACTCTCGTAACGCATTGAGTGCTGTGCTGACTATGCTAGTGCCGCCCCATCTTGCCGCAGGTGAGAGAAGTCCAAACTACGCCAAAAGCTTACCGGAGTTGTTTGCTGGCAATCTGTTGAGAGATGACCCAGACAGAAGCCAAGGCCTTGGGGTGATCTCGTTGGGCAATCAAATGACGAAGAAAAGCCCAGAGAAATCCAGCACACCGCGCCAAGGCCAATCTGTTTGAGGTGCCTACTTGCTGGCTATCTGCTGAGAGTTGAGCCATACAAAAGCCAAAGCTCTGGGGTGGTCTCGTTGAGTAATTAAGCGACTAAGAAAAACCAGCCTTGCCTGGCAAAGCCCTGAGACAGCAGCAGACTGAATCTCTCCCAGTTCAAGCCTGCCCATGGCGTTTCTACTTTTTTGCCCCCCGCCCCCTCTGATTTTTCAAATTTGCAAAGCCAGGTCTCTTGCCTTGCGGTGGTCTCCAATAATAGCTCTAGGAAAAACGAAAACAAGAAACACAGCAAGCATTGCCATCAGGTTAGCTGCTACGAAAAGGTCTTCTCTTAAACGCGTTCGCTATGTTTACTTCACTTGCTCGCTAGCGTGTAGCGCTTCACCCAGACAGAGCGCCAATCGCTTTCAGCTTTTTTTACTTCTCTCCACCTGTACAGCGTAGATAGTACCGACTTTTTTTCTATTTCTATCTTCGCACATACATGGCGCAACTTGTATCGTTTTCCGCCCGAAGGTTCTTGCCCTTTTCATTGTCCTCCTGGCTGTTTGACTTTTTTGCCTTTTGCTCTGTGCATAAGCACGCTGCTACTAATGACAAGTCTGGAAAGCATGAAAATCAGAAACACTCGGCGCACCGCCATCAGGTTGGCCGCTATAGCTAAACCGTGGAGGCGTTGGCTATGTTTCTGACTAATTTCGAGAGATTCGCCGCATTCTGCGCCTCAGCGCTATGCCTTCCTGCGCAACTACGCCAACCCCCTGGGGCGACGTCGGCTCGGTTGGGTTCTCGCTCCCACGCCGTCTGCGTTGTAAATCTGTCGCCTTCTGTTTCTGTCATTTCTCTCCGCCCTTCGTGCCTCGGGTGTTGCTACGATCTTTCACCCAGTAGACAGTTCTGAGCTAGGTCGTCTGCTCTCTCTTCCGTCTCGGTCTTCTCCCTTGGATTAGGTCAGAACAGTGCCCCCCGACGATGGCTACTTCTGGCCCCTTTGATCGTATTAGAATTGTATGCTTGCGCCATGTTTTTCTTGCGTGGCCTGCTCCTGGTTAACGCTGCGACATATCTTGGCGTCATGTGTTTACTTACTCCTATCGTTCCGCTTCCGTCTATCGCTCCGCATACATACAAATACACACATACATACATACCTACACACATACATAGCTACTCATATACAACATACATACATACATACATACATACATAAATACACGCATGTCTTGAGAAGCATCATATCGTACCATTTGGAATGTCGAGAAATCCGGCGCAGTTGGAACAGAGACCGCCATAGGGCGCTAGCGCGGCAGCTACCTGATCCGCGTTCATATTTAGCTTGTTCTTCTCTGCCCATTCTGTGGGAAAGTCACGAGCATCGCAATGCCATGTATCGTAGTCTGCGCTTGACCCTGACGGCGCGTACTTAGTCGGAATGAATAGTTGCTTCCCCATGTTGCTATCGGGCTCGCCCTCTTTTTTCACGCCTGCACCGAAGTACAACAAAATGAGCAGAACAATCAGCTGATAGATTGCCTGCCCGAACATATTGAACCTGAAAGTGATTTTGTGCAGAGGACGAGGATCTCGGTCTCATGTGGTTATTGTCAAAAAATCACAATCAGTCTTCATGCAATTACGTAGAAAGAAGAACTTCTATTCCGTTAAAACAGATCTGCACAAAACACGGCGATAAAACGACAAGAAATGACAGCTTCCTTGTGGAAATAGTATAAATATAAACTTCAACTCGAACTACATCTTCTACTCAGTCTAGTGGCTGTAGTGCAGCGAATCAAGTGTAGCGGAAAGATAACCGGGTGTAGTACTTCATCTGAAAACTAAGCAGCGGTTTGTTTCGTCCATAAGGCGGCCTTTGCAGTAGCTCCGGAACGGGCGGTTCGGAGGCTAGTGCAAGTGCGCCAAGGCTATCCATGATCAGATTCACCCACAACATCTGCACCGCTCGAAGTGGTGATTCACGATCCACGAAAGAACCGAGGCACGCTGTAATCATAAAGAACATGATCATGAGAAAGATTGCGATAATCCAGATTATATAAATATATCTGTTTATAACTCAACAGGGAACTACTTCATCTGGCTCCCAGACTTGTTCTCGTATGATCAAACACTTGACTCAACAAAAAATTCAAGTACATGATTCGAGACGCAGCGGATCGAACTCGAAGTAAGTAGAGATACAACTTAGACTTACTGCAGTGCAGCACACTCTTGCGAAAATAATGAAAGGCAAAAGTCAATCAGTACCAAGTGTGACAGCGACTATATTGACGGTCAGCTGAAACTGCAGAAATTTTGATATGCAGTCGTACACATTCCGTCCCCACAAACAGGCCTGCACGATTGACGCAAAGTCATCGTTAGTAATGACGATATCCGCAGCATCCTTTGCTACCTTGATGTAGAAGTTGAAGTTGTTGAAATCAGCATCATGAGAATGACACGACAACTACAAAAATGTACAGATATCAGATGATAAAACAGATTCGATGCAAAATGAGACTTGCAAAAATGAGTCTATGAGGTACTCTAGAGTTCAGCAGATGAAGAAGTACTGATGTTCCTGTGAGGCCCATGACAAAGCCCACGTCAGCTCGCTTCAGGGCTGGTGCGTCATTCGTGCCGTCTCCTGTAACGGCTACCACCTGTCGGTCTGGGTAGAGGTTCTTCTCCTTGCAGAGCGCAGCGTCCTTGAAGAGGTCGCTTTCAATTATACCGCTCACGAGCATGTATTTGTCAGTGGGTGAAGAGCGCGCGAGCACTCGCAGCGCGGGCCAAACTTTATCGAACGCCGCTTGGTCTATTTGCCCGTCGGCTCCGACCACCTGCCGCCGGAACTCGGGGCCTGCCATAGCGGTGCCGGGGAGCACACCGCCATCTGCGTCCAGATCGATACCTGCTCGGAGAATCCCGCACTGCTTTGATATCGCCACAGCTGTATCGATGTTGTCTCCCGTCACCATGCGAACGTCCACGCCGGCGCTGTTGCACTTCTGAATGGCCGCGGTCACAGTGTCCCGCAACGGATCCTCAATACCGACGAGGCCCAGGAAGGTTAACTGATTCATTTTTGAGGTGGTAAAAAATGTAAAAGACTAACGCCCTGACCCTGTGGTGGTCTATCAAACAATTCCACGTTGGAAGTAAAGATTAAAACCAATGATTGACTCCTTCAAACCAAAAAAAAACGATTAGACTACCTCCGTCTCTTGCGCATAGGTTTCTGCATTTTGCCCTGTAAGCTTCACGGCCTCCTCGTCACTCAGCATCGCTTCAAAGTCGACACTGCTGCCAACAGGAATATCCTTGTACGCGAGGCCTATCGTTCTCAGCGACATTTTTGCGAATGGCGTCACAACCCTCGCGATAACGGCTGAAAAAAATAGATGAAAGATAAATGAAATGATCATTCAAGAATGTGCATAATCCTCATGTCGTACTAGAATCACAATATTAAGTAAATCGTACACGAGTCCAGTACCAGTTTTGTCCGTATCCGGGAAGGCTTCGACACTGTCGTTTTGGCCGTCATATTTCTGCGTGCAGAGTGAGAGGACAATCTCTGACGCGCCTTTGATGTAGACGCGGTAGCCGCTGCCGTGCGGGACGACAATGCCGGCTCTCTTGCGCTGCGAGGAGAAGGGGTAGATTTTCTTTGCCATCGACATTGTGAAGCCGATCTTTTTGTAGTCGTGCCCCATGTCGTGTGCAAAAGCAAGGAGAGCGCAGTCCGTCTTGTTCCCTATTTGGGTCCACCGTTGGAGCTTCTCGTCAAAGCTAATTTCTGCCTCAGCCTTGTTGCAGCAGATACCGTGGCCCACCCGCTCGCGCATGTTTTCACTCATGAACGTCCCTGACCGACACCGCACGCCGCACGTCTGGCTGGCCTGCGCGTCCACGATGTCTCGACCGAAATATGCTTTCACTACCGTCATGCGGTTTTGTGTCAGAGTTCCCGTCTTGTCGGTGCAAATGGACGTCGCTGAGCCCATTGTTTCAGTGGCATCTAACTGCTTCACCAGGCACTCATCCTCCTGCATGCGGCCGACTGATAGAGAAAGGGCCAATGTCACAGCCAGTGGAAGGCCCTCGGGGACCGCGACAACGATGATCGTGATACACATGATTACCTGAGTAGTCATTCAAGGCAACAAGTGAATCGACGCAGGTGATAAAAGAAGAGAATCATCAAAAAACTTAAATATACACCGAGCTATTTTAAGCATAGATTTTGTCTTCAAAGGTCTAGGATTGTCTTGCCTACTCGCCGGTTACTTCCACTGCCTTGTCGAATAATCGTAACACACCTCAGCACCGGATCGTCATCGATCCAAAGAAGGGCTAGTAATCACAATCATCAGAGAGCTTAGCTGCCCGTTGTAGTACCCATTGTATCGCCTCGTCTCGTAGTGCTTCGCCATCTGCGAATGAGTCGCCTCCTTTAAGAATGAGCCAATTTATTGCCATACCGACAAGCGCAACTAGAGCTATCCTGATGGCAAGAAACCCGATCAACTCAGCCGTGTCATCGAGCTTCTTCGTGAGTAAGCTTTTCTCTTCTTCTTCCTCTTCACCACCTTGCTCGCCACCCTCACCTTCTCCCTCCTTTCCACCCTCTACTGCGGATAATGCCACGTTCTGACCACGCACCTGGAGTATACGTGAAGATTGAAAGGTCATATTTGTGATTGCGGTGCAAGGTCTAAATGCAGAACGAAAAGACCTCAGAAGGCATGGGTGGGTATATTTTACCGGATTACCGGGATGAAGATTTACTCTTTAGCCAGCCTGCCTCTACAAAGGCGTTTCACATTTGCAGATGAGTAAACGAACTACCAGAGCCTGAATCCTGCCTTTTTCGGAGTTGACGCCGACTGCAATTAGCATATAAGTTCCCTGGCCTTTTTGGATGCTGCTTCCCGACAATAGGTATGGCTTTTTTGCATTTTTCTTTATGAGGATAGGTTCTCCCGTCAGCGCCGACTCATCGGCTTCGAGGTCGAAACCCTCAATGAGGACGCCGTCGCCTTCGAGAATATCCCCGATACTCAGTCGCACTATCTCCCCGGCGACCAAGTCATACTTGGAAACGGACGTCTTCTGCCCATCACGTATAACGTTTACTTGAATATCCGCAACGTCCGCGTTCAGCGCCCGAAACTGCTTCTCTTTCTGGTAGTCCTAATGCTTAGAGTAAATTACTAATGAAATGACGACTCGAAGATTTTGAAACGCCCGTAGTCTCACTACAACTCATCGATGAGTCACAGGCCAACAGTGGAACTCTTTGGTTGTACACCAAGGCATTCATCAAAAACGAATAGGAAAACTCAAAATTACTTGTCGTAGTAGTGTTGGTATTAAAGACGATTTCATCAATCATACGTAAAAGTATTTCAATCATCCAAATTTGCTCGAGGAAGGAAAAACATTTCAAGGGCATAAGAACAGCCGCGACGTTGGTCACCAAGATGACGGTGAAAATGATAGCGGTGCCCTCGATCCAGCACAGCGAGTCTGGATGCTCCTGCATTTCGAAGACGAGGCACACAAAAATCGACGCGAGCGCAGCGCAGACGAGCATTATGATTGTGAAATCTTGAAAAGCTCCGTACAGAATCTGCAAGTAGGTCTGCGGTGGCCGTTCTGGAATACGGTTCTCGCCAAAGGTCTCACGCCGACTCTGCACTGAGGAAGACTCGATTCCCAGAGACGGGCTCACGTTCCCAAGCTTCTGGCACAAGCTCTCAACGCCCCCAAGCTTCTCCAACCCCTCGAGGGTTTCGCGACCCTCAAACAGGGTCCGCAACTCCCCGACGCTCGTCTGGAACGCCATCTTGTCTCCTCGTTTTTACCAGAAACTAGAACTAGAAGAACTGGATGCGGTGGAGTTTGTATTCCGGCTTGCCTGCACTGAGGTATAATCACTTCGCACCTTCTTCCCTGTCTAAGGTGCCTCCATGGATTTGCGAGGTAGCTTGCGGTGGGAAGCTCGTAAGTACGATCGAGCCGGAAACTTCTGCTAGAACCCCGAATTTCAAGCTTGTAATGCCCAGCACTACAGAGTACAAACAGAGTCCTGATATATAAGAACTTTGTTCGACATCTCAGCCCAGTATGAAACACCGGTCGCGACAAGATTGGCCTCCCCCTGACCTGTGCTCAGCTGCGCTGGACGCTCTTCAACTTGTCGCACAAAAAATGACCGGGCATCAAAATCGGATGCAGCTACCTCTGCATTTCTACTCCCATTCAGTAGCAACACTGAGTCTCAGCAACATTCACCTTGAACAGGCGACACAGCCCGACAAAGCGTACTATATGCTGCCTGGGCATGATCATTAAGGTTAAGCATGTGACGATATTGAATTAACGAACGAAGAGATATCAAGTGAGCCAAAAATGATCGACAGAAGGCAGCTGCAGCATGAGCATTACACAGACGTACTAGAGATTAGAACAGCAGGCCCAACTACATCGATGTTATTATTTTGAATACGACAGAAGATTGATACCATAATTACCACGGATTCATCAAACCGGGTTTAACCCCTTATTTTCAGCAATGATCGATTCCTGTTTGCTTTCGCTTGATTCATTTGAAAACTTGACACAAAAAGGTGTGCAGACTGCCTCACTTATATTTGAAGCATAATTCAAGCTGTAGTACATACTGACTGAACCGGATACCAGTGGTTACTCTTACTAAATACGCAGTAAAAATCTAGTCACGCTGACATGAAGCCATGTTGTAGTGGGGAAGATAACTTATAGTACTCAGGTGAATATAATATATATACATGTTTTCTATGTTAAACATATTTCATTGCCATTTCTCTCATCAAGGACATTTGTCGAGGGACTGACTTGGTTCACAGAGTAACACTAACGAACCTTCGTCGAGAAACGGGAAAAAGGAGGGTATTCAAAGAATACAGCTTGGGCTCTAAGATACTGGCTTGGGGTGTTTTCAATGAGATCATTGTTAATGTCATCGCGGTAAAAATCATAGTTTGTAGTCTCCTCCCATCTTCTTCGCTCCTATCTCATTTTCTCTCTTGACAACTCCATACCACTCGACGCCTGTAAAATACTCCGACTCTAGGACTCTCGTCCAGCATTTGGTCCTTACTGGAACACATAGCAGAACGACAACGACACCTGAAGAAAAAAGCATAAGATCTCTTTCTTGTCGCCTCTGCATCTCACTCTCCTTGCGATCATACTGTAGTGACTCAATTTTCTCATTTTCCGGCATAGACAATTCAGGAACCTAGTCGAAAACACACACAGAAACTACCTGGATGATACGAACACGCAAATAAAAAAGCCTGCATGTCCTCCTGAAAGATGTCGTTGTAGCCGAGCAGGCAGTAGCGTTGCGAACAAAAAGAAAGGAAATTCACACAAGAGGGCTGCAGAAAGCACTTGTTCTGTTGCAAGAGTATTCACGCTGTCGCTATGCTTCGTCCTTCGTCTATCCAATTTCACACATCGGTCACTCGCCGAGCGATGATGATGAATGAAATTCGATTCTAAGTAGTGCTAGTCGTAACGTAGTCAAGGATCGCGCTCAGTAATTCAGAGTTGTAACCGTAGCTGTTGCTACGCATTCTCAGGAAATCTAGGGCTTGTGGTCCTGTACATGAAGACGCCCAACAGTAAAGTATCCATGCTTCTGACTGTATATGACACATCAAGAAGCTAGAAGGAAAATCGGATTGAAAATTGATGATCATATCCGAGTGAGATAAATCAACTAGGACAGAGGAATAAGGCTGCTCCAGCTAAAAGAACTCAGTTGTTTTGTCATCATCTCAACAAAACCAAGTATTCGTTACTTGCTCGACAGCAATCTTCTCACTGAATTAGAAGAAAGTTAATTTCGAGAAAACAAAAATGCCTGCGCAGCGCGGCATATAGCACACAACACGAGACGATTGCGATATTGAGAATCAAAGAAGCGCCGCGAAAGAGCTACAAATTCGGTAACCTACTCCTACATCAAGACAGAGCACCGCGCCCCGCAAACGCGGCGAGACCCTCCGGTGAACTGTTTACTAAAGAGGAAAAGAAATGCTTACTAAAGGGGATAGGCAGCAGCACAAAAGATAGAGATCATGATGACGAGCGTAATTGTGGTTATCTATTTGGCTAAAGCGTACCCGAGTAAATTTAAGGTGGGACAGAGAGATGTTTATGTCATCACATCAGAAAATGGGACTCTTATTTACAGTACGTAAAACAAGTTGAAATTATAAGGGTCGCTGACTACGAGTTGCTCCTTTTAAAGAGCTCGACCGTTTTGTTTCGATTTAGGTCGCTTTGGAGACTAGATCCCTGCAGGTATGCTTCCCTGCTGGCCGCGACTCGTTCTGCTTGCCGGATTCCCGAAGCAAGGCTGTTGCTCCGGTAAAGCCTTGTCATGCTTGGAACTCGAGTCAAGCTATTCGTTCCTCCTGGCGAAGCAGGCGATGCGCCCTCACCAAGCACTTCCGGGCACACGCTCAGAGTTATTGCCTCCACGTCGGCTTCCCCGTCGCCTACATTAGTCGGCACTCTGTCTTTTGGTGCCGCGGACCCACTGGTGCCCTCCTTGCGGGTACGATACGGTCGGTCACCCGCAGCCATTCGCGCCTCATCTCCAGAAAGCAGCGAATCGAAAAATGAAAATGAAGGATCAATACATATCTATCAGGTATCTAAGATGCTTGTAGTTGTTTATACTATGATGGAGATGGAGCTTTTTTCCAGCAACTTCATTGCTCATAAGGGACGGGTGCCACTTTGTGGTGCTGCGGATTTTGGGAGAAATAGCTTCATCAAAACGAGAAGAACGAGTCGCCAGACAAGACTCCCAGCGCCAAGGCCCAGAGATAGCGCCCACTGCCACGACCGCAGCCCCACTGTCTTAAACGCACGGTTGATACTTTCACAAAGGAGGGCGTTGCCGGTTCTGCCTATCCCTGCAACCTCAATAATGAGTACCTGCGTCCCAAAACACACAAGCCAAATCGACACAAATATTGGATTTCGTTCTAGACCCCGAAACACGTTCCATTCGTACAAAATGAATCTTTTTGTTGGCTAAAGCCAGATCTGCTATATTATAAGTAGCTGCTGCTCAAAAGTGAGCGATGATTTCATTTGCCTAGCAACAAGACCAAGACGTTGTACTACCTCAACCTCTATCAAAACTGCTAATAAATTATATCATGATACACATAGGTACCACGGAAGCCTCTACTCTGTGGTCTTCATGAAGGTGGCAATGAATAGGAAAATAAGCAGATAGGACTCAAATTAGTTAACAGCAAGAAACAGTAAGTTCCGGTGCGCCATATTATAGATTTTCCGACAGTTGATCCAGTTGAACAACTGCATCATCACGAAGGTATTGAAGATCAATGTGTAGTGCTGTGTCGGCGCATCGCTCTTTAGTGCGCGATCAATGCCACTTGGTATGTCCAACCACCCACCGCACGCGGTGCAATCCATGGGAGGTTTTTCTTAGATTGAAATCTTAAGACCACGACATGTATTAAATTATGTTCCTCAAGCTCGACAACTACGCAACTGAGTTTTCATCTTCTGCTGCGATCCTTGTTTTCAAGCCCTAGTATAGCTGCTTTCCATAATCATATGGCGCACGCATATCACACACTTCTCCCTTGCCGGTCGGCCCAGCCCCGTAAAGCATAGCGATCAGGATAGCAAGCTGGTATGCGGACTCCCCTGCCATGTGGAACCTGTATGCTTGTGATACTCTTCTAAGATGCTGCTGATGCGAGAACGAACAACAAAGAGAAAGACAACATCACGGGAGGTCTCCACTGTTGAAATAGTACAAACTTGAGAAGAACTGCAGCCACAAGCGGTGGGCGTTAATCATTACGAATATGAAACTCAAAATTCTTAGTACTTCATTTCAGGACTGAAGAGACCCGCATTCCTTCCATATGGTGGCCTCTCGAGAAGGTCCTCGGTCGGTGCTTCGGAGGCAAGCGCCAACGCTCCGAGCGAGTCCATGATCAAATTCACCCAAACTATGAAAGTTGGTGTTATCCATCCTTCTAAAGCATACTCTTACCCGTGCGGTAGTGGTGGCCCGCTTATGTACGCTTTTTGAGAGCCAATATATTTCTAGCTGGAAAGTCTGGTGCTTCTTTGATTAAGTAAACGCGAACTCAGCAGCAGGAGAATCTTATCAAGGAAGTCTAGAAAACTACACATCCATACAGAGCATTTGCGTGGCTGAAAGCGGAGACCCACCTGTCGTTACAGCTCCAAGACACGCGAGCGTCACGGCAACTATATTTACTGTGAGCTGGAACTGCAAAAACTTGGATATACTGTCATAGACATTGCGACCCTGGCCTTAGAGCACTTATTTTGACATTCTTGGTGCCTGATAGTAGACATTACAGGACTCTCAGAAGATGAAGATCTTCCTGCTCCTTGTGCAAAATACAGAGTCATCATGAATTTTCATTTTTTTGCTAATGCCACAAGAGAGCGTACTCATAACATTTACAAGCCTCCACGATTGCTGCGAAATCATCGTTCGTAATCACGATGTCACTTGCGTCCTTGGCGACAGACGTTCCGGTCATGCCCATTGCAAATCCCACATCTGCTTTCTTCAGAGCTGGCGCATCGTTTGTGCCGTCGCCTGTGACCGCAACTACCTTCGTGGTCGGTTATATTTTCATCAAGCAGAACGAAAAGAAAATGAAAATCGTTACATCATACAACTGCTGTAGTTGAATCCTGAACCTCCCCAGCAATTACGAGTGATTACTTGTCTGTCCGGGAAAATTCCAAGATCCCGTACTGCGGTGCCTTGCCGGTAGAGGTCGGAATTCATTATGCCTGACACTAGGACGTACTTATCTGTGGGACTGCTGCGCGCGAGCACCCTGAGGTATGGCCACATATTATCAAATGCATCTTTCCGTATCCGCCCCGTCGCCGGGTCCACGGCTTGTCGCCTAAATTCAGCACCCGTCATGGCTACCTGTGGAGTCGCCAAGTCTCCCGAATCGATATCAACGTCAATGCCCGGTCGCAAAATTCCACACTGCTTGGCAATGGCCACTGCAGTATCGATATTATCCCCGGTGACCATGCGGACGTCGACCCCCGCCTTGTTACATCGTGCGATCGCACCTTTAACCGAGTCCCGCAATGGATCTTCGATACCCACTCTCGCTTAGAGACACTCACTATCATTCCTTGACTTGCTTTTACTTGCACAGTGAAGAACATGGGTGATATATTCGTTAGCGTCGAGGAAGAATTTGACGGTACTCGTTAGTCATCTACTCACGAACATACTAGCAAGAGTACCAGCATAGGAGTGAGCTTGCACACACTTCATTCTAATTTCCATCAGAAAACGCATCGATTTTCTAGCCTTACAGCGCAATAAGCGTGAGGCCTACCTCCGCCTCGTAGGTTTCTGCTCTCTGACCTGTGAGAAGCATCGCGTCCTCAGCAGAAACAACTTTTGACCAATCCTGCGCCTCAGTATATCGACGACACGCTAGCGCAATCGTACGCATCGCCTGTTTTGCATACGGCTGTACCACCCGCTTCAAAACATCTGGAAATGTATTCATCGTGATTGTTGTAGTCGAAATTTGACTTTCTAACTTCTCTTTTTTGAAAAGGAAAAGTACTCGACGGTATTCTTAAACATTCTCATACTTTATGCAGAACTGCTGTTCCGTTTGGAAGTAGCAGACTCATTTCAACAACGCATTCGAATTTGAGATATATTATAATACCTCGCTTTTCTTCTTGGGAAAGGGCCTTTTCCGATCCGTCGAGGCCGATTTTTTTGCTGCATAGACTGAGAATAATCTCCGAAGCGCCCTTCACGAAAACGGTATAGCCACCACTTGTTGGATCTCTAACCACTACCGTTGCCCGCTTCCGCTCGCTGCTAAAGGGAATGGCCTTCTCCGCGTCGGCAAGCGAGAACTTCACAGTTTCTCGATAGTCGTACCCAAGATCATACGCGAATGCGATGCTTTAGAAGGAGATGCCTAGATACAGGAGATCACTCAATCTTTTTAACTCTATTTTTCCAGAGAACGTGACAAGGGATGCAAGACTTAAAGAAGAGCGCAGTCTGTCTTGTTCCCGTCTTGCCGCCACCGACCAAGGTTTGGCTGCCACGATATTTCGGCTTCGGCTCTATTAACACAAATACCGCGGCATAGAAGGTCGCACAGGATCGTTCCACCGATCTCTTCCTTCAACAGCCGCCCGCATGTCTGCCCGCCTGGCGTTCCTGAAAAAATAATTGTGTGATGTTAATAAGTACATTAATTGGATTAGGGAGTGACATAGACATGATAGTGACGCCGCACTTGCTTAATCGGCATCAGGCAGGACAATGCACAAGTATACTCTGGTCCTTCAGGTGCGAAGTCTTCAGAAGCATTCTGATGATTACCTGCTGTGGTCTCGTAATCTGGACTCGATGAGAGATAACAGTTAACCACGGTCATGCGATTCTGTGTGAGCGCGCCGGTTTTGTCTGTGCAAATCGATGTTGCTGAGCCCATAGTTTCCGTTGCGTCAAGGTGCTTTACCAGGCAAGCGTCTTTTTGCATCTTCTTAGCAGCTTTTGAAAAGAACGAAAGCAGAGTATGCTCTTCTTGTCCTTGAGAAACACGAAATAATGTCACGACGAACAGTCGTGGCTTGTTCCACAAATTTTCGCCTTAATCTTGTGTACGGAGAGCGAAAGTGCTAGTGTCACTGCAAGCGGCAAACCCTCCGGCACCGCGACAACTATTATGGTTACAGTCGTGATCAACCACTGCACGAATTCGGTGCCAAAATGATCTTTATCATCAGGCAAACTATCGAACACCCATTTTCGCGCCAGCCACCTAAGGATCATAGCGGCGAAAGCCACTAATGCCACAGCAGTTGCTATTTTCCCTGATTTTTAGATAGTAGCTCATGATGTTTATACTTAGATGAAACTGAAAGAAGAAACTAACAAAAATAGGAGAAGATGAGTCACAATCATAGGCTTGATTAATAATCTACCACTGTGGTAGCTGTACAGCATTTCCAGAGAACCATTGCGGAATTATCAAGTGGCACCAAAGAAGAGAGTGAAAAACACCTCAGAATCAACCAAATGTTGATGGAGATGGACCAACTACCTAAGTAGTAATTCTTTAACACCTATTGTCGTGGCAGCGACGTTCAGCTTCTTAGTGAGCAAACTGTCCTCCTCCTCCTCAAAGTGCTGTACCTCCTCATGTCGTGCCTCGTTGGTCTTCGACTCACTTACCGAACTGGCGTCCGCGTGCTCCTGTTGCGGTACTGACGCTGCTTCGCAAACACTGCGATCGCTGGCTCCCACAGCGGCACCTCCGTCTCCTCCCGACGGCGCAGTGACACCTGCTTGCTGCTCTGAAGACCTAGCAGAAGCCGCAGTGTCTCGTGTATCCGCACCCTCGCCCCCGCCACCTGCTGACCTGCTCGGCGTCTCGCTCCCCGTTGTTCCACTAACACTTTTTAGACCACCCTCGGCCTTCCCACGCACTCCGCTTGGGTCCGCTCCTTTGTTCCGATTGCTCGCACATTAGAGCTGGCGCCTCAACTTGGTGCCCGCCTCCTTCAGTTACCTTCTCGTGGCTCCCATTAAGTATTACCAAGAGTCTCTTTGGGGAAGAGAGCGTACCATGCAAGTAATTGTCGTAATGCTAGAACTTTAGGAAAACAACAAACATCCGCGTGAAGTCCTCTACTGAAGATGGTGCATCCGATAACCTCCCCAACAACAAGAACAACAATGAAGTTGTAGTTGCCTTATCTACTATCATCTGTGCTATCTTCCTCAAGCGTCGGATTTGCAGTAAAGCGTTTGTGCCCACGGATCACCGATTGAATGCGACCGTTTTCAGACTGCGCCCCGACCGCGAGGACGAGGTAGGTGCCTTGCCCGTTCTGGATGCTGGTGCCAGAGAGGATCCACGGTGCGTCGACCGACTTGGGGATGGCGACTGGCTCACCTGTAAGCGCCGACTCGTCCGTCGAAACATCAAATCCCTGGATGAATAGCCCATCGCCTTCAAGGATATCGCCTATGGAGAGTCGCACCACGTCACCCACCACAAGGTCGTAACGCGATATTGATACGTTCTCTCCGTCTCGGATTACTACAAAATGAACATCAATAAATTCTTATAAGTTGATAGATAAAAAACATAACAAAAAAAAA